ATATGGAAACTATATATGATTATAGCTACCATATCAAGAGAGAAAGGGTCTGGCGAGGAATATTCCTTTAAGAGCCAAAATTGTCAAAAGTGTACCCCCTGGAAAAAAGTAAAAAGTACCCCCCCCCCCCCTTGACAAAAGCTGACTACAGGCCTGACCTGGTATACTAGGCTCTGATATGCAGAGTAAAATTACTTAATAACCCAGTTGAACATTAAGTTTAGAATTTGAAAAGTTAATAAAACAAAAACTGTAATTACTCAGATGCGAGTAGGTAGTTACCAGTTTCGCCACCAGGTGGCTGAGTCGGGGGAAATAACATGGCAGGGTATTACAAAATTCCCTTAAACTTGAATATTCATCAGTTTTAGTGGTTCAGTTTTTATATTACCCTTTTGGATCTGATAGGTATACAAATTAAAATATGCCCAGTAAAAGAAAATATTATCTGCCCAACACAAAAAAGATATTTCACTTTTTGTGATTTTACAACATGGGCTCTATGGGGAATCTCCCCGACCTAGAAGTCACATTTTCTAATAAAATTAAAATTTCAAAGTTGATTAACTCTTTTCAAAACCACATTTCTAGATGTAATTCTACATATAGATTCCAAATATGACATCAGTTTGACTGAATTTTTGATGACGTAAATCAAGATTATTTCTACTCGCATCTAGTCTATTGAGTGTCAATAGGGGCTAATATCAGATATGACACATACCTTACATAAAACAGAATTTTCAATTGAGTCATTCCAACATAAGAGATCATGAATCACATTGTTTTATATGATACAAAAATCAATCCTACCTCCCAAAATTTCATAAAATAAAAACAAATATTAAACTTCATGCTTATCATTATTAATAAAGCCCCAGATCCCATCTGTAACCCTCCATCCCCCAGAACGCCTATGCTAGAGTTAAATTAAGAGAAAGGGTAGACAGGGTTATTTAAATGAATCATTGAATTTGCAACTCACTCCTTAATAACATGTTTTACAGCTATATTATTTTCATGAAATTGATGACCTTAAAAATAACAGAAAGGAGGTAAAAATCAATAAATTTTAAAATGACAATAAAATCTCAATAAAAGTCAAACTGTAAGACAAAATATTTTTTCGGACTACTTCTAGAATTCTCATTTTAGATGGTCATTTTAATTCTTTACATGTCTAGCAGAAAGTCACAGTGATTTTATTTCTTAATGTAGTTCTCTATTCAATTATCAGATCACCCATTTTATCTGTAGATGTTAGATACTGTGTTTCAAGAATAAATCAATAGTACGAGAGATACCTCACCCTGGGTATAGTCTGTCACGTGACTTCATGGATGACGTGTGCGCGAGTGATTCGCATTTTCTTTCGCTTGAGGTTTGTAATCACACTTTTTACATGTTTTAAGATTTTGTATCTCTGTGAAACTTGTCCCGTACCATCAATGTCTGAAGACGATCTAATTCACCAAATATCTCATCCAAGCGTGTCCCGGTTAAAGAGAAATTCGCACTTTTGTGTCTCGCAAAATGACGTGTGCGCGAGTAAATCGAATTTTACGAAGGATGGGTGCGCGAGTCTAAAATATTTTTATTCACTTGAGACAATTCTGCAAGCTAAGGCAGAATACAACTCACGTGACATTTGTTTTTGTCATCTTAAAGTAGTATGTTAAAGAATAGTTTGCTATTTTGTAGATGTTTCATGTATGGCACATACATGTCTACGTTTAATGACAATAAATGTTTTGAAATAGCTTGTAGGGCTGTCCGGCATTGCAGGTGAATTAAAATTTGAACCAAAAATTGAATTAAATTTTTGGCGGTCTCATAAAACCGGCAGCATATTCATTTATTGACATCCCATACAAGGGGGGGGGTCAGAGTTGTTATGTGGTTACTCGGCATCCGCCACGATCAGAACCATGTAAGGAATAGTAAGGGGAAGCCCATGATACCAAGTAATATCAAATAATTATAGGAGCTTCTAACTTCTTCCGCATCCCCACCCTTGGTATACGCAGCTGACAAAATGGATCGGTACGGGTCAAAAGCTGGACCGCTACGGGTTAACGGTTTTATTTGAATTTAAAACAGCTATAACTTGCTCAATATTGACTTCTTCGTATCTAAGTTGAAATATATGATCCCTCCGAATGATTTTAAGTACCCCCAAAGTTCACCCGTACAGGTCCAGCTTTTGACCCATACCGGTCCATTTCGTCAGCTGCGTATACCAAGGGTGGGGATGCGGAAGAAGTTAGAAGCTCCTATAATTATTTGATATTACTTGGTTTCATGGGCTTCCCCTTACTATTCCTTACATGGTTCTGATCGTGGCGGATGCCGAGTAACCACATAACAACTCTGACCCCCCCCCCCCCTTGTATGGGATGTCAATAAATGAATATGCTGCCGGTTTTATGAGACCGCCAAAAATTTAATTCAATTTTTGGTTCAAATTTTAATTCACCTGCAATGCCGGACAGCCCTACAAGCTATTTCAAAACATTTATTGTCATTTTATTCTTTAACATACTACTTTAAGATGACAAAAACAAATGTCACGTGAGTTGTATTCTGCCTTAGCTTGCAGAATTGTCTCAAGTGAATAAAAATATTTTAGACTCGCGCACCCATCCTTCGTAAAATTCGATTTACTCGCGCACACGTCATTTTGCGAGACACAAAAGTGCGAATTTCTCTTTAACCGGGACACGCTTGGATGAGATATTTGGTGAATTAGATCGTCTTCAGACATTGATGGTACGGGACAAGTTTCACAGAGATACAAAATCTTAAAACATGTAAAAAGTGTGATTACAAACCTCAAGCGAAAGAAAATGCGAATCACTCGCGCACACGTCATCCATGAAGTCACGTGACAGACTATACCCAGGGTGTACCTATGCTGGACGGTTTGACCTGGCCTTAGAGTCTACATTTTACATCTGCAGAATAGAGAGCTCCGAACTCCCTGTGATACATCTTGCCTAGAGATAAAGGATGATTGTCAAAGCTTCATCGAAAGGCTAAGGTTAATAGTATGTTTAACATCCTCTCGGCCCTGTTTCAAATTATTCATAAATTATGACCATACAGTATTTATGAAAAAATAATTTAATTATTAGCACCTTACTACATGTTATGTTAGGCTGGTTTATATTGTATAGGTGAACCTGCTAAACATATTGAAATAAATTGTGAGATTTTGATAAATGTTGGCAAAGTAATTCGCCATTTACCGTAATGATTTTAGCAAAAAATCGTCAACTAGTTTTCTTGTTGTGTGGGAATTCAAAGGCAGGGCTCTCGCCAGGCTTTTAGACTGTGGCGCAGCACCACACTCTATTTAGCTCCCTCCACACCCTATTGGCAAATCATGACTGTTTCCACAGTCTAAACTTGACTGAATATACAATAATGTCATGTAAAAAGGATAAAACATAACATCACGATTGAACCGATTTCTGAAGATGTTAGCACCACACCCTAAATATTTCCTGGTGAGAGCCCTGAAAGGGTTTATTTGATTTATATTATTGGGACAAAGAATCAAATCTTAAATGAGAAAACATCTTTAAAACTTTAATAATGAACTAATAGTTAGGAGGAAAGAAATATTTTCCCCCTTCCAAAAAATCAAGTACATATATGATAAATGTGTAATGTCTCCGCTTTCATTTAATCAATACCATTCTTCAGTCTAATTCTCTTTTAATTTTTCAATTTTTGAAAATGAAACATAAGATGTATAGTGTTTACAAATTAATCTACATGTAACATATGTTCCCTTCACAAAACCAGTTGAATACGTTGCAATATGAATATCACATTAATTTTTAATCTGTTTAATTTTCAGATTAGATGTGTTATGAGCTTCTGCACACTTTTTTGTACTCCTACAAAAATTTATCAATACTCAAAATCAGAAGGTAAATAAAAGTTGAATACTCGACACACAGAGTCAATATTTTACCAGTATGGCCTAACACAAGCTCTCTATACAAATCAGAGTCAATTGACGAGATTTCATTACTCTTAATTTTTTATGAAGAAAAATTCAACATGTGTTCAAATAGATCTATTCGCTTCAATAAATCACAGCCGGTGCAATTCCATGATACGCAAGACAACATGATATATATTTCTCCAAACAATGAAGCGACTTATATACACTGTATTTCTTTATTTCCCATTTAGCATGGAGAACAAAACTTTAAACATTTAACACAACAGTGAAAATTAACCAAAAACAACGACACAAAACACATCTAAAAATTTAAGACAATAACAAAAAACACACAAAACAACAAAAACAATCCACATCTAAAATGTCAATGACAAGTAATAAAGTATCTATCAAAAAATCATATGTTGTTAAATAGATTTTCAACATATGTGCAAAGTTTTTTTTTGGACCCATAGGGAGGTCTGCCACTGCAGGGGACACAGGCCAATAGGCAGTTTTTGCCAAGGGGGTTCACTTTTTAAATAAAAAAAATTCCAGGGGGTTCACATTTGACAACTCAATCACTTGAAAATTGCTCAGAATTGTGAAAAACTGCATCATTTTGAAAGAATTTTTGGCCAGAGGGGGTTCCCTCGAATCCTCCGACCCTCCTCAATAAAATGTGTGGCCTCTTGAATTCTTCATGGCTGAAACTCCCACAAGAGGACACGTGTTTAATGCAAATAAAACTAATTCATCTGAGATAAACAAATGCTTTGCATTTATCCATTACCATTCGTCTCCTCGATTCTGGAGAGTTGGTCTTGGTACGAGGTAAGTTTTGCACAAAAATATATTTCTCATATACATGTATGTAGGCTAGAGGCTGCTGGTGTCTTGCTTTGCTTATTCCATGGGCTTTCAACAATTGAAAGCCCATGCTTATTCCCCTTCTTTGGTTTCATTGACAGTAAGCCCGGCCCGATGCATTGACTCGCAGTTATCATCAATTTCCTGAAGATTCAGTTTACAGAATGACACATACCTTTACACTCCTTAGGAAAATTCATTATGTTTTCGTTGTCGACTGATCCCAAAGATTTACACAGCTTTCCTAAATGTCCCGGGTCTACCTGTCATTAGACTAGACATTTCAGCACAGAGACATCCTGGCTTTTCTGAATCTGAAATATTCCAGGAATTATGAATATCATCTGGGTGCATTATTAATCCCCACAAACTGTCAACACAAACGTAGTTTACACCTTTATTAATGTATATGGTTAATATGAAACGTGGAAACTAAATATACTCACTTTATTTAGATGAAACTTAGTCGAATTTTCATTTAGCCATTTTCCAAGAGTGATGACTTTTCGTTCAGTGTAGATAATATCCGGGCACTTTCAAAATGGCTGCGCCCCTGAAAACAAAATGTTGGGGATTATTTTCACACAAAAAGCGTATAATAAGCATATTTAAACGGCATTTTGCTATCAGAGAAGATCTAACGATATTAGCTAAAGAAGATAGAGAGTATCCGGCTTTTGACGAGATCAAAAAAGGTAGTCTAGATAAATCATGATCATAGATCTATTTTTTTTCAAACTCAATTTTCAATGCAATGGTTAGACTCAGTGATGGATGCCAATTTCACCTTCGATGACCACTATATTAAGCTGGAATCGTTTGCCATTAAAATTGATCATAGAAATGGAGTGTTGCCTGTTGTTTTCTGGATGTTCTCATAGAGTTTGATCACTGATATCGCAGGCCATCACACTGTCCCGCAATTTGCGTATTTTTCACACATTTGCTGAAAAATTTGAAGTCATGCCAGTTTGTTTTTTTTCGTGACAGAATATGTTGCACGCAAAGAAGCATTTTCATGAAACATTTCATTCAAAATGTGGGCAAAGGTGTTCCAAATAACATGGCAGAGAAGCTTCAAAATATAAGAGGCTTCACAGAATAGCCAAACTAGAGTCCATTTCACTGCTTCATTTCGTCAGTAGAACGGCAAAAATAAGAAATTGGGAGACCATTGTGCAATAATATATGGAAAAGTATATTCATAATGTACATGACCCAATGGAGACATTTATTTTGGTAAATATAATTTACAGTGCATATTTTTCTGCAGCTTTGGAGAATTTGGGTCATTAAATGTTAAAATTCAAAAAGATATGAATTCTCAATCATTTTTGGTTGATAGTCATGATAGTTGTACATTATCATCACCTGCAAATGGATTTAATGGCGTATTTATTGCTTTTTCCTCTTAAAGATAAGTTGTGTGTTTGTTGCAGAACTAGCTGCGGTTGATGAAGAGATTGCTGCTCGAGTAGATATTGGACTTGAACCTCAAACATTCCGAGCCAAACCTGAGAGTCGCAAAGATTGGAGGAAACGTGTCAGCAAATTAGAGGAAACTGCGAGGCATAGAACATGTATGTTTGCATTTATATTTTCCATTTAAGATTCAATCACCATGATAAACCATGACATCCCATTTCTTCTCAGCATGTTTCAGGTGAAACAGAAAGATGCTATGAGTATCAGAATGAGATTCAACGAAGATTATGAAAGTTCAGAAGAGTAAAATAATAGTGTTGCTGGAAATGAATGACATATAAACGAAGGGTAACATTAGATAGATCAAATGTACATTCATAAACTGATATTAAAACAACTCATCAACACAAATCGCATAATAAGCCATATCAAATTATTTCAGTGAAAATCCCATTGGATGAAGTATCAAAAGAATGGCAGAAAGAGTCAAGTTCTGAACACAACCTACGAATAGCAGATCATTATGGCGTCTACAAGGATCTGTTTGGCTATGCATACTTCTCGCCTGTGAAACCTCTAGCTGTAACATACAATGGAGATAGTAATGAAAGTGTTCCTGTATATACTGGAAATGTTCTAACACCTTCTCAGGTACCCATTCAAAAATATTTTGCATTTGTCCTATATTTGGTGGAGCTAAATGGGCAACAAAGAATGAAATAGAGATAAGTTCAGGATTAAATTAACAGTTCTCATGCCTTTTCCATTAAATGCCTAGAGTTTTGATTTTTATGTCACTAGAGAAGTATTGACATATTGTTAATTTGTTATCGTCTCCAATTTTTTTGTGGATGGTGTTCAGGGGTTGGTGTTTGGCAGTTGGTGTTCCGAGTTTGCAATAAATGACAGGTGGTGACATTTTGCATGTTAATGCCTTGTTAATGCAGTCACTCCTGAATCTGAGGTTCTTAATGCATTTGTGTTTTTTCAGCCAAAACATAAATATAGTAAGAGTTGATGCAGTCTTCTAATAATTTAAACCTACTTCACTCAAAAGATAACACAGTTTTTGTAGATTTCTTATTATCCAATCTAAATAATAAATAAACTATCTTTGAGAATTAAACTATGCCAATTTGTTTCAAAGTTCCTAGATTTTTGAGACTGATTCGGCAGGAATATAGATGCAAACTTTATTCATCGATTTGAATAATTGCTAATTATCCTCCCCTGAGCACATGGTTGTTAAGTATCACTTCAGAAAAAAAATTAGTGAGTATAAGCAGCTCTTGAAAAATATAAATACAAGCATTTACAATATGTAATGTTTTTACATTCAGGCAAGAGATCCTCCTCGTGGTTGATTTTGAAGCTGATCCTGCAGATACATTTACACATATGTTTTTACCTTTAGGCAAGAGATCCCCCTATCGTTAATTTTGAAGCTGATCCTGCAGATACATTTATACATATGTTTTTACCTTTAGGCAAGAGATCCCCCTATCGTTAATTTTGAAGCTGATCCTGCAGATCTATATACACTTGTGCTCTCTAACCCAGATGGTAACCTTATTGACCCCTCTAAAGAAACTCTACACATGTTAATGTGAGTATCATAGTGTTAGTGCAAGGGGCCCTTTCACTATATCTAAGTGTACTATTATTTATTGAAAAAAGACATTTGCATTTCAAAAATGTCTTTCTTGAGCAACATTGAAAGTGGGACAGGCATTTAAATTAAATTGATGACATTTGCAAAATGCAAAAAAATGCAAAATCAACTTTTCAGAGTAAAAATCTGATTTTGAAATAGCTCATGAAATTGTCAGGGTCTTTCTTATTATCCCACTGAACACAGTTGGAGAGGATATATAGAGAAGCTGGGCATCCATTTGGCCATCTGTCCAGCTTATTGATGTTTAAATCAGATTTGGTCCAGACTTTATAGGTTGGTGCCTATTTTGGTAAGATTAAATATGTATTGGTCATATTAGGGATTGGCTTCTTTGGGGAGTTGCTGTTTTTCTTCTTTTTTTCATTACAAGTACAGTATTAAACAATAGGGCACTGCCTTGATTGATATAACAAAGATAATTCTGAAGAATAATGGCGAAAAGCTTTTTGTAATCAACTGTAAGATATTAAGACTCATAAAGATGGCAGGTCATACATTGTCAATAGTGTCTTCATATTAATAGTCCTATTAGTAGTATTAGTCCAGCGGAATAATGGCATATTGAAACTTTTGGTTGCCTTCTAGGATGTATGCTATATCTTTGTATTTTCTTTATCTATAAGTTAATTACTTTCAAAATCAGAACTGTGCCGGACTGGCACTGGTGGGCAAAATTTTTTACAGCATTGTATAGGTGGCGCCCCTTGTAATATGCCCATTTCACAAAATTTTTTTTTTAAAGGGCTGTTGCTCCAGTTGAAAACTTTAACCAATTCAGATCAACTGTATTTAGTCTAAACAACATGTCAAGTTTGTTTCATTACATAGAATCACAAATTTAATGAGATATGCTTGATTTGTTACCCTAGCACCACCTATTTTTAAGGGGTCACTATGTTTAATAAGCATATTTTGCAAACTAAACAAAGTTGTGATCTGAAATTATTCATGACTTTAAATTAACCCATATCAGAGATAGTGTGAAAATATGAGATTTGTCTTTTATTTATTTGAAGAGAAAAAAAATATATTAATATAGACTTCCTTGTATTCAGCAATATTAATATGTATGAAAAATATCACTGTTATTACTGTGAAACATTGAAAAATATAATATCAGCAGATTCTGTGAGTCTATCTATCAAACTAAGCTTATTATGTAAGATACATAGGTTCTTTAAATTAAAATATTTCAGAAAATTATAATGTATACCCTTTTATAGGCGGAGGGGGGGGGGGGTAGATGACATGTTTAAAATGTGAAAGAAACTCATTGTTGACAGTGTAAGTAGGTCATCCCTGTTGTATAAGGGTTAAATCTTAGACCATTTATTGAGAGTGTTACATCTGTACCAGGAACACCATCATTCGGGGGCTACAATACTAGGTAAGCTAGGACAAGTGGCCCCATCATTAAACCTGAAATAGAAACTTGCCTACAGCCCACTTCTTGATGTTAAGCCAGTGGACCCAAGCACAATGTTAACCATCACACATCAGGCAAAGGAGTTGACCCAAACATATAAGCAAGATTAAACAATTTTGAAAATGCACCAGCAGTTGTACAAAGTAGCCACTGATGTCATTATCTGTACCCCAACAACCTTTATTATACAGGGTGGTAAAAAAATGGAAACCCTTACACCATTTTCCTCATATCTTTGTCATTTTAAAAAATAACTCCCAATAACACATTTGTACATCATTCAATTTGCTACCAGCCTACTGAATTTCATGACCATCAGATTGATAGTCACACTTTTACAGCACATTAAAGAACATACCCCAGTGGCCACTTTTGCGCTGTCGGGAAACCTGTACTCCTCGTCTAAAATGTCCCTACCTGTGGGGATATGGTAGAGATAGAGTATATGAGAATGACCTCAGGACAATTGCAAACCTCAAAACTGAGACCATCCGTGTCATTCAGGCCATACCTGCTGAGGAATGCATTCGGGTCATTGATAACTGTGCTGTTTTGTCTACAGCGCGATGATGGCCAAACCCGAGGCATGTTATTCAAAGTGCTGTAAAATTGTGACAATCAGTCTGATGGTCATGAAATATGGTAGAGTGGTAGGAAATTGAATGATGTACAAATGTGTGAAATATCAGGGAGTAATTTTCGAGAATGACAAAGATATAAGGAAAATGTAGGGTTTCCATTTTTTGACCACCCTGTACATTCATCAACGGGCTCTGGGGCATGTACATGCTCATGAGTTTTGTTGGTTGTGTCGGCATCCTAATGTCAGACAGTTGAAAAGTAGAGATAACCAATTTGCTGGGGAAACCAAAATTAACAGGCAAGAATTACCATAACAATGTTCAAGCATTGAGACTCCTTGTTGAAGAACTTTCGAGGCAAGTAATTCATCAGGTAAACAGCTACCAGGAACTCATAGATGTTCTTAACTCTAAATTGTACAGAAAGAAAAACTACAAATGCCAGTATTTATCATGGTGCAACTTGTTAGGGCTGAAAGGTAAGGCAACTGGCTGCTCCATTTGGCTGCTGTTGACCAATCTATGCTGATCCATATTTCTTTGCTGCATGACAATATAACTAGTAAGGACTGTTCTGTCTACGAGACATGGAGAGACTTCCACAGAATGTTGTTGATGAATGTTGTTTCTCCAAGGACAGCATATCACCCGTCATCCCATTTAGAATGGAATCTGGTTAGATGATAAAGACCACTTATTAGTACCAACAAAATGTTCTGCAAAGCAAGCCCAATGTTCTGTTTAAGAACCCCTATTCTTACCTATGAAAATGAATTATAGCAATACATGTACTATCCCACATGAATCTACTTGTTTAGACTCAATCAACTGTTCTTCTGAGAAAATGAGGATTTTAGCAAGGGTGCATTGACTGAACATGGGGAAAATGCCATTGGCCATTGACTTAGAGTGGGGATACCATCAGGTATGTCCCATGTTAGGTCAATGCACCCTTGCTGAAATCCTCAATTTCTCAGAAGAACTCAATAATCTCAACAAGTAGATTTTCTTAAATGGGACATCAATAACAATAGCTATCATTAAGCTTTCAATGGCAGTTTGCAGTCATTGAATGATGACATGTTTAGAGTGAAACAGTGAAACATTGCCTCAACTGCATTGACTTTGGTGGTGATTAATTTGAAGGACTATGAGTTAAAACGTAGTCTTACATGTAAATTTGATATATTTGGAGGAATAACAACATGTAGAAAAATTATAAATTATCTTCAAACACGACTTAAAACAGGGTGCCCCACCTACCCAAAACAATTGTCACCATAGCGACAGCAATAACAATGGAATTGATTCTAGGTCTTGTTTAATAGATTAATATTTTCTACATTATCTGTGAAAATTTCAATGAAATTGAATAAAGTATGAAGAAAAAAGAGCAGTTGGTTACTTGCTTTCTGATCGGGCCTCGTACTCTAGCAACTTGATACAGGGGCGTCAGAAGGATTTCGCAAGGGAGGGGGTTGACTTTTGGACATGGTTGGATCGTGCGTGAAGCGTGGATTGGGGGGGCATGCCCTCAGAAAATTTTCAGATTTAGATCTTCTCTGATGCATTATGAACATCTCAGCACAACATTCCCAATAATACAAACAAGAGAAAATTGAGTTTAAAGAAAACTAGCTTGACTTTGACTAAAATTCTTTGAATTTTACTAATATACATTTTGCTTTTATTCTCCCAAAGTATTTACATACTGAATGGGTTCTTTAGAAACAATGGTACAGAATAACATATGTAAATATATTAATGATAAATGAGATCTTCTATGCTTGATATACACTAAATAATGGCATAGTATCATTTGACTTTAATTAGCTCTTAAGAGCTTTCAAATTCTAGCCTAAAAAAAATCTGGGGAAGGGAGGAGGCGGTCATCCCCAGCGCCCTCCCCCTTCCAAAGCCAATGTTGATATGAAAGCTATCAAGTCATTTGAGCTGGGCCAATGGCACCCATCCCCACCTCTATGTTTGATGAATCTGGTAAACTGAAAACATCAACAAACAAGTATGTTATGAACAGCAAAACTGGAAGTAAAAATATCAATGTAGTATGTGACGACACTAGTGTCTTAATCCTATTGCTCCCCTACTATGAAAAACACCATCTAATTGCTTATGTTACTATGGAGTCTGTGTCAACTTCCAACAAAATTGTCACCTCACAACTTCTTGCTGCCCGCAGCCTGACAGACTGTGACACAACATCTAGTCTTTACCGCATAGGCAAGACTAAAGCAGTTAACACCAGACTTGAAATGCTCCTTTAAGCTGGATTGGAGAAGACCACATACCAATATCTGATGGAAAGACACAGGCTTCTAAATTCACAGCAGCCTGTTATGGTATCAATCCAGTCATCTGATGTTAGATATGCTATGTGGACCAAGAAAAATGCTGCTAGAACTACAATCATTGCCATCTTTAATGATACCCTTCAATGATACCCTTGTTAACGGAATAAAAGCTGACACTCAATGAGCTACAATATCTTTGACAAAGGATGGTGAATTAATTTATTAATGATAGATACAAATTTTTATGAACAGTATTTCAAACCCTTTCATCATCCAGTAACTATCTAGCCTTGCCTGTATGAAGTTAATAAGTATTCCATGTTAAGATCTACTCAATGGCAGAATGTCCGGTAACATAACCCACTCCCCCGCTTCAAACATGGTGGCATGACCATGGGTTATATACTAAACAATTAGTGCTCAATCCTTGATTTCTGTTTTCATGTGTTAAAATTCAAATAGTTACTTCATATAATAAAATGTATTTAAATTCATGATGGTGTTAAGGATAATTTAGTCAAAATAGACTTTTGAATGTAACCTTTTTACAAATTGCATATCGTTTAATATTAGGATTTACTGTAATAACAAATAATTTTTTTCTCTTAAATTATTTAAGACAGAAGCTTTTCATTTTAACACCATCCCAAACATGTTTCAAGTCATATCTATGAATAATTTGAGATCACAATTACGCTTCGTTCAAATTTTATGCCTTCAAAACATAGTGACCCCTTGGAATATATGTGATATCAGGGGGGATAAATGACCAGTACTCTGTAAATATGAAATTTTAGGTAAGGAAAAAAAATAGACATGCTATTAAGGATATATAACAGGTTATACTAGATGGCTTGAGTTAAAGACTTTGCTCAAGATCATTTTAAAAAAATTCCTTAATTAAAAGGGTATTTCATAGGGGGCGCCACCTATACAAGGCTGTACAAAATTTTGCCCACCAGTGCCAAACCGGCACAGTTCTGATTTTGAAAGTCAATAACATATAGATGAAGAAAATACAAAGATATAGCATACATCCTAGAAAGCAACCAGCTCCATCGATTCCGCAGGACTATATACTATAGTTAGTGGTTAAATATTATTGCATCATCAAGCAAAACTCACTGAATATTTTGCCATCTTTAGACAGTCTTCAATACCAATCGGATATTTTACTATTCCCCATATTTCGAATGAAGCACAAATAAGGGCAATATTTGAAAAACCAAATGAAACCCATTTTGATACTTTGACCATGTATGTCAGGGCTAGGAAAGACAGGGCCGTAAGATATTCTCATGATGAACAAACGCTGATACAACTGTAGGTCTTTGGTCTGTCTTCCAGGATTAATTATGTGAATTACAATGGTACATATACGGTTTATACCCAAGAGATATTGTTGCTTAACTTTGGTGGTAAAAAAAATACAATACAATATGATACAATAGATAAGGACAATTTTAAAATGTTCATTATTTGTTATTTGTCTTCCAGGATTAATTATGTGAATTACAATGGTACATATACGGTTTATACCCAAGAGATATTGTTGCTTAACTTTGGTGGTAAACAAAATACAATACAATATGATACAATAGATAAGGACAATTTTAAAATGTTCAATATTTGTTAAGCAAACATATTAAAAATAAACTTCATAATGCAATCCAAACACGTAAACAAAACCGAATACCTGTATTTACTTGTAGTGGTAATATCCCTGGCAATGCAGTTCAAGATGGCGAGACTTTATGTGATTATCTCCAACCTTTCCCTCCTAAAGGTGTTGGCTACCAGAGGCTTGTCTTCATCCTTTACAAGCAGGAAAAAAAGCTTGATTTCAGCAATGAAAAACGACCAGACAGATGGTGAGTAGATAAAAACAATAGTCTAAATTTCATAACAGAAAATCGTCAGTGTACAATTAGCTTAAGAGTCAAAGCAGCAAAAGACGACCAGACAAACGGTGAGGAAAGAGAAGTAATATGAAATAGCCTAAATTCCATAATATGGTCAGTATACATTCGCTTAAAAATCAAAGCATTAAGTTTAACATGAAATAAAGGTAGAACTTTTGGCATTTTAAGAAATAAAGCAGAAACGCTTGTAAACGTGTATTTAAAATGTTATCTTCAGCTGAACTCTATCATTATAAATAAATATGTGATAAATAAAAAAATGCAGGTGTTAAATGAAAGTGCCTGTAATTTTCATTTTCATGAAAAACATCAATTAAATACTGTAACTCAAATTCTAGACACAAGTTGAATAACTCAAAATCTAGGCACAAGTTGGTGTTGCTAATTTAATTAACAAATGAAATAATTAGTTCTGTCGAGACCTTTTGCGTCATTCACTCATGTTTTTATTAACATCATAGTGTCAACAACTACCACTTAGTCTCCCATCTATCCTGTGCCTAGTGTTCCAAGATGAAGTTTCGAAAAGTTCATCAAAGTTATTATATCATCTCAACCCATGTACAGGTACATACTTTATTTTCTCAATATTTCCACACAAATCACCTTGATTTTCTTCATAGTAAAAAATTGCCCCCTTGCTTATTATTTCTTGGTTAAGTTTACATTTGATTCTAGCTACACCATTTGTATCTAATATTACCCGCACTCAGAGTCTAGTTATAAACTACCCTCTGCCTAGTACAGACTATATGACAGTTTAACAGCCCTGCCTGAACCACTGGTGCCATGACAGCCCAGGTCATAAATCAATTCAAACCTATCACGCTGACTGTTTCTCAACCAATCAGCTAGCTGGAAGGATCTTGTGCCAAATGCGTGCTCATTAACTATACGATAATGTCAGAGAAAATGACCATATATAGAGAGCCATTCGTATTTCGATAAGTAACTCTGATTGGCTCGATGAGTTCAGAGATTAGTTGTTAACTGAAAGAGTGAAGCGAAGTCCATATATAGAGAGCCATTCGTATTACGACGACTAACTCTGATTGAGTTCAGAGATTAGTTGTTAACTGAAAGAGTGAAGACGAAGCTCTCTTTTAAGAAGCGAAGTCGAATGTATGCAAAGGGTAATCTAACATTGTAATCCAACATTCTGTTTGATACTGACCATGTTCATTCCAAGAAGAACTTCCTATTTCATAAGACTGAATGGTAACTCATAAAATCAACAGACTAGGATAAAAAACTTATTATCTGTAATTATTGCAGCTTGAAAAAAGTGACTGATTTATTAAAATATGTTAAATTTGATGGGATGATGGAGACTATTTGCTAGCAATGTTTTTTTACAATTGAACTGCGAACGCAAAGTCCACGAACCAATAGAGTAGTGTATAGTGCGCATACAAAACAAGCGATAATTAGTCTACTTCAGATACTCGATCAGCTTTAGAGCTGTGTTTAGAACGGAAGATTTGCAATTTCACTTTGGTGGCAACAGGAATCATTATGGTCATGCCTTTTGAATACTATCCTGGCAATTTTGATTTTGATGCACAGTATTATACTTTCTGAAGAAAATGATGTACACATGTATGTCATCCATGTTTTAGCTGCAAATATCTTATGAAACGAGCATGTTTAAAATATGTATCATAGAAAACCAGCTGTATAACTATCAATGGCATAGTACACGATGATGTGTAGTCTAAGTAACGGACTAAGTAAACACTGTAACCGAATGATTGTTTTATGCGAGAAAACTACATGCATTTGTATAGGCAATTTACATGTACAGGTTTCCGTTTCAATTTTATATGCATTGCTTAAAGTCTCCATTAGTCATAAAACTACTCCTTGGATTTAAGATGTTTCTTGTGTTATTCTGATAAATAGATAAATGTTGCAGATAACAAGTTGATATAATTGTTTTACTAATGGAGCCTTGTTAAAAGAACAAAATCACCACACAAATTGGGCCTCATTGGCTGTCATATACAATTTTAATGGTCACAGACGGTCATAACATTAAAGACACTAAAAAGTGCATTGAAGTATAGCTAGTTCTAGTCCAAATTAATTGAGTTGTTTTCGAAAAATGAGAGACCTCCCCGAAGTTGCAGTAAGAGACACCAGTTCATAACAAGTAATAATTAAAGCAGTTTTTTATGTGGTTTTTATTGAAATATAATCATTGCATTGGGTTTTGGTAAACAAGACTCAGTGATTATCATTCACACTATTTTTAGACAACAGCATGAAAGTAAATTGAAAGATGATACTTTGTTCTCATCGAATTTTCATGCACATAGTAATTTTGATTCCTCTCTGAGTCCCATGCAATGTATAATCAAGATATGCTGTGAAATGATACTAAAACAGCAAATCTGTAAACCCGAACACCTAATCCAAACACCTCCCAATTTGAACACTTTTTTCTGGGACCATTATTTCGTTCCATTAATCCCATGGTTAAAGAAACTTTGAAATGTGAACACCTTCCAATGTGAGCATTGAACAGTCATATTTGAAAAATAACCTGTTTAAGCACTTTTCCCAAAATTCCTCAAATAATTTTTTCTAATAATCGCTGTAGATCAGATTATCACATAAAAAAACATTTTTTTAAAGTTATTCGAGAACTGATGTTAGTTAGCTTCTGATCTAGTTGTTCAGTCTGTGGACTTTTGTAGGGCCTATGATCTGATCTAGATGTTCTGTTTATGGTTCAAATACTGTAGATTGGGTTAATTTGGCGCCCGCTTTAATTTGGCGAATTTGGCGAAATTGAATAATTCGCCAATATAAATCTTCGCCAAAATTTTGAATAATCCCCGGGAATTATCTACGGTATTTCGTCCAGTGTATTGAGGTCACTCCAGGTTTAGTTTTTTCCAAAAATATGAAAAAATGTCTCTCATAAATTGGCTCAGAACTGGTCGGTCACTCATTAATACTCAGGGAAAAACTAGAAAGGAAAAGCGCGGTATAGAAGCAGCATCGATCAAGGTGCAAAATGTAAAGGATGATCTCACAAAAATGTACAAACGTGGTGAATATCGCCAGTGGTCCTCAAAAGAAAAAATGAACATAGCCAAACATGTCCATTTACATGGTAATTTGCAAACAGCGCGTAAGTTTAACATTGCATTAACATTTTTTTGCTTATCCGCCAAATTAAGTAGCCGCCAATATGCCAAAAATGGCAAAGTCGCCAAATTAAGTAGCGCCAAATTAACCCAATCTACAGTATACCTCATACATGTTTTGCTTCTTCAGCTTTTTCTTGTTGTCTAAAAGAAAGGACCTATTGTGCCCAGGACTTATAGATGATCGGGCTTAGATGTTTTGTTAATGGTATAGTTATACCTCCAGTATGTGTTGTCTTTCAGCATTAGCCTACAAGAGAGGACCTTTTGTACGCAGGACTTCTACAGGGCATATGAGGATGATTTGACTCCTGTTGGACTCAGCTTCTTTCAGACTCAATGGGAAAAGAATGTCACGGAGGTCTACCATAATATATTAGGTAGGACTTTTTCAACCTCTGTTATATAAAGACCTGTACCCGCATTCGAATTCCCCGACACCTCCCCCCCTTGACATAAATTCTTTCAAAATCATGCAGTTTTCACCATTCTGAGCACCTTCCAAGTGATTTTGGCCATTTTGGAGCCAAAATTGTTTAAATTGGACCCCCCTTAGATTTTTTTGAATTGAACCTCCTTGGCAAATCCTTGCTACAGCCCTGTATACTGTATAAGTGGTATTTAATCCGAGTGGTTAATTTTCCGAATGGTCTAATTTCATCATTTTCCTAATTTTAAATTTTCTTAATGACAAGAAACCTCCCATTGGATGACATTAAAAGAAAATATTTCCAACATTTAATTTTCCGAACCTGGCAAAAATTAGGAAAAAGGCAAATTAAATGATTAGGCAAAATGACCACTTATACAGTATATGTATGGTTAGGTGCGGTGGTTCAAACCATTTATTTAGTTAGTAGATCTATGGTTTGAACATAAAAATAAAAGAATAAAAGCTCTGAAGGTTTGATTATTATCCCATCGAACGAAGTTCGGAGGGATATAGGGAACGCCTCTGTCCGTCCGTCCGTCCGTACGTCCGTCGGTACCGTCCGTACGTACATCCGTCCGTCCGGGCAATAACTCAAATACCGTTGGCCCGATTTTGTTCATATTTTGTACACATATACCCTATGGGGGTAGAAGTTCTGCTCGAAAGCCAATTTTCAAAATGGCCGCTCATTTAAAAATGGCGGCCATTTCAGTGCCGATTTTACAGTAATTTAGGTGTAATACGTAAAACTGTAATAGCAATATGTTTTAAATGTAAAAAAATTATATAGGACATTAATAAAGCTAGAAATGTAGATATTAAAGAAGCACATGGCAGCCATCTTGAAAAATGGCGGCCTTTACTCGTTATTTTACGATTTTTGCTGTAACTCGAAAAGTAGTGGCGCGATTTTGTTCATATTTGGTGTGTGAATACTACAAGCATGGCACACTGTCTAATGACACTTTTGGTAGAAGGTGGCCATTTTGAAAAATGGCTGCCATTTTTGCTATATACTTTGTTTGTAAATATGCCAGCCATGGCTGTTCGATGGGATTTGCTACGCTTTGGCGTTGCTGCGGTCTAGTATTTACAAGAATTAAAGCTCAGATGTTTCATGAATGGAAGTTTTAACATTTGCTTTCATCTTTTGAGAGTATTATCTTTGAGTATACATGTATTTTTTTTGGATCAAAGCTCAAAACTCATAACTGAGTAATTTGTGCCGAATATAAGCTTTCACACGGTACTTACTCACTGGGGCGTATCGAAACCAAAACGCCCCGCAAAACCATTAAGAATTTCAAACCTACCCTTTCTTTGGAAAATCAATGATTGTGAGTCTCATAGTACACCGTTTTTCTTCAAAATTGTTCTATGAAAACCCTTACAGAAATACCTTTCAGCCGAGACATTGCTTTTGTGTACACTGTACAGAGTATAGAGAATATTTTTCCAGAAGGAAATTTGTAGCCTTGAATAACCTTTGAGTATACTTTCAGAAATGAAAGCCCCAGAGTTTGAGTATGACTGGCCTGTTGAGTACCATCCTAAACAAAAGAAATATCCACTGAGGGAACCTTTCAATAAGTGAGTATTTCACAATGTCTTTTAAAGATTTTTATCTCATGTTTAACAGCATTAAGATGTACATACAATGACGATACAACATAGCAAGGTTTTTAAATTACAATACAATACAATGCAATGCAATAATACAATACTTTACAGGTTTTGTGCCAAGGACACTTAATCCTACAAGTATACTGTAGAATATTTTGCCAACAATACCACAGTTTTCGTTTAACATCGGAGCCCTATTTTGCTTAGTGGATTGATTAAAAATTTTCAGGAAAATTTCTCAGTAAGAAAATCTAGAAGTGATTAATTCCTTTTTGGCATGGTGGGTAATATCGTCATTTTAAATGATTCTGGGTTCAAAAACAGTTTTGGTTCCTTCTCATTCATCAAAATTAGCACAAGTACGTATATCTTTAATGTGATGTTCTTTTTTCCCTGATGAACCTACAGTGATTGTCGACATTAGGGTCAAACATGACATCACAATCAGATTATCAGAACCTTAGATGCACTTGAAAATATTACTTCAATTTCAATTGCAGAATTAAGTCTGAATTTTCCTTTAGAAATCGAAACAATTCTAGAACTCTGTCTCTCGCTAGATCTGATTCTGCCTATGAATTGAATTTCTATAGAAAAAAGACCATAATTTATGTTATGTCAATTTAACAGTTTACATAATGATAACTGTTAAAGTGACATGACTTTTCGCTTTGGAAAAATCATTAAGATTTGTCAGTAGTAGATGATATTCCAGTTCGAATTCTTACAATCTATTTGAGGTTGAATGACTGAAATTGTGTAATGCAAAATATGATATCGCATCTTTAAATGATAATAATTAACTGATAAATACATAGCAATTAGAGATTTGTGACGTTTCATGCCTGCCATTTCGCCCACACATATAAATGCCCATATCATTTGCCTCTCATTATTAACAAATCCTCAGTGTAATTCATTTGTTATTTGCCACTATGGAGATTGAACGCTGATAATAATCATGTTCGAACTTTTATCAAACAATGGAGATATTGGTTTGCTGTTTCTTTTAATATGATCTCCTCACTTGTCAATAGAATAATTGTCTGCTGAAGACACAAAACATTTTTTACTTTCCTTTCTTTTTTTTCTTTTTTACTTTCCCGCCCTCCCCATACCCATGAACAAAACAATGACTGAACTGCGTGAATGATACTAAACTTATTTCAAGTAAATCAAAACAGGTCAAATACTTACTTTATGAAAATAACCTAACTACAGTATAGAGTTTCAGAAATCAGGCTTGTTATAAGTTTCAATCTCACTAGTATAACTCTTGATTGTATGTCAGCTAATGTGACAACCACCCCCCCCCCCCATCCTCTTCCCAAATTACCACCAATAGCCATCTATATGATCAATATAATTAATCCCCTAATGTAACTTTGCATGTAACTGCCTAGGCGATTGGTAGTAGATATTATGTGTATATTTGATTGCGGAAGAAAATAAATACTGTAATGCTCCTGTGCACGCTCGCCCGATGAGCTGTAGTACACAACAAGCCAGATACTAGACATGAAACATCAATGCCCCTTACAGGAATCCAACCTAAGTCCCCTCCACTCAGAGTCTGGCACTTTGGTCAGAGGAGTGAGCCAATACAGCTGAGACTGTAGTAGCGATTTGCGATTGAGGGTCATATGTTAAAAATTGTTGCCATGAATCAGCATTAAGCTAAAGATATTACCATTAACATCAAAGATCTTTTTGAAAAATCTAAAAAAAATTGTTTATATTTCATAACTATATACCTGATCAGTGACATTGCTTCTGTTTTGCTTTTAAATATTATCACCAATCATATTGCCACAGTTAGAATTGAAAATTACTTGGCTGTAATAGTGATTATAGATACCAGACTTTTATCAATTATCCTGCTCTTATATAAATCAGGGGGTTGTTAACAGAAACTTCGTAAAGGACCAGGTATAGTATGGCACGTGATTTTAGACAGTCATATCTTTTACCATGAGTACTTTTTCAATATATATATGACATTTCTCATTAACACAATACTGGTATGTTATCTTTCAAGTAAATTCTCAAGGATAATAAAAATATCAATCAGACAATTAGGAAAATTGTGAATAGGGACCCATGACATCATTTTTTCAAACTTATTAACACAAAAGAGGATCTTTTTTATTATTTTTATTGCATGAAAAGATTATTCAACAAGGGGTCTAAAACTTCTTCAAAAGTAGAATGGTATTGAAAATCTTGTTTTGAAGATATCAATTTCGATGACCAAAATTATGCTGAAAATAATTGATATCATGAGTTTTCCCTTTGGGGAAATAACATGGGAAATGTGGTTTATAACTTTCTTGCATTCTGAATACTCATTCCCTTTTCAGAAGTTTTTAATTGTAGATGAAATCTTTGATATATTAATTGAGAAAAAGAAGATCCTCTTTTTAGAAAAAAAGTCTAACATTTTTAAGTAAGTCACTAGGTTGGGTCGTAATCCATAATTTTTTTGATTGATATTTTTACTATCACAAGGACTTCACTTGAAAGTAAATATATTCTTTTAATAAAACCACTGAATTTATGGCCAGAATGTATTCATGGTGTAAGATAAGACTGTCCAAATCACTTGCCATACTATATTTGGTCCTTTATGAATTTGTAATCAATTGTTGTAACCATGGATACAATGAGGTGAAGTGAGAGAATAATTTCTGTTAATAGCCCTCAGATAATTATTTTGTTTTTCAAATGTATTTGAATTTCGATAATTGTTTTGTTTTTGATAACAAAAAAAGATGAGATAAAGTGAGTTATTTCATAACATAGTATATTTGAATTTCGATAATTATTTTGTTATGTCCCCACCACAAAGTGTGGGGCTATATTGTTGGCCTAGGCACGTTCGTATGTCTGTCCATCCACCTGTCTGTATGTCCGACAGTTCTCTCCAAAATCGCTACAGATATCACCTTTAAATTTCAGGGATAACTTATGAGTGGATACAGATGAGGTAGAAATTTTTTTGACACGATACCTACTTTCTGTTGACCATTTTGAAGTCAAATGCTATTTTGTCTGCCAACTTTAAAAAAGGCTTCACAGTTGCTTTAAAACTTTAACATCTTCTTTAACTCACTTCATTCTACATCTGATTAGTTATGGGACATGTCTTGAATGTCTTAAGAAAAGTCAGGGAACGATAATACTTTCTACAATATTACTGTAGATTGGGTTAATTTGGCGCTACTTAATTTGGCGATTTTGCCATTTTTGGCATATTGGCGGCTATTAAATTTGGCGGATATGCAAAAAAATGTTAATGGAATGTTAAACTTACGCGCTGTTTGCGAATTACCATGTAAATGGGCATGTTTGGCTATGTTCATTTTTTCTTTTGAGGACCACTGGCGATATTCACCACGTTTGTACATTTTTGTGAGATCCTTTACATTTTACACCTCAATCGATCCTGCTACTTTTCCCTGAGTATAAATGAGTGACTGACCAGTTCTGAGCCAATTTATGAGAGACATTTTTTTATATTTTTGGAAAAAATAAACCGGAAGTGACCTAAATACACTGGACGAAATACCCTAGATGATTCCCGGGGATTTATTCTAAATTTTGGCGGAGATTTATATTGGCGAATTTTTCAATTTCGCCAAATTAGCCAAATTAAAGCGGGCGCCAAATTAACCCAATCTACAGTAATAATAAGGTCAAAAAACGTGGAGATGTTGTCCCTTGCTCAAAGTGCTAGAACAAAAACATGAGAAAAAATATTTTAGTCTGGTTAAAGGTCATTCACTTGGAGTTCAAAATATTTTTTGTGTTATTATTTAGGCTTTTATTTTTTTATTAATTCTATTAACGATCATTCACTTCAGCCACAGTTAGATTTCTTCTTGTTATTTTTAGTTTTTTTATGAAGTTTAATAACAATCTTCCACCAGAAATAAAAATCATTTTCTTGTTATTATTAAGGTTTGTGTTCATTGTTGTAGAACAAAGCAATCTTAAACATCAATTTCCGCAGCCCACAAAGCTAAAAATACTCTCATTCAATTTCATAGTCTTTAACATTTGGTCATCTTGTGTTTTTGCGAATATTTTTTAAATGTGAATACATTTAAGCACAATGTATTCCCTTTATTGATATCTCGCTTAATTGAGTGATTCAATATGCCGGTTCTCTTAAAAATTGCAGCCATTATACAACTGTCACTTGGCACACCCCCAAAATGCAATCTGATTTTCGACGCCGTTTTCTTTGCCAAATTTGGTGCCAAATTTGGTTTCGGTGCCGGAATGTTGCAGAAACAGTGCCGGAACAGAGTTAAATTTTTTCGATGCCGAATCAGCGCCGAATTATATTGGCTGTGTATCTTCAATAGGATTTTGCTACACCTCTTACTGAATTTCATCATATTCTTTCTGAATGAGGGTTGATCCAAACTGCATTGTTTACTCTAAAGAATTATTTCTCTGTGTGATTTTGTGATGATTTTTGGTCACCTGTCTTAATCTTTCTCAGAAAAATATGTTCAAGGCAGAATCACAGATTCACAGATCATAGAGTATATAGGATGTGATACTACTCGTTCAATTGATCAACTAATTTATTTTCTGTATTCTTTACCCTCAAATATACCATCTTCCAAAATATTCATTGAACGAAGTTCGAGGGGATATAGGAAATACGTCCACAGCAATCAAATCAAGACAAAGAAAGAAGACAACGAGTGAAGACACTGATGCAGCAGCAACAAATGACGTCCGTCCGTCCATCCGTCCGTCCATTTGTCTCAAATACAGATTGACGGATTTGATTCAAATTTTATGGGCTTATGCCTTATGAGGGTAAAACCTCTGCTCATATTCTTTCATGCCGTATTCATCCTAATTAAACCACATTGATTTAAAACTAGTATCTCTCTTTCAGATATTTAGACCGCTACAGATGTAGAAAGGACATTCAAGATGAGGTGGCTAAAGAGAGACTACGAATGAACGATCCATTTCTTGGAGATAAAAAACAATACAAATATCCATTGGCAATTGATTCTGCAGGAGACCCCACTGCTCCCGATCATCCATTTTGGATTAGAGAGCGCGAGGCTTTGAAGAAATTAAGAAGAGGATATTGGAAGGATTTGGAGAAGAAATGATAAAAAGGGCAAATAGGCAAAATTGTTTTGAAAATATGACACCCTCCACACCAAGGTTTTTGCATTGAATTTCAACATTGGTTAATTTTATCATAGGGCTACTTTGTCAGTGAGGCTACTTTTTGAGTAGGCCATTTTTGTTTTAGAAATTAAATTTGAACATGGGCTTTTAACTAGAAAGCCCATGATTTGAATTAAGAATATAAAGTATCTAAATCCAAGATGGCTGACTTTTGATGTTTGGTGATAAAATCTCCAATCCGTACTACCAGGACGTTGTTTTATATACCGTATCCATCAGAAAATAATCATTTTTTTCTCTCCTTTGTTAGTATCGCATATTTACATGTAATGTGAACTTGTGAAGTTAGATATTATACATACACATGTATTTAAAAATTTACAATATTGTTCATATTCTTTAAGGTATGATAAAGGAAAACTAGAGCCCCCTCTCAATCCTGTGTTATAACTTTTTCTGTAAGTAGTGTATGATGCTCAGTTTCTAAATCTGAACATAGAGTGCACCATTATAGATATTTCAGAAAAACCTTATAACTTTCATCGAGGCTTTGATACAAGATTTTTTTTTACATGATACCTACTCCAAGGGGGGAATGGGACTGCGAGGGAATTTTTCAAAAAATGGGCTGTCAAATTCTCTATCCTGGGAGCAACGTTGTGAGTCGATTTCAAAGATTTCAAATTTTCAGATTTCAGATTTTAAAGTATGATGAAAAAATCCCCTCCTTGGACAATATTAAGTGTCGAATTCTCGAATTTAGTTTCCTGTTGAATGTGGAGTCTTGCATCATACAAATGTAATTTTAGGTAATCTGTCTGCACGGGATGTACAATTGTCCATTGTATTATGATATTCTATTTTTATTAAAGAACAACAGTGTGTGTATTACTGTGTATTACTGTGTAATATAGTGCATTTCATGGATATAATTATCTTCAGGATGTTACAGGTGGTTAATTGTCAGGCTTATAATTATCTCATCGAACGAAGTTCGGAGGGACATAGGGAACGCCTCCCGCCTGTCCCTACGTACGTCCGTCCGTCTGTCCGGGCAATAACTAATAAATATTTAACAAATTTTTCAAAGTGGCCACAACTTAAAGTTGTACTAAAACCAATTAAAGAATCTCTTATTATCTTGTTTTTAGCACAAATAGCATCCCTTTTGTTATGTTGCCTTTAAAGCTTGTGCTATTTCCCCACACAACACGATTTATTAAGATAAGACTGTCAACCTCTGAAATGTTGTTATTTTTGCGCACTTTTTGAGGTCACCTGACCATGACGTACCGTGTGCCAAGTTATTCTGGCGCTAAATCGAAAAGTTGTTCTTGCAAGCTACTACTAAGCCTGAACCAAAGTGGAAATAAGTTTCACATTCGCACGCATTCCAATAGCTAAATAAATATTTCTAATTGATTGAACTTCACAAAAGTTTATTTCGATTATTTTTTATATAACGCATGGAAACTAACTTTAAAAAGTGAGCAATGTCATTAGTATTGTGATAATAACGTCCCTTATACCTATTTATTACAGGTCGTGTAGACCATTGTTGCCCGATTTATAGCAAAAACATTGACTTTTGCACGTTGGTGGTGATGCGCCTTTCTTAATAGATCTCATATCTTAGAAGAGTATCAGTTCAAAAAAAATACTAGATGACCTAACATATTTTGACATGCACTGCGCCTATTCATTTGGCAATTCAGTTGTAAATTTTCTCTTGAAAAAATAAATCTTCCAAATTTGTTGAGTTTTCTTCCAGAAATCGTCTAATCCCCTACATCCCTTTTGTACGATCACCGGGTGTGAAAGTACTATTGCACTTTTAAGTACTTTAAGGTACATATATCCTGGATTGACTATACCAGTGATTGTTTCAAGGTTATATAATTTTAAATAATCAAGGTTAGTGACCTGACGATTATTGGCAACATGTACTAATGATCGAAAAGCAAATGTTATGATAATCACTTGCTGAGGAATTAAATTAATTTGAAAATAAACTTAAAGTAAATTGTTTTGAGGTTATAAAAATGACCATCTAAGCACTAAAGTGACAATATTATTATTATTGACTGATGTACTGATAATATAATACTGATATAATGTACTGATAATATGTACTGATAACCGAAAAACAATTGTTATGATAATCATTGGCCGAGGAATCGATTTAAAGTAGTTGTTCACCTGAAGTCCTAACAATTTCTCTATTTTAAAGTGTATATTTTTTTGAAATGACCATGATCTTTATCATTTTTTAGCCATAAGTATTTCATTTATTATAACATTCCATTTTTTAAAAAGCAAGTGCGATAAAACGGGAGAATGTACACGTTTAGAGCAGCGATTTATGCTTCATAATCAAACAAAAAAGTACCCTGCCCACAGAGTCTAATTATAAACTACCGAAGTCGAAGGAATGCAAAGGGTAACAAAAAAGTCGACTTTTTTATTTGAAGCTGGAAAACATTTTGATCACCCATATTAGGGAATTGGAGAGTATTTTATTAACAGACAGTATTATTTCCAAAACTGAAATACAGAATTGTGCAACAACTCATCAAAAATATTTATCAATAGGCTATGTTTAGTAAAAAAAATCAAAAATGCGATGTCACGAAATGTATATATCCCAACACTGAGCACTCGTAAAATCATTGCTCCTGTGACAGCCGTGAATGGGTAAACAACTACTTTAATATTATTAATAATGAAGATACCCCATAGTGAGACTCTCTGGTCAATTTACACTAGGCTGTCCTTATTTTGCTTAAATTAAGGTAGTTTTACGTAATGTTGATCGATACTATTAATAGTACATTTGGGTTCATTCACCACATTCAAATTTTCTCAGTTAAACAGGTAAACAAGGATTAAAATTCGATAAGATCAATGCACTTTTAGTTTTATCTACATATTGCTCAATAATTAAATTATACAATGACTTAGTTTAGTAACCTCAGTAAGTTCATTCACCCCCTGACAGCTTTGACCACATGATAAGATTGTACTGTATTGGATAATACACGATCTGAGACTATTTGTCGTATTGCTTCAAGCGCTGTATGTCAGCCTCTTGAAATTACCTGGTAGATTTTGTAAGCATTTTTTCAATTTTTTGCTCCCATTATTTTATGGCACGTCCATTTTTAAAAGAAAAACAAAAAAACATTTCTGACTTAATTTCAGAATAATATATGATATATATTATATATATTATCAGCTCTATTATGTGGTTATCTATATGATTATCTATAGCTCTAAAAAATCGAAATAAAAAATTCTATTGAATTTAGACATTTATATACGATATCTTCAGTAATACGATTGTGAATAGAAAGAGTGACATGATTTTTCCTTTCCTGTTAATGTCATTGAAACTGTATTTTTGAATTGTATCTGCACTCTCAAAACATGGAACCATCTTGCCAAAGCAAGAAATCATGTTTTAAAGAAACGTGTCCAGAGGGAATCAAATCCATTCAAACCAATTATACAAAAAACGATATTGTTTGTTGACAAAGTAACCATTGATGGTGTCGAATCTTCAATCCCATACTTGGACGTGTTTGGGGAACATAAGACACGAGGGACATTTGTAAAAATGTAGCCGCACGTCTCGGCAGAGAGGTAATTTTAGTCCAAGTATATCTGTCCGCCATGAGAAAATTTGAAAAACTGTTTTCGGAAAAAAAAATTTGATGAAAAATATACTTTCTTATAGTCTATTCAAGATATTTGTATCGTTCAATGGCCTCGGCAGCTTAGAGGTAGATACATAATTTTGACCTCGGGATAATCCCAATATCCTGAACCTCATATACTAGATAATCTATAAACGTCCCTTGGGCAAATAAAATATCGACTACCTATCCCACATATGGTTATTGTAAACATGAGGATTCGCTATCCTCTGATACTTATGGATATTAAAAACCTCTCGGTGTGATTTCGACAATCCCGAACACCAATTTACTCTTTCTGTTCCACGAATGGTATTGCTTTTTGAAACACCCTCGTACACATCAAAAGTACAACAGGAAATAAGCAAATATTATTGGTCTAATAATGTTTACGAGCTTGGATTGCATCGACAATCTATCATGCAGGTATACTACAGGTGGCTAGAACCAAGAGTATATAAAGACCCTCCGGAGCATCGGTATTCATTATGTTGTCTGCATGCAGCCGCATCAACCTACTCTCAGATAGCATACACATTACACAATGTCTGACGACAGCGCCGATCGCATTTTAAAGAAGCAAACATATGATACTGTTACAGATATTGGGAAAAATGAAAACATAAGACAAGATCTACTGACACCTTCTCGCGTGAAGATATACTTCGAATCCCCTACTGAGAATAGAAGGTACGTTCTGTTTGTGTTATTTTTATGATTATGCAATGTATAAAAAATGATTTGAAATGTCTACGTTCTGTATTCCTTGGAACATTTTCCAAAGAGCTATTTATCGAACAAAAACTTAAACAAAGAAATGTTGGGTTATTTATCAATTCATCACTTTTTAAATAAAAACTGACACATCACATTTTTGATGATTTTAAAAACAATTCTAAAATAAAAGTGAATGAGTTGTTAAGAAAAGATAAAATGTAGCTTATAAATAAAATACTTATGATAAAAAACAAAACAAATGTAGCGATTGGCCTCTATGAAAGCCCTTTTTCATGATAAGCCCATGCCTTAACACAACAAGCTAGGCAAAGTCACGAAGACCAGTACAAAATACCAAGAGTTCTTTGATCCCATGCCTAGTGAAGTTTCGGGTAAAAAAATTGTGTTTGAATCTACTGTCACTATCAATAAACTTCATCCTCCTAAGGTTTAGTTTTTAAGTTGTTTTTTAAGTTTAAAATAGTTTATTTTTGTGTCACTGATATTACAATATACATATAAAATACATAATGAAAATAACATTTTGTAACATCACCAGCCGGTGCCGACTTATGAGACACAGTATACATTACATCTGAGTGTCACCCATTACTACCCCCAATGGGCAGCTTGGGTCAACATTCATAAAGACAGAGAAGAAAATGTCTCTGGTAAAAATTTATACATTGATAACCAATGATATAAATTCACAACTCTGATTAATCAGTTTGGCATAAATAAGCAGTTCATGGAATCATATTGTCAATCATTATATTTAATTCATATATTGCACCTAATGTGTATGGATATTGCATAATAAATACATATATTGCACTAAATGAGAGTAGCATGTTGCATATGGTCAAAAATTACAATAAATACATATATTGCACTTTAGTCACCGGTTGGCTGATACATTAGTTATATGATGCTTGGTTCTGGATATGTAGTATATCCCCGGGGACAATACACTTCCTGTCGTCAGTAAGATATCAATATTTTTCCTCAGGATATACCACATATCCAAAACCTCCCATTCATAACCCTCATTTGTGTAATATCTCTACAACGTTCTTCGGATCGATTTAGAGTCAGTTTAATAAGCTACTACATTAGATCTTTTATTTGAATGAAGCTAATAGTCAAACTATTGGATTTTAGTGATAATTATTTTCTACTATAACATAAAATCAACAAAGCATTTTGTTGCCAATATTATTTCATGGTAAGTACTAATCCTTACATTTCCGTCGATATCTTATAACTTTGTCAATTATTTAGTATACTAAGTACTAAGGTACGTATTTACGGAGTAATTCGGAAAGGGAAAGAGTGGATCAACTTTGGGAACCAAACGAAATGTTATTCCAATGTCTACTCAGTTATAGAGTAGCATTTGAAACATTTATAATAAAAAAATAACGCAAAACATCACTCAGTTCGTTTTGGAACCGCGTTTAAAAAGCCATTGTTCATCTAAAAGTTGCAGTTGTTTTTTTATAGCGAGAAAATTACTATCATGTCAAGATATGTACGATTAGCATGAAGCTTCATTGAATTATACAGCAGTTAAGTTCTGAATTATTCAAACTTTCTATAAAGAAGCTGAGTAAACGAAGATAATGGAAGATGGTGATATTCTAATCCTAAAGTTATCGGGGCGTAGCACTTGGTGCGTTGGCGTTAGGGACGGGATATACCTTACTATCCTACACTTAGTGTATTAAATCTATGTAATAACATTGAAAAATAAATTTGATATTAAATGGCAAAATGAATAAACAAGAGGGGGTAAACCCCCAGTGTTCAGAGATGACATACGTCTATACAAATGTATATTTAGATGATATCTATATCGATGATATCGTTCGCTTCGCTCTCTCGTGCAGATCTTGATATCACCTCGTAGATAAATATGATATTCCTCAAAATCATAGGATTGTAATGACCCGAGGGCGCCCTACAGCCCTATGGGAATGACTCTAACGAGTATAGTGTAACAAGCCAGATAAAGAAATTGAAAGAAAGTGTGCTAAATTCAATGCCCAGCGTAGGAATCGAACCTAAGACGCTTGGACACAAAGTCTGATGCTCTACCGTCTGAGCTATAAAGGCTTAAGCCACTACAGCTGGACTGTAGTAGCAACTTGCTATCAAGGGTCGTTACAGGATATCTTACAATTTAGCTATCCATGAATCAGTGATACGGAATAACCTCTGAGTCTGATTCATATTGATTTGCATTTTGCTTAGTCTGTCTTGCATCTATAAATCTAAACAATAAATGTATACATAAACTTTATATTTTCAACTTCTGTAACAGAAGTCTGCGCCACAAAGTTTATAGGACGTCAATGATAACCATACAAGCTGATACTGCCCCAGTTATAAGAAAGTAGTTGAAATCTGAGGCAAGGTAATGAAGTAATAAAATGTTTAAAATCAATTTTTTGTTATATCCATCATTTACCCATCTTTTCAGCTTTATTCATATTTAAAGTATATGTAGATGTACTTAAGCAATTAAATTGAATCAGTTAAATAATTGGTTCCGTAGCCGGGTGGTCGAGGGGTTCGACCAAAATTTCCTACAAAATCATGCAGTTTTTCACCATTTTGAGCACTGTTTGAGTGTTTTTGACCCCTTTTGGGCCAAAGTAGTCTCAAGTGAACACCTCTGAATTTTTTTAAAAAGTGACCCCCCCCCCCCTCCTTGGCAAATCCGGGCTACGGGCCTGGGTTCCTATCCATAAAGTAAGCTATACAAATGAACAATTCAGTAGACAGAGCGACATTTTCAGCTATACCAGATTCCCAGGGCATTTTATTTTACGGAATGAAAACTGAGATTCTATGAATAATTTATGTAAGATGTAAGATTTAATTCTTCAATAATTCTTTAAGAATTGTATCTCCAGGGAGTGAATCACTTTTTTAATTATCCAATGAATTTGTACTTTACTTCAATGTTTTCATGAGCTAAAGAAGGTGCTATAATTGCTAGCTACTTGTTTAAGTACTGCACGAAACAAGGACTGAATATGTATATACTATATATATAGAAGTTATTCACCAGGAGGGATTTGATATTGGGAATATCAATATTTCCCGAGGGAAGCAAAATTTTGAAAACTGAAAACTTTTGAAAAAATGAATAAAATTTCAATAAATACCCGGATTGATATCCATATCATCCCTCTTATCCTGATATCATCCCTGTTATATACCTGAAATAACAACTACAGCAGCAACTACATGTATAGACTACAGATGGAGTTATACTCTTATTACAATTAAAATACGTCTTTTAATCAAACTTACTATGGCTTTTACTTCCTAGCACTGAGAACTATTTCATTTCACGCTACGGGATATTCTAATGAAACTTCTCCGTTCACGCTGCTAAGCCGATTCTTCTTGTAATCAAATGTGCCATACCAATTATTACTGCTGCGACAACTGTTAAACCTCGACACACCCTTTAGGCAAGGGCAGATTGGGACAACATTAGAAAAGAGGAGAGATAATTCACAGATGAATTCCGTTGTATTCCCATACTTCTCCTACAGCCATTCAAGGAGGATTGGCTCCCATGATTCCATCTCGATATTCTGCTATATATAGAGTCATGTCGTGATTAAAAAAAATTCGAAATCGAACAGCCGCCATTTTCGATGTTGTCGTCGAATATCAAGTTGGAGGTCTTGGAGCCAATACTCCTTGCAGTCATAGTAACGTGATTGCACATGACGTCATCGGGTAATTTTTGTTATTACCTGAACGTTTCTGTCTGCCACTTTCCCGGGGGCACTTCACTGTCAGATTATATGAAGCAAGCTAGACAAAAACAAAAAAGTAGGGTATGCCAAGTTCGATAACCTGTGAGGGATTCGAACCCGAGTCCCCCAATCTCTAGCCCCCGCTCTACTCCTGAGCTACTACTAAAACTAAGGCTATGGTAAATATTTTATTCATTCGTTAGACTTATAAAGACTGTTATTTTCAGATGCACACACCGTAACGTGACAGTTGGGATTCTTGCAACATTTGCTTTAATCGTCCTGGTATCATCTCTTGTTCTGCTATTTACATATGTTGGATGGAGCGAGGGACAGACAAACGCGATCGCATCGAAGAGGAATGAGACGAACGGCCATTCACTTATCAAAAATGGTAATTTTTCCCAATAAATTTAAGGTGTCGAATCGGAACAGTTTCTATGTACGAACAAAATAAAGAAGTAATTCTGATCTTTTATGTTATGATTCTGTCATGTATCGAGTCAAGAAAATTTATTATTTTGATAACTTTTTATTAATTAATGGCAATAAAATTAATGTGAAATTAATTAAATGACCTGGTGGCTTATCCCAACGTGCCCACCAATATGGCAATGTCATACGTGTCCCCTGGTGTCCTAAATAATCACACAAGTCCCATATATACCGCCTGGCTTACCGCTAAAGGTCCTGTGTATATAGTCGACCTTGTCCGACGACATCGGACCGACTTCCCCATGTCCTAAGAATGAGGCGAGGTTTTTGTCCCACTACTTCTATTAAGTCCCATGTAATACACGTTGGGCTTATTTTATTGAATATCACGGTGTCTCAAATGAACTCACATTTCTCATGTTTCTCCCATAATTATTTAATATGTGTTGCTATAATAATTGTCATATATTTACCCTAGTGTCAACCCTTCATCGTCTTCGAGAGGAACTGGGTGAACAAGTAAAATTTGAAATGAAATATTTGGACTCAAGAATGGACTTCTTCGAGACACAGTTCATCAACGAGACAATCCTAATACAGCCAAAGACCGTACCACAGATTCAGGCCGTCGTCAAAGCAGCCAACAGACTAGAGCTTAAGGTACGGGTTTCTGTTCAAATCACCGTATGGATCGTAAAAACTGTATTTTGTACCTCACTAGTGAATCACCTATATATTTTTTCTTGATTAAAGTAGAACCAATCTTATGAAATGGTATTAAAACTAAAAGTTACATGATCTCAATATATGGGGTATATAGTACTTAGTACTTTGGGAAATTAAGTTTTCAACCATAAAAAGTCATGTACAAAAACAGACTTTAAAAGCTACAAAGTTTTAACAACTTTGGCTCATAGTTTAGTCAATGTTACATATACGTACTAGTATCAAAATGTGATATGTGAAACTTTTTTAGTTTCTAAAAAGTGCTTTTTAAAGGAATTTTTTGCTTTAAAAATCGTTAGTTGATTTCTTAAATTACTAAATTACTTTTTAACTTGCCAACACATTTGAGTGACACATTCGATATGACATTTATTAATGAAATTTCCTTGGCTCAATATTCGCTATGATGTTTGAAATTTTCTCAAAAAAATTGTTTTCAAAAATCTCTAGAATAGCCTTTAAACTTCACATGGGGCCTTTAACACGTCCATAGTCCGATCGTGGAGGTTTTAGATCCAGTTTAATGGTGCGGTGGTATCATGCCAGTACCAAGGGATCAAAGTTTAGCTTGGTCGTTCTATGCTCATTCTATATTCCAACATCGGTACATTAATAACAGATTCACATTTTTCATTTTCAAATGATCATATTCTTAAACCAAATAGTAAATGAATGATAAAAAAACATCTTTTCAAGCTTCACATGGGGCCTTTAACACGTACATCAAATGATCATATTTCAAAAACAATCATCAAAAGGAAAGCCAGTATGTCAACGTAACTGAATATAACCTTATGAATAAGTCATTAAATATACAAACCATTTCTTTTTTTATTGATAGGAATCAAATAAAAGTTCACAGGAAATGAATATTTTATGGCTAATAGCTGAGGTGAAAGATCTAGAAATTACTAAATGCAGATTTATAGTTTTCTGTATATCCCGTAAAGCCGGATCAGAATTGAGCCATAGCCTTAGGGCACACAAGCTGTTATCTAGACACAGTATTATTTATAGTTAGGTGATTTTTTGTGTTTTGGATTGCCAGCCAAAAGCTTAATTTTCCAGATGTCTTCGTCGGACCTTCTGTCTTAATTAAAAAAGATGAAACATTTAGTATGCAATCTCGATATTGTTTCGTTCAGTACACATACTAAGCCCCGGGTATTAAACCCTTGAATAAGCTCGATCTTGAAGGATGACGTGATTACGATATTCAAAATTACTGTCGCCATTTTTTTCAGATTTTGAATCATGAGTTTTGGTCTTATTTACAAAAAATTCAAAGCATATAAGAAGTGATCAAGATGTAAGATAAAATCTTATGGATTGCTGATTATGAATTTATAGCCAGTTTAATGTCAGACATTAACGATAATTGGAAAATTGGAGAAGTTTGAAAATATCTAGATAGCATTCTGGGAGTCAATCATCCGTGGGCAGAATCAGAGGTATTGGGAACACTGTACTGAGGTGGCGTTGGTTTGTGACCTAGGCGTGTAAAGATAAGAAAATCAACATTTTAAACAATCGTTTCATTTTAGCATATATCGCGCTGTAATTCATTAGATTTCTTTTTTTAATGCTCAAATCATGAGAACTGAAAATGCACAATAAAACTATGACGAATACAAGACATTAATATGCAAAATGTCACCACCTGCCATTTGTTACAGATTCCGAACGCCAAACGCCAAACACACCGTCCACTAGAGAGTATAATAATATTTCAACGTGTCAATATTTCAATATGTGGAGATCGGGGTGGTGACATAATTAAATATTTTAATAACATCTGAAATTAAAGGGTTTACGATATAAACATTCATATTTTATTTGATCAATCCGCTAATATTACAGACGTTCCAGGTCACGTGTTATTCATGTTTTCGCGTACACTGGCCTTCCATCGGCGGTACCTTTTAAATTCATTCATCAAGGGAGGTAATGTTGCCGTGCCTTGTCATTGCGTGATACAACTTCCAATCTAGGTACTTATATTAGACCATGTCCTATAATCAGGTATTGATGTTCTAATGAAGCTGATGTCTTTTGACTTAGAACCAGGCACTTTAAACTAAATGTTAGATTTTATGTTCCTAGACAGCGGGATGAGACTATGTTGTTGACTATGGGAAGCGAAATACTAGAAATAGATATTATGCCAATTAAACGTAAAGACGTAATGTTTCAAAAAAGAGATATCTTATTAATTATGGAGGTCATAAGTGTATTGATGCAATGCGATTTTCCATAATCTTTTCTAGGGCTATCGTGACTTAACATGACACGAAGCAGGCTAGGCGTATAATAGTATTGCATCCTATCCAATTGTTATGGCCTTCAACTTTTTGTGGACGGTGTTCGGCGGTCGGCGTCTGTAACCACAACTGATTCTGTTTAGACTGAAATTTTAACGTGAACATATATGAACAATTGTCTTGAATTCCAACACATTTCTGCCATATCTATTACAATGGCAACAAATGAGTGGACTTGCAGAAGTAGTCTAAGAAGTATTATGATACGATCTGTAAAATGAAGCCCTTTGATTGGTCAGTTCATGTGCTGTACCAATCTGTATTGCTACTGAGATTGGCCATTGATCATCTCCGTATTGTCCGTATTCACCTCGGTATTCTGTATTGGCACTCGACTTCGTCTCATACCAAACAGAATTTCTCGAAAAGAATATATACTGTATTGCACTTCAAATCATTCAATAACTTACACTCCCCTCCATAAGTTTGGCAACCTTTTTTCCCCCATTGAACTACGTGTTAAAGCCTCTTTACCTTTGAATTTTTATTTACTTAACCTGCGATGAAAATACTTATACTATTGATGGAAACGTAATTTGACTTTAATTCCAATACCTCCAAATTTTCTCAATTTTTTTCCTCAATTACAATAGGTCGAAAATTGATGATAAATTTGATGAATTTTTGAAAATCGACATTCCCATGTTAACCAATGGGAAATGGTAGGTTTGCCGCAGGTCATATGACAGAGTATTGGAAATAAAGTCAAGTTACGTTTCCATCAATATTATAAGTTATTTCATCGCCGGTTAAGTAAATAAAAATTCAAACGTAAAGAGGCTTTAACACGTAGTTCAATGTGGGAAAAAGGTTGCCAAACTTATGGAGGGGAGTGTATACTATTTAGACTGATTCAAATTGTTACTGTAAACATATATATAATCAATCACGTTTCTGGCAATTCTGTTACCATGGCAACAAAGGAACGGACTTGTTACATTTTGTAACCATTTGCAATATTTTAAGAAGTAGTGTTCATAGGGACTTGATTTTTTGTTGTCAACACACATACCACTTTTATAACATTTTGTCAGTTTCAGTTACCATGACAATGAGTATAATGTTACCATGGAAAAATGCTATATGTCTTAAAACACTTCTCTTACATACTTTTACTTAAGAATGCATAGTCACATTGACATTGACTTGAAATGCTAACATGGCAACAAATAAGTAACATTTTGTAACCACTAGCTATAACTTACGAGCTCAAAGGTTGTGGTAACGATTTGTCATGTTAATGCCTTGTTGTTCTGTGCTACGCTCTGCCCAATCACTTAATAAAGACAAATGTTATTGTTTTCCTCATGATCAAACTTGCTTTATTGTAAAGCCGCAACATGGGTATGTAGCATTTATATTTTATGAAAATTGATTGCATCCATAAAATGTGAGTGTGGGGGTTTTGTGTACATAACGCTTTCATACATACGGAATCTTCTTGTTTATCTCGATGGAGCAAAAAGTAAGTCGTTCGTGATCAATATTATCCTTTGTAAAAAATTGACTTTGCACCCCAAAGAGGACTTCGTTTATGAAGTACTTTTTATTACTTAAAGCACAGATCAAAGATAAATAGAGTAGGCGTATATTTCCATTACTATCTTGTAATTAGCTAGTGTCATTCACAGTCTGCGTCAAGGTTTGAATTCTGTAGTTGTGAAATATGATTACTCCTTATTTAAAAATAGATTGCGATATATTATTGACTTGTGTCACTTAAATACCTGGTTCAATCACCAGACTGATTTGTTTTTATAATTGGTATTGGTTGCTATGTAGGTAAATTTGCTGCTAAGCGTCTCAAAATCTCGCCTACGCGTTCCCACGGCAAAAGGTTTCTTTTATATACACGTATGTCTAATGAGTCTACAAAAACTCGGTGCGGATGAGATTAGGAATCGGTGCGGAGTTTCATCATATCAGTCATTTTAGATTCGAGCTTGGGATAATTTTAGATCGCATGCTGTGAGCTATTGTAATCGTCCACTTGTCTGTACGTCTGCCTGTCTGTCATCACATCAGTGGCTCACAACAATTCAAATGGTTCACTTTTAAAATGCGTCAATAAAAAGTCTTTAACTTCCCATAAGTCGCGTCTCAAAGCTCACCTTGTTTCAAAATAGCGGCCATTTTTATTGCCAGGAAATTAGGCTTTATGTTATATATTTTGGTCATTAACAAGTATTTCAAAAATAATGTCGACTAACATGTTTCAGCAAAATATATAAAGACACTTTTATTGTTGAAATATCACTTTTTATGTTATAAACACAAAGTATGCATAGCGCATTAAAATTGTATAGACAGCTAAGTGTATACATGTAGGTTAACAAAATGTCTAGAAGTTTTTGCAAAATACATTTTGAAATTTTAAAAATGACCGCCACTTATGGCTGAAAATGTCTCTTTGATCATACATTGTAACTCAAAATTATTCTATTAATTTGCTTGAAATAGTACATTTCATTTTAAAGTTGACAGAAATGTCTCCAAATTTTAATAAAATATGTCGCAAAGATTCAAAACGAACAAGCCGTGTGAAATGCTCAATTATATCCACATGTATGTGGTCTTAGGGTTCTCTAATAGTGCAAGTGAATATAGCTTTGGGATATCACGGCCCATCTATGGATATAGATTTAGAACCATATTCACGAACTATTTAATTGATCTTAAAATCCCATGAGCTATTTATACACGAGGAAGTGATATCTGAACCATAGCCCCCTCCTTATACATCCTATACACACTGTGCTATGCGAAAACAACCGGTTCGGATATCATGAGCTCAAGGTGCGGATATTAACCGTCATTTTTTCATTTGCATTTTTGATATTTTATAAGCTAAGGGGTGTTGGGTACTCAATTAAAGTCATACATTTGTAGGGGATACCAATTGTGGGATCCACAGCCTTTAAAAGCGTTAGGTAAAGAGGGACTCTGATAAATCAGAATGGGGGATACCTAATAAAAGTGAAATTTTATAATTTGTCAATAGTCGTATTCTTCATTCTTGAACGTGCACTAAGCAATCATCTTTGCTCCATAGCAAAGAATTTGAAATTTTTGTTTATTACACAAGAGATGACCAATCGATATAATTATTTTTGCATTTTGAAAGTTATAAACATTCTTTGTGAATTGAAAGATTTATCGGATATGTGCTACCTCTAAACATGCGGTGCGGATATCGTCACTTTTCGGATGTCAGTACCGCTTGTTAAGAGATAGCACATTTTTGTTTAATGATTCCCATTTTGTATAAAATCAAACAGAAACTTTTCAACGTTTAAAATGCAAATATAATTTGTATTGATAGGTCATCTCGATCATCAATATTGAATGAATGCTGTTTAGGCTGTGAAACAGCTGCAATTTCAAATTATTTGCTTCAGGGAGAGTATTATTGTTTGATGTGCCGAGAAGAATGAACTACACACCTATTTACACAATTTCCTAAATTAGGGAACGTGTACACAGGAATGAATATACTTTAGTACCCAACCCAATGCCTTAGTTGGTGAAATATCACGAAATCAAATTCAAATATGACCGTTTATATCCGCACCTTGCGTATATGATATCCGCACCTTGCGTATATGATATCCGCACCGCTTGTTTTCGTATAGCACAGTCTGTATAGAGTGTTACATGCAGATCCATTTGCGTCTACAACTTTTGTGTTTTCCCTTATTACAGGTGCGAGTGATTGGCTTAGCAGGATCATGGTCCCCTCTTTGGTCAGAATATGGCCAGATACTAATTGATCTACAACATTTGCAGAGACCAGCTGGAGACAGAATGACATTTCACCCTGCAGTAAGTTTGAGCTCAGAAGAGTTATGAATATAGTCCAGAGTATGGATACAATAGTTAGAGATGCAGTTTTTGCGCAAATAAACCAATACGTTTGCGCTCCAAAGAGTTATAAGAGTTCTCCGTCTTTTTAATTTGTCTTAGAATGCGCATGCGTATTACAATGGTTGACTCAAACAACTGACACAAAAAAATAAAAATAATCAAACAAAATGCCATATTAAAGAGAGAATCAGATCTCGTGAGCAGCCTAACAAAAAATTGCTTCAATTTTAGAAAATTTCTGGCTTATGTCATTCCTTGTCATGTCTATTTTCTAAAAATCCCCAAAGTGCACACTTTATTTGAGAATGGTTACCATTCTTATCATTTGGGAGAATTTAAACATTTTCAGAAATTTTTGCACTTTGAATCCATTATAACTTCACCAATTTATATTATATCATGAGTATTTTGGGAGATATCGTATTTGAGATTGTAAGGAATAGATGGTAGGTCAAGTGTACATGATGCTTGTAATTTTGTCACCCCCATAGATCTGATTCTGCCTTAAGTTACTCTACAGACATTTTTGCTTGCAAATGGTTTGCATTTATGTATTTATATATGCCAATATTGTTGCATGAATGATGTCATCCACGAACTAAACTAAGTAAATTAAGAATTTAATTTTATACTCCAGGTCCAAGAAGATGAAGATGCGACTATTTCCTCCGTCGCCAGTGCCTTAGTATTTGAATTGTACGACTTCATGGAACGTCATAATGTCACGTGGCTCAGTGGAATCGGTTATAGTGGTGCTACCCTGGCGGGATTATTTTCCACAGCTTCACATGTAGGTTTACAAAATTGAATTAAAATAGTTTTTTAAATAAAGACTTATAGTATGATCGTAGAAATATTGTACTTTCAAAGACCCATGACAATTTTTTAAAAGTACCTACTGGCCTTCCACTGTTTCTGTATTCTCTAGCATATACTAGTACACTATGCTCCAAAAATCTGGTTACTTTTGAAAACCCTCGAGACCAAATTCAAATATTGTGGATATTACACAAGCGAGTCCCATTGAATTGTTTTCTTTGAGTACAAAGGGTTCTCCAACCAAAACCAAACAGTAATAATGTGAAGAAAAAATCAAATGGATACTAAATTAGAATTTATGATAGAAATGTTCTTAATGTACTGATTTAATCACTATTTCAGGGAGAAGGGATTAAAGAAACAACATTAAGTGAATACCTAGTCGGTGTGAAACTAGTTGACAGCAACGGCCAACTCAGGTCCTACAATATACATGAACATTCGAAACAAATGCAGGCGTTACAATGCTGCCTTGGGATGTGTGGTATATTCTACGATGTGACAGTTAAGGTATATAGCCATCTAGTTTTCAATAGCATTAGGACAAGTTCGTAGCCAGCTTTTTCCAAGGGGGTTGTCAGTTTTTGGCCTAAAATCAATCAAAAAGTGCTCAACATTTGAGTTATCCAAGTTTGAAAAATGAACTAACATAATGACGTCACTGACCAATTGACTGACCTTTAGTAGGGGAGCCAAGGGTCTCAAAGGTGCCAAAAAGTTGTTTCTATGACCACCCTAATAATAACTCATATACAAAATAAAAATTGATTATGCTAGAATATTCACTCAACCTTTCATTAGTCTCGTTCTAGGATCACCCTTAGGCATGACAACCAAAAAAAACAACATTGAATTTTGTTTTGCTTTAACAAGTACCTTAACGATATCTTTCGAATTCGTATTTGCATTACCTCCAATATAGAACGTTCGCACACTGGCTATACCAATGGAGCGTTTCTGTTAACGCACAGAGTACGGTCAACGCGAGGGTAACAGACGAACTTGTTGCCAAGGTTAACGTTGTATTGCAATTTTAATGGTATAAATATTTTGTATGCTGTAAAGTAGTAATAAAGTGTGACTAAAACCAACAACTTTGTCGATGAAATTAATTAAAATGCAATGCAAAAGAACTGCAATCTAAAGTGAATATAGAATTAAGTATGAAAAGTTAACTTCAATAATATTCTGTGTTTTTTCCAATATTTTCTCTCGTTGAACCGTACCCCATGCGTTTATCTACTTTGCGTTACTGGTACAACCACTATGGTATGACGTACGCAATATTATTATATAACATGCTGATCAAATTTACACTCCCCTCCATAAGTTTGGCAACTTGTTTCCCCATTGAACTACGTGTTAAAGCCTCTTTACGTTTGAATTTTTATTTTTTTATAATTTATTTACTTATAATATTGATGGAAACGTAACTTGACTTTATTTCCAATACCTCCAAATTTTCTCAATTTTTTTCTTCAATTACAATAGGTCGAAAATTGATGATAAAGTTGATGAATTTTTGAAAATCGTCATTCCCATGTAATCCAATCGGAAATGGAGGGTTCGGGGCAAATCAGAAATCAGGATATCTTTTCAGTAAAAGATTCAGCAAAAAATATTTTCATATAGAAAATTGAATTGTCTAACTTTTTTGAACACTATAAGTGATAAGTTTATTTGATGAATATTAAAGTTACAGCGCTTCAAAGTCATTTTTGAAAATAATTTTTCGTCTCCTGTGTTATTTCAATGGGAGAGGTTTTTTGAAAAACAATTTTGACTTTAAAGCCCTATAACTTTGTTGAACCTGAAGAAACATATCAATTTTTTTTTAAATAAAGTTAGCAAATTCAATTGCCTGCCTAACTCGTATTTTTTGCAAGGACTCGGATGGATGGATATTCTGTCATATGACTTGCGGCAAACCTACCATTTCCCATTGGTTAACATGGAAATGTCGATTTTCAAAAATTCATCAAATTTATCATCAATTTTCGACCTATTGTAATTGAGGAAAAAAATTGAGAAAATTTGGAGGTATTGGAATTAAAATCAAATTACGTTTCCATCAATAGTAGAAGTATTTTCATCGCAGGTTAAGTAAATAAAAATTCAAAGGTAAAGAGGCTTTAACACGTAGTTCAATGGGGGAAAAGGTTGCCAAACTTATGGAGGGGAGTGTATGTGTTTCATTTTATCCTTCACCGTGGCAGTAAAAGTGATGATAAATAATATTAAAACTGTACTTCTGAAGGATTAACCTTGGTAACATCACGTTTGTCATTAACGGCGCTTATCGTGCATTGCTCTCAGACAGTCGTGATCAATAATGCATGACGGGCATCCAGTATATCAATTAATCAAGCTGATACAATAACTAGGTTATTGTTTCACTAGAATACACAATACAATAGCTATATGAACAGCGCGACTACAAAAATTTTATCAACTTGTTGAAAATTGATAAATTCGTGGAACTGCTTAACTCATGATAAATACTGCCACTTATTAGAGTTTCGCACCTATTAATATCGTACAAATGTATCTCAAATAGCCTTTTGAGGTTTACAAAACGAAAATGAAGAGGAAATGAAGATTTTTTTGAGTTAAAATGATACAGAGTGTCCCAATATTGCGCACCAGGCTATCATTTTCTGTTACATGTACCTGGTGCTAAATGTTGAATGGAATTCCACAAAGGGTGTCTTTTTCAATTTGGATATCCTGAATCTCCATACTCTTGAATTTCAGGTATATCCTGCTGCTGTTACTAGACAAAGGCACCGCTTTTGGCGCGTGAGAGACTACATCCACAACCCAGAGAATCTGAATACGATCTTGCGGGACAATATCGGCGTACGTATGGGCTGGGCGCCCTATTCCGGGGCAACGACCTCAGAATGGAGATACGCTGGAATTCATTCGAAACTTCCCAAATCATGGAGGACAGACAATGATCTCATGTGGATAAAGTAATGTCCCTTAATATATCAAAGTCTTCATATGTTTTTGTACAATGACAGCCTCTCTTCGTAAATCAGGATATCTCCCATCAATGAAAACAGGATTTCAGAGATTTGTTAAATCATTTTATCTTCACTTTGAAAAAAAATTTTACTATCAAAGTACTGAACTCAATTCGTTGTGGCTAATTAAAAAATTTGAAGGCGTAAAAATTCAGCATTTTTTATTTGATTTTAATTTTGCCACACTCAGTCATAATAAAAGTTGAAGGATTTTGCAGTCTTGCATAACACGCTTTGTACCTTTCCAGGCTTACTGATGATTCTAAAGAGTACGAAGACTACACGTTAGATCCTCCTTACGCTTACCCACCGCCAAGGAGAAATAGTAGAGATGTTATCAAAAATATGACTTATCATGACACGACGCTCACTCGTGTTACTACAAACGCGGAGTCGGAATCTGGAGCGAATGCTACGAGCAAACCAAATGCCACACCAGCTCCTCCTCCGAAACATTGGCTTCAAGATGCAGCTGTACGTTTCCTTTCACATTGATATAGGAAGATAAAGAGACTTTAGTTAGCATTTGATACTTTGAAAGATTTCGCTGCTGAACTTAATGAAATATATAAAATACTGATTCATTACTATCTTCTAAAATTATTATTATTATTATTATTATTTATTTCCTTATATTGTATAATATTACAATTACATGAAGTGGAAGACCCCCTATTGGGGATATTATCCACAAAGTAGGAAATTACAAAATGAATTGATCAAATCGCCTGTACCTACCCCCTCTCCGAGGCCTGTTCGCTCATATGGTAAGGATATGTAAAATAAAATTTTGCTTTGTGCCAGAATGAAAGGTGATGTACCTAGATTAGATACTTGAAAATTGCAAGAAACAGTATATAATTTCACACTAAAATATATTGCTGAATGGTCAAAATAATAGTGTATTGGATTGAACATATACTTCATGACAACAATTTTAATTTCAATTTACTTTTAAATTTAGAAGGAGAGTTAATGTGTTGCAGGTCATCTGTGAGATTATTCCAGGAATCAGGTCCCTGTTTACTGATAGAAAATTGTCCAATATTAGTTCTAAATTTCGAAGGTCTCAGTTTTAATTGCTGTCTTGTCAGGTGTTCATGAATTTCTCTATTTGGGGTGAAGTAGTTATTAAATTGTCTCTCATAAGTTTTATTGATGCCTTTAACACATTTAAATACATAGAGAGCAGTGTTAAGTTCAACAATTTGGAAGATGTTTAGTATGCTGGCCTCTTTAAAATAAGGGGCTGTATTATCTCTAGGCTTACAGTTATTAAAAAGTATTCTTATGAATTGTTTTTGTAATCTATGGATTTTAAGTAGGTATGAAGGTGGAACATTCCCCCAGATTATAATATTGTAATTGATGTAAGAATAAATAAGAGAGTAGTATATCGTTTTTAGTGCTTTGTAATCTAAGTTTTGTTTGACTCTATGGAGTACTGCCAAAGTCTTTGATATTTTTGTTTCAACATGTCTTATGTGAGGCTTCCAGGAAAGATGTTCATCGATAAGCACCCCTAGGAAATTACTTACTTCAGTCCTACGTATGACAGTATTGTTCATGGATATTTGGATTTTGTCATAATCAATAACTTTTTGAGGTGATTTAAAAACAAGATAGTTAGTTTTAGCAGGATTTAAAGAAAGCTTGTTGCATTTGAACCATTCACTTATAGTAGAAAGCTCATGATTTATGGTCAAGTTAAGTTGTTCAAGATCCTTACCAGAAAATAACATGTTAGTGTCATCAGCATATAAAAACATTTCAGCAATGTCAGAGGATTTGTAGATGTCATTAATATAGATAATAAAGAGGAGGGGACCTAATATAGTTCCCTGTGGCACACCAAAAGACAAATTAGCAGTATTGGAGAGAGTACCCTCAATATCAACAACTTGTGACCTATTTGAAAGATAACTTTTGAACCAATCGGAGGCAGTTCCCCGAATACCATAGTGATCTAACTTTTGTAACAAAATGTCATGATTTAATGTATCGAACGCTTTGGAAAGATCACACATGATTCCAATACAGTATGATTTTTCTTCAATTGCCCTGCGCACAGTTTCGACAAATTTCAAGATTGCCATGAATGTGGAGTTGTCTTTTTTGAAGCCGTATTGGTGAGCATACAGGATGTTCTGTCTTTCCAAAAAATCAACAATTCTTGTGGCCATACATTTTTCATAAAGTTTCGAAAAAACAGATAAAAGAGAAATTGGTCTATAATGAGTAAAAGTGTCCATTCTGTCTTTCTTATGGATAGGTAGTACCTTGGCAAATTTTAAGTCTTCTGGGAAAATTCCATGAGTGAAAGATAGATTAATAAGATGAGTCAATGGTTGAGAAACTAGGTCACTATGTAGTTTAATAATTTTTGGCTTGAAATCATCAGGACCTGCAGCAGAGTCTTTTAGATTAAGTAGCAACTTAGTAACTTCTTCATTATCAACAGGATTAAGAAAAATAGAGTTAACAACCTTAGGTATCTTATTTAAAAATTCATCATAAGTTTTATCAGAGTGACCTATAGCATCAGAAGAGTTTTTTCCAATATTTGCAAAAAAATCATTGAACCCATTTGCTATATCTTTTTTACCTGAAAAAGACTGATTCCTATCAAAAAATCTATTTGGAAAAGGCTTATAATTTTTTTTCTTTCTTTGCATAATTTCATTAAGTATTTTCCAAGTATTTTTGATGTTAGAAGATGCCTCAGAAAATCTGGCTTGATAAAATCTTTTTTCTGCTATTCTTATAATATGTTTCAGGCGGTTTTTGTAATTTTTATATGAAGTATTATTTTCCGGCGTAGGGTTTTTCAAATAAATTGTGTAAAGTTTATTTTTATTTTTACAAGACGTTAAAATACCACTAGAAAGCCATGGTTTTTCATTATTTTGAAAATGTTTGATCTTTTTTGTCCTAATTGGAAATGATTTTTCATAAACTGATGACATTTTACTTGAAAACAAGGAGTATGCAGTATTTGGGTTATCACAATCATATACGTCACCCCAGTTAATGTCACTTAGCTGATTTTTAAAATTAGCAATTGTTTTTTCATTAATCTGTCTAAATTTTATTTCCTTATCTTGCTGAGATTTCACTTTCTGTTCGGCAATAGCAAAAATAGGTAAATGATCAGTTGTAGAGTCAACTATCATACCTGCTAAGGCTACATTTGGTACATTTGTATAAATGTTATCTATTAAAGTTGCTGTATGAGATGTAATTCGAGTGGGTTTGTATATAAGAGGGAGTAAATTATGAGAGAATAGCATGTTTATGTAGTCATTGGAAGAATTATTTTGTTCAACCTTAAGTAAATCAATATTCATATCACCCATAATATAGACAAGTTTGTTTTCGGAAGTAATTTTTCGAAGTAATGGTTCAAACCTTCTATTAAAAGCATTAATATTAATATCTGGGGGTTTATAAATGCAAGAAATGATGATGTTCCTTGAATTTGAGTTAACAATTTCAACTGTGACAGAATTACATTCATTGTGATCGAGTTGTAGGTCCGGTCTGTCCTTGCACTCAATGTCTTTACGTATGTATAAGCCTGCACCCCCACCACGATTATCTCTGTGATCAAAAAATGAATTATATTTATAATGATTACATAAAGGAGCAATGTTGTCATTCAGCCATGTTTCTGAAATTCCAATAACTGAGAAGTCTTTCTCAAACTGCGCCATTAAGCTAAAAATATTTAATTTATTGGAATTTAGACTTCTAGCATTGAAATGTAAAACACTGAAAGAGCTCATAGATTTGTTTAATTGAGTGTTAATGTCATTTAATGATTCATGGTATCTACAAGAGGTCATATTGTTATCTAGTTGTACATTTAATTGATTGAGGTCATCATTATCATTTTCTATTCTATTTAAGTCACGAGCATTAAATACAAAATTATTGCACTGATCATAAACTGAGATGTCTTCAATTAATGCATTGTGAAAAGGTAACTCATTCCACAACCCTGGCACATTAAGTAACACATTAGCCAGGATCAAAGATCCATAAAACCATATGAACAGACAGGCAGCAGGAGGGGAGAGGCACACCAGACGACATTAAAAAATTCATTCTGTAAACAGTGAGTTTACTGGCAATTGCTCTGCACTGGCATGAAAAAATTACAGTTATGCGTTAATACTCATTATAACTTGGTGTAAATGGTACCTCTGCAAAATTACATATAACGCAAAAATGACTATTAAACATATACTATGTGAATTTATGGAAATTTAAGCTGAGAAGAAGGAAATTCTGAGATACAGTAAATGAGCATCTTACTGTCAGGTTATACATATACAGGAAATCAAAAGGTCATGGAAAGTAATAATGAGTACACATGTACTAAGCTTACTAAATATCCATGTGTATGCAATGCACAGTTCAACGAAAAGCCTCAACAACTGACTAAGAACAAAAAATAAAACAATGTTTAGGATTATATTGAAAGAAACAGCATGAATTCAATATAAGCTCAGCATATGTTCAGTGTTGTGTAATGCTTCAAACAAAACAACAACAAAGTCTCATGTTAGACTAATAATCCACTAATAATATAATAATATGATAATAATCCACTATGTGTGAAATCATAATAAAAAAAACTGAGATGCCCATGTATCAATTAACAAATACGATCAACATAAGTTTAACTTTAACTCTGCAAACATTCAGATTAATTTTTGTTTTATTCCTAAAATACTCTTCCGTTCGCAATTTTAAGTAACCGAACATTGTGCATATTACTACGTTCTGAAGGCATCAAGGCCGCCAACACTTTCAATCTCATTTACTTTCTTGAAATCTTGCTATTTGCAAAAGCGGAAAGAAGTGTTAATTTTCAGAATAGCATTAATGTATTATTTAACATTCATTGTAGGCGGCTGCAAAGTCGGGAATAGAGAAGTATTTCATTCGCAAAAATGCAACTTATCATCGCTCTGCGTCTGCCCTGAAGTTGGGTAGTATTGAGAGAATACACAAGCCCATATATGGCATGGGCTTCATTTCCCCGGAGAACGAGAACTTTACAATGACTGACAAGATGGCCAAGGTACACATACAGATTATACCAAAAAATGAATTTAAATTTTTTATATCAAACGTATGGAAACTATAAAGTTCACAAACAGTGGCGGTTCCGGGGTGGGCATGGGGCCCGCCCCCTCCACTTTAGTGGGCCCAGAATTTTATTTTAGTTTTTGGGCCCCAATATTTTGCAGGGCATTAGAAAAATGGGCTTTTTGGCCAATTTATCAAATATTCTGGATTCGCCACTGAAGAACCCCTCCCCCCCCCCCCGTTATTATGCATTATCTCACTTCCTTTTGTGTTTTTAATTCAAGCTTCAGAAGGTATACACTTTTCCGATTTCAATTTCCGCCGTAGTTATCATGATGGCGTCATTTTAAGAATCCCCAAAAAACAATGCATTACGCGGTCAATAGTCGAAACTATTGAACGCTCTTTGACCAATCAAAATCGAGTATTTATATTGGAATACTTACAATAGCTAATATTTATGTTATTGTCTTTTCAGATTGTATTCTCTATTATTGAGGAAGAGATGCACCAAAAAGGAGTCATCTCTGTCATAGAAGTATTGTTCAGGTGGTTACGGACGAGTGACTCCAAGTGTTTTCTCTGCCCCAACAATTACCCGACTTCCTATGGCCCTTATGTCGTCGTTACCGAGATACTGGGGATGCCGGGATTTCCGTTTAACGATTTTTCGAAAAAAGTGAGTGTTATACGAGAGTACCGGATGATAAAAGTGAATCAAATAGAGTAGTCAAATAATTCCTCGATGAGAATGAGTCTTCTAATAAAACATTCAAATAGTCAAAACTCTGCTCGGGACGTCATTCATAGTCTATAAATGTACCATAACTTTTCATAGCTCTTAACAATTTTAGAATAGATTTATTTCACCTTAGTTATAGTGAGTCTTGCCTGAAGAGTGTAGCCCCCCCCCCCCATATTTCTTCACCTTCCCAATACAACAAAGTTGAATGTGTACACGAGAGGGTATACATATATATAACACTACAAGTATGATCCTCCTTGTCTCTGGGTTTCGTGCAGTGTAATACCCGGGTAATTCCAAGTCGGAAAGATGGGATGCATGACGATGGAGCGTAACTAATTCACTTGCTATATAATCACACCGGAATAGCCTGCTTACAACGGTAAAGTCCGATACCGTTGTCACAAATGGCGGACATAACCGTCGCTCTTATCGTCGCTAATTCTGTGCATGTATTAAGCTCATGTGATGATGTTTCATATGAAATCCCAATTTCGATCAAATTGGATCGTGAATCGCCACAATATAACGTCTTCCGTATCGTCAAGTACAACGGAATCTGAATTTGAGTAATTTAGAAAGACAACGACATATGGTAATTACAGTGTCCGTTGTCCCGTATCTCATTTTGATCGGTTAAATTAAGGACTTTATTTCGACGGTAGAACATTATTAACTGTACAATGAATATTAAGACACGATTGATTGTTGTTCCAAAGGAATTTAGTCTAGTCGCTCTATTAAACATACAGTTCATGAAAATCTAATTGAAGCGACGGTTATGTCCGCCATTTGTGACAACGGTATCTAACTTTACCGTAGTCAGGCTATTTCGGGGTGATAATAAACTTCAATATACTTAATTTATACTCCAACAATTTATGTTACTTTCGTAAATTACATAACAGAATATTGAAACGAACTTTTATATCTAGCCTTGCCCAAGTCGGTATTTTTTACTTATCTGATCTTGAATTATTACCGCCTTGTACAATCCAATACATCTCCGCTGTTATAATGCTGAAATATTCAACGGTTTCGAGATTTCCATAATACCTACGCTATCAGGGGTATCGCGAAACCTTATTGATTGACAGATATCGCGTGGACACGACGTGTGACTTCAGGCTGAATGACCAATCAAAATGTTATCAGGTTGAGCAGCATAAACAAAACAAACTTCCCATCTACGACTTGAAATTCAATGATCTGATCGAGTGTTTCGTTAGAGTTACAATATATTATATAATTAAATGTACATTGGAAGGTAAGAGTCATTAATATAAATTAAATCATGCGATTCAATGTTGATTTAAAACTGATTTCGCGATGAAAATGCACGAAGACCTAGTCCAATCAAGGGCGTTACAATACCCGGGAATTTATCGGTTCGTGCAGTACTTGTTTGTGATAGCGCCCTCTGTAGGTCACTGTGCTTATAGCCTACAGTAATACGGGGTAGGATATCGGGAATTCGGTCAGTTTCTATCCGTCGATTTCGCTATGAATTGAAGCAAGTGTGACCACTTTATCCACTTAAACAATTTGATAATTGATTAAATATTTAAACAAAATCGATAAACACGTTATACACTTCCTATCTCCTTAGAAATTAGCATGTATTTATGGATTGTGTTTTCGAACAAGGCTCGACCCAAACCAAGTGGGAAATCCTTATGCTAATTAGTATGACGTCATATTTTCCTGGGGAATCCTAGATTTCAAAGCCTCAGTCTGTTATTGTGTCAAATGTAAACGCTCTTTTGCAGACAGAAAATTGACAGATTAGCTTTTAACTTTCAGCTTTGATGTTTAAATATTCTGTATTTCTACCGGACTTCTTGCTGAATATCATATAATGTTATAACTTGATTTGGACCATTGCCTGATTGCTCATTCTGAAATTTTGATTGTGATTCATGATTGATTGGCAAGAAAAATAATTCCTATTGTTTTCCAGCGAAGTCAAAATGTTACAGCATGAGTTATAATGTCGAGTTTGCATCATGTTAAATTCTGCTAGTGATTAGAAGTCCATGCACAACGGGATGCACAAGCATACACATAAGAGACAAACACACCCAGGCTCCAGGCCGTGGATGGAAATATAAAACTATTTAAGGCACAAACTGGTATTAATAGACCGATATGTAGTGTCTGCCATGTATTGAAGGTAAACCAATCTGCATTATTAATGTTTCTTCTATCAATACATGGATTGTGCAATGGAAAAGCAATGACACAATCAAAAATGTGCATATCAATCGTGAATATCTCTCGGTTCAAAGCTTATTTCCAACAGAATCGTGTCAAAATATGTGTCTGAGTAACAGTTATACATTATAAGATCGCAAACTCTTACCAATTATCAGCCGAATGGCTCATTTTCAACGAAATGTCCTTAAGACAACAGCCCTGGGTCGCGCCTGAGACCAAAAACTACTTCAAATAGCCCTCCCCTAATTATCAAGGAGGATTGGCTCCCAGAGTGCACCACCGATATTCTGTCCCATATATGGGTATGTCGTAATACAAAATTCGAATTCAAACAGCCGCCATTTTGTTCACTTCAACATTTAAATCGTGAATTTTGGTCTTATTTCCAAACGAAAAATTCCAAAACTCACAAGAAATGATCGAAATATTGGTTCGAATCTTTTGAACTGTTTATTTTGAATTTATAGTCGGTTTTAATTTCAGAAAATAACGACATTTCGACGTTTTCATTGTTGGAAAATATCGAGTTTCGATCCTGGGAGCCAATCCTCCTTGCTAATTATATTGGATAATCACATTTATGCGTGCGCGCGCAGCTCATCCACTGAACGAAACGCCACTTCCCGCTGAAATCACCGGGTATTGATCTTTCCCTTGGTCCAATCACTCCAATGTAGCGGGTCATGTTGTCGTCGATCGGTGATTGAATCTCAGCCTACATGTTTAGCGATCGTTTCAACGTTTATTGTTGAAATCTTCTCACCTTTGGTTATCCGATCGATACCCCGGCATCCACTAAACTCTCACTGATATTTATCTGATAAAATATTTGTATTTTCATGATGAATTCGTGCTCAGATTCGTGCAAGATTTGTTCGTGGAAAGTCCTGGTGAAAAGTGTACTTGTTTTAGACCGTGCATAATAATGAGCTAACGCTACAGGGCCGTCGTTGATTGGTCAAATTTTACCGACATCAACAAACTGTCGGTAAGGCACATGGCTTTCTCTTTGGTACAAGGCGGTCATAATAGAAATCAAGATAAGTAAAAGAGACCGATTTTGGCAAGGCTATTTTATATCCTGCATCTGATATCCTGTATTTATTCCTAATTTCCTATGTTATTTATACCCTGTATACAATAATTTTATATGAAGAAGCAAGAAATTTATTTTGAGGTCCGCCTTTTTTGTCATCATGACAGGAAATCGATTCATTTTACCTGAAAAATGTCATCCAATGATATTGAAAATGGTTTCAAATATGTAACAATTTGTTAAACACCGACCACCAACCAAAAATCTCGAACGATGGTCAATCGGTCATCGGTCGCAAAATTATGTCTGCTACTAATAGATACAACTAATATTACTAATAAATTGTTTGGTTTACACTAATCATGACATTCATATTTCAGTTCGCTCTTGAGACGATGAGGGAAGTTCCAGACGCAAGACCTCATTGGGCGAAAATGTATTCCAAAGTTCCGGGGATCATTCCACATATACGAAAAACATATCATGACAACCTAGAACAATTTAAAAGGGTACGTCAAAATGAGCGATGGGATCCCAATGATATGTTTACAAATAAATTGACAAGGGATATCATGTATGGCGATAGATGATGCTAAAGCTTATGACAGCATATGCTTTTGCATCTTGATTTACAAGGTTTCACATTGGACCCTCTTTGAAGTCGAAGGTGGTGATTTTAGGAGATGGTTCTCCTGCCATTTCAACATCGCTTTCATTCCATGAAATTATCCACTCGGAAAGTGTAACTCAAAATGAAAATGAAAATGAAAGCTTCGGAAGCATGCAGAATGATCATGCGCTCCGGTTCGCATATTTACGTTCCCATCAAATTCGCAAGACTACGTGGATTTGTTCATATGTGAGGGGGGGCTTTGCATTTGGTTCAATGGGTGATACATGTGATATGTAGTTGCCATCACATTTACGTGGAAGTGTGTGTCACATTTGTGAGAAGCGAATGAATGATGCTAGTCACTTTCATAGAAAGTTATTTATTTTTGAAAACTATTTTTACTTGATAGAACAATTAGAAAAGCATATATAGACAAACAATTCCTGATAGGAAATAAGTGCTTTGTTAGAAACATCTAATAGATCTAAGCATATTGGATCTAAGCATATATTTAAGCAGATCAGATCTTTAGCATATTGGATCTAAGAACATCCACATAGTGAGAATATAGATCTAAGCATATTGGATTTAAGCAGATCAGATCTTTAGCATATTGGATCTAAGAACATCAGCTTAGAAAGAATATAGATCTAAGCATATTGGATTTAAGCAGATCAGATCTTTAGCATATTGGATCTAAGAATATCTGATCTAAGCATATCAAATCTAAACATATCAGATCAAAGCATATCACATCTTAGCATATTAGACTGTCGTGGATGTTATATATATATCTTTTATTGACTGGGAAATGAATGAATGAGGCTAGTCTCTCAGTCATGATACAATAAAGCCTGTAAGTGGAACTCACTTGGGACACACAAATACAGGGTGTTCAAAAAAAAACGCAACCCAAAGAAATCGCTATATCTTGGAAAATACTTATCCAATTGTGTTCATTTTTTACTAACTTTCTAACCATGGTGTTTTGGCACTTCAGATTCACCACAAATTATCTTCATATAATGTGTAGTGAATTAGGGGAGTTTCATTAAAATCACTCCAGGGACTTTACAGTCATGGTCAAAATGCCTTCTTAAGTCTGACTGAACCAGGGTGTTTGACTGGGTTTTGAAAGCATTTCAACCAAAACTGTAAAGTCCCTGGAGTGATTTTGATTTCACTTTACAGATTTATCATACATTGAATGAAGATGATTTGTGCCAAATTTGAATAGCCAAAACACTATGGTTAGAAAGTTATTTGGTTTTATTGCTGTGGCAGTAGTCTCTGACTGCGTTTTTCGTATCTTTCCAATACTGATGTCTTTTGAGCATTTGTCCAAGGCATCATGTTTTACAACTAACTAACAACATGAGCTATACATACCCAGTCTCTTCTTTCCTTCCTGAAAAAATGAACACAATTGGACTAGTATTTTCCAAGATATAGCGATTTCTTTGGGTTGCGTTTTTTTTAACACCCTGTATATTCCATTTTTGAGGTATTCCATAAAGGTTCATCAATAAAATCATTACAATCACGATGTGTTTAGTTTAAGAGGTGTTCCACTCATAGGGTGTTCCAGGTACAGTTACAGTGTTCCACTTACAGAGTTGTTCCACTTACAGAGTTGTTCCAATTACAGCATTCCACTTACAGAGGTGTTCTAAGTATAGTGTTCCACTTACAGAGGTGTTCCACTTCCAGGTTTTCCTGTACCATCAATTTCAATGAGAGATTACAATGAGCTTAATGTCCGTTGTAAGAAAAACAATACAAGCGATGCGTATCATGATGTATCATTTCCTTTTCGCATTGAGATGATGATTTGCAACACAGAATAATAGGACGGATACAAGAATGGCTATCATTCATTTTTTCTTGGTCTACAAAGAAAATATTTTCAAATACGACATCTATTTACAAATACCTACGCTTATAACTTCAGTGCGGTTCAGCCTAAGCCATAAACAAAATATGTTAATGAAAAGATGGCAGCGTATCCAACATGTGCCGTCACATTATGGCTGTTGTCATAAATATAGATACAGGGTGACCCAAAACAACAGATCCCACAAATACTTGAATAGGGGGCTAGCTAGGGTTCTGCTTCTTTGGGTCATCCTGTACTAATGTCCTCTAGTCAAATTGATTATCAAACAGTCGCTAGTCCGAGGCTGACGAGATGATCCATAATTGAATGATTATGTACATATTTTACCAGTATTTTACATACTATGTACGAGGGCCGATCAGAATGTAATGGACCGTTGGCTCTAACTTTGCCAATATTTAGTCTTATTTCTGATCGCCCCTCTTATACCAATTTTGTAAAAATTTACGCCTAATCTCATGAAAGTGTAGTATTGTATTGTAAATAATTTGTATCGTATTGTACAAAGATCTAGAAATGTATATAAATATTAAATATGTCTGCCAATTTACTGGTGTATATTTTGGAAATATATGTAAATACTCAATGATCCACAGATAGTATAATGTAAGCAGGGTCGTTTAACTTGGATATTATTTTTTATGAAAACAATATGAACGCTGATTGCATCGTAATTAGTCAAAATGCTGAAATTGACTGTGAATGTAAATAAAGTATGTATGAGTAAATACAAATGTAAGTAATATAATACTCATTATGTTGGTTTTAATCTTTACTTTATGATATTATACACCGAAAGACACAGTAAAATCGATAGAAACGAATTATTTCAAATATATGAAGAAGTCACTATGCCACAGAACGAAATCTATGACATTTTTTCAATAAAATGTTTGATGGTAACGCTCCAAATCCTGTGCTATGCTAAAATGTATATACATAGGCTAAGGTCGATAAAAATAATTTTTAAATAAAGATGGCATGGTAATCGATCTGTGTTTATTTATTCTCTAGCTAATAATACTGGATCTGTTGGTGCTGCCATCTTTATATCGGCCCAGAACCTATGGTTATATACATATAAGCACTCTTCTGATAGAACATATGCGAGCGCACATTGTTTGGCCCACCCTGTATATGGTGAGTGTAACTCTGGAATATGACTACGTGTTAAAGGAATCAGAATGGAGAGACATTGCAAATGTGGGAAACCATCCTTTCATCGTGCCAGGAATGCGTCCTCTAACTTAACACTCCTTAGTTTAGCATCTGAAAAGGAATTGAGAACGCTGATATAAACAAAATTCAAATTACGTAAATTAATGATGTAAGTCGATGAAAAACGCAGAAATTTAATGCGCAGATTTAATGTGTCAGAAACGTTATTCAAGATCCAAAATGCAGAAATACCCCAAATTCAGTAACTGAAAAGGGGAATAGATTATTTTACCGTTTCTTTGACAGATAATCCTTAAAATTGAGGATTATCATCAGAACTTGTCTTAAATTTTACAAATTAGGCATAGACGAATCAAACATTTAATGTTGATTGAGAGCAGAAAAATATTGTAAAAATTGAAGCATTTTCTTCATAATTTCGTCCTTACTCGTTTCTCTCTCCTGCTCATTTGCAATTGTAAGTACAGCATCCTATATCGTGACCCTAGCGTACATATAAGTGCATGACTCGCTATTCGCTGGAAATATTCCCAATTATTATTTAATAATCAGATTACGATGTTTCATACAATGTCTTGGCCATTCGTGACCCATGTCACATGTTTTACATAACATCTGACTTTGATTCCCATAAACGGATCGTTAAATTGCTTTATACGAATTCATCGTCATGTGACTCTTTGTTATTGAATGAGATCGAATGATGACTGGCCACCAATTTCCTCAGATTCACATGATCCAATGCATCGTTTCGGTATTATAATCCCACGCATAAAACTCTTAACCCGGACACTGACTTTCTGTGTGCTTTTTAATGACTGACATAAACCAGCCATCATGATCGAGGATATTTCTCAGAACTTAAGGAGTTCACTAATTTAATATACAATCAACCTCGGAAAGCTATAAAGAAATTGTTTCGGTCCCATTTCCTCCCATTGACTTCCATGTTAAAAGAACTTGACAAGTGATCACATCCCTATTCAAGTTAAACAGTGAACAATAATACATGGAAAATTAACCTGTCTCATCTGAACATTTTTCATAGGAATATCACATGCTCCATACGCAATTGCAATAGTTGATATACGCGAATGCAAAAAACTCAAAATGTGAACACCTAATCTAAACGCTTTTAAGTCAATACCAATTACGTTCGGATTAGACAGGTTTCCCTGTAGTTGAATTACGCTAGCTTAATATCAAATTGAAGTTTTCGTTACATAATCAATCGATATATGATGCGTAGTATGAGCAATATATTGCTTCTAAATTAAACATGGATATTCATCTATTTCAATTACAACCGATTGAATGAATCAGTCCAATGCGGAAGTTGCTGATGCCTCATAGGCAAAGTAAGGTTACTTAGTCCCTTTCATTGACTTTAATACAAATAGACCATATTTTAATCACGTTTTATAGAGGAGACTAAAAGCAATAAACATACATGTATATACACATACTTATAGATACGGGTCACAAGGTATAAGGAATATAAATATAAGTTTGTTAATAGTTCACGTACAATGCTTTAAAAGTTCACATACAATGCAAGGTTAAACTTTCTAAGAATTTTAACCAACAAAAGTAATTTCTATAATCTGATACTAACATTGTATGATCGACAAAATGAAAGACAGATTTTTTCAACGAAACACAGTATACGGAAATAACAGGCTCGTGAGTCGAGGCTCGAGTTACTAATTATAATACATCAACTTAAGTTAAAGGCCTGACAAAAACTCAAACGGTGAAAAAAAGTCAATTCGAGAGGAAAACAGTGAGAGACTGAACCCAAGGAAATGTTGAAGAGACTGAAAAATTTGTAAGTATATTTCTTATAACAAGTTAAGTTACAGAGGATACCTTGAGTATCAGAGCCTAGTAATGCAACCAACAAGGGGGGGGGGCAAATTTCAGGAAAACATTTATGATCCCCTAAAACAATTTCTTACCCTCCCACCCCCTCCCCCGGCTCTTATTTACCTCCTTCAAAATTCAGAAAATAATAATGCAGCAGTGGCGGATCCGGGGGGGGGGGCATGGACCAAAAAAATTTGGGCCAAAAAAGGCCTTTAAACCCCAAAAAGTGGGCCTTTTAGGTCATTACTTGGCCTTCTAATGCCTTATTTTTTAATTACAGGCCAAACTTTGAAGAAAATGGGCCTCAAAATTTCAAAATTTGGGCCCGCTTTTCGGTTTTAGGGGCCCAATTTTTTTTCTATGACCGGAAATTTGCCCCCCCCCCCCCCTTGTTGATTCCTGGATCCGCCACTGTGCCGGGTTACACGGGGCTTACTTGTACAGGTTAAAGTGGGTAATTCACATTGAATATAGTATCTGAAGTGATATATCACAAGTTGTACAGCTTACGCCCAACATATTCCCGATTACCGTAATGTTTCCAAAGTAAATAGAACCAATGGTCAATGTGGCCGAATTAAACTATTGAATGCGGTCGAGTACTAAGTTCACAATCCAAACACATATACTTGGCAAGATGCCTCTAATCCATGTATTATAGTAATCTCTTAGCTGGTTTGAACGGACAAGAAATGGACAAGCATTCGTTGTATCGATCAAAATACGGTTTATTCTTCATTCTTCGACCTCCAATAGCAGAATAGAGCCTAAGACAATGACTAAATGACTGTATTTGCAGGTCAAGTTCTTATATATAAAAGAGTTTGAGACCATAACAATATGTCACCACCAGAAGTGGTGACATGAACATATTAGTGACTGTGGTCTTAATAGCCTTTACTGATTTGGAATAGCTAGACTTGCATTTTATTCATAAATACAGTCATCAACTGTTGAAGATTTTGCTGGCATTCATAAATTCATCATGACATTAATATCACTTTGTGATATCTACTCTATATTTATTCACAGTGATAATACTATTTGCTTATGTCGTAGTAAATTGAGCAAAACAAGCTAATCCCGATAAAAGTCAATCGCTTCAACATTGTACATTTTGTATGGTATTAAAAGACAAGATTAAAAATGAAAAACACCCAATTCAAAAAAAGTTTGCAGATATTTAACAATTGTTATATTTTTGGACCAACCTGTAACCCTAAAGATCACCCCCATTCAATGTTACATTCTTTCTAAAAATGTCAAGTCAAATCCTCTTTATTTTATAATCATCATTTTTTGTTGAATATCAACTTAACATTGTTTGTACCGAGTCTCGATGATATTTACTGATTAATGCACGCTGACATTTTTTTGTCAAACCACGATGTAATGACTTTTTCTATTTTACAGCTTCAAAGATGTCACTGGGAGTGATGGCCAACAACGAAATTCAACGTTTTATCCTGACTCTAATGCTGCGAACCTTCAACCAGGCAAAGCGTCCAATGTTAAAATTGAAATTAAAACCAAGGTAACACATGGCCATAATGAGAAAACCAACGTTAGAGTTAAGACAGATGGCGCTAACGGCAATGGGAAACTATTCTCAACAGGTGGCGCTGGTATCCAGTCACCAGGCGGAGTTAGGAGTGCTATCCGCAGTTTCGAAAGGGGGTCGGTTGATGATTATAATCCGTCTTCACAATCGCCAATAATCAAACCAAAGCGTTACCCCCTTCCAAACAATCAAGGGGAACGAAAGTCCAGCCCCGTTACATCTCCATCAAGTGTTAGTAACTCTGATACGTCATATCGTTCAGAGGTCAAACTAAATATAACTGGTGGTAAGGTGAATGAAACGCCTAAGTATAAACCAGTGAACTTCAATATCAGTACAAATCCAACCCCTTCTCCGACGCCCTTGTCCACAGGAGGGCATAAAGGAAAAATGACCGTTAATTTAAAATCAACAGACTTCAAGAATATTCACTTCAGCTCGGATTCGGGATTAAGTAGTACGGGAAGTCCGTTGAATAATGTCATCCCTACATCGCCAAAGGTGACGAAAAAGCCAAGAGCAGTTTCCAAAAAATGGAAAACCAAGCCCAGAGAAAATTACAAGCTTGACACAAAAAGTAATATAACTACAATCACCTTAGAGCCACCTATTACCACAAACCAGCCTATTGCTCCCAAATTAAACATTTTAAATCGTCCATTGCCGAATCCCCCTAAACCACCACGCAGCAACCTACTCCTTACAAGGAAAAAGTCGGAGAAAAAGAAAGTGTCTCATGCACATGGAAAAGGTGTTACAACCGCTATGAATAAACCATCTCCCCAATTTAAGCAGATGAAGACTATGACGACAACAATAGCACCAGATATCGCGCCTACTCCCCCTCCGAGACCGATGTCCACATTGGCGGGACTGAAGAACTTGGTTCAACAGCCAAAGAAAGAAGAGTTTGGTAAATTTCGCCCTAGGATGAGCAGATACCGCCCAAACCAGAGACAGAGGTAAGAGTGCGTTTTGCATTGCTATGAAATTGATCAATCCAACTTTTTATTAGGCCTATCACTTTCTCATTGAACGGTATTGCTTTTCAAATTGTAAATCCACACTAGAACAACTTCACAAACAATGGCTTGATATGAAAATGAAAATGACTATACCAGTTCTTAAAACTGTAATGTTTTGTACTTTGCAGAACTCTGGAGCGTCCAGTAAATGACATCCTTGATGGGACAACATCCCCCACACAGAAGCTTTCCACTCTTACAAGAAGAGGACAGAACAAACTGAACGCTTTGTTCAGCTTTAAACACGGTGGGGTCGCTCAAAACAAGACCAAATCCCTTGGCAAATCCAAAGGACATGTCCCATACAAAAGAGCCACGCGCAAAAACAAAATGAAGAAATCTTTGGATAAGAGAAAGATGAAAGGGGCGTTCGAAAAATCTGAATTGGAAGAGAAGAAACGCATCGCTGAATCAAAATGGAACAATATTGTTAAGTCAGAGAGCACTTGTGCCAATTGCACAGATCAAATAGGATATTCTTCATTCTTACAATACAACCCTGGTATTGTGTTCCACAGTGATTGCTTCAAGTGTTTTGCGTGTGGCGGTGGGTTGCAGTCCCAAACTGGGAACTTTTCTTACGTAGCTTACAAAGGATCTATTCCCGTCTGTAAACCATGTGCCCACGATATGCACGCAGTGCGCTGTGTGATATGCGATCAGGGAATCGGTAACTCTAAGTCAAGTGAAAAAACAAAATATAGACTAACTGCTGATGGGAAGCCAATGTGTAGCGATTGTGAACACAAATGTGTAGTTTGTGATAAACGATTGCCACAAAAATACAAAAGCGATCCATTTTGGGACGAGTCGTACTGCCCGCACCATGACCACGGGAATCATCGCTGTGAGGGATGTAACAGGATGGGTGGTCTTCCACTGAAAACAGAGACCCTTATGGACGGGAGAATCATATGTTTCGACTGTGGCCTAACTGCTGTCCGAAATGAACCAAAGGTGCAACAGCTATGGCAAGAAATAGTAAAGTTCTACGAAGAGGACTACACGCTAGTACTGCCACAAAAGGGTGGCTTCCCAGTGAGGACCGTGACACGCCAAGAGATGAAGGCATTAAAGAAAGACCGCGGGGACGGGAAATGTACAACACGTGGCCTGACTATAAGTGAAATAACCGTCTCACATGGCCCACGAGGGACATCAAAATCTGGCCTTGTAAGAGAAATTGTAGTATTAAGTGGTCTACCCGAGATTATCACAGCTGGCATACTTGCTCATGAATTCATCCACGCGTGGTTTACCCTACAAGATTTATCAGTGGGCAAAGAATTGAGTCCCGAAACTCGTGAAGGTACAGCTGAACTGGGAGCATACCTTTGGTTGAGGACTAAAATGACTGATAATTACGCAAGACCCGGTGATGAAGATCTCTTAGATAGAGCTGTATATGATATTGAGAATAATCAAAACAAAACGTATAGTGACGGTTTTAAGATGATCAAATTGGCTTATGATAAATGGACTCGTCATAGAGTGGATGACTTAAAGGGATGTCTGCTGTATATACACAAAGTAGGAAGAATATAATGATATTGTATCGTCATTATCTAACTTTACGTATAGATTTCGCATTTCATAGCACTAATATTTTTTATAAAATAAAATACACATTATTTAATGTTTAAAGTTATACTATAGTTATTATGTCACCATCAGAAGTGGTGACATATTGTTATAGTCGCCAACTTTTCTGTGGATGGTGCTTGTCGGTTGGTATTCGGCGTCTGTAACAGCGGCCCGGGAACAGCGGTTGGCATCTGAAAAAATGGCAGGTGGTGAAAATGTTGCATGTTAATGCCTTGTAATTTTCTATTCATCATGAAACTAACGCAGTAGACATTTACAGTGTAATCTTTCCATACAGATAGAATCCTCGAATATTAATAACACTGTCAAAAATGAAAATTAAAGTAATGATTCTAGCTTGATCAAGACTCCATACTGTCCTATATTTATTCATCTTCATATCAAGTCCAATATTCATTTCATGAAAAATACAAAACATGGGTTTTAGGCTGATATAAAGATGGCAGCATTGTCCAATGATGACTCGTTTATAATTCTCTGAAAGAAGATATATTCGAGCTTTTTCTTTTACTTTTCTAAGTTACATCTTATATTTGTTTGGAACTTGGTCAGATTAAATCTTTTGTTGAAATTGACAAATTGGGTAAACATGTCAAAACACTATGTAGCAGAGAAATAAAATGAAAATCACAGTGGGGTTATGAAATTATATTGATCTTTCAGTACTCAAAACATGGGGTCTGGAAAAAAGTTACGATCGAAATTAACTGATATGGATATATTAACAAATTCGGTTGGTGCATTAAAATTCCAAGAATGCAATACTATAGGGGTCAATTAAGGGATAGGTGATATATGTGCCAAAGAGCTGAACAATCATAATCTTACCAAAGGGTACTGATAAAATTATTCATTTACAATTTATGACACACTTCTAGTTCTACAGATAAGATTTACCTATATTACTGTATTATATTAATTTGCGACAGGCAGTGATCATCTACATGTAGGCTATAGGAAATTGAAACGCATTGATGTATTTAAGATTGTCTAACTTCGGCGGACAAGAATTGCAGATGAACCGATGAGTGAAATACTGAGTTGACTTCTTCAAATCTTCTGAATCTCGGTTGGATCATTTAACGACAATTCATTATTGACCCGTCATTTTTGAGGATTAAATCCATGAGAGGGTAGTTGCAATATTCCTCTAGTGTTTAGTAAGCTAAATCGCCAATTCCCTATCGATACCACTATGTCTGAATCAACTGAGAAGCAACCGCCACCAGAAAGCTCCAATCCAAATGGCCCGTCTGCTGAGGATATATCAAGAGTTATGAACATTGACTGGTTAAAAACTATCCCAGGAATTCTCAAAGCTTGGCAAGTGGTAAATAGCATCATGGTATACCATGGCCTTCTCTTTTACAACTTTATAGTCGTTCTATTCCGTGAAGTGATGAGTACCAGAATGGGTGAATCGATGTTTTAACAATACAGCTTACTAGTCTTAGACTATGGGATATATGTCACCATGCGATACGATGTCATGTAACAACCACAACACGATCGCTAGTTGTAATGTCACAAGTCACGGTCGATACGATTGCGAGTTGTCATGAATCACGATACGATTTCCAGTTGTAATCTTACATGTCACAATACGATTGCGAGATGTCATGTTACACGTCACAATACAATTGCGAGTTGTCATTTTACATGTCACAATACGATTTTCAGTTGTCATCTTACATGTCACGATACGATTGCGAGTTGTCATGAATCACGATACGATTTCCAGTTGTCATCGTACATGTCACAATACGATTGCGAGTTTTCATTTTACATGTCACAATACGATTGCGAGCTGTCATGTTACATGTAACAATACGATTGCGAGTTGTCATTTTACATGTCACAATACGATTTTCAGTTGTCATCTTACATGTCACGATACGATTGCGAGTTGCCATGAATCACGATACAATTTCCAATTGTCATCTTACATGTCACAATACGATTGCGAGTTGTCATTTTACATGTCACGATACGATGGTGAGTTGCCATTCTACATGTCACAATAGCGAGTTGTCATGTTACATGTCACAATACGATTGCGAGTTGTCATTTTACATGTCACGATACGATGGCGAGTTGTCATTTGCAAGTCATGATACGATGGCGAGTTGTCATTTCACATGTCACAATCGCAAGTTGTCATGTCACATGTCACAATACGATTGCGAGTTGTTATTTAACATGTCACAAAACGATTTTCAGTTGGCATGTACATGAAATGTCACAAACCAAGCGAGGTATAGGGAAACTTAAATATAAATAGGTTATTTACTTGAAGGGATTGAATATGACTTTTATTCCAAGGGTCAATATCATATTGTCCGAGAATAAAATACCATCCACAACGAACCTGTATACCAAATTCATGTATCATTCCAATCAGAGAGCCTGTTTCTTCCTTAAATGAGACATAAAATGTAATATTTTACAAGCCAATACCATTTTTCATTCCATAAATTTTTTGGGGGAAAATTTAGTATTTGTGAAATAAAATGGTCTGTTGGTGCATTTTCATATTATTAATTTAAATTGAATCTCTTGTCGAGCGGGAAATTATTTCTACTTGCCTTAATCGCGGACCTATACGTAGCTACTAGCTAAGTACACCCACACTTTTGCTTTAAGTTCTTAAATTCTCAAAACCCTTTTATACGAATTTGCATAATACCTTTGTTGAATAATACAATATCGGATTATCGTGGGTTCTAGTACTCGGAACATTAGAATTCAAATCCTTTTAGGCGTCGGTAGTTGGTGATAGCGTTCTAAACGACAGGGCCGGTAAAATATTGAGGATAATCAAAAAACCAACCTAGGATAGACGCTTGAGAGGAGACACTCTATAAGGATACTTCGCAATATTTAATAACACTCAAAATTTGGGAAAACGTAGATATGAGCGATACAGAAACTACCAACGCTCCGTCATCGAGCAATAATGATGGATGCATGAATGGCGCGTATGTCAGAAGCCTCGTTGGAATATTCAAAATTCTCCAAATTGTAATTATAATTTTTGGAACTTTTAGTTTCGTTTTTACATAAAGCCTTAAATTAAATACTGGTGTTAATAAATTTATCATTTTGATCCATTCTATAGCAACATCGTAAGCACAGATTGCTTTTGTGACTATCCGTTTTTGTTTTGGGGCCAATTTCGTACTGCTTCATTTGATGTTTGACAAATATGGCCCCAAATGTAGCTGTCATCATGAATACCCTTAGCCATGAATTTAGAAATTGTAAATAAATGAATCGTTTAAGAGACTATGTTACCCGAATGCAAAAGATACCCACTTACATATGAATGTGTAACGACCCTCACTCTGCATGGTAAGTGCAAAAGGTATTGGTAGCGTCAAAGGGTTTATGAGTGAGTGGAAGAATCGTCACATTATTACCGGGTCCGTGTTGTGATTGTATATGCTCTCGAGGGTTTTACAGACATGACTGGTTGAATGGCAAAATGGCTGAATATGTCGCACTGCGACATAAAACATACACCTAACTGACAAAACAGATGATTTAGTTTAAATATAAATGAAAACATGATTATGGGTTTATTTACAATGTGATTATATATTGAGTATAGTAATTATGACAATTACACACATAGTGTGGAAATATATGTATATGAATAAAAGTTCTGATATTGTGACACATGGATGATATATGGTGCAGCGCTACTCAATGGCAACGGGTACCCATATTCAAGGATTACGCACAAAGGTGGATCGTTATGCAACTAAGATCCCTGAAATGTGGTTACGATAATATACATAGTATTTCCTATCAAGTACAATTCATACTTAAGTAAGATTACATAATTACCAAGAAGCTGATACTGCAATTACACATTATTGAGCTCATATTCATAAATCTTACATTAAACATATAACATACAATACTTTCATCTGGGAGAGTGTATGACACAACTGGTGACCAAGTAAACATACATAGTAATATGTATTACCATGACTTTGCAACAACCTATGACAATGAGAACAACAACTGGCACCTTGGAGTGTACGACATGACGTAAAGAACCTAATTACAACCACTGACAAAATGTAAGACCGACTAGATATATCAACGTAACATTACGTATTCACAAGCTTGGGTGAAACATACCAAATAATGACTATAACAATAACTTGTACAACATTTGATTCAACATACCAATTAGTGATAACAATGTATACATGACTGCTCATTATGTAACATGCTAGGAAAATTAATGTCATATAACATGTGGGTGCAATCACATGACATGGATATACATGTCACGTAACTAGTGGGCGCCTGCTATGAAACATGCCGACGCGTGCTACATGACATATGGGTGCGATTACACATCATGTGGGTACATGCTATGTAACAAGTGGGTGCATGTTATGTAGTAAGTGATCAATCATGAACATAAGTGAACCTGTAGACCCAAGTTGGTAGTAGTACATCACCAACTTATAATATTCCATGACACAACATAGGGGTGGGTGCAACAACTTGTATTCCCTTTGGTAATATTGGGTGCAACAAATTGTATCTCCCTAGGGTGGCTTTGGGGAAAGCCATACATACATACAGTATATAAATTATAGTATGACCTTAATGCAACAATACAATAAAACCGACACTCCAACCATCGATAAACAATAGAACAGTTCAAGTTCAAAACTAGTATCAGGCTAGACCATAAACTAGGGTTCCATCAGGGTTTAACTCAACACCATCATCTATCTGACACTAACTGTTGCCCAACAGTAAGACTTGAACTCCATAAGCCGACTTTATACAAGCGAGACATTACGTAACATACAACTGCACAGGGTAGTTTGCAGTGTACCAAAACATGATCAATTTGGGTATTGATCATCAACAATGAAGCAAACTGACATGATCAAACTGGGTATGTTGATCATCAACCATGTAAACCAAATATGGGTCAAATAATTCCAATGTGCTTTTGCATTAACAAGTCAAATCCAAATCCAAATGTAATACTTGCCAATTTCACCACACTCAGTATACATAGAGTGCTTACAGCTTGAAATGAGGTGTAGGGTGTCCATCCACATGAGGTATTTGCATCAGCATATGAGTGGTTGGTTGTTGGTGGTATGTAGTTCGCCATTTGACAGACATGCTGACAATTGCAAGTCATGCGGGAGGGGTGAACCTCAAACTTCAAGCCTGATTTGGGGGTCAGACTTCGTGCAGATCCTGTTGTAATCACCTCATGTGGACGGACGACTTACTGGTGTAAATCGTGAGACAGTTTAGACACCTCGACGGTCAACAATAGCGACATTTTGAGTGAAGATAGCGGAGCAAATCACGAATGATTTACTCGAAAAACATAAGATGGCTACCTGTCTTCTGCGCACGCGCAGCGCCCTACATAAATTACGAACTTATGTAAATCCACAAAAACGGCCATAACTTCGCCAATACAGGACCGATTGCAAAGTTTAAACTACCTATAGAGAGCTTAATTTACGTATTATGTGCATATCCTACTAGATTAATGATAAAACATAGTAAACAGGGTGAAATTTAGACCAGAAAACTACGACAGTAACCTTGACCTTTTTACGTCAAAAGTACGAACGGAACTAAGAATAGTTCGAGAATTACGCTAAAAGTACGAACGTAATTAACAATATCCACAAATTACTAGAATAGGACACTTTAGTGGATAATAACGATCTAAACATGTATGTGAGTATATAAACATCATTAAGTGAAACCCAACAGTGGTGAGACATCGAGCTGACATTACTGAATAGCGGCAAACAAGAAAGTAAATCTGTTGGGTTATCACACTACTCCCCCTTTTGAAAAGTGTTCGTCCTCGAACATGAGGCTGAATAATAAAGGAGTCCCAACTGATATATTTATGTTAAATACCACTTTACAATACATTAATACTAAATTGTCCATCAGCAAAGGTGCTGGTTGATTATCACTAAAGTTGGGGACTCCGCTGTGTCCGCTGCTCCATCTGACATCGTTAGAGTTGGGGACTTCGCTGTGTCCGGGACAATCAATTCCTTTATCAAACTCAGCATCATAAGTTTATCACATGTGACAGACACATAGTGAGATTGTCTTGATTCAGCTACTGCAGCACACTGAATAGATATACGCATAGAATAAAGTCTCAGTCCATTGATAGAAACATGAAGGCTCACCACAAACCCACATGACTACTGGAATAAGAACATTCTTACAACATGGGTGTACATCATTACAAGTCATGAAGCCTCGCAAATAACATAGTCCATCTTCTAGAAGACTTCATGTGCTACAGGGTTATCTCTTTTTCCAGGTCATCTAGGGTTATGACTCAACCATAAAACATGAAATCATGAAAACAGATAAGTTGGTTAGGGGCAACAAACCAACAAACTGTGATCATAACAGTGGTCAGATATGCGGCCAGAATATGAGACCATAAGAGTCGTAACCCTACAACCTTATCCAGCTTATTAGGTTGTCCATTTAAATATCACACTTCATCTCACCTAATCACTCAAGCCCAACTCTATTTTTGGTGGTAACATACATACAGTAGGCATCTTTTTACTTTTTATACTCAATCTGATGACCTGAGACCCCTGGCCATTGCTGGAGTAGACTAGTTATGTCGCCAAAAGGCATATCGGACACAACCAGTGCTACCAACACCGGATCCATTGGCTCAAGCAACATGTTGCAAAAAGTTAGCTGCTTACTTTTTACAAATTTCTTCTAGGCTAACTGGAACCATTTTAGAGACATTATGAGTTGCCTGTCGAGCATGACAACACTAACTTCTCTACTACCAATGACAATGACTGCTCAGAACTCAAACCGTGAACTAAACCAGTCAAGTGGTGAGATGCAATGAGGTGAATGACAACTGTGTGAGGAAACTCTTCAGCTGGTTTGCAGAAGAAGTTACCTGTAAATACAGCTTACTCCACTAGGTAGGAACACTGGTCTGTGACCCACCGTTGGAGTTGTCACTCTTGGTCCATATGTGCACTATGACCAGGACATCACAACTAACCACATGTCCAGAAAAGAACACATTAAGAGCACAGAGAAGACATTGTCACAATTAGGAGATTGGTATTTCTCCTTAAACACATTTACGGGTCACACACCTCCCAGTTGAACTAAGTCGCAAAAGTTATCAATATGACAACCTTAAGAGTGGTTTTGGGTAACGTAACTGTCAGCTTTATTCCTGACATAATAAATGAGTGTCCAAATGCATTTTTGAGTTTATGCACTGAGGAACACATTTTTGCACAATTTCTTGGAAACTGTTACGTAACACATATATTGCCATATACATAGTTTCTGCCGTTACGGGTCACAGCATTGAAAGAGAGCCAATCACAACTGATTATATCCCACCGCTGCCACCAAAATGTAACGACCCTCACTCTGCATGGTAAGTGCAAAAGGTATTGGTAGCGTCAAAGGGTTTATGAGTGAGTGGAAGAATCGTCACATTATTACCGGGTCCGTGTTGTGATTGTATATGCTCTCGAGGGTTTTACAGACATGACTGGTTGAATGGCAAAATGGCTGAATATGTCGCACTGCGACATAAAACATACACCTAACTGACAAAACAGATGATTTAGTTTAAATATAAATGAAAACATGATTATGGGTTTATTTACAATGTGATTATATATTGAGTATAGTAATTATGACAATTACACACATAGTGTGGAAATATATGTATATGAATAAAAGTTCTGATATTGTGACACATGGATGATATATGGTGCAGCGCTACTCAATGGCAACGGGTACCCATATTCAAGGATTACGCACAAAGGTGGATCGTTATGCAACTAAGATCCCTGAAATGTGGTTACGATAATATACATAGTATTTCCTATCAAGTACAATTCATACTTAAGTAAGATTACATAATTACCAAGAAGCTGATACTGCAATTACACATTATTGAGCTCATATTCATAAATCTTACATTAAACATATAACATACAATACTTTCATCTGGGAGAGTGTGTGACACAACTGGTGACCAAGTAAACATACATAGTAATATGTATTACCATGACTTTGCAACAACCTATGACAATGAGAACAACAACTGGCACCTTGGAGTGTACGACATGACGTAAAGAACCTAATTACAACCACTGACAAAATGTAAGACCGACTAGATATATCAACGTAACATTACGTATTCACAAGCTTGGGTGAAACATACCAAATAATGACTATAACAATAACTTGTACAACATTTGATTCAACATACCAATTAGTGATAACAATGTATACATGACTGCTCATTATGTAACATGCTAGGAAAATTAATGTCATATAACATGTGGGTGCAATCACATGACATGGATATACATGTCACGTAACTAGTGGGCGCCTGCTATGAAACATGCCGACGCGTGCTACATGACATATGGGTGCGATTACACATCATGTGGGTACATGCTATGTAACAAGTGGGTGCATGTTATGTAGTAAGTGATCAATCATGAACATAAGTGAACCTGTAGACCCAAGTTGGTAGTAGTACATCACCAACTTATAATATTCCATGACACAACATAGGGGTGGGTGCAACAACTTGTATTCCCTTTGGTAATATTGGGTGCAACAAATTGTATCTCCCTAGGGTGGCTTTGGGGAAAGCCATACATACATACAGTATATAAATTATAGTATGACCTTAATGCAACAATACAATAAAACCGACACTCCAACCATCGATAAACAATAGAACAGTTCAAGTTCAAAACTAGTATCAGGCTAGACCATAAACTAGGGTTCCATCAGGGTTTAACTCAACACCATCATCTATCTGACACTAACTGTTGCCCAACAGTAAGACTTGAACTCCATAAGCCGACTTTATACAAGCGAGACATTACGTAACATACAACTGCACAGGGTAGTTTGCAGTGTACCAAAACATGATCAATTTGGGTATTGATCATCAACAATGAAGCAAACTGACATGATCAAACTGGGTATGTTGATCATCAACCATGTAAACCAAATATGGGTCAAATAATTCCAATGTGCTTTTGCATTAACAAGTCAAATCCAAATCCAAATGTAATACTTGCCAATTTCACCACACTCAGTATACATAGAGTGCTTACAGCTTGAAATGAGGTGTAGGGTGTCCATCCACATGAGGTATTTGCATCAGCATATGAGTGGTTGGTTGTTGGTGGTATGTAGTTCGCCATTTGACAGACATGCTGACAATTGCAAGTCATGCGGGAGGGGTGAACCTCAAACTTCAAGCCTGATTTGGGGGTCAGACTTCGTGCAGATCCTGTTGTAATCACCTCATGTGGACGGACGACTTACTGGTGTAAATCGTGAGACAGTTTAGACACCTCGACGGTCAACAATAGCGACATTTTGAGTGAAGATAGCGGAGCAAATCACGAATGATTTACTCGAAAAACATAAGATGGCTACCTGTCTTCTGCGCACGCGCAGCGCCCTACATAAATTACGAACTTATGTAAATCCACAAAAACGGCCATAACTTCGCCAATACGGGACCGATTGCAAAGTTTAAACTACCTATAGAGAGCTTAATTTACGTATTATGTGCATATCCTACTAGATTAATGATAAAACATAGTAAACAGGGTGAAATTTAGACCAGAAAACTACGACAGTAACCTTGACCTTTTTACGTCAAAAGTACGAACGGAACTAAGAATAGTTCGAGAATTACGCTAAAAGTACGAACGTAATTAACAATATCCACAAATTACTAGAATAGGACACTTTAGTGGATAATAACGATCTAAACATGTATGTGAGTATATAAACATCATTAAGTGAAACCCAACAGTGGTGAGACATCGAGCTGACATTACTGAATAGCGGCAAACAAGAAAGTAAATCTGTTGGGTTATCACAAATGCATACAATTCTGTGACTGCAATTCAAATTTTGCTAACTCAATTTTCGATCTTATCTGATTGATTGGTAGGCATCAAAACAATATACCATATTATATTTATATTGTCAAAATCAGAGGGTCGATCAATAGGCTCAATAGTGCTATTAGCTCCTCTGGAAATTAACGCAGCTTTGATAAAATTCCCAGAAGCTTCAATTATCCCACATCTTACATTTTCAGGTGCTCGGCATTATCGTCTTAGCGTGTGTTGGCTCTAGGTACTTCGTCGGCGGCCATCAGTTCTTCCTGTTCGTCGCCAGCGTCTGTTTCATAGGCTCCACTTTACTGTTCCTCTTCTATCTGTTCCGCATCACGGAGAAGCTGACATTGCCATGGACCTTCATTGTAAGTATCTTCAAACTAGCATTTCAATTGACTGGGAGCTTTATCAAAGGCAGTACTAGTAATTCCTATTATCTTCTATGTCCAAGGGTATTTATCCCAGGGATTCAGACAGTATCCAATTAAGGGATGGTATCCAATTGATAACAGTTGTGGATCAGTGGAGGGGGTGAATGATTATTCAATGATCTTTTTAAAAATCCAAGTAAAAGATGGGGGTTAAACCATACAAAAATTAACTTCATTTTTCCGATTTATGTCAACATCATCATCATCATCATTTTCCTCCGATCGACAGTTACATGTCCTGAACATTTCAGTGAACCGAATCCTTGGAAAATGAGACAAGGTGGGCCATATGAAATAAAGACAATAATCCCTTGGAAGAAAATTCTATTTACACAACATTAACTTGATGAGGTGCCATGTTAATTCTTCAAAAGCTTTATTTGAGTCTCAATTTTATCGAAATGTCTTATTTATTCCAGGACCTAATCTACAGTGCCGGTGGAACCCTCCTCTACTTCATCGCCTCAATCGTACTCGCTGTGTTCACCTATGGTTTGGGAAACCTCATTGCAGGAACAGTAAGTAATATTAAATTATTTGTAAAATAACTTCATTCGGCTATATAGCAACCCCCTTCAGGGGCGGATCTGGGAACCAGCAAGGGGGGGGGGCAAATTTCAGGTGCAAGAAAATAATTTCCGCTAAAATTTTGGGGCCCTAAAACAAAAAATATGGGCCAAAATGAGGCCTTTTAAAGGCCCAGTAATGACCAAAATGGCAAACTTTTTTGGGCCTTAAGGCCTTTTTTGGCACAATTTTTTTTGGGTCCAATCTTTTTCTGGCCCTGCTCCCCCAGATCCGCCAGTACCCTTATTGTCTATAAGTATCACAATGGCACTTATTTCCATGCCTATAGGCGGCCATATATTCACATTTTTTCCTATTGAATTCCCTATAAAAGGCCAGGAAAATGCGCAACCACGTGTACCTGATAAATGTTAAGCCTTAAGTATAAAAATACTATCTTTCATACTACAGTCATTCCAATACATGTAGAGGAACATTGGAACAACAAAAAATTAATTATACTTGAACATCAAAGGATAGGCCTACTACAAGTAGTACCCATGCCCGATGGAGCATTCAGTCTCAAGTTGAAAAAAACATTTGAGATCCTTAAGATGGTCAACATCATTGTAAATGTACTAAACTGTATTACTAAACCCAATATTACTTTTCAGGTATTTTCCTTCATGCAACTTGGCTGCTTTGGAATATCCACATTTTTCCTTTTCCAAGACTGGAGGGCGAACTCAGAGGCATCAAACAAACCAAATGTATAGACGTAAAAATAGTCTCGCACGTACCCGGTGTCATGAGAAGTATTTCCCCTTGAAGATTATACAGTATCCCCCTCTGCTGTGCTGCCCAATAAGCCCCTGATTGATTATAAAATAAATGAAAAAATATTGTAATTGGATCATCTAAAAGTAATTAAATGAGAGGACAATGTTTAGACTAGGATCCAAAATACATTTACACTGTGTGTGACAGTGATAAATGTCCGTAGTGCTAACTGTCCCCTCTCTCTATTGGACTGATTACAACGGTTTCCAAGTTAGTTTATTTTTAATCTGAGCCAGTTGGGGGACCCGGTGTAAAAGAAATTTATGTCCTCTGGGGGTTATGGTCCCCTTTCCTTATGGCCCTTACTGGCCCTGACTGTGTTTAAATAATAAGGAAAATAATTGTAATTAGGTCACCATATAAATCAATAGAAAGGAGGACCAAAATTTAAAAGGACTACCTACCCTTTTACACCGGATTTCTGTACGATGCATGCTTCCGTCTTGTCGCTAGAGCAAATCTAGGAAAATCTTAGAACAAAGATGATGACCAAATATAAAAAGGTACAATGTTAAAACATGGTCCAGCTGATATTGGGGTTGTCACACTTTTAAAGGGTAGTATACTACAATGACATCTGCTTGAGAGTAACAGCGAGGGACTAATATGAACATTTTAAATAGTATTAAAATGTGGAATTCAGAGTTCTAAACGTTGAGACAATGTAAACAAGGGAAACACCATAACACTTGCCATTTACTATTCTAGTATAACGTTAACGTGATCCAAAAACATAATTTTGAAACATAGGTAACTCATAGATTTCGAAGTTCAACATTTGTTTTTTGGATACACGGGTAAATTACCTGAATTTATTTTGTACATTTTTGTTGTATTTTTGTACTGTTCTTTAATTAGATCAAAATATGTGTAAATTTATGAATATGAATTTAAAGTTTGAAGAGCACTATAGACTAAGCACAAATGTACCTAGATCTAAGATATCAAATTGTAATGAACAGCTACATGTATTTATAAAAAATAAATCGATGAATAAATGATTTGAACAAAACAGTGTGTTCTTAGAATTGAAACTTAATGAACTGGGTAATGTTTTATATGTCTCTGAGTTAAGGTAAGACCTGATAGGACTAATTTTGAATTTGAACCAATGTACACAAGTTTACATGTAAAATGTATATACAGTTGACTGTACATCATATCCTGCAAGTCTTCTTTTGTCATGCTAATATGTACAGAAAACCATAATCCTGATACAATACTACACCATCTTTGCGGAACAGAATTGGTATTAAATCAAATTGTCTTAACTTGTTTACTATAGTATAGAAAATCCTAATCTTAATTTCTTGCATAACAAAACAATGGATAAATCTTAGAAAATATGAATATGTGTTATATTCAATAATCAATAAAATTCTATACAAAAGTATGATATAATGCTAAACCAATGGAAGTATTGACTTTATATTTCCTTTAAATTGATTTCCACTGTTCCTAAGCTGGACTACATGGATTTAACTTTGAACTGAGATTATCCTATACGATGCAGATCATTGTCAATAGACATATATTGGGATACTGGTATATATAATAGCATAGAATAAATGCATATGCCTTGCTAAAATTTGTTTCACTTAAAACTTATTTTAGTTGAAGATTAAAAATTTGGTAACACTTGTTACACTTTTCAGACACTGTCACAAAAATGCTGGCTTAATAAAAATTGTCACCACTTGTTGGTTCTGACATAAAAACATGGTTTCAGAACAGAAGATATTTGATTCCAGAAACTTGATATTTTTGTCCTATTTTCAAATAGTCATGCCTTGTTTGACCCCCCCCAAAAAAAATCAAATGATCTCCCCCTTAAATGAACAAACAAGATTTCCACATACAGTTCTAATATAAATGATTATTGCACTAAAAACAAGTATTCTACATGGTAAAATCCACATAACCATTGCACAATTAATAATACTGAAGTAGCTTACTTTAAAATACTGGTTACACTTTGGTTTCTCTTTCAGGAGTCAATGTGTTCACTATGTGACACTGTCATGGCAACAAACATACAACAAATATGAATATATAACAAAAATTATTCCAATGTACATATTTAAGGTACATTAATAGATACAGTACATTAAAATATACATGGGTGTTTCAGAAATAGTTTTAAACAGTGTAAATTAGTGAAATTAGAGAAAAGCTTTAAAATTCCCTAAAAGTTGCCCAAAATCAAATAAAAAGTTGCCTCAAATAATTCATAGATAATTTTGAGGCAGATGAAATTCCAAACACACAATTTTACATATTTCCATCCACCCCAAATGAGATCATTATCATATCATATTTTTGTACATTTGATATTACTCTAATGAAGTGATGCAGTATGTCAAGCAATAGTTTCGAAATCATTTTGCATAAAATCATGATCAAGATTCACATTATTAAGATACATCATTACCAGAATTTCACAAATGAGACCCATTCGTTTTAGTGCACACAGGCCTGATACCAGAAGAGCTTTCCTGGGTACGTTTATGGGTTTCATGACACCTATAGGCACTATAAAATTCTAATACCCTATTTCCACATATGGTACCTATAAATCCTTGGTCTCATTCGAAAAATCTCTGGTAGTTAAAATATGTTGCACTATAGTATATACGTACGATATATACGATGTATATATAGATACTAATAGATATCACACATCTACTGCATCTACCGTATTACATGTACATGGCAAAACATCAGGCCATAAAAAATATTTTTGATTGCTGTCACTGAGCCTTTGAATTTAAGACCAGTCTATTTTTGGTTTATTTTTTAAATGCACCATGCCTAGTAATCTCTTTTTCTTAAAAATATGCAAAAAAACATTCTGATACCCATCTCACCTTTCCGTTTCTCTAGAAACATATCATGAGAAGTGAGATGTCCACAATCAATCACAGTGACAAGAAACAAAACTATTTTCCTTGGCCTTACATCAATATATGATCCTACATATTTGTCAAAACTAATCCCTTATGGTACATATTACTACATTAATATATTGCACAATAAATATTGTCTTCCAATAAGGGATTTTGTCCAAATGTTAACAGTTGGAGATAATGAAATTAATTTCATCAGGGGAGGGAGATAATGCTAATTTCATTGAATAATCTTGATATTTTGAGAATTCAAGTGATAGACAAATCAACATTTTCATATTTTGTTACAAGGAGGAAGTGAAGGGGTTAAATCATAGTGAAACAAACTTTCTTTTTTTCCCAAAACTGTCAACATTTGGGTATCAATCTTACAACATCGGGAATTCAGTTATTTTAAGCTAAGTAATACAGTAAAGCAAATTATTATTTTGAAAATGAGATCATAAGAAAATACTATGTAATTATATTACCATAAACCACTAATAATCCGTTGTGTATGTCATTTTGGCAAATGGGAACCTCATTTCCAGAATATTTACTTCTTATTTACAGCTTATTTACTCGTGACTTTTTGTTTGAATTGAGTCATTTGAGTCAAACTATTTGATTTGAACATGTAACCCTTTTATCCAGGGACTTACTAATTCTGTAAGTACTAATAAATATAAATAAGGAAGAAGGAATTGCATACATTTTTATGCATGCAATACACATGAAAAAAGTCCCAAGAAAATAGTACCATCAGTCAAACTCTGAGCCAATCACAATGCTTATTTCATTTCCGAGGACTTCTGTCCCATGGAACCATACATTTGTGTCTGCTACAACTGAAATGAAGATAAGACTTACTTAAATATATATAAATATAAATACCTTATCTTATTCTTGTAGCTAATTTTCTCTCTAATGTGCATATTACCAGCACAATAGAACAAACAAGACAATATGCACCACCAAACACCAACCACCAAACACTGACCACCGAATACTTTCCACAAAAAGTGGTGACATAAAAACAATCACAGTATCACTAACAAATTAACTCAAAATAGTAATTTGCTTCAAAATCTTATTTCTCTCACAAACTTACTTATCTCGCCAGGGTTCACGATGACCTCGAATCTCCTTGCACATTCCAGGTAACACTCGGGTGGGGGCTCAAATATCCACTTCTTTTCTCCCGTTATCTGGGCCTGCCATGAGGGGTTGCCAACATTGTCAATCTAGAATAAGGGAAAATGCTTGAATATCTTCATACTTTGGGAGGCGGCAATGGGGGAAAGGGAATGGGACAAAAAATATTTCACTTTTTATCTAGAGTTACCTGTATTTTGCATAAAAATAGATGGGTTAAATGTCTACATATTGCAGAGGGAATGGGGCAAATGTAAACGTTAATATATATACGTGAGCAATCTTTTATAAAATTAAGGGAAATATAATAAAGATCATTATTTGGGATGCTGGGGATTTGTCTCCTTATAACCAGTTAAATGTGATCTTCAATTTTTATGGTATTTTGCTTTTTGATACTTATTCTTACATACATTTATCTGATCAAAATTATGTAATAAGTGTTGTGTAATAGTCTTGCTTAAAGTCTCTGCCCCCCCCTCCCCCTATCTATTTCACCACCATTGTAGGGAAATGTATAGTTTGGGGGGGGGGGCTTGTAGCTAGATTTTTAGTTTGACAATATAAATCTTACGTGTATTGGTGCCCCATATCCAGGTACTCCCATAAAGATCCAATCAGTCTTGCTAGATTCTGAGACACCAGGAAGGAAGTAAGGTTTCTGGTAGTGCTCTCTAAGTATATTAGCTGCTGCTGCATCACAGTTACTCCTAGAATCACAATATTAATACAGGGTGTAATGTGTATTAGCTGCTGCTGCATCAAAGTTACTCCTAGAATCACAATATTAATACAGGGTGTAATGTATATTTGCTGCTGCTATATCACACTTACTCCAAAATCACAATATTAATACAGGGTGTAATGTACATTAGCTGCTGCTGCATCACAATTACTCCTAGAATCACAATATTAATACAGGGTGTAATGTATATTAGCTGCTGTTGCATCACAGTTACTCTTAGAATCGCAATATTAATACAGGGTGTAATATATATAAACTGTTGGTGTATCACAGTTACTCCTAGAATCACAATATTAATACAGGGTGTAATATATATAAACTGTTGGTGTATCACAGTTACTCCTATAATCACAATAGTAATACAGGGTGTAATGTGTATTAGCTGCTGCTGCATCACAATTACTCCTAAAATCACAATATTAATACAGGGTGTAATGTATATTAGCTGCTGTTGCATCACAGTTACTCTTAGAATCGCAATATTAATACAGGGTGTAATATATATAAACTGTTTGTGTATCACAGTTACTCCTAGAATCACAATATTAATACAGGGTGTAATATATATAAACTGTTGGTGTATCACAGTTACTCCTAGAATCACAATATTAATACAGGGTGTAATCTATATTAGCTACTGCTGATGCATCACAATTACTCCTAGAATCACAATATTAATACAGGGTGTAATTTATATTAGCTGGTACTGCATCACAATTACTCCTAGAATCACAATATGAATACAGGGTGTAATGTATATTAGCTGCTGCTGCATCACAATTACTCCTAGAATCACAATATTAATACAGGGTGTAACGTATATTAGCTGCTGCTGCATCACAATTACTCCTAAAATCACAATATTAATACAGGGTGTAATGTATATTAGCTGCTGTTGCATTGAGGTTACTCCTAGAACCACAATATTAATACAGGGTGTAATGTATATTAGCTGCTGCTGCATCACAATTACTCCTAGAATCACAATATTAATACAGGGTGTAATGTATATTAGCTGCTGCTGCATCACAATTACTCCTAAAATCACAATATTAATACAGGGTGTAATGTATATTACCTGCTGCTGCATCAGATTTACTCCTAGAGGAATCTCAAATTCGAACACCTTTAGAAGTGTAACACCTCTGTTTGTGGAACACTTTTCAAAGTCCCAAGACCAACTGACTTAATTTTAAATGAACCTCTATGAGTGGAACACTTTTTAGAGGTACCAAATGTGTTCCACTTGAACAGGTTTCACCGTATTTATACTTTACTGACCAATCCAAAGACAACCTTCATCCTGCTAAATATAGAAGTATTAAAGAAAATGCTGATAGTTTTAATTTCATGCTTAAGATTAAGAACCTTACAACCGAATCATTATCCTGAAAAGAATCAAAAACTTTTTGACTGTTGTTTTTTTCATTTCATTTTTCCATTTCATCATTCTATTCCATTTCACATTTATTGGAATGCACAGACAATATAAACAATAAAATCTTTAAGCCTAATGATATTATTTACAGATTGTGAAATTGAATATTCTGCTTCAAGAGGTCCCATTATTAACCATGTGGAAGATTTTTAAGTGATGTGATTACAAAGAGGATAAGACATAATCCCAAAAACAAAATATAACAATATTTTTTGTTTACCTTAATATTTATCTGGTACTTGCAAAGCATTAATATTCAATTAAAATTTGAAGCACCTGGTTAAATAAACTGCTGGTGTTGTTAATTTTTTTTTCATTCATTTATATAAATGCAGGAAATAAAGGTAATTGAGAAGAATTAGTATTTGCAACTTTGCTATAATGCTTATCTGGATAAATATAGTATAGTAAAACCTGTCTTAGTGAACACCTCTCTCTAGTGAACACCTGTCTCTAGTGAACACCTATCTCTATTGAACACCTGTCTCTAGTGGACACCCTTCCTCTGCACATACTCTACTGACTTCTGTATAAATTACCCTCTCTGAAGTAAACACCTACCAACAGTGAACACATCTTTGTGGCTCCATAGGTGTTCACAGGGTTTACTGTATTCATACTGGTTAAAGTGTTAACCTGATAAGTTTTCATTTTATTCCTTGCTGATTCCACTCTTTTCCACTCTATTTGTTATTTCAAACCATGTCTAACATGAAGATAATCAACATTTTCTATGCAAAAATTTAATATCGATTTAATACTTAATATGCTTTATAGGGCTTTAATATGCTTTTTATATTTTTAAATGTTTCCCTTTGTGCCCTTTTGAGGAATGGTAAAAAGAAATCATAAACCAGATTGGAATTTTATGCACAGGCAAGATCATTGGATGAATAAGATGCTACCTTGCTTGATTAAACTTTAATTAACAGAGAGTTACAGATTGCAGATCAGCCATTGAGTCACAAATATTCTATCTACTATGCCACAGAAAGTGATACATGGACAATTAATACATGTAGGTGCAAAATTCTGTTCAAAGTTGGTCAAAATATGCCAATTTTTCAGGAATTTTCTCATTTTCAATTGGGTGAAAAAAGGTTTAATGTGAGTGCTAGCTCACTTTCAATATCTCAATATCTTCTGTAAGATCCGGCTTCATCATATGATTTTATGGGTCTTATACTTTACATCAATGACACATTTTTGGAGGAAAATCATTTACCTTATTTAACAAAATTAGGTTTTGCTTTGGAGACTCTTTTACCTTTTCTCATCATATCACCCCCCCCCCCTCCCTTATATAGATAACGAGGGTTGACTGTAAATGAAAAGTGTGTGTTAGGTGTAAACATATCTTGCAATAAAAAAAAGATAATTCCAAGATCTAAATGAACCAATTTAGAGTATAAATTAGAATCTTTATCATATCTTTCCACTTGCTTGGATTTCAATTGTAGATTCCAGTAAAGTGTGTAATGTGATTGATGAAGACTTTTGTGAGATAAGATGTGCTAGTATGGTAGATGTGAGTTCCTGTAGGTAAACTCTATGAGGCTACCAAAGGGGAATCTGTCATATCACATTATTGAGTTCCTGTAGGTATACTGTATGGGGCTCCAAAGGGGGAACCTATCATTTCACATTATCTCATTGACATCTCATTATCAATTGACTCATAATTAAATATTTCAATTTGATCCCAAAATACAATTATCTGTAATAATATTTTGGACTGATTTTGGATTAATATATTGACCTTGTCCAGTTTGTACCTAATGATGGAAGATTTTATTAGTTTTTCACTGGCTCATTTTTTTAAATAATCAAATCTCAACATCTCGTTTGATACAGAATAACATGCATAGTGCATAACCATAAAATAAATGGTGAGATTTACCCCAGTTCAATTTTTAATTTGTTTTATTAAAAGCAAAATTTTATTATATTTTTATTAAGTAAAAACTTATTTAGTAAAATAAATCTCTTATCTAGTTAAATTCAAAAAAGCACAAAATGTCAAATGGGTCAACATTTGAAAAACTGGTGGTCAAAAAAGCACAAAATGTCAAATGGGGCAACATTTGAATATCTGATGGGCGAAAAAGCACAAAATGAGGCAACATTAATATTTGGAAACTTGGTGGTCTAAAAACACAAAATGTCAAATAGGGTAACATTTAAAAAATGATTGGCTAAAAAGCACAAAATGAGGCAACATTAATATTTGAAACCTGGTGGTCTAAAAGCATAAAATGAGGCAACATTAATATTTGAAACCTGGTGGTCTAAAAGCATAAAATGAGGCAACATTAATATTTGAAAACCTGGAAAATGAGGCAACATTAATATCTGAAAACCTTGTTGTCTAAAAGCACAAAATGAGGCAGCATTAATATTTGAAAAAAGTGGTGGTCTAAAAGCACAAAATGAGACAACATTAATATTTGAAAACCTGGAAAATGAGGCAACATTAATATCTGAAAGTCTTGTTGTCTAAAAGCACAAAATGAGGCAACATTAATATCTGAAAACCGTGTTGTCTAAAAGCACAAAATGAGGCAGCATAAATATTTGAAAACCTTGTGGTCTAAAAGCACAAAATGAAGCAATATTAATATTTGATAACCTGGTGGTCTAAAATGACAAAATGAGACAACATTAATATTTGAAGATCTGATGGTCTAAAAGCACAAAATGAGGCAAAATTACTATTTGAAAATCTGATGGTCTAAAAAGTCCAAATGATGATATCTGAAAACCTGGCATGGTGGTCTCAGGAGGTGCATGATGAGGCATCAAACAGAACTATTATTCTTGAGCATACGCCCCTCTGGGTTTATGATAATCTAGAATATACATTATTCAACATTCAGGCAAGTTTTAAATATTTTATGTGGTCAGAAATACCTCTGTTATTCAAGATCAACCTGTGTTTAGTCTAGATACATGTATGCCATGAGACATGTACAGATGTTTATGATAACAAATGTTCTCAGTTATCTTAAGTTGGCTTATCAGAATAGATATTAGTAAATTAAAATCAAGATAGCTGGTGAAATGAAATTCTAGCCACATACTAACAGAACAGGGAAATTAATTCCCATATCCAATATTCCATATTGGAGCTTTACATTTACAGAAATTATGATTTGTAGTACTTAGTTTATTAATGGTACAAGAAACCAGACTTTTATGAATTAAAAACATTTGGGTTTTGTTCAAGATCACACTGTTCTTTCACTCTTTGGTCTTCTCTTAATATCCCTTGTACACATGAAGGGGGTGAGAATAATGTACAGTAGAGTGGGGGCCATTCAAGACTACATAACAGACTTGTAACTAGACTAAGAATTAAGCATGAGGAATGATACAGTGTATAAATACAGTAAATATACTGCAGATAATAAATTAAAAGTTACAAATAAATTATGCATACAACATGTATTTGTTTTTGAAAAGCAGGCACTTTTTCTGAAAAGGAGGCAAGGGATGATCGGTGCAAGAAATATTGTATTTTGCCAATTTTTCGAAACTTACTCTCAGCTAGCTCTAGTTCTTCTTACAACTATTCACAACATACATCTGGATATGTATTCAACTGAAGCAATACAACAGACTGACAATAATAAATACATACAATTACGTGTAACTTACCATCCAATATACCACGGTTTTGAGTTGGATCCCTTCATATATGCCTCTTCAGATGACATCTTGAACACATCGCTCAAGTTATGAAAATTGGTTTTATATGGAAAGAATTGACAATTATCCTCAAAGTTCTCCAAAGCTGGACTATCCTCATTGTAAAGTTCTTTGAAAAATTGAAAGTTGAAAACTCCCGGAGCTGTCCAATTATCAGTGGCGTTTAGAATGACAACTGGCCTTCCGGTATAGGCATATTTTTGTTCAAATATATCTGCTGTGATTTTGTTGACTTTGTCAATATTTGTTACGCCATGGCATATTGTACAATCTGTCGGTGGACGTGTCACCTCATAGACAACATCCGGCATTTCTATGGCACATAACTCACTGTCAATATCGACATCCCACCATTCGTCAAAATAAAAGTCTGCCAATGCTTTATTAGAAATCGGCCACTCAGATTTCCAAACTCCAATAGCTACTGCCACAAGAACAGTTGCAATCGCACTTGCAATAAATAAATATCTTTTTGAGAATATCCTAAAAAATGAGGAAGTGATAACGTTTGGGCCGTCAAGAAGATGAAGCGATTTTACCTCAGATAGCTGCTTAGTTGAAAGTTTGAACTTTTTCAATTTGAATTGTAATTTTCGGAAACTTTCCTCAATGTCTACTTCTTTTTCCGTCATCTTGAAGAAATGAGTAACTTTGACATTTCTTTCTCATTTTGTGTTTGCCGCTTTTACATTAACAAATATATATAAGTTAAAGTTGAATTAAAAATGAATTTGGAAGTTTTAGTCACTTATATTTTCCTGAGTGTACCTACGGATTACTATACATATATGTTATAAGTTTTAAGATGATCTGCTGCCAAAAAATAGAGAATATTTAGAAGTTTTAAGCGGTAATCATGCGACCTTGAACTTTGACCAAAATGGCGCTCTCCGCAAAATGGATTTTCTCTGCAATTTTAGGGATTATTGCCGTTATTCTCGGTAATTTGTATATATTTACACTAGATAAGAATACAAGAGCAAAACTTCTTCGTGGACAATTTGTAATAGTGATACAAACACTGATGTTTGTGGGCTCAAAATACATTTATAAGCACTTGTTTATAAAAATTGTGAAAAATCAAAAACCCGGAAGTGATCATCAAGGGAAAAAAGATCATGAACGTGCAATGAATGAACAACAATATAAACCAAGTAAAGGCATACGAATATGGAGATTTATAGTTTTAACATTCCTGATCTTATCACACCTAAGTTATTTTACAAACTTATTCCTAATCGGAACAGAGCCCCATTGGTTCGCAATGCTGTGTTATACGTGTCTCGGTACATTCATACAATTGCTATGGTGTTTATTTTTACTTGGAATCATACAGAAAATAGCTATATTTCTCAATAGATACAATTCTGTTATACTTAAACCAAAAGTTAGGGCATCAATCGCAATAGTCATGGCACTTTGTCTGGCATCAATTGGAATATATACAGTTTCTGGAATGCCCAAAGTGAAGAAAGTAACAATTCCCTTGAAGAACTGGCCTCAATCACTGGAAGGATTTAGAATTGTACAGTTGACAGATATCCATCTTGGGCCGACAGTTGGCAAAACAATGCTTGAGGGACTGATATTGAGAGTCAATGAGTTAGACCCAGGTAATCCGAAATAGTTAATAATCTAGACTCTTAATTGATAAATGTATGTCATTGGTGCATATTACAAGAAATACTGAATTCGAGTGTCTCAGTCATTTCTGAGTGCATATTTGTAGTTGTCATGAATATACTTGATGTGACAAGTATAGAACATATGTACCCTCCCTTGAAACCAGTGTAATGTACATGTAACTGTATCTTTAGACCTGCAAAATTTCCTGTTTTTATAGATCTTGTTGTCTTGACTGGAGATTTAACTGATGCAACTGTAGAGAGACTTAATGGTGCAGCAGATCCATTACAGCATCTACATGGCAGATATGGTCGATTCTTTGTGACAGGTATACGTCCTATATACATTACCTAATTTTTATGTCACCACCAGAAGTGATGACACAGTGTTACACATGTTGTAGTCTCCAACTTTTTATTTGTTAACAGATGTCAGTGTCTGGAACAAATTATAGCATCTGCCACAAATGGCAGGCGGTGACATTTTGTGTGTTAATGCATTGTATTTCTATATACGTCATATACTTTGTAGAATCACGTTCATTCAGACTTGTTCAACTATTTTACATTCATCCTGAATATTTACCTTCAGTGATTATAAATAATACATCGACTTATTATATCACCTCACTGTAGGTAACCATGAGTATTACACAGGGGATGTCGACCATTGGTTTAGACATCTGAAATCCTTGGACTTCACTGTACTTCACAATGATTGTGTGGAAATCAGGAGCAAAAATAACCCCAAAGAACATTTCTGTCTTGCTGGTACAGATGACAGGGAGGCTGTAAGATTTCAGTGAGTTGCATAAGATATTGTAATTTTCTGGGAATATGTGATATCTGTATATTGAAGGAAATTCAGGACTATCCACTGTTTTTTTAAATGCAGATTATTCCAACTACTGTACGCCTGGTATTATTCGAGTGCGATTAACTTTGGCGCTTTTCGCGAGGGTGTTAAAATCGTGAAAAATTATCGTCGCGAAATTGCCAATTAAATCCCCGGGAATTTGTTTTTACCCGGGGCTCTGATGCATTTCCTTTTGTCTACTAGTTTGGATCGAGTTATAGTACTTCAATAGTACTGTGCAACTCCATGACTTTACTATGCGCATGTGCGGCAATGAAAGAGCACGTGCGCACGATTGCTCACGTGATCGTAGCCTGCAATTTGATTGGACATCATATACTGGGGAATCCCCGAACACGATAAAATACAGTATTCGCGAAATTTAATAGCCGCGAAACCGTGTTTTCGCAAAATTCGCGAAATTAAAGCTCGCGAATAATACCGGGTGTACAGTACCATTCAGAAGCATGTATTTTAACATATCATTCAGATGACCATGATCATAAAATATCATTCATATTAGGCCTCACATTAATATTAACTTAGATTAACATGCATGTATTTTAACAGATACATGTATTTTAACATGTAATTTATATGACCATATATGAGCTTAAGATACAATTCATATATCCATAATGTTAACTGCCATTCATATTACCAGATGTATTTTATTTCAACTCATATTTCAGATATGGAGATCACCGCATGGATCTACCCAAAGCTGTCAAAGACTGTGAGGAAAGATCACCTATTATTCTATTGGCTCATCAGCCAAAATCTGCTAAGGAAGCTTTACAATCAAATCCAAATATTAGTCTAGTCTTATCAGGTTGGTCTGTTTTACAATAATCCTTCTAATCTAAAGTATCAAACTTAAGTTTTGAACACACACTGCTAAATTCTGGTCAACATTCTTGAAGTAGGGAAAGTTGTATGCGCTTGTAGGGAGCATTGTGTGATTTAAGTCCCGCTTTCAATTTCATGTACCAATATAGTCCTATATATACATGTAGATGTTTGCTCTATTTACTTACAGGTCATACCCATGGTGGCCAAATGTTTCCCATAAGTATAGGGGCCTGGTTGGTGAATCCAAGGTCTTTATCAATATAGTCCTATATGTAGATGTTTGCTCTATTTACTTACAGGTCATACCCATGGTGGCCAAATGTTCCCCATCAGTATAGGGGCCTTGTTGCTGAATCCAAGGTCTTTATCAATATAGTCCTATATGTAGATGTTTGCTCTATTTACTTACAGGTCATACCCATGGTGGCCAAATGTTCCCCATCAGTATAGGGGCCTTGTTGCTGAATCCAAGGTCTTTATCAATATAGTCCTATATGTAGATGTTTGCTCTATTTACTTACAGGTCATACCCATGGTGGCCAAATGTTCCCCATCAGTATAGGGGCCTTGTTGCTGAATCCAAGGTCTTTATCAATATAGTCCTATATGTAGATGTTTGCTCTATTTACTTACAGGTCATACCCATGGTGGCCAAATGTTCCCCATCAGTATAGGGGCCTTGTTGCTGAATCCAAGGTCTTTATCAATATAGTCCTATATGTAGATGTTTGCTCTATTTACTTACAGGTCATACCCATGGTGGCCAAATGTTCCCCATCAGTATAGGGGCCTGGTTGGTGAATCCATATTACCAAGGCCTTTACCAATATAGTCCCCACCAATACGTTTATGTCTCACCAGGAACGTTCTATTTTGGAATCCCAATGAGGATTTTTACTTCAATGGAACTGACAGAGATTACAATTATGTCAGAAACAAAGTGGAAACAATCATTAGAGAAGAAAAGACCTAAACCAATAACTGCGAAGCCTGCTAAAAATTAACCACTTCATGCTCGTCTTATATAGGAAAAGAGGCGTCACAGCAAGCTATAATAATTCTAATCCATGGCAGTCCTTCTGCAAATACAGGGTGGCCAAAAAAAAGCAAAACTCAGAACCTTAATTCAAAGATTTGTGGGTTGTTTTTTGGGTCACCCTGCACCATTTCATTGTACTTGTCAAACAGAAGAGAGGGCTGAGACAATGCAAATCATCTCAAAATCACCCATAGTGGAGGTCCATGGACTTTGTAAATGATATTAAGCTGGTTTAGAACCCTATTTAACTTCTTAAATACCAGACTTTGATTCCACATCAAATATTGAAGTTACATTTATATACATGTATATCATTTGTTATTTTGCAGTGAAAGTTTTGAGGAATTAATTTCATTCAGGGTTCATTATTTGATTAAATCCATTAAATGTAGAAGGGAAACTAGGTAAAGTTAAGAATTCGTAAAATCCATTGTTCTCTAACGTCATTCTATCCATATTTACAACAATCGATTTATGAATTTGTAACTTTACAGAGTTTCTGTTAATGACGCCCTGGTGATCATTCCATATACTGTAGTTGGATGCCTGCTAAAGCAAAACATAATTTGTAAATATAATCGATTGGAACAATCAGTTATAATGGATTAGAACATGCATGATTGCAACAGGGTACAACTGCATGTGCACAATGTATTTTTAACATATTGTATTCTCTCTAATGAGCGGACAGTTCCAATGACTGCACATGCAACTTTTATTTTGAGTATGAACTCAGGAAAACACAAAGTTTAATGCATTAGTTTAGATTATTTACACAACATGATAATATCGATTGATGATTATATTTAATGCAGCGAAAGAAATGCAGGAGTTGTAGAGAATGTAAACCTAAGTGATAACAACTAAAAATGATTATCAATAGTATTTTTTCTAAATTTTTTGTATGTATGCTTATTGGAATCTCTCAATATCTTACTCTTTTAAATTTCAATTTTGAAACTGTACTGCGCTCTTTAGAGAGAATATGGTAACTTAATTGTTTGAAACATTCCTTGAAAATTAAAATCTTACTATCATAAATATGGCTTGTACATCATTATGTAATTTTGTCATTCCAAAACTTACCTACTATTTTTAGTTCTAGTATTTAGTCTAGTGCTATTTTTAGTTTGACAGAGTTTTTAGAACATTCCTTTATAAGTGATCAAATATGACTTGTACTTTATGAAGTACAGTAGAACCTGCTAAGTGGAACATCTCCGTAAGCGGAACACCTCGCAAGTGGAACACTTTTTTGAAGTCCCATTTTAAAAACCCATTGACTTAATGTTAATTGAACCTCTGTAAGTGGAACACCTCCAAACTTGAACAGTGAACACCCCATATTGAAAAATTAACCTGCTAAGTGGAACAGTCAATTTCCATAAATTTCAATATTGATACTTATGTAAACAAAATTAACCTCCAACAGTGATACCTGGGTATGAAAACGTGATAATTGGCAAATTAGGATTTTAATGGATTACCATATAGTCAATTGGATTAACCTCCTGTAGAGATCAACATGTGATGCTACCACTAATTAATTTGATAATTAGCAAATTAGAATTTCATAAGATAATCATTCAGCAAATTGGATTAAGAGATGGACATGTGATGCTCTTGCCTCTTGCTATTTGTTTCATACTTAATAAGTAAGCTTAAGAATGTCAGTTAAAAAACAAATGAATTATTAGCATTAGGAGCAAGTCTTTGAAACTTAATTGCCTTATCTTAGTGTCTGAGACTGGCAGAATGAGGAGGATTGAGAATGTCAGAAAACATTTTTGGCAGAATGAGGAGGATTAAGAATGTCAGATACCTTTTTGAGTAAAACAAATAGATAATTAATGCTATATAGCTGCCTTGCAATGGTCGGAGAATCTTATTTTCAGTGATACATATCAACTCTATATTTAATCTTGTATGTTCGTCAAATCCCCGCGAACCCAAAACCTCCGTAAGTGGAACACCTCCTAAGTGGAACGCTTTTTGGAAGAACGGAGAGTGTTCCACTTACACAGGTTCTACTGTAGATATTCCATGACATGCTATTTGCAAAATGTATATTGAGTGTCATCAAAATATTATTTGGCTGAATGCATGAAGCATGGGCTTTCAAGAAACCCCATTAACTTCACATGCAATTCAACTAGTGTGAAATGTAATTCTTAAAAGGACTTATCTTACTAGATAAATTTTCATTCGAATTTATTGAAAAATAAAGAAATTAGAGAGATATTATGAGAACTTTACGATCAATCCTCGTATAGTATATGTTACATCATAAATACTTCGAAATAGACTAATTTCTACTTTGTTACAGTTGCAGCAACTTAAAATAGAAATCAGACCAGAGACCACAAGTTTGAGTTGAAGTTGCAGCAACTGAAGTGAGTCGGTTATTCATCAATTTAGAAAATTGAGACCTAATAAATTCTGACCTCTTTTGTGAACCAAAGGCACTAGGATATATCCCTATTGCCTAGATCTCTGATGTCATACTTTGTAGGCTGCAATCAAGGAGGATTGGCTCCAAGGGTTCCATCTCGATATTCTACCAAATATGGTGTAATGACCTTGACCTTATCACCCAGAGTCATGTCATGATTACAAAATTCAAAATTAAACAGCCACCATTTTATCACTTGAGAATTTGAATCATGAGTTCAAAACACTATTAATATCAAGTTGGAATCCTGGGAGCCAATCTTCTTTGGCAGCAATCTTTGTAAACACTTTTGAAAATAAACTATAATTTCAACTTGATTCTTTGCTGAAACTGTCAGAATAACATCATTGCCAATATTTCTCATGAAATATGGAATTTATGTACTGCAGAATTATGGGGCTATCAGGAATTTACCAATAAAATATTGCCAATGAGACCAAGTGTAAAAAACACCCCATTCCACCAATTTGGAAAATTTGGTAAATGATAGAGAAATACAGATATCCTAACTGTTAGCCTATTGTGTTAGGACTGGCTGGTCAACCTGGCCATTATAAATACAGTACTAGTAATAGAAACTATTATTATAGAATTCTGTTCTATGTATTTGATTCCAGGGTAAATTGATATTTATTGTATGAGAGTCTTTATATTTAATTCTACTTATTAATATGTTAGGCTGTTTAGTTTAATTTCAAAATCATAAAGTTAATATTCTGAAAACTGCCAAATTGAATATCACAGTGAGAAATCCTCATTGAAATTCTACAACGTTTGTTATACATTGTAAGTTTCACACAATGATTCATTGTAAAAAGTTAGCAATATTTATGTGAATGTGCACATACACTCTTAGATTGTTATGTAGATTTGTTACATGTTTTGTTTACTTAGATACTAATAAATTAATAATTGATGAATAATTATGTTGAATAAATAAAAGATCAATTAATGTCATTGATTATAAACAAGGTTAATGCATTTGTTTCATATTGGTGTACAAACACAAAAATAGTATGCATCCAAAAGGATCCGTACCCATTAGTGTACCTATAAGGACTAAGAAATTTTTTCGAAAGGGTAAATTGGAATTCTAGGAATATTCTTATATAATATGAATCTTTAAGAAGTATATTTTCAACAAATCATTAAAATAATCTTTAGAATATGGTAAAAAGTTGTTTTTTACAGTGATCCTTAACACATGTCATTCTGACTCTTAAAATGAGTAATTTTCACAAAACCTTCATAAAATCTTGATTTTTGTAGATACACTTAAATTGACTTGTCAGTATAAAACTACATTGTGTCTGAGTATAATAACCTTCACTAACCCTACTATCACACCAAACTAGTTCTCACTACGTTCTCGAAAACGGGCTTCAACTGTGTACGAACGGACTGGACGTACTAAGAACCGTTTGGGATCTATTTACAAACTTCATCGAACGTACTCGAACGGGTAGGTCCTCTAGAACTTAGACAATGCTCAAAATGTTCTCGTAGTCGTCACGTTCTACAATTAGAACGAGTGACAACGTACTAACGACGAGCTGGACGTACTACGAACGGAACCGTCGTACTTCAATCCTACTAGGGACGTTTTAACAACGAGTTGAACTGTCTGAGGACGTGTTGAGAACGAGGTAGAACTCATTGCAAACGGGTTTAAACTGATTAAGAACGTATTTAACACTGCTTATGAACAAGTTAGCAAAAATATAGCTATCACACCAAACAAGTTGCCACTGCGTTCTTCAAAACTGGTTCTAAACTGTGTGCGAACGGAATGAACGTAGCTGCAACTTTCTAAGGTCTATTTACGAACTTTATGAACGTTCTCAGACGGGAATGTGATTTTAGAATTTTGAATCGATTAAAAATTTGATTGCGACCATACCGTTCTGTTATCAGGTCATGATGACCTTCTAGACTAAGGGACGCGTTCTACGGCGTTGCACACCGACGTGGTGCGACCTGAACGAACTGCGAACGAGATGGACGTATTGAAGACTGTTTAAGAACGAAGAAGCTAATTATTTCAGACATATTTCCCGACCACAGCCAGATTGAGCCCGTTTTACGACGTTTTCGTAGGACTGGCAAGAACGGGTAAGAACGAGTTTGGTGTGATAGGGGGGTTAGCAGATCAACTATGCATAGATACTTTGTAATATATTGTATTGTATTGTATTTTGTTTACCACCAATGAAGGTGATCGAATCCGGGACCTATTGCGTAAGAGGTACCTGCGCTACCACTGAGCTACACGGGTGGACTATCCTATTGTTTTGAAAGGCACCCTATTGTGTTTTTGTTTTTAAGAATGGATGACCTTCTACAATCACTGACAGATTGAGGTGCTTCCGCAGGTCAGACCCCCTCTGATTTCACCTTTATTGTTTAGTATTGACATTATTGCATAGTTCAAACATGAAATGAGAGAGGGTCCTGGCTGCGGAAGATATACAATGTGAAAGTATGCAAAAAATTTAGTTTCAAAAAGGAGGGCATATTGGATCTGCCAGACACCAAGGCAACAAGCTATCAGACAAGTATCAAATGGGTCGATTTATTTTTGATTTATCAGTCATGCATGCCTCTGAAGAGGAAACGTTGCAGAGTGACTGAATTGATATCCATTTAGTCATTAAAGGGACACTGTTTCTAAGGTAGTTCTCATGCTAATGAACACTAAAATGTTTTAAACAAAAAATCAAATGGGTCAATCTTCTTTTGATTCATCAGTCATGTCTATCTCTTGAGATGATATGTTGAAGAGACACTAAATTAATATCCATTTAGCCATTAAAGGGACACTCCTTGTAAGGTAGTTCTCACCCAAAGAAACAAATAGGCCAATCGATTATTCATGCATGCCCCTGAAGATGATTTATTGCAGAGGGACTGAGTCATTATCCATTCAGCCATTTAAAGGGACATTGCTTGTAAGATAGTTTTAACAAAGATTCAAAGGGTAAATATACTTTTGATTCATCAGTCATCCCTGCCCCTGAATGTGATATATTGCGGAGGGACTGAATCAGTATCCATTTACCCATTTAAAGAGACAATGCTTGTAAAGTAGTTCTCAACTAATGGGTCAATCTATATTTGATTCCTCATTCAATTGCCTACCCCTGAAGATGATATATTGCTGAGGGACTAAATCAATATCCATGTAGCTGTTTAAAGGGACACTGCTTGCAAGGTAGTTCTCACAAAAAGAAACAAAAGATTTTGATGCTTGTCCCAAAAGATGATATATTGCTGAAAGACGGAATCAATATCGATTTAGCCATTAAAGGGACACTGCTTGTAAGATATTTCTCATCCTAAGTCAAACTAAAATATTTTACCTCATAATAATTATATGTTATACAATGGATAGATTAAAATACCTCCACTTGTTTGATAGCAAAACAATGGGTTTCAAACTGACGAAAAACTCTCCTACATGCACCTTTTCAATTTTAAAAAGCAACCATTTGACTTTATACCTTTAGCTTCAATTGAATTATTCTTTGAAAATGCCAAATAAATATATCATATATTGGAAAGTCACAACTAGATTTTTAATATTAGAGTTGAATACCTAGGTTTTGTGTTTTCAATATGTTGCCCTTTGTGTCCTACCTTTGATAATGGTGTTGTTTAATATGTCCTCTAAATTGAATATCCTAGGTTAAACCTTCTACATACCAACTGAGGTCATACTTTTGCTGAGATTCAAGATTAAGATTCATAGATATACTACATTTTAGGGGTTGTTTTATGATTTGTGTTTTCAATATATTGCCCTACCTTAATGATATTTTGATATATCGATTGATTGAATGGTCAATATACTTAAAATAGTCACGAGTGAAGACTAAAATACCCGTAACATGATATTTAGAATGATTTGCATAGTCAAACTTAAATGCACTAAATGACCTTAGTTTTAATCCCTATGACCTAATTTTGTTTTGGATGTGTTCATAATTTATAAAAGTAACTATTTCCATGTTACATTCAATGAAACCTTTGGGGGCACCTTTAGGTACATTGGGTAACGGATCCTTTCCATCATAAGTTGAAATATTGCAGGACTACCTGTATTAATTCCCCTCTCATTGCCATTTAGAGAATAGCTCTCGGGTTTTATACAAGAATTCAAAAATCCCAGATTCCTCCAGCATTTTCATGAAATTGTTCACGAATGGTAATTAACCTCTTGACTACCCTAAGTGACATTTTTGCAATACCCCAGAAATGACCTTGAAACCCAGGGTGACGAGATAATCTGTCACAAAATTGTTCGCTAAAATTGCTCTTATTTGAATAATTTTCATCCAATTTTCAAAAAAATTGTTTTAAAATGTGTAGAAATGATCTTTACTGTCTAATTATACTAAAATGAGCATTGACTGTTTTATATGTATGTAGAAAACTGGCAAAAATGAAAAATTCTCTGGTTTGAACCGATTTTAGAGCCTGGGATCCCAGAGGTGAACCTATGGACTTAACTTCTACCCAGATTGACAATTCTTGTCTAGTCAGGCCAAAACACCCCAATCAAACCCATATTCCCTGTCCTTTGGGTTTACTTGTTGTTTTAAAAAAATCATTGCATGGTTCATTATTGCAACTGTTATGGATGGTGTTCAATTATCAACAGTTACAGAATAATGAAGTTGGTTTTGTTTGAAAAATTGATGGTTTTGGTAACGAATAATGTTGATTTTTTTGTATTCAAGTAACACAAATCATTAAATTTTAAGATTCATCAGGTGATGGGAGGGGGATCAAACCTTAACAAAATAAACTTCTTTTCCACGACTGTTGATACTGGACACCATAGACAATCAACCTCCAAGGGCCTTATATTACACATGGTGTCATGTAACACATTGTGTCATGTTACACATTGTCTCATGTTACACATTGTGTCATGTTACACATTGTGTCATGTTACTGACTATATCAAAACTTATCACAAACAAAAATACCAGAATTATCAATAAATAATTTGCCTATATATTTTTTATAACATTTTACACATATTCTTCATAAAACTTTTCTTGTTTTCTAAGTTTTCGTTTTTCTATTGTCCTTTCTATACATTTTTTAATCTCTGACAGCCAGAACACACTTGATGTCAGGGCTATAAGTAACAGGAAATCTGAAAATAGAAAAAAGACAAGAATTAGGGCATTAATGTGACATAATGCCCTCACCTACAAAGTGTTAACAATTGTTAAAGGAACAGACACAGTTTGCCACTCAATAAACAAGACATAACATGCAAAATGTTACTACCTGCCATTTGTTACAGACGCCACCAATCAATCATCAACCACCACCACAAAAAATGTTGGAGACTATTACAGTGTCATCACTTCTGGTGGTGACATAAAAATAGTAGCTATGACAAAGTGTCACCACATCTTGGTGGTGGTGACATAAAAGACATAGTGACATAGGGAGACACTTCACAAAAAAGTTATTTACAAAGTTTATTTTTAATTCAATTTATTTAACTCTTTTGCGCGGTATTTAATTATTTTTAAAAGCTACTGAGCGGTAATTAATTTTCTAAAAATTAGGATTTTCATGCCTGCCAATTTGAAAGTGACATAAAACCTAAACCAACAGAGATAACACCACCACATTTTTACTCATAATTGGAAACATATGGATAAATCATATGTTAACGTATGAACTCATCACAATTAGAGGCACTGATGATAAAAAATCCTAAACATTATGTATTGCAAAAAAACATAAGACCCCTACTAAATATTACCTTGGTGTACCCCAGCAGCTTCCATTGCCTGTCCCCCAGCAACAGAGTTGTCAGGCCCATCATCGTTTTGAAATTTCATTTTCTGAGGCTTCAAATATTAGGCTTCACTACAAGAATCGCTGAATATAGCAGCGATTTGATCATCTTTACCCAGTCTAAATCAAGCGCTTTTTAAATACCACAATGTCTAATCACTTCCAGATTCGTTTTTGTTACAAAATAAATCAATAAGTGACCAAAATATTTTTTTCAGAAACTTTGCTTCGCCAAATTAATTTTAAATCACTTCCTGTCAATGTGAGTACCAAACATTGGCACTGCAATACAAGGGTGACATCTTTTGAAGTCTGCTAAAACTTTCCTATAGCGTGTCGACCTGGAGTCGACATACGCCATATAGCGTAGTGGCGACAAAACTCGCCTGACCGCGCAAAAGAGTTAAAGAGCTCATAAATTAATCACAAAATGTTTTCTATGTACCTTGTGCATATAGTGCCTCTGTTTGGAATATAGATTGTAGAGGGGGAAAGTATATTACAAGCAGCTGGCCAATAATGGAGCCACCTACAGCAATGATGAACATACGATTGGTCAAGAACCCTATTGTAAAGATAGACTTTGTCTGAAAAAAGAACAAAAAAATATTGAGTTTCTGCTGAAATAAGCATCAAATAATCTTTCTGTACAATAAAATGTTATTTTTTAAAGATAAATGCAGACTATATAAAAAGAACTGGATAAATTTCTTAATCAGGGAAATGCTGACTGCTTATCACAGGGGGTAAAAAGAAAGAATATATTCTGGATTTTGAAGCCCTGTGATCGGAGGATGAAATTGACCAGATGTATCAAACATGTTGGTTCATATTGTTTGAGAATGGCCAAATCATTGGGATGAGTAACCTAGATGTATTGAACATATCCAAGATCTGCAGCTTTGTATATCAAACATAACGTAACTGTATCTTAGTAGATGTGCAGATAAGTAAACATAACTGAGATCTGCAGCTAAGATTAAACCTACCTGAAATCTGAAACTAAGTGCAATGAACATACTGGAGATCTGAAGCTAAGTGCATTGAACATACTTGAGATCTGCAGCTAAGTGCATTGAACATACCTGAGATCTGCAGCTAAGTTCATTGAACATAACTAAAATATGCACTTAAGTGCATTGGAAATATGCGAGATCTGCAGCTAAGTGCATTGAACATACCTGAGATCTGCAGCTAAGTGCATTGAACATGTCAAAGAAGACAAAACATGTGAAGGTCATGGTTGTATCCCTGGGAGTTATTTTGTTGTCCAACATCTGAAACAAAAATGTTGAGGTTTTAATTCAAATATAACAATGAGTAAAAATACTCTGACTTATTGTATTTGTAAGATAATTGAATACACTAAGAGTGAACAGAGTGTTTTGAAATTGAATACTGTCAAGGCCTAATTTAATTGAAATTGATTAATATTTGATGAACTAATTACCTCGAAAACAAAATAAATAATTTTTATTTTACAGTCAAACATAGACACAAACTTTGTACCATGCATAAAACAATTTAAGACCCACCTCTCGCCAGAACACCCACAGTGTTCCAGAAACAATGATAAAAGCAGAGATGATGACATTAAGTAGCAGTTTTCTAGTTATAATGGGGTCTTTAACCCTGCGTGGAGGTTGGTGAATGATGTCATGGTCTACTGGCTCTACTCCAAGACTGAAAAAGAGTAAGATGTTTTAACATTGCAATTTTGAAAAAAATATTCCATATTATCTCATAAAATGAAATAAAGCAGCATTTGGGACTTTCAATGTGTTAGATGATTGAATTATCAAATGGTCACATGACGTGATCTGACCAATCAAAGTCCATTATTTTAGTTTGGGATGTGATAATAAAGTTTAACATTATTCTCTGGTCATTTAAATAAAGGAACCATAAAAACTAATTCTCTGGCACAATGGAAATGCAATGTATCATCCACAGCCTTAGAGTTCATGTCCAATTCTAAAAGTGTGTGCAATTCATTCTAATAAAATAACCTAACTAGATAACGGCAACTCCTCAGAGTAGCAAATCCCAACGAACAAAATATCAATTACCGAATTCCAATCAATTATACTCATTACTTTGGTTGAAAATGAAAAAATTAGATTTTAGAATTGCGAATTCCTGCAAAGCAGCCTTTTTGAATTTTCTGAGGTACAAATCTTAAAAATAATACCATAATTGTGATCTACTCCAAAATTCCTTCAATTTGAGTATAATATAGCCATACTTTGAAGGGATCGAAAAATTATTGCGAAATCGTACATTAGACGGCCATTTTGAATTTTACGAGGCTCGAATCAGAAAAAAGATACAATATTTGCAATCTACTCTTAATTGCCTTTCATTTGAGTATAATAAAGCTATACTTCAGAAAGATTTAAAAATTAGCAAAAATTTCTGTTTTCCTGTCCCCCCATACATGGCCCCTGGGGGTCAGGATGAACAACACGGAGTATATGTGAAAAAGATAAATGTTGGGAATACACTACCAAAATTTCAAACAATAATATTAATTACTTTGGTTTAGAATGAAAAATTTATGATTTTTGCGAAAAAGTCCCGTCATTTTTAAAGCGGCGGCCATCTTGAAAAATTTTTTTTTTGCGTAAAACTATTCACCAATATACATCTTTCCACTAAATATGAAGAAAATCTGTCAACTAGTATTTGAGTTATCTTCCGGACAGACGGACAGACTGACTGACTGACTGACGGACAGACGGACGGACGGACGGACGGACGGAAGGCTTCACTATATCCCTAACGAACTTCGTTCGTTGGGATAATTACAGTGAAACCTGTCAAATGGAACACCTCTATAAGTGGAACACCTCTATAAGTTGAACACCTAAGTGAAATGGAACAGCATATTTTCCATTCAATCGAGGTTGGGCCATGCAGCCGAAGGTAAGCCATACAAACGAATAGGGGTGAGACGAGTCGAAAAAATCCGATTCGAGTCGAATCCGATTCGAGTCAGAAAATGATGATTCGAGTTTCGAATCCGTTTCGAGTCGCGCGAAGTGCGAACAACATCACTTTTGACCGTTCGTATTTTTAATGCGTCAATGGTGGAAAGCCGGAAATATAAACAAACACAATTCGTCGTAAGTTTATTCTGATTTTATTACATATATTCTTTCATACAATATAATAATTTAATACAAGCATATCCAAGTCATTGAAACTTATATATTCAACGCAATATCGAGTAAAAACATGCATATTGACAGTATTTTTCTGAATTTTTTTATATGATTCGATTCATCAACTTCGACTCGATTCGACTCGACTCGAAGACCCAAACCCGCGAGTCCTCGACTCATCGGGTTGTCGTCTCACCCCTACAAACGAAGGTAAGCCATACAACCAAATTTTGCCGATTCCATCTAGCCTCTCTTTTTGACCAATTAGAGACGTCCTCTTCACATTTTTGGTACCCTCGCCCAACTTCGTTTGCAAAGAAAATCTTCGGCAATCCCCGGCTTTTCTTGAGCTATCTTCGGTTGCAAGCCGAAAGTCGTCACCCTAAGTGAAACACTTTTTAGTGGAACCGAGGGTATTCCACTTACACAGGTTTTACTATATAATATGTGTACCTTTGAGCTGGAGGTCCATCCATTATAATGTTAATCCAGAGTATTTGCATGGCATTAAGAGGATTGGGTAACCTCATTATAGTGGAGAGTGTTATCAGAGTTAAAGCTGCTATTGATCTGCAACATATCAAAAGTAATTTATAAGTAGGAGTCTGATTTTCTTTGATAGTATGCCAAAATTGCCCATGGTATATGAATAGATTTTATGAGGTCCATATTGGATGTGCAACATGGCCATACATTGGTCAACAAAAGTCACATGAATTATGTACTATATCAATAGATCACTATTCAATCAAGATTTTTAAATAGAAATATGTGTAATTGAATGCCAAAAGTTTGAAACAATCTATGAAAGCATTTGATAACATGGCATCACAAACATCCTCCAAGTTACCTTTGAAGAAAATACCACTGTTGAGTTTTTTGAGTGAAAATAGGAGGAAACTTAAAATTAATGCACATGTTTATTGAAATATCAAGTCATAAATTTTGGATATGACATCATTTTATTTGTTGGAATATCTTCAGATAAGCTTTATTAGACATACAGTATAAAATAATTCTTAGGGATAAAAACCATATCCAATGAGGTTATACACTTACGTGCTGAGTTGAAATCTGACAAAATTTTTGATATTGTAAAATATTCCCTTCCCTTCTTCTATTGCACTCCTGAAAACAGAAAACAAATCAATATAGAGTTATAGTAATAGTCAAAGAATAGTTATACTTATAGAGTAAAGCAAAATATCAATCAGACATGCAATAAATGCACTTTTTATCAAATAATTCAAAATGGCCACCAAGTAATTTACCAACATTCCCAAAACCTAATATATTGGTACCTAGTATATATTGGTATTAGTTTTCTCCTCCATGCATAAAAATTAGTACCGTGGGTACTGGGCTCACATGGTGACAGAAAAAAACGGATATAATTTTTTGCTGATTTTTTGTAACAAAATTATTTCAAGCCACTTGCCACTATTTTGGACTGAGAGAGAGACAGATGGACAAATCGATGTTAAGTAAAATTGCTGAAAAAAAAACGGATATAATTTTTTTTCAATTATTTGGAACAAAATTATTCTATACAACTACTCTTTACAGTGACATGGCTTTAAATGCAATGCAAGACACCTGAACTTATTTGTAAAGCTAGGAAATGGGCCAAAATTGAATTTCGCGAGACAAAAATGACGACCATTTTGAAATCAGGCAAGCTTTTGAACCAGGAGTCAAAGGGGAGTTTTTTGTATTGATGTTGAACAAAATTAACTTAAAACGGGAATCCTATCGACAGAGGGTTTAAAGTAAAGAGGACTTCGCGAGACAGATGAACAAATCAATGTTAACTAAAATGGCTGAAAATAAAAAAACAGATATAATATTTTGCCGATTTTTTGTAACAAAATTATTTCATACAACTACTCTTTACAGTGACATGGCTTTTTACAATGCAGGACAGCTGAAATTATTTGTAAAGCTAGGAAATGGGCAAAAAGTGAATTTCGCGAAACAAGAATGGCGACCATTTTGAAAATAGGCGAGCTTTTGAACCAAGAGTCATAGGAGAGTTTTTTGTATTGATGTTGAACAAAATTAACTTAAAACGGGAATCCTATCGACAGAGGGTTTAAAGTAAATGGTCCAAAAGTGGATTTTGCGAGACAGATGGACAAATCAATGTTAACTAAAATGGCTGAAAATAAAAAAATGGATATAATTTTTCGCTGATTTCTCGTAACAAAATTATTTTATACATCTTCTCATTACATTGACATGGATTTTTACAATGTAGGACACTTGAAATTATTTGTAAAGCTAGGAAATGGGTCAAAAGTGAATTTCGCGAGACAAAAATGGTGGCCATTTTGAAAGTAGGCGAGCTTTTGAACCAGGAGTCATAGGGGAGTTTTCTGTATTGATGTTGAACAGAAATAACTTAAAACAGGAATCCTATCGACAGAGGTTTTAAAACGTGCCACTGTTATTGACGAAAAGTGGATTTCGCGACTCAGATAGACAAATCAATGTTAACTAAAATGGCTGAAAATAAAAAAATGGATATAATTTTTCGCTGATTTTATGTAACAATATTATAACATATATTTACCCTTTACATTGACATGGATTTTTACAGTGTAGGACACTTGAAATTATTTGTAAAGCTAGGAAATGGGTCAAAAGTGAATTTCGCGAGACAAAAGTGACGGCCATTTTTTAAATAGGCGAGCTTTTGAACCAGGAGTCATAGGGGAGTTTTCTGTATTGATCTTGAACAGAAATAACTTAAAACAGGAATCCTATCGACAGAGGTTTTAAAACGTGCCACTATTGTTGACAGACAGACAGACAGACGGACGGACGGACGGACGGACGGACGGACGGACGGACGGACGGACAAGTGAAATTTCAAAAAATAAAAGAGGTTAGCAATTTTCCTGGAATTTTGATGACAAGATTTATGTTGCGCCAGCCCGTCTGCCGAGGCAAACACTGACAGACACACACATCCATCAATAAACAACAATAACAATATAGTCTAAGGTGCAATAAAAGAAATTATTTCAGCCCTTTCATTTGCATGTTATTATGGGACTTTTTACTGCCTTACATATATAATGTACAATTGGCAGAATATTTCATTGAAAAGAGACACAATTGATTCCTAAATGAAAGCTTACATGATTGTATAGAAGTCATCTTCTACCAGGATCATATCAGAGGCCTCCTTACACACATCAGTGCCTCCCTTCCCCATTGCAATCCCTATATCTGCACTCCTCAGTGCTACTGCATCATTAACTCCATCCCCCGTCATCCCCACTATGCTACCATTTGCCTGGAGGGCCTGAAATTGAAAATGATTTTATCAATAATTATGATGAACTTGAGATTTGAGCTTCCAAATTATAGTTCAAGAAGCTGATTATAAATTGAGACACAATAATTATGTTAAAAGTACATAAAATTTTATTTTCATAACAAAAACATATAACTGTTATTTACCTTGACAATCTTGTGTTTATGCCTAGGACTGGCCCTCTATATGACTGTTATTTACCTTGACAATCTTGTGTTTATGTATAGGACTGGCCCTATATATGACAGTTATTTACCTTGACAATCTTGTGTTTATGCCTAGGACTGGCCCTATATATGACAGTTATTTACCTTGACAATCTTGTGTTTATGCCTAGGACTGGCCCTATATATGACAGTTATTTACCTTGACAATCTTGTGTTTATGCCTAGGACTGGCCCCATATATGACAGTTATTTACCTTGACAATCTTGTGTTTATGTATAGGACTGGCCCTCTATATGACAGTTATTTACCTTGACAATCTTGTGTTTATGCCTAGGACTGGCCCTATATATGACAGTTATTGGTATAATGGCCCTCTGTAGATCAGCAATGTCCATATTATCAATCTCCTCTCCTGACATTGTGTGACCCCCTGCTGCATGTAAACCTAGTCTACCACCTGTAATAGTAACATGTGAAAAATAGTAACAAATGACAAATAATATCATTTAAATCGTAACATATGACAAATAGTAACATATGACAAATAACATTTAAATTGTAACATATGACAATTAGTGACAAATGACAAATAGCTATCTATGAAAAATAGTAACACATGACAAAAAGTAGCGTATGACAAAATGTGACATCTGATATTTAACATTAACATTCAATCAACCATTAATCTTCTAGAAATATTGAAAACAGTAACCTTACCTATAGCACATGCAGTTTCTTCAGAGTCCCCTGTAACCATTTTGATACTAACTCCACTCCCTATCAGCGTTGTGATGGATTCCCGCACTTGGGGTCGGGGTGGGTCAAGTATTCCCACCATACCCAGGAAGGACAATTCTGACATACTGGGTCCTCGTGCTAGTCCCAATACTGAAATACCAAGTCTGAATATTGAAATAATGAGTCCCAATAATGAAATAAACACAAATGCCCCATTCTTAAACATGTTCTTCAGGTTGGATTATCAAATCAAAAAAAACCAGGATGTTTCCGATCGTGTCTGTCTGTTTTTATACAGTTGAAAAGGGATCCAGACAGGATCTGAAATGTTCTGTTAAGTAAAATAAAGGTTGTGAAAAGAACAAGAAAAGGAGAAGAAAAGAAGAAAAAAATATTTTTGTGAAATGCCCCATTGTTTTTCAAAGTGGCAATCAAAAAAATTCAGATGAAGAGATTGATTGACTTGATACCAATGACGTATAAAAAATGAATACTATACCCCGTAATCCAGCTCTGCCCATCAGAGAGGCCTCGTGATATATTTCCTTTTGTACATTTTGGCTTATATGCAGCGCATCATCCAGCACGCTGTATGTATTACATTGCTGTAGGACCCTCTCAATGGCGCCTTTCACAAAAAACACCTCATTCTGCAACAAAAATGCAACAAAATAAACAGAATATACAAGTGAATATGTAAAATAAAATTTAATTAAACAATATTTAATGTTCTGAGGTCCATTTTTGCAACTGTCGCAACTTACAATTTGGTTGCAAGACATTGTTTATCAAAAAGTAGACAGTTTTCACAGAATTGTAAGTTAGGATCATACCACTTGAAAATGAACCCCTGTATCATATCTACAATAAATTCTGTCAGAATTTTTCTCAGTTTGTCTCATGATTTATTCTAAAATTTGTAGCAAAGAAAAACACAAAAAACACATTTTAATAGCATTTTTAGTAGGTAGAACATAAATAAATATAAATTCAAGACATTGCACAAAAACTGAACAAATTGAAAGTGGTTACAATTCAGGAACAATGTGTTTCACTCAACTTTACTTTCCTCTACTGATTGATGAAATTAAAAAAAAATGAGTTCAACAAAATACAGTTAACCTGTCTAAGTGAACACGTGTGTCTAGTTAACACCCCTTCTCACCACTGACTCCTGTATAAAATTGCCTCTGTGTAGTGAACACCTACAGTTACCACATTTTTGTGGCTCCATGGGTATTCACTATACACAGGTTTTACAGCACTCAAAATGGAGTATTGGAGTTCTCCCCAATCAAAATACACATACAAATAGCGGCTGTATCGTGATAAATCATGACTTCGTTCATCTTATGATAAATCTGAAAAGTTTGTATGTAGGTTTCTATGAAGCTAAATCATTTTTTAAAACCATCAGTCTTTAAATGATAATTCTTGGGATAGAAAGATGTTACAAAAATCACGATCCAAAAAGTAGAATGAAAATCACAAGCTGAATTCAGATTCTTAACCCACCAACTGGGTTATATATCACCACCTTCACCATTCACCTATCTATCCACAAATAAAATCTATTGTTTTATTTCTGTCAAAAACATCTGCTCAGATTTATGTAAAAAAACTCTTAGTATTTCTAACAATTTCAAATCAATATTGAATCAATTTTAAAACAGAGAAATTACTCATTTTTGGGTGTTTTAGTTGGGTTGGTTCAGAAGGATACCTTTACTATTATAATGTAAATATAATCGCAGTGTCAAACCCAAATGCTCTTACATGCACGACGGAAACTAAACGCTCCGCCGTGCATGTAAGAGCGTTTGGGTTGGACACCGTGATAATGAGTATATATGAAAAACAGAACGTGTGAAGCACAGAGACAAAAGGTGATTAAAAAACAATTTTGAGGTTAGTCTTTACTCAAATTTGGATGATGGCCTGTAACCATATTAAACATTACATGGACATTCAACCCAACCCCTCACAAACTTACCGGGCTAGATATACCATTGAAAGAATTCTGAGGCACATAGGATAACTTTATATGAAGCCATTTCCATTTTCTGTGACAATAAGAATTAGTCAGAGAAGAAAGAGATGGTATATGAAGTCACAACGAAAAATTATAACTCTATCAAAAATACATATAAAAATATACTATGGTGCTTTGCGACTTTGCGACTTGAGGTAAATATAGGTGCAGAGTAACCTAGTTCATAATGTGAGCCACAACAAAAATCACATCTAAATGCATAAAATAATAAATACAAAGGTGCAAAATATGTACCCTACCTGGTAAACTTTATGCAGGCATTTGACAGCCATTAATTTGGTCTCTGAATTGAAAGGCCACTCTTGGAGGCGGATGTATTCTGACCTACTATCGTGGAGATTCAACTGAAATTCAAAATGTAAATATAAAGTCTAAAATTGTAGTAAATATGATATCTGAACAGGGGTATGTTCAACACATGCTGGGCACTAAAATTAATCCAAAATTAACTGGCCAGCTCTTAAATAATTCAAATGTGTACCAGTCACAATAGTTCATGTCTGCATAACACATAAAATCCAAAATGAAGCCATACATATAGCAATAATACGAAACCTTCTTACCTACTTGTTTCAACTAAAATAGCATCATAGCAATAAATTTTTAGTTTTAACAAATGGTTATAAATTTAAGCAACAGTACCTTCATGGCTAAGGCTACCAGAGCACCCTCTGTTGGCTGTCCTAGTAAAGTGCCATCTCTAATTTGGGCATTGTTGCATACAAGGCCAGCCTGGATAAAACAATATGTTGAAAAGTTTACAATATGTATACATTGAGAGGTGAATTATCCAAAGAATGCATGACTCATGAGCCAATTTAAATCCAAAATGTTTTGTTTGAATAATATAAATATATTTTTTTAGACTATTTATTTCATCATAAAAAGTTTATCATACAGTTTTAATGGCTTGCCAATCGCCTTTATGGCATTACAGGCTAAACTGAACAAAATAATATTAAAGTACAAAATGTGAATGTACAACATGGAAGCATGAAGGCAAAACATATGTAGAAAGTGGGAAATTGGACAGGCTGGGATCATGTGTCATGGTCTCAATGAGGAAGTAGTAGGAATGGGTTATACTTGCTTGGAGGGTCCTCTAGAGAAATATGATTTTGATGTTATGTGTTCTTTATTAAAAAGATGGCAACAAGAGCAAAAAGTTTGTTATTTTAGTCCGTTTGTCATTTTCTGAACGTAGAAATATGTAAAAGTACGATGTTTTATTGTGTATTCACTATCATAAGGGTTTTATGAAGTGATTTAGCTGGGTTGGACAAAAGGCAACTTTGGGGAAAAAATTATATATGCAAATGAAGGTGGCCATTATCTAAAACGGGATTTTCTTCAATATTCTGAAAACTAAGTACAGAAACATCACAATATTGGTATCTAACCCCAGGTTTTCAGGGTCAGGGAATAAGATGAAATTACAATAATCAAGATTAGAACAATTATTTTATTATTTTGCAAAGTAAAGGCAGCCATTATTGAAAAAGTGATTACCTTCAATATTTCGAAGACAAAGTATAGTAGTATCACAATATTGGTCCTTAAACCTAGGGTTTCAGGGTCAAAGAATACAATAAATTGAGCCTTATCAGAAAAAGATTATTGATTATGATTATGCAAATTAGGGCGGCCATTATCGAATTATTGATTATCCCTAACATTTCAAAAACTAAGCACACAAAACTCACAATGCGGGTGTCTAAACCCAGTTTTTAGGGTCAAATAATAAGATAGATAATAAAATAACTTAAACAACAATAATGATTATGATTATGCAAATTAAGGTGGCCTGGCATGGCCATTATCAAATTATTGATTATCTTCAAAATGTCTGAGACTGAGGAAAGTAGCATAACAAAACTGGTGTCTAAACCCAGGTTTTCTGGGTCAAAGAATCAGATAAAATGATAATAACAAGAACACAAATGTGTACAATATATCCCCACCAATGGGTGATCCTGTCAAATGGTTATCCTGAAAATGAGTGGACAAGACTTTACCGTTACAATTTTGGGATGGAAAATGCAAATGGCCACCTTAAAATTTACCCAGAATGCCAAAAAATTAGTCAGCTCTAGATTTTCATACTAAGAACCATCCCTGAAATTGATCCGTCAAACAGTAAACCAGAAAACATGTAAACAAGACTTTACAGACAAGATTTTAGGACGGAAAAATCCAAAATGGCTGCCTTGACATTTGCCCAGAATGCCTAAAAAACTAATAAGTTCTAGATTTCCATACTAAGAATCATCCCTGAAAATTTGAAATTGATCTACCAAATGGTTCACCTGAGAACGCGTAGACAAGACTTTACAGACAAGATTTTAGGACGTAAAATCCAAAATGGCTGCCCTGACATTTATCCAGAATGCCAAAAAACTAATCAGTTCTAGATTTTAATACAAGGAATCATCCCTGAAAATTTGAAATTGATCTACCAAACAGTTCACCTGAAAACACATAGACAAGACTTTACAGGCAAGATTTTAAGACGGAAAATCCAAAATGGCTGCCTTGACATTTACCCAGAATGCCAAAAAAAATCAGATCTAGATTTTAATAATAAGAATCATCCCTGAAAATTTGAAATTGATCTACCAAATGGTTCACCTGAAAACGCGTAGACAAGACTTTACAGACAAGATTTTAGGACGGAAAATCCAAAATGGCTGCCTTGACATTTACCCAGAATGCCAAAAAACTAATCAGATCTAGATTTTTATACTAAGAATCATCCCTAAAAATTTGAAATTGATCTACCAAACGATTCACCTGAAAACGCGTAGACAAGACTTAACATACAAGTCTTACTTTATAAACGAAATATTTTGAATAAATGTGATATTTCGATTATAAAATATGCTAATTTGCATATTCATAATGAGTTATTCTTGTATCTTGTTACATTATCTTATTCATTGACCCTGAAAACATGGGTAAGGACACAGTATTTGTGGTGCTATCATTATTACTTTTAAAAGAATGTAAAAAAATCAATGCTTCAATAATGGCCGCCTTAATTTGCATATATGATTTTCCCCAAAGGTTATTTATTTAATTTTCCCCAAATTAATCACTAAGGAAACCCTTGATTAGTCAGTTATATTCATTGTTTTGTAATCTTGACATAACATACAAAATATCTTTAATAAATGCGATATTTCAAGCATAAAACGTGCTTATTTGCATATATGCACAATATCTCATTAGCTGTTCTTGTATATTTTAACATTATCTTATTCATTAACCCTGAAAACATAGGTTTAGACAAAAAATTATTATGCTGCTTCCATTGTTACTTTTCAAGGTATTGAAAAAAATCAATGTTTCAATAATGGCCTCCTTAATTAGCCTATATTATTTTTTCCCCAAACTAACTTTTTGTCCAACCCAGTTAAACCACTTCAAAAACCCTTATTATCATAAATTGACCATAATACTTTGTACTTTTAATAATTTCTAGGTTCACTATAGGATGTATAGGGGTGACAAATGGACTATTTTGTGCTAGTGATAGTATGTTACTGCCATATTTCAGAAAATCTATAAATTGATTTTTATTCTTTATAGCTATAGGCTTATAAGTCTCTACAAGTGCAAATAAAGTATTTCTATTTTGTGCTATGTTTGGAAATAGAAGAATAAACATTTAGATGTTTCAGGTGCTCTACAACTACAGTTAGGCATTTAAGTTAGTTAGTTTTAAATAAGGCATTTCTTTTTTGTAAATGATTAAAGCTGACGCATGTTTTACTTTCTCAATTTTTCTTACGTAGCTTATTCCAATAGGAGACAGCATAAAGGACTAAGGAATCTCTAAATTTGGTTGAGCATTTGGTAGGTATTTAAAAGCAGGTTTTCAAGGGTTTTGAATTCTCAGAGGTTCAACAATATCTGTCACAGCTTGGGTTGAGATTATTATTAACTCTAAACATAAATTGATTTATTTGCATTGACTACCTTGTTTCGAGAGCAAGCCATGTGAGAGTATTCTTTACCTTAATTGGCTACTAACATGCAAGCACCCACTGCCCACATATATATTACGTATTGAAAATTTAGTGAATATTTCACAGATCAAAGTCAAAATACAATCTATCAATACCTCATAAATATATGTATGAATGATAATATTAACTGAAATATACCATTTGAAAGCTAATGAATGTGTTCATGCTAGAAATACAGATTAACAATTTAGACACCATATGGTAAGGCATTCTACATGATGAAGTATATAGACCCATATAAAACATGCTTCTTGATGAGGTCCGAAGACCAAGGGTTTAATGTTAGAATAACAAACTCTTGGTCGCCACACTTGACCTTTTAGTCTTTGACCAACTCTCCATTTGGTATTACACTGTCTTTGACAAACCCTCCATATGGTAAAACACTTCTTCATTTGGTATAACACTGTACATATTATTCATATTTAACCAAAATCTATTCTGAACTCAATGTCTCAACTATTTTAACAAAACAGAACGTTTTTTGGTTTACTCAAGTTCTCGGTCAAGGTGACATTATATAAAAAATAAGTAGCGTGAATAGAGTCTATGCATACAGTGTGCTTTTATTGATGCAGGATCAGAACATGAGGTTTCAGTTTCTTTTTGATAGATAACTGATCTAAACACTCACTGGTCAGTATCAAGCGAAGGTTACGGCCGTCACCTTCTTATTTAAGATGGCAGACAGGAAGTGCTGATTTCAATATTTTTAGTTTTTATCAAATTAAGCCACTTTATAGTTGACATAATGCTTTACATTCATATAATTGTCATTTTTATTCATTTCGACCTTTGTACCATGGTTGATCATTTGATTTCATTGTTTTGTATGATTTGGAATTTTCTCATATATCATCATGATATTGATCATGTAAATCAAAATATCAATTGTTTTCATTAGACACAAATAGAAGATACCGAAACTTCACCAATAAAAGGTGATATTGATTTGTCAAAATAAAAATTTCCCTTTATAAATGTGTGAAGATCTAGACTACATTTCTGCTACATAAACTGGCAGACATCTTTACACATTGACCTCAACCTGTGAACCCTTGAGTATTTTTCCAGGATCACGCCTTTTATACTCAACGGTGAGCAACACCAACAATGTGTGTTCAATTTGTTAAACATTTTGCGATACCCTTTCACTGCAAAATCCTGAAGAATGTTTTAAACCATTCAAAACATGTCATATTTTTCTTGATTTCTATTTTGCCATGTTAAGCAATCCCCACCATGTTATTGATGTTTATTATTTGAAAGTACATTAATAGATATTTTTATGTTATGAATAACCTAGGATAAATAATAGCTGAGGGCCTTGACCTTTTTAGTGGCCTTATCAGACCCAGTACGAATAATTTATCTTACTGAAACCCAATATTGACTCTTATGAAAGGTAAATAACCCATGATCCAATTTTAAGGAAATTTGATTTTTTTAATGACTATGAGTCAATCGTCTTTTGTACGGTTTTGAATTGCTTGCCAAGTGCAAATTCTTTAAAAACAATAGAAAAATAATGCACTCTTCTTTGTTACAACTGTCCATTCCTTAAAATAAACTACATTTCATTCTATCGAGGTGCTACCTAAGTGGGGTTCAATTGTGTTTAAATCAGGATGAATCAGGAATACTGACATGCTACTTAAACCTCATAGAATTCATCTTTGTGGTTGATGATTTTAACTGAAAAAAAGTGTTAGAAAAGACTTACCTCAACAACTTTACTGAAAGATGAATGGGTTGTAGGATGTATCAGCTCATTGTTACAATAGATGTCTCCCTCTGCATTGTAGCCCACTCCTGACACCTATTGAGCAAAATTAAAACTATAAGATATATAAACTATAAGATATATAAAGTATAAGATATATTAACATTGTACTCCCCAGACTCCATCAATCAGTTTGGTTTACACATGTTAAGATCAGCTCAGTATGGGCCCCACTTGCATATATGTGTAGCATTTTGCATTACTATGATTGCATGGACAAAGGCTTATTCTCTGGATGGTGCCTATAATAAAATTCTGACCATTGAAAAAATGAGAAAAATCTTCCAAAACACATTTGATTGAAAAAATGCAGACCACAGCTGCAAATAAAGTAAAATGGTTAAGTGAGATCAATTCAAACTTTTACATCAGATAAAATGTAAAGATGAAAACCACGAAATATGCACAATAGGCCTCTGTTATTAGACCTGAAATTGTTTAAACTTATTTTAAAGCCTGGAATTTATATTGCACTCTTGACTGTACATTTAACTATCATATGTCTGGGTTCTCACCAGGAAATTTTTAGACACAGGTTTTTCGCAGCATCGCGACTACTCCTCACCAATGTGAGATCAGAGATATCCAAATAGTATACTTTTCAAAATACTACTTACTTAAATCTTCCTAACTTAATCACAATACACATTTCTAAAAGGGTTCTGACTTCTTATTCCTTGTTTGTATTTAGTTTTATGTATTTTTTGAGAGTTTTACCCAAAATAATGTGACAAAAATGTAAAATTAAACTCCGGAAAAAACACTATAGACTCCTGAAAAACTATTAGACTCTGGAGCAAGAGGGTCTAAAAACATTAGACTCCAGAGATTCTCCGAAATCTAAAAGCCTAGTGAGAACCCTGTATGTCATCAATTATGAGAGACATGTGTTTGGCTCCAGCTGACAGTTAACATGAACCACATAAAACAAATGAAGATGCAACTAACATTTCTACATAAAAACGTTATCATAGTTTTTGATATTTCTTTGATGTAATGGAAATCACAAGAATTCAAGATAGCTCCTATTCAACATCTATTTGTTTTATTTATGTATGTATTCAATTTCAATTTTCAATTTCAATTTGTTTATTTCATTCAACTATTATAAATCTGTATTCAGTGATATCCATTCAAATTGTGGATGCAACTAAAGCCTCTGTCACATTTGCTCTAAGGTCACTGAAGGTCAAGTAAAGGTCAAATCCTAAAATTAATGTCAGATTTAAACTCCTGGTAACTTGTAGCCGTAGCTTCACAAAATCGATATGGAAAATCTACATCGTTCTACTTATCCCTATATTTTAGACTATATTTACATTCTGCATATTTTTCTCGATTTTGGGAAGCTATGGCCGCCGTACAGGTTCTGTAGATCAAAAGTAACTGAGGCAATAAGTGATATAACTGCACGGCAACACTCAATTGAACAATAAGTCGTATTCCAATACACAGTATCTACATTCATTTTCTAGTGAAATTAGTATGTTACCATGTGTTCAAATTTACAAGCGTTAAATACAACATGTCACAACATAACTCCTCACCATGTATGGCTCCCTCTATGTTTTAATATCAATAATAAAATACATAAGAAAAAGAATGTTTGTAATAATGGTGTACTTATGAAGAATACATGTATTGATGGTGAAGAATACATCTATTAATGGTGTACTTATGATGAAGAATACAACTATTAATGGTGTACTTATGATGAAGAATACAACTATTAATGGTGTACTTATGATGAAGAATACAACTATTAATGGTGTACTTATGATGAAGAATACAACTATTAATGGTGTACTTATGATAATGAATATATGTATTAATGGTGTACTTATGATGAAGAATACAAGTATTAATGGTGTACTTATGATAATGAATATATGTATTAATGGTGTACTTATGAAAATGGAAATATGTATTAATGGTGTACTTATGATGAAGAATACAAGTATTAAAGCATGAGCACTCTAACGGTAAACAGAACTGTAAAACACGCTTGATAAATTCACACACGCAATTTTCAATTCTGAATCTTTAATCAGTAGGTTAGAATTTTGTGTTGAAATCAATTCACTCTTCCAAAATTATCTTTATCGATACTAATGGTAAATATATCAATTTGAAAGATGTAAAACACTTGAACTATACCACATGTTTTACAGAAATGAATCTTCAATGTTTCTTTTACCTCTGCATATTGGCCATCTGGGGTGTGAATCTGGGTCACTGTCATTTCATTCTTGGTAAGTGTCCCTGTTTTGTCTGAGCATACCACATTCACACAACCTAAGATATAGGTAATTTTCTAACATGATTTTTGTATATGAATATTTCTATATAGAATTCCTTGAAATAAAATACGAATAAATGTTTTTCAGTCTTGCATATATAAACATTTTATGATATAAGGTAATTTTCTAACATAATTTTTGTCAGATATAATCTGTATTTTTCATATACAATAAAACCTGACTTAGTGAACAACGCTCTCTAGCGAACACCGGTGTTTACCGAACACCACTTCAAAAAACATTTTACATTAACTCCTGCATAAAAAACTCTCTCTGTAGTGAACACCTAGCTACATATTGTGGCTCCATACATGTTCACTATATACAGGTTTTACAGTATATTTATAGAAGACACTCAAATACAGATCACAATTATGGCAAAATTGTCCAAAACATCACGTCTCACATTCACTGTTATGTAATTGCGCACATATATGTATGAAGTGAAGGAAATAATACAGCTTATGTCATTGTTATTACTATTCTATATAGAATTCCTTGAAATAAAATACAAATAAATGTTTTTCAGTCTTTGGAATGCCACTTACCTAATGTTTCAACGATTGGCAATTTCTTGACGATGGCTCGTTTCTTGGCCATGCGCATGACCCCCAGAGCCAGAGTGACTGTCACTACAATTGGAAGGCCCTCGGGTATAGCAGCTACCGCCAGGCTGTAAAACAACACAAACATTTGTTAGCACTTTCCAGTTTGGACCAGAAATCAAAGTGGAATATTCAAATGTAAATAACAATGACAGTCTATAAATATCATAATATGAGTGATAATGTAGCATATTTCAAGCAAAACTCTTAGAATATATCTTTTTATTCATATTTCTTTGTGATTTATATTATTTTTCCATTTATGACCAAATAGTACAATATGAGTCGGATAATATTGGAACTTTATCACCTTTTGGATTCTGCATATGCAACTAGTCCCTTGTTGTTCCTACTGTTTACCACAAAAAAGTTTATACTGACCTGACACCTATTGTGAACATCTCCAACATAGCTCTTCCTTGCACCCAACCAAGGAACATTATTACACCTGAAATGCAAATATTTGAAATAGGATGGTGCAACTTCATGCAATATCAATATTCCATATAAAGAAGTTATTCACCAGGAGGGATTTGATATGGGGAATATCACAAGGATGATATCAATATTTCCCGAGGGAACACATTGACAGAGGGAGAGTATAATTTACACAGTGCATTGATCTCAATTTCCTTTTGATTAAACCGCATAGAAATTTTATTTATCTATTCCAATCTTCCAAATATGATTCAATGACAGCAAAAAGCTCAATTGATTGCATACAACAGGGTGATTTTTCCATACCGAGGATATTGCTGTGATATGTATCTGTATTCTGTTTTCCTTGACAAATGAGAACTCAACTCACCTATTATGCAAAAAGAGTAAAAGGAAAGCTGTTTCCCAAGGATCCCCATACTGATTTGTAGTGGGGTTTTGGGGGGGTCTTCGGCTTGCATCATTTTAAATACCTCGCCAAACTCTGAATTTTCTCCAGTTCCAACGACAATACCCTAAGAATATAAATAACAAAGATCTTAGTTATAAATCAAGATTATTTTGTTTCATTGAATATTCTCTATCTGGCCCGGGTGGGACAATATTTGGACTGGTTTGGGTCAGTATGTAAAAGTTTGAATTTAAAAGATTTAATTCATCCTAAACAATAGTTATATTCATATGGACTGTTTATAGAATATCTGTACTGTGATAGAATCTTTTTTATCTTCCTATCTTATCTCATAAAAAGAAAATAAGCAACTTTCAGTTTGATTCAAGACAAATCGACAAATAATATGAAAAATTCAGTCATTTTAGAATTATTTTTATAAGATGTACCTTCCCATTGCCACATCGCACAAGTGTTCCCATGAAAGCAATGTTTTTCCTATGTGTGATCCCGTTATTTTTCTTTATTTTGAGATGGTCTGTTATCTTTGACGCTGGCTCTGTCTCACCAGTAAAACTTGACTCGTCTATAGCAAGGTCAAAGGCCTATAAATTTAAGTTTTCAAATTTATTAGCTAGAACGATCAATCACCTAAGTTCATCAGTTTAAAATGATATTAGAAATAAAGTTTACAAATGGCTTAAAGCCAGGTCAAATGTCTAAATTAAGAAGATTCTAATTAAAGAATAAAATACAACTCTAGATTTCCAAGTAGTTTCATAATTACTTTTCACTTCTTCTCTAAAAAAAATCAAAGCCATTACCTCAAATAGTCTCAGGTCAGCTGGTACCCTATCCCCAATACTCAAATACACTATATCACCGGGTACTAACTCTCTGGCTAGGAAAGTTGACAATTTACCATCACGTAAACTGGAAAATAAATAATATGACATATGCTTATTCTACAAAAAAAGGATATATGACATAGTCTACTCTCATGCAGTCAAGGTTTAATCTATTATAATGTTCCTATTGATGTAGATTTTCTATATTATCGATTTTTTGTATTATTGATATGTAATTTTTCAGCAAAAAGTTGCATTTCTGGCCAAGTGGCTCTGATGCAAAAACATTAATTGCATCAAATCATCAAAAGGTCTATTCTCACAACAATATCAAATCAAATACCCTGATTTTCCTAATCCAAACAGGAAATCCCCTGACCATTGTTATTTTTCCCTGGCCATGTTAACCCTGATTCTCTATAATTCTGAGCCAGAGTGAGGCTTTCAAACCCTTTCTACCCCAATGCTGATGGGTCTAAATGTTGATGAAGTGTCTATACATTATACATACCAATGACACTTAGGAGGGACAAGCTTAGTGAGAGCCTCCAGTGATTTCTCAGATCTATACTCCTGGATAAAAGCCACTGTTACCACTATTACGATTGCCTGGAAAATATAAAAATCAATTTAGTTATTTGGCTGAACAGAAATCTGACCCAAATACAAGACTCTGTTAGGCTTATCAGAAGGTTATCTTATAATACTAGGTACAGGGCTCTCGCCAGGCTTTTTGACTGTGGCGCAGCACCACACTCTATTTAGCTCCCTCCACACCCTAATGGCAAATCATGACTGTTTCCAGTCAAAACTTGACTGAATATACAATAATAGCATGTAAAAAGGATAAAACATAACATAAATATGATTTATCACGATTGAACAGTTATTCTGAAGATGTTAGCACCACACCCTAAATATTTCCTAGTGAGAGCCCTGAGGTAATTAGATGGTCCATTCGAATGAAAGCTAATGAGGCATCATTATTAGAATAGCCTGGGAAATACAACCATCTATTTATTCGACTTGACAGCAATTTTCTCCCTCAGATTTTTATTAATTATAGGGGTGCTTTCTGCAATTTGAATCAAACCTAGTCTGTCACCACTATAACAAATGCCTGAATATTTAAACATAATTTTACTTATTTTATATTGCTGGACATCAAGTATATCCTCTTATGCGTATTAGAATTCATCAAGCTTATCATATCCAGGGGTTTTGTTAGCAGCAGGCAACAGGCGATTTTCACCAGTTGTTTTCACAAAATTGTCTTGTTTTTAGGGACTTTTCAACTTTTACATGTTAAATTCACGATTTCCATTAATTTTGCCAGTTGCTTTCATTTATTTAGCCTGTTGTGAGAAATTCTAGTGAAACCCCTGTATATCCCAAATATGAGTCTTAGACTTATATCCATGTTCATATTATTATAGTGGATACTTTTTGCAGTTTGAATTAAAGTCAGTCTGTCATTTGTATTATTATAACAATTGTCTGGAACATTTAACAATTCCCCCAATATTTAAGAGGGAAATTGCAGCTATTATGACCTGTTAATTGTTAAATTGCAGCTATTATGACCTTTAAATGAATATACAGCAGCAATAATAAAATATGAATGGATATACAATTAAACCTGCAAACAAGGAACACTTTCCTGACTGACCAAAATTGTTCCTTGAAGACAGGTGTTCCCTACAGAGAGGCTCCATGTTTCGAGCCAGAATAAGCATTTAATTATTGAATATGATGAATAACTGGTGTGATAGTAAACCAATGCTGATATATTCAACTTTCATCAACCCCATTTTGTAGCATTTACAATCTGTAAGTTTGGATCATTATAAGATTAAAGAGTTCTATGAATGTTCATCTCTCTGGTAGTAATGTACTATTAATGTTGATTTTCTTTCTCAGAGATATTTATTTTTTCTTTTTGACGTTTCGTAGGATGTCCATCCTTCTTCTTCTTCATAGTAACGGTTGCTATTTGTCTCATTGTTATGTAATAATTAATAATTTCAGTTTGATTCAAATATAATTTTATTTCTGAAGAAGTAGGATGGACATCCTACGAAACGTCAAAAAGAAAAAATCTCTGAGAAAGAAAATCAACATTAATAGTAAGATTAAAGAGATTTGGCTCAATATCACAAAAACACATTTCTAGTATCTCCTAAAACAGATGTGTCAGTGCCTAGAATAATTCAACTTGCAGGATGAAATCAATATCTGTTGCCATTTGGCAGTTTATAAGAAATAGATTCACTATAAAAATATTAGGGCAATAAGATAGTTTCTAAATAGTTGAAAATTGAATGAAAACCAGTGCTGCTATCTTTTATTCAGATTTTTTCTTTGGCCAAAGTTCCATTGACCTCCATATTAAAGTCCCCGATAAATCGGGCTACTAGACCGCCGTGTTTACATTAGGGGATTAGAAGAGTTTATTTTTATTTAGGTATGCAATCTACACATATTAAGATCTTTGAAAAGTGACTTTATTTCATGATATATCAAAAAGTGTTGGTTGAATCTGTTTAAAACTTGTTTGATATAACATGTGATGACCCTTTTAACATACTTATTGTGGTTTATCATCAAAATTTTGGGTTGTTAAAACTAATAAACCAAGGTTTTTAGAGAATTTAAACATAGCCAATGGAGATTTGGCCAAAGTTTTTTTAAAAAGTCATGGAAAATGATTTAAATAACATAACTGTTTCTTGTAGAAAACAGTTCACTGATTTCAAAAATGCCATTTAAAAGAAGGCAAAGTAAGTAGATTAGAGGTTTTATATGCAAATCTCTTAAAATCTTACGATAAACGAGATTTAGTGAGATTTTAAAAGCTATATGGAAACTGTACTATTGACAGTGGTAGGGATGTCGCAGCTTGTCGACAATCCTCTTATCCTAATCTCTCATATAAATCTAAGCTTTTTAGAATCAGATATTGACTTAAAAGCCATTCACACCTCTGAAAAATGGGATGCAGTTTAACAAATTTTCTATTCCATGTTTCTTGTGAACAGGTGAATTTTCAAAATTTGCCCCGAAATACCGTTCCTTGTTCCCAGTAGACAGGTGTTCCCTTCAGAGGGTGTCTGTTAATATGTAAGTGTATCACTAATCAACTAAACTGCATAGCAGTCACTAAGAGTATAATCCGAAACAAAAACACATATATGAAAACTGTTTACTATAAATATGCTTAAAAATGGTGATTTTCATTGTGATTTATTAGAGCCCCTCTTTAATCTAATGCTTGAGATCTGTATTCCAACGGATAATACAAGCTATGCATCACAATGGGTTTTATCCTTGAATACACCCTCAGAAATATATACAGATATCCAACTCTACATTATTCAATATTTGTATTTATCATGTAAATGCAAAGTTATGGTATGATTATTATTTATTTTAATAAGTATGCATCTGATAAAATGCAACACTATCACCATAGCAACCACCTAATCTGCAGTTTATATATTAATTGTTTTCAGTTATCAAGGTGACATTGATTTTTGCGATCTTTCTTTACTGTTAATCATAAGATTATGTATTTGCTGAGCATATCTTGATTGTACACTTTTGCCAAATCAAAGTCTGAATCAACTAAAAAAGTCTGTGAATCAACTAAAAAGTCTGAATCAACTAAGTTAAACCCAAGAGTTTCAGAAACCCTCAATTGGAATACATTTCAATGTGAAAACTAGGAGCAGTAAAATTGTGATAATTCTAAAACTTGTTTCTATCCAACCTACACCCTTAAAATAAATGAGATTTATTCTTGATTTTTTCATTCTCGACTACATGACTTGGTAAACAAATACACGCAACTAATATCATAGTAGTAGAAGCAGTATTACAGAATCAGACATCATTTATGTGTTATATCCATCTAATAATCGATAACATTATTTGCAGAATAAATATCACATTTTCAATTACATTTTTATTGTGCACTTTGCATTACTGTCATTCAGCTTCATTACCCTAAAGGGGAGGTGACTAAATGTCAACAATTGGGGATGAGGGAAGTTAATTCCATAAGAGGGGAATGTAAAGTATAACATCCTTTGTAACATGTCTCATATCAGATAAGAATTATTGTTTAATTGAGAAATTTCACACTATGTTTTTTAGGATACAGTGAGTAGTGATAGTGCAGAAATGAATTACTGAATTTCCAACTTAAAGAGGCTCTATGCCATAGGATAAGGATTCCCCTTGCTAGCCGAGGAATTGATTGTGTTTAATTCTGGAGTTTGGTTGTTCTGTAGATTATTTCCGATATTTCGGCAATAATATACCCAAAACAAACAAAAAAGTTATTCTCAAGATATACATGGTATGTGAGATATTATATGAGTATAACAATAGGACATCATTGATTGTCTGGGGGAGAAATGATGCATAATGCATCTTTAACTGTAACTGTACTGATTCTTGACTTTACAGGCATGAGTTCATCATAGTTTGTAAAACACATTGGTTGGGGGTCAACCATAATTAAATTAACTTCATTTTCCAAAAATTGTCAACACATGTACACAATCTATAACTTTGCATTTTGCACAATAAAAAGATGTACTTACGACTGTTATGGATACAGCGTCGTCATATTGTCTCATTATAACACTCACAAGGGCAGAGGCAAGTAGCAGCATAATCAGTGGGTCTTTGAACTGAAACAATACAACTACAATTACATGTCTTTAAAAAGTCATCAGATGGCCTATGTAACTTGACAACAGCAACGCCAAAGCGTAGCAAATCCCATCGAACAGCCATGGCTGGCATTTTTACAAACAAAGTATATAGCAAAAATGGCGGCCATTTTTCAAAATGGTCACCTTCTACCAAAAGTGTCATTAGACAGTGTGCCATGCTTATAGTATTCACATACCAAATATGAACAAAATCGCTCCACTACTTTTCAAGTTACAGCAAAAATTGTAAAATAACAAGTAAAGGTCGCCATTTTTCAAGATGGCTGCGATGTGCTTCTAGAATATCTACATTTCTAGCTTAATTAATGTCCTATATAATTTTTTACATTGCAAAAATATTGCTATTACCGTTTTACATATTGGACCTAAATTACTGTAAAATCGGCACTAAAATGGCCGCCATGAGCAGCCATTTTGAAAATCGGCTTTCGGGCAGAACTTCTACTCCCATAGGGTAAATTTGTACAAAATATGAACAAAATCGGGCCAACAGTATTTGAGTTATTGCCCGGACAGACGGATGGATGGACGTACGTACGTACGGAGGTGTTCCCTTTATCACTCCGAACTTTGTTCGCTGGGATAATAATATTACATAAACACTGTCATGTATTTATTATGAAAACAGCTTCTATACAACAACTAGGCATTACATGATAGCTCAAAATACGGTTATAATCTCTAAAACTAACATTCAATTCGATTCATCAATATTTATTGTTAATTTTCGATAATCAAGTTAACGCATAACTCAAGTTGACTAAAAAACATTGTTGCCTATTATCATTCATTTTGCCTGTGCTGAGAAATTCTAATGAAACATCTGGGTATATTGAATAAAAGCCCGAGTTGATGAAAAAACAATTCAGATTATCATTCAGAAGACCCCTCTGGCAAATGAATCTTAAAGTCCTAGCATTTGAGATCCACTACTAGAATACAAACCTGAAGACCTGAAAACTAAAGACCTTACACAAACAAACATACCTGATCTATATACTTTCTCCACAATGGTTCTTCTCCGTTGATCTCAAACTCATTGAATCCATTAATCTTACGTCGTCGCTCAGATTCTGACCCATTCAAGCCATTCTGTAGATCTGTGTTCATGATATGGCTGATCTGTAACCAAAGGGATAAGAGGGGCTTTGATTTATATTCTTTACAAGGTGAGCAAATAAATGTGTCATTTTTTTAAACTCACTCTCTATTTAATTTGTTTAATAATAGTCCCTGTTTTATTGTCATAACAAATATATGAGCCTCGCCATAGGAAAACTGGTCTTATCACAAATATTTAAATTGTGCTACAGAACCAAAAATGTGCCCAAGATTAAGAGGAAAATGTGCTAAATTCAAATCCATCTTTTTGGTCTATATCTGCAAGGAAAAATTGTTAAGACATACATGTAAGACATGGCTCATTTGTGCTTTTTAATAAAAACAAAAAATCAAAACATTGAAAAAATCTTTGATAAGACCCCTTTTCCTGTGGCCTGGCTCATATATATATATTCACAGTACATGTTTTTTAATTCAGTTTGTGAAATTACAGAGATTTCAGAAATAATATTTTATTTTAACATTTAAAATCATAATTTTCGATTTTTTCTTTTACCTCCATATAAGAGAGCTCAGACGCTCGGTCAGATTTCATGTGCATCATCATATTGTCAGCGTCCCTTCTGTTTCCTTCTTCTGGTGTCTGCAAAACAAAAGATATTTCATCCACTGATGATTAACTTTACATTATAGATTTATAAAGGAGATATGTCTACCCAAACTCCTGGTATTAAAACGATAACATAATCAATTTTGAACTCTCCTTCAAGAATTTAACATGGTTAACCCTCGTTACTTCAGAAGCTTTTTGTATGAAGACATGGGAAATTGGACTGCAACCAGAGAGAACCCCCAAAATTATGAAGGCAATCTCAAACCCAATGTCTTATTAATCATCTTCAGCTTAAATTATCAAAACTGGCAAATTTGAACATGAATTGAAAATATTTGAAGCAAGAGCATGATGAAGGATAAATTCAAAATGGAGGATTTTCATGAGATGAAACGAGATGCATGAAAATATTCTTATCCTTGGAGTACACAGCAGATCAGGGAGCTAGTCTGATCGCAACTTGAAACAAGGCATTAACATGCAAAATGTTACCACCTGCCATTTGCTACAGATGCCAATCATCAACCACCACCAAATGCTGACCACCAACCACCGAACAACCTCCACAAAAACGTTGGAGACTGTCTGTAACAATATGTCACCAGTGCTGGTGTTGAAATAAAAATCAATGTTTAGGGCTCTCAGATTCAGACCCCACTGCCCTGACTTCAGCAGCACATATCTTTAAATTTTTGATTGACCCATGAAAGCAAAGCCATTCAATGTGTATTATTAAACCTGATAAATCTAAGCCATGATAAAATAAATATGAAATATATTGCCCTGAGATGTTATAAGGTTAATATAGATAAAACAGAGCCAGCATAGACAATTAATTTCTAACGCAATAAAGACATATTGCTACATACATGTGTATTATTATCCTTTTATGATAGAATATTACATGCGGGAACAATCTTGAAATCTGTGTGAGATGTATTAAATTGATAAATAGAAACACCAAACTCAAGACAAGAGAAGTAGAAGAAAATAAAACACCTCTGGTGCCTCAATTAAGTGTTCTATTTTGGAAGTACTCAACTGACTAAGGGTCATATTATATTCTAATGAGGGATTTGAAATAAATCTTCTAATTGTAAAGCTGTGTTCCAATTTATTGTGTTCACTATGGCATGTCCGAGTTTAGCTTTTTGAGTAGAGAATATTTTCAATTTAGTTTCACACGCCTTACCATCGCGTAAGCAGGCGTCACCGTACAGCGTCAAAAAATAGCGGAGTACAGTTTTCTGTACGGTAACGCAAATTAACTGCTTTGAAGCAAAAACTATGACAAGGGTTTAAAAAAATTAATTTGATGAAAACTAATACGATTTCATGTGAAATAAAAACAGCATTCTCTTAGAAATCGTTTTAACTAACTGATTATGATAAACGTTTTACGAGCACTGTTCGGATTTTTTCTGAGTGAATCGGCCCACATAATCGACCCAAGTGATAAAAGGTTGTTTTTTCACATTTCGTTTGGTTATTATTTTCCCTGCCCTCTGAGAGTATGGATTATTTTTTTGAGAAAATGTATTTATTGACTACACATTTTAGAACGGGCGAAGATTCAGCAAACAACCATGCATTATGTATATTTAAAAAAGATCAAATTTGAACGGTGACGCACCAGCTGTACGGTGACGCCATGCTTTGATGAACTAAATGAGACTAAGATTGTATGAAATGGAAACTCTGGAGTATGATCATTTGTTCATATATAGCGCCGTTACATACATAATGGAAGGTTACTGGAAATGTATGATACGGTAAAGATCATGAAACCAAAAACTCTCTTGTTGCTATGTTATTGATGTTTTAAAACAAGGGATGTCACAAGTAAATCTCATCTTGCACGTGTGACTTTTTAGAATGAAAGATGCAATATATTGCATGGGGTAAAGATGGCTGTGTAGGCTATCTTTGTTAGTCATATGAGAAAAGTCTGGTTTAGTTCAAATGATACCAAAGCATTACGTCAACTTTCAAATAGTTAATTCCATGAAAACTAAAAATATCGAAATTGATACTTCCTGTCCGCCATCTTAAATGCGAAGGTGACGGCTGTAACCTTCGCTTGATACTTACCAGTGATAATGTACATGTAGATCTGACGCTTCTTTACCTCTTGTTCGAACAGTAAGCTTAGAGCTCTTCATAAAATCTAAGGAAGCGTCACCGTACAGCTGATGCGTCACCGTACAGTTCTGATCTTTTTTGAATAAATACACTGAATGATTTTTTGCCGAATATTCATCTGTTCTAAAATGTGTAGATAACAAATACATATTCTCATAAAAATAATCCATACTCTCAGACGACAGGGAAAATAATAACCAAACGAAAAGTGAAAAAAACAACATTTTTCTCTCGAGTCGATTATGTGGGCCGATCCAGTCAGAAAAAATCCGAGCAGTGCTCGAAAAACTTTTGTCATAATTAGAAAGTTAAAACCATTCTTAAGAGAATGCTGTTTTTATTACACCCGAAATCGTATTTATTTACGTCTAATTAATCTTTTTAAAACCCTCATTATAGTTTTTCCTTCAACTAAGTTAAATTTCGTCACCGTACAGAAAACTGTACTACTGTATTTTTTGACGCTGTACGGTGACGCCTGCTTACGCGATGGTTAGGCGTGTTTCAAATAAATGTGGAATATGCTAATTCAAAATACATGAATATAATGTCCTTCATATATGCCAGTACTTTTACAGCTAATTCCTTTATATATAATGCAGTTTACATTTCGCAGGAAACTTCAAAATACATATTTTCAGGGAACACATCACGATCATGAATTTGAAGAGCCTGGATAACTCCCTTCAGATCAAACAATCTCAACAACCATGATATATATCTCTTCTGATAGGTTCCACTTCAATGGTTTATTTCATTATTTTTTTCTCGAAAACAATTAAATATCATTCGTGACTCTTAACACATCAAAGGAATCTTTTATATGGTTGTCTACTAAAATACACAATAATCAATCTCACCTGTTCATAGCGTTTAGAGAATTCGCAAATATCGTTGCTTGCCATTGAAACTCCAGTTGATATCAAGAAATCAAAAGAAATTCTGAAATATTTTGATCAACTGGGAAAAATACTTATTCATATAAGGATGCTCCACAATAATGTTTCACCTATGTTCTATGGAAGAGCTTACTGAAAAGTGTTGTATTAATTTACATGCAGATAAAGACCAGTGTTTGAGCTACTTTCCGACCTGTATAAATATTGGGAGTGGTTTCTATTGTTTCACGTACATGTAGTTATATTTTGATTGGTTTCTATTGTTTTAGAAACGTTTTGGGAGTGTCTATATTGTTTAGAAATTGTATTGAAAGTTTAGACAAACAATTGATACTGAGATACATTTTTCACTGAAGAAAATGTATATATGCAAGTAAAAGACTGAAGAGGGTAAAGATCAAGAACTATGGAAAACTAACCCCAAATCCCCCCCCCCCCTTTCAAGAGCCAATATCTTAATCAAAAGACCTCAAGTTGCTTTATATAGTATTGCTGGATAATTCTTTTTTTATTTTCATACATAATTGCATTGTTTATATCATATAACCAAATTTATTCAGTTGATATAACCTGATTAAATGATCTTTATATGAATAAATTATTGAAAAAATCATTTATATGGCTGGATTTACATAAACAATCCATTTACCGTAAACATCTCCTTGACAACAAAACACGACATAAACATTGCATAAATCATGTATCATCAGTCACAATTTCAAGGAACTGCAAGCACAAATACTGACTTGAATTACATGAACTGTATCAATATACTTATCGAGAAAATGAATTTCAGACTTACTAGATTCTAGTGCATATATGCATAGGTTATAAAGTAGCAATGCAGTATATATTAAAGCTATTAGCTATGATTGCTTATCGAGTAGTAAATTCATATTTCTCGATGATTTGATAATTAATTATAACATGTATAATGTAAGCGGCAGCTTCAGTGAATAAGGAGAAGTCCAAAGCACAAGGCCTCCTTACAAGCAAATAGATTGTTGTGCTAATAATTAAAATCATGAATGAATCGTCTCTAATATTTCATTTTATTTAGGTGAATACCACACAAGTGACAGTCCCCTTTCAAGGAATTTGTCACATTCAATATGCCAAACCACCGAAAACTGCTTTCCAAATCATTCACATTACAGTGTTCTCCCCAAAAAAAATTTCAACTGGGTGCAAGATTTCAAGTCTGAAAAAATCAGCACTCGCTACGCTCACAATATCTCAGTGTAGGTGCTTACTTCACTCATTTTTCAAATCAGAAGTTGAAGTGCAGATTCCAACTGGGTGCCAACTGGGGGGCCTTTGGTTTCAAGTAGGGGGAGCCCCCGGTATAAGTGACATGGGGAGATCCCTGCATTATGTGATTCATTTGACCAAATAGCACACAATGTATCAGTCAGTTTATATTAAATTTGCAATATTTGAATTCATCTGGAAAATCACAGGCTGCACTAATATTTCTTTATCAATTTGATATTCAAACATTTTGTCCGGTGTGAAACACTATACCCTGCGTGCAGAGTCTAGTTAAACTACACTCTGCCTAATAGAGACCATATTACAGTTTAGTAGCCCCGCCCCAACGATGGGTACCGGTGACAGTTTGGGTAATAAATCACTTTTGACAGTTCACAGGTTTATTTTAGTTTGATAGAGTGAAGACGAAGCTCTCTTTTAAGAAATGAAGTCAAACGAATGCAAAGGGTAGAAATACTAATGCTTGAAAGAAATTCCTTGCCTAGAGTAAGCAGCGGTAGTTTGTCCGAACTGATTAGAGTTAGATATTAGAGCGCTTTCAAACTTACCTTTAGACCCAGGGTTCTTAGACATGTAGTATACACCCAGGCCCGTAGCCAGGATTTGCCAAGGGGGATTCGTTCAAAAATTTCCAGGGGATGTTCACATTTGACAGTTTTGGCCCAAATATGGCTAAAATCACTTGAGAAGGGCTCAAAATGGTGAAAAACTGCATGATTTTGAAAGAATTTTTGGCTACGGGCCTGACACCATATCATTTTAAAGAATAAATTCAATTGCTTGATGAAAAAATTGTTGAAAAATTGTAATATTTACATATTTATTGATGACTGATGAAAGTTGGAAGAATTTTGGTGTATTATAGCATCTGAGGGTTAGGTACTTGTGTCTGTGACAGCCCGGGTCATAAATCACTTCAATCCTACTGTGCTGACCTTTTCTCAACCAATTAGCAAGCTGGATGAAACAAATGCTAAATGTGTGTAACTATGCGATGACTTCAGAGGTAGGCTAATGACCATGTATAGAAAGTCATCCATATTTAGATGACAAATTCTGATTAGTTCGGTGAGTTTAGAGATTTATTTATTGGAAGAGTAAAGACGAAGCTCTCTTTTATGAAGCAAAGTTGAACGAATGCAAAGTGTAGTGATTTTTGAATATAAAACTAATATTCACCATTGAATTATTTTGAAGCTTCCTATTCAAGTGGTCAAGCTGGAATAAAACTAATAACATCATATGACAGATATTAATATTTTGCTCTATCCTCTAAAACCAATACAAATAGTTATACATAAAAGTCAATCAGATCAATTACTACACACTATACATAGATTTACCTATGATCATTCAGTAAAAAACATATGAATTAAAAATCAAAAATTGAGTGCGTAAAACTGGCAAGGATATTGTAAAAATAATTCCTTCTCCAGTTTTTACCTGTCATACTAAGTGCCCTTCAAATTAAAATGTCAAATAATATGATTCATATTAATGAAATAAGTTATCAATCGGTAGTGTGACCTTGTAGTAGTATAATTACATTTTGAAGAACAGAAGATTAGATTCATTTATAAATAAGAGGATTTTTCTCATTGAAAACATTCAAAATTCTTATCTTCTAACCTTGTAAGGGCTTCCCAAGAGGGGGTAGTGGGGTCGCTTTTGTCACTTTTAAGATTTAAAAATATTTCTTTATCACATTTAAAATTTACTTGTCATATTTTGTCAGATTCGTTCCTTTTTAGTCAGTCAAAGTATTTAATGCACTAAATAGTCTGTTATGTTCCATTGTTTGATTGCTGGTTAGAATAAGTCATCTTAACTAGCATCAATTTACATTCAGAACAAATTATCTATTTTTGTCACTCTCAAAATACTTGTCAGTCCATTGTTTGATTGCTGGTTAGAATAAGTCATCTTAACTAGCATCAATTTACATTCAGAACAAATTATCTATTTTTGTCACTCTCAAAATACTTGTCAGTCCATTGTTTGATTGCTGGTTAGAATAAGTCATCTTAACTAGCATCAATTTACATTCAGAACAAAATATCTATTTTTGTCACTCTCAAAATACTTGTCAGTCCATTGTTTGATTGCTGGTTAGAATAAGTCATCTTAACTAGCATCAATTTACATTCAGAACGAATTATCTATTTTTGTCACTCTCAAAACACTTGTCAGTCCGATAAATGTGCAAAATTGTCACTTGCAAGGATTGATTTGTCACATTTGTTCGTTTTTAAGTACCCCAAAGTCCCATTTAGTCCCATTTTTAGAGGCCAGGTCGCCTTATCACATACCCCTTGGGGAGCCCCCTTATGTTATTATAACCACTTGCAATTTGAAGATGGGGTCTGAATGATACCAAATTAAATCTTCCGTTACAAATATATTGAGGTATGCTATTTTAGTCTATAGTGTGTGCCAAAAACTATCGGCTGATAAACATCTAGGAAATATCATTTAAATATTATATGACTGGACGTCTAGAAGTATATGATTTGATAAAGAAACAAAAGCAGTAAATATTCACAGAGTCACTTTATTCAATGTCAATATCACAACTATTGTTAAAGTTTGTTTTAAGCCGCTATTAGGGAATGCATAGCAACAATTTGATCAAAATTTCCAAAAACTTCAACTTAATAGATAGCACTGATTATAAGCTACATCTTCAAAACTGACACACTTTACATAAACATTTATTATTAAAAAAAAAGAACATTTATTCTTTCCATGATTGATTTGGTCTGAAAGCTGTGAATCTTGTCTACTCTGTTATTTTTCTAGGTGACTTTGAGCAACCAGGATGTTGATTTTCAAAGCTGTGCAGTAAGACAGAAAAATGCTTTATGAATATTGTAAATATTTCTCTGTCCCTCAATCCTATTACATCCTCCGAGTCACTGTTCTCTGATTTCTAAATGTTTTCAAATTTGTGTATGAATATGATCAGTTTTAAGTTTCAAAAACATATATTACATGAACAAAGACTCCCTTAATAATATATTAACATTGATTTAAGAAGCTCTTTTGATGTTATAATATGTTTCTTGTTCATAGCTCAAATATTCTTTAATTCAAATTATAAAGATTATTTTTTCACAACATTTACAGATGAAGTTACTTAAGTTCATGTGATGGGTCTGTGCATCGGTCTGTCTCCCCCCCCCCCCTATAAATAAATAAATAAACTAAACTATTTTTTTGTCATGAAATATTGCGTTATGGAATATAAGGATAAGAGATGAGAGTTTTACTGGCACCATTTGACTGATATTTGTTGAAGGACCATGCTGATATCAAATAAGTACTTTCATAATTTTGTATCAATAAAGTGAAAAATAATATTTTGAATGAGAAATACTTTACAATTTAGCTCCATGAGGATGAGTTGTCCAGGGGATGAGTTGTCTAGGGGATGAGTTGTCCAATGGATGAGTTGTCTAGGGGATGATTTGTTCAGGGGATGGGTTGTCTGTAAGCCCCCTGGTACTTACCCCAATATTTTTCATATCATTCCCACGACTACAGTGCTGATATATAATAATAAAGGGTACTTTTTCAAACTTAATAGAGTGCTCCACCAAAATGAATTTGCCTACATACCCCTGAGACTCGTATCTGATAGATAGAATGCACAAATAAAACAAAAGTTTTGCTATTATAGGTAAAAAGTTCTCTTGAAATTTCGAAGTGATTTTACTTGTTAATTCTGTCCATGGTCCGCCATTTTTGCAGAAGTTACACTGAAACGCAAACTCCATGAAACGAAATCACTAGAAAAAACCATGGCAGACATTGTGCGCATGTGCAGCAAAGTTTAAACCAATAAGATTATTTGATTATTTTGCGCACATGAATTATTTGCTTCTGAGCACTTACAAGCTTACCACAATAAACAAACCTGGCAGAGACTACCCTTAACCTACTTCATTTTGGCAAAATTTCAGCTCAAACTCGTGACAAATGCATTATGCATACGCTGGTGTCACGTGAAGCCTTGGAGACACTCATTTTGGTAAATATGATTTATGGTGTATACTTTTCTGCAGTTTGTGGGAGTTTGGGACATTAAATGTTAAAATTCAAGAAAATATGCCAATTATACGACTTATCAATTATATACAGTTTGGACCATAAATAAATGACAGGTGTATTTGCTGAAGTGAGGATTTCACATGTTAAAAACAAGAGAATTTTCAAGAGGCCATACATCAGTGGATGAGATTATACAAAATGTAAAATATACAAATTTTAAGGGATATGTATCTAGACAATATTGGAAATTATGGGCTTTCAGACGACCATGATTAGGAAATGGTGATCGAAAATCGACCTGTCATTTATTTTTGTCCCCAACTGTACCAGCACTACAGTGCTGATATATAATAATATAGGGTGCGTTTTCAAACTAAAAAGAGTGTTCCTACCCAAAATGAATTTGCCTACATACCCCTGAAACTCTTATCTGATAGATAGAATGCACAAATAAAACAAAAGTTTTGCAATTATAGGTAAAAAGTTCTCTTGAAATTTCGAAGTGATTTTACCTGTTAGTTCTGTCCATGGTCGGCCATTTTTGCGGAAGTTACACTGAAACGCAAACTCCATGAAACGAAATCACTAGAAAAAAACATGGCACACATTGTGCGCATGTGCAGCAAAGTTTAGACCAATTAGATTATTTGATTATTTTGCGCACGTGAATTATTTGCTTCCGAGCACTTACAAGCTTGCCACAATAAACAAACCTGGCAGAGACTACCCTTAGCCTACTTCATTTTGGCGAAATTTCAGCTCAAACTCGTGAAAAATGCATTATGCATACGCTGGTGTGAAGCCTTGTAGACACTCATTTTGGTAAATATGATTTATGGGGAATACTTTTCTGCAGTTTGTGGGAGTTTGGGACATTAAATGTTAGAATTCAAGAAAATATGCCAATTAAACGACTGATCAATTAATATATACCAGCACTGTATACTTGTGTATTGAAATCCTGCGCAGAAATATACTGTCAATAGTTGACACAAAGCTATAATTTATCTAAACAACAACTAATTCAGCTTATTTACAATTTTGAAAAATCAACCCCATATTCTATGGGGGTACCTGTAGATCTAGCCTACCTAGGCTGGGCTAAAAAATCATAAAAAGAAAATGAAAATTATTTGTAGAATTCACTAAGTTGTTCACCTTACCTCGTTTAGATCTACGTTGTTTTCTTCCTTTGACACTTGATGATACTCAACATTGCTAGTGGACTTCCAAATACTCAAAAGTTGCCCCATTTAGCCGGTTTATTTGGACAAAATCTGCCCATTTCTGTACAACAAATTTTCCACCGAGACAGCCTCGTTTTAAAGTAGGTCAACATGTAAAACACAGTCTAAATCGAATGAAAGATAAAGCTATTAATCAGATTAGATGTTTACAATTTTATGAGCTACATGTAAAAGTTATTCTCATGTCTAAAATTCTAATATGTCATATCAAGATATGCATTTCTTCTTTTTGCATTCTTCTTATGAGTTCAAATATATTTGCGTAAAATAAAAATATGGACTGTGTAATAACACCCGGAAATTGAATTTTTCTTTTATTTTGTCTAACTAATTTTTCCTCATATCTTGTTAATTTCAAAAGGCAACAACATAAAAGCAAGCCAGGTATGTTAACATTATCCTTCCATATCATAAACACATTCATAGTTTCCCACATTTCCAGAGCTGTCAAGTGTCCCGCGAATGGCGGGATTATCCCGCGAATTTGACCAAAATTTGGCTTATTCGCGTGTCCCGCAATGTCCCGCGAATTCCCGCAAATGACGGCTTTGACCTCCGCGAATTTTCAAAATTGTAACAATCCCCGAGGCTAAATAATTGTGATTATATTGTGATATAAGAAGCTAAGCTTTTTGCACTTTTGAGGAGTCAAGTTTACCTAATTTGAAAAGTGCTGCCGAACTCCCAGTGCATCAGATCATCGAAGACTGCTTTTGGAAGGAGCATATAGTACACTTATAAAACTATGATTTTGATCCAAATAACACCATAGTTGGCTTCTAGCATGCCGTTTGGTATCAAAATAAAGAGGAAGAGTGCAAATTTCATTTTAATTACGGAAATAGGGATGTATGTCACGATTAGTTCCAACGTTGGCCTTTTTACTACGCGTGTCACGGCCTTCATCTCAGAACAGAACAAATGTTAGCAAACGCGAGTTCCAATAAATGGACACTGATATCTCGAAAAGAAACCTGACTCCCCATAATTTGATGTAGAATAATCGAACCCCTATACGAATAGGTACATTTTGATATATAACACTATGGGGGTAAATGTTTCATAGTTGGTCACGAACGCCATAAGTGCAAAGTATTCACAAGAATTTTTGAATTTCGTGTCGGATTACGGTACTCACACCTAAAGCGTGGTTTTTGATAGTTCAATAATAGTTCTATGCGTATTGTGTGGAATTGTGTTGACGTTTACTTAAGTTAAGTGCATTATATTTGATAAATCAGTATCTGAAAGTTTGATTCAAGAGTACTTTTACATTAAAAATCCCTTGAATGTCCTGCGACATCCCGCAAAAGGTGGATGTCCCGCAAAATCCCGCGAATTTAGGGCACTTTGTCTAGAAAAATTATCCCTCTCTGAAGTCTTTGGTGGTTACCCTGTTAATTGTCCCGCAAGTAGCGTGTTTGTCCCTCGAATGGTCCCGCGAAATCCCGCGAATTTGATCAAAATTTGACCTTTTAGCGTAATCACGCAAATCCCTTAAATGTCCCGCGAAATCCCGCGAATTTAGGTGGATGTCCCGCAAAATTCCGCGAATTTTTGGAACTGGGTCTAAAAAATCTGTCCCGCGAGAAAATCTTTGGGAGTTGACAGTACTGCATTTCAGGCCTGTCAACTGTCACAATTTGTGTACAGTGGTGGACAAAAATAAACCTCAACTATCAAAAGTTGTCACAATGAGCTAAATTCCAAGTTTCGTGTCTCAAACTCTCCCATGTGCTAGAAAAATAATTCCCGTTCACTCTAAGTGGCACAATAAATTAATCTAAAGCTTCATACCTGCAAATGATGCCAACCAAATCGAACAAATGTTTTCATGAATCACCATGTTTGTGATCCAAGGAGGATTGACTCCCAGAATGCAACATCAGTTAAGGTGACTGTTAACTTAATCGATTTTCAGAAAAAATTGAAAATTTCACAATCTTGAAAATTTCAAACTCTTCCTGAGAAGTCGTTTTTATTATTTCACATATGCTTGTGCACTGTAATCATTACAAAGACATCAAAGAACAAAACTTTAGTTTGAGAAAAAAAAGTGCCGTTTAAAGAATTTGAGAAGATTTTTTTCTAGGAGTAGCCCGTGAAAAACCACTGATTCAAAATATCTGAACATTTCAGAAAATATACTTCAAACATATATCAAAAACGAAGGAGCAACGGAAATTTAAAAAAAAACGATAAAAAAATTGGGATCAAAATAAGGAAAAAAGCACACTTCTCAAATTGTTTTTTTCTATTTTTTTTTAATTTGTATGAGAGATTTCAAAATTCTAAAGCTCCTTCCATTTTGGGCTATATTAAAGGGATGTTTCAAAAAAATTAGAAAAAAAAATGTTCAGGGACCTTTGCCGTGCTACTCTTTTTGTCAATTTTTCTGTCACATTTTCAGAGGACTCAAATTCCCATTCCAAAATGTTTACTGTTTCTATTTGCATTACCACAGTGAGCCTGGTTATATAAATGATAAGTGGAACTAAAAAATTGAGAGAAAATCCAACCAAAAGACAGTTAATCTTGATGGTCAGATTATACTCAAATGCCATGTGCTTCCTGATTTCGGCCATCTTGGATTTTTTGATTATCCCATCGAACGAAGTTCGGAGGGATATAGGGAACGCCTCCGTCCGTCCGTCCGTCCGTCCGTACGTACGTACGTCCGTCCGTCCGTCCGGGCAATAACTCAAATACCGTTGGCCTGATTTTGTTCATATTTTGTACACATATACCCTATGGGGGTAGAAGTTCTGCTCGAAAGCCGATTTTCAAAATGGCCGCTCATTTCAAAATGGCGGCCATTTTAGTGCCGATTTTACAGTAATTTAGGTGCAATATGTAAAACTGTAATAGCAATATGTTTTTAGTGTAAAAAAATTATAAAGGACATTAATAAAGCTACAAATGTAGATATTAAAAAAGCACATGGCAGCCATCTTGAAAAATGGCGGCCTTTACTCGTTATTTTATGATTTTTGCTGTAACTCTAAAAGTAGTGGAGCGATTTTGTTCATATTTGGTATGTGAATACTATAAACATTGCACACTGTCTAAAGACACTTTTTCAAAATGGCCGCCATTTTAACATATTTTACTATAACTCGAAAAGTAGTGGAGCGATTTTGTTCATATTTGGTATGTGAATACTATAAGCATGGCACACTGTCCTATGACACTTTTTGTACAAGGCGGCCATTTTGAAAATTTTTTTTGAAAAATGGCCGCCATTTTAACGTAGTTTACTATAACTCGAAAAGTAGTGGAGCGATTTTGTTCATATTTGGTATGTGAATACTATAAGCATGGCACACTGTCCTATAACACTTTTGGTAGAAGGTGGCCATTTTGAAAAATGGCCGCCTTTTTAACATATTTTACTATAACTCGAAAAGTAGTGGAGCGATTTTGTTTATATTTAGTATGTGAATACTAAAAGCATGGCACACTGTCTATTGACACTTTAGGTAGTAGGCGGCCATTTTGAAAAATGGCCACCATTTTTACATTTTTTACTATAACTCGAAAAGTAGTGGAGCGAATTTGTTCATATTTGATATGTGAATACTCTAAGCATGGCACATTGTCTAATAAAACTTTGGGGAGTAGTCGGCCATTTTGAAAAATGGCCACCATTTTTATGTGTGTTATTTTACAAGTACATGTGTGCGAATTTTCAAAAATTTTATAGGTGGCTACTTAAAAGCATATCATATTTCTTTAGATGACAACTTGGCTAGTGAGCAACCATTTTGAAAATGGTGGCCTTTCTTGTGTGTTTTTATGATATTTGCTATATATTTCGTTTGTAAAAATGCCAGCCATTTCTGTTCGATGGGATTCGCTACGCTTTGGCGTTGCCGTTGTTCTGGTTAAGTTATAAGTTACCTTAACCTTATTTACTCGTGACAGGTTTACCGTTCCGCCATTTCGAAAGCTGGCACATGTCATGTTGCATTCTGGGAGCCAATCCTCTTTTGCAGCGTAATCGGGCTACAAAATAACCTCAACATTTGAAGAATCGGCATGTGAACATGTGAATATCCACTTCAACTTTCTTAGTTCTTATTTGTCATTATGGACACAAATTCCACTATATTTGGATCTACTAGGATGGAGAAAATAGAGCACTGAATACACTGAGGTAAGAATTGATTACATGTGCGACAGCATGTAATTTTCATAGCTATAGTAATTCTTTATGTTCCCCACTGTATTTGTCACATACTGAAGAAACTGAAGTCACGCCAGTTTTTTTGCGCATTTTATCTGATTATTCAGTCAAGCAAAAATATTTCCTGAGAACAACATCAAAAAATCAAATGCTGAAATATAAAAAATATGCCAAAAAAACCGACAGTCGGTATGCAGCTGATGTGGGGCAAGTCAGAATCATGATCTATACTTCTTCTCTCCAGGTTCAATAACGAAAATCGGGAAAAAATCTAATGATGGCGTTTACACACTGAAAAACAGATCGGTGTTACCAGAACTTGGCCATGAATTGAGAACAAATATAATTGATACAATGACACTGCAATCTGTGTAATTGCTGCACTTACCAGTGAAAAAATCGCAGAAAACTTGGATCACTAACTTGTCGGACAGCTAACCCCTAGCATTCGTTCAGTGCAATCGTGGCTCCTTGTGGGAGCATGGCTACCTGTACTAAACTGTCTAGGCAGAGGGTAGTTTGTAACTAGACTCTGCGCACAGGGTAAAATATCAAGTCTCTGATATGGACTCCATGGAAGTAGATACAAGTGATCCTGGAGGAACTAAAACCCCATCCATTATTTGGAAGGGCACGCATCATTTTATTTCAATATACAGCAACCTAAACAGCTCTTGTGAAAGTAAGACAGGTAAACCTATTAAACTCATTTTCTGTTTGTTTCAGTTTCAAAAGTGTTCTGAAAAATTGAGCCCAGATAAATGAACAATGGATAGATGGCAGACTTGTTGGATCGCACTGGTGCTGCTAAGAATCTTCTGGACTCTTCTACCCCAATCAGGTTACATCCATCCCGATGAGTTCTTCCAAAACTCAGAAGTTGTAGCAGGTAATGTACTGAAAAACAGTTATTGCATTTTACAAGTGATCAAGAGATCCAGGAAGGCTCTTGTATGTAGGGTGACTAGAAATAAATGTTATGCCTGGGTCTCTTGGTCACTTGTAAAATACAGGTAACCCTGAGAAACACTTGAGGTTGAATTAATGTTTCAGAAACTAGTTTCATAACCCACATCAATAGTTGATTTCAGCTTTGAACAGGGCATAAATATCAGGTCAGATAAATACATGTAAAACATTTTCATTTGATTTCCATCTTAGAGTTAAAAGTAAGAGCCCCATAAATTAATTAATGACAGTGATATTTTGCTCTGAAAGTGACAATGAATATCACCTCCCCTGTGACTTATCACATCCAATTGGCTTCACCCTCTATTTAAATAACTTTTATGAAAATTGACTTCACCCCTAAACTTGACAAAATATATTTTCAGGTGATGTACTCAACCTGCGTGTGCGGCGAACATGGGAGTTCAACAAAACACAACCAATCAGGAGCATGCTCTTCCCCTACATAACAACTGGCATTCCATTATTTGCATTGAAATCTATTCAAGGCTTGCTCAATAAATACACTGTGCAGTTAGACGTTATTACCACAATGAACATGGTACGAGCTTCAAGAATCATGACGCTATTCCTGAGCTTCCTCTGTGACATCATGCTGTATAAAATAGCGAAGATGTTAAGCTTACCTGCTGCTAAATGCATAGTTTTGTTCGCTAGCTCTTACGTAACATTGATTTACTATACACATACATTTTCAAACACGATTGAAGCATTCCTCTATACCGCATTCCTATATTTTGTGATATCATCGTTGAAACTCAGAGAAGCATCAAAAGCAAAGGATAAGAAGGAGAACACTGAAGATGATAAAGCAGGTGAAGAAAAAGTGAACACAATTGCTTTATCTTCAATCATTGTGTTTGGGATATTCAACCGACCGACATTTATAGTGTTTGCCATTGTTCCCTTCCTATACTGGATGTGTTGTGATTTATTGCCTTGGAGACGAGAAAGCATTTTTAAGATGTTACACCGTTGCTGGCAATGCTTCCCAGGTGTTCTCTATGCCACAATGACTGTCATTCTCTTTGATTCATATTATTATGGAACCTTTCATGGAATCCCAGCAAAGGGGATCCTCCATGTTAAAATGACTGATTTTACAATAACACCCCTCAACTTCCTGAAATATAACCTCGATGCAAAAAATCTAGCAAAGCATGGAATTCATCCTAGATGGTCACACCTTGTGATTAATTTAGTGCTTCTGTTTGGCACAATGGATTTAACCATCAAATTTTGCTTCTTCTATGACAAAATGAAGAGCGTATTTGGATCCCAGAGTGATGAAGCAAACGCAGAGAAGCCTGATTTTGCATCGAGAATAACAAGCGTGTTATTCTATTGTTACTTCACCCCTGTTGTTTTGCTGTCATTTTTCCCGCACCAAGAGCCAAGATTTCTTATTCCACTACTCGTTCCAGCCATACTGGTTTTCCTATACAGAGCTCAACATTGGGGACATTTGCTGCATTTTCTCCTTACATCCTGGTTCTTCTGGAACACCCTGGGTTGCATCCTATATGGGGTACTCCACCAAGGGGGTGTTATACCTGCTATAGGGCACCTCCAGGGTATCCTGGCAAATTCAGGTTTCAGCCACACGACTCACATTGTATTATACCATACATATATGCCCCCTGAGCACTTGTTCGCAATCCCTGCAGGCAACCAGCGTACACTCGCTCGGTCCCGGATCCCGAACGTCGTCATCCACGATCTAGCTGGAGCTAAGGAGGATGTACTCAAGGGAACAATAAACAAAATAAAGTTTAGTATTCAGAATAATGCTCATCATGAAGTATATGTAGTGGCACCATGGACTCTTGATTACATGTTCAATGTTGAAAAGTATGATCTGGTTGATTCTAAAAGTGGCCATTTCAGTGCAGAAGATTTTGTGGACTTTGAAGATTTTTTCTGTATTTCACCACAATTTTACAAATCTCGATTTTGTGATAATTTTTCATTTATAGAACGATTGAGGATGGCTTTCTCATTGAATATTTATCAGCTTATTAGAAATAAAAAGTGAAATCACTTTGTGCTTTAATTACACATTTTATACATTTTTATTGTCAATTTTTACTATTTGCTATATTTTTTGCATGTAGTGTTTTTTGCTTTTGTTTTTATAATCACCAATATACAATAGAAGTTGTGAATCAAAACTTTTAAAATCATGTACTGTAATTTTTATGATTTTTGTCTCTTTAAACCTCGTAATTTTTATGATGATGCATCTGGTAAGCCTCTATCCCCTCCCCGATCCCCTTCATTATTTTATCAATAAGTATCACAATTAACCTTTGAGAGTAATAGAGTAGCTGAAGTGAAAGGTGTTACATCTTTTAAGATAGATGTGTATAAATGGTGTATGTTCACTCGAACATTACATATAGGACAGATCAATTCTTGTTGAATGTCACTTGATAAGAGCCTCAATATGACAAAAGTCAATGACTGAATACAAACTATTTTTATTATTGACTGTTGAAAGGTATATATTACTGCTTTGGCAATTTGAAAGGTCAATAAGTGAGGTTACAGGTACTTGCACCTATCATTACAGTATGTTAACATATTAGGGCCATTGGTGTCCCATTTGAACTTGAAGTAATTGGTTACAAGTACAGTAAAACCTGTCTTAGTGAACACCTTTCTCTAGTGAATGCCTGTCTCTAATGGACACCCTTCCTCATCATATTCTCAGACAATGTCAGAACTGACTTCTATATAAATGACCCTCTCTTTAATGAACACCTATCTACAGTGAACACATTTTTGTGGCTCGATAGGTGTTCTCTGTACACAGGTTTCACTGTATATGAATACTGAATAAATGAAAATAAAGTACTTTTTTAATACAATATCATATACATATTTTTTTGTTTGTCTCTGTGAGACAATTATGTACATGGACGTTATAACTGTGACAGGAGTTTCCATACTCCGATCACAGGGCTTCAAAATCCAGAATATATTCTTTCTTTTTACCCCTGCGATAAGCAGGCAGTTAGCATTTCCCCGAATAAGAACTCGCAATCTGATTGGCTGTCGCAACACTGTGACAGAAATCATGTATAAGTCATTGCGCATAATTAGATCAGTGATTCAGTTTAATCGGGCGCTTCCAAATTGCTTATAGCAGGGGGAAGGAAGAAGGAGGTACGGATTCTGGATACCTGCTTAGGAAGATGGGAGTTTCCAGCAAACAGACCAGGTGCTACTACCAATTTTAGTGTCACAAATAATAATGTTATTTCCCCTCTTAGGCCCAGTTAATCTTGCATTAGGGGCAATACCAGTTAAAGTAATATGAAATGACCTCTGGGGAAAATGTGCATTGTTCATTTGATTAAGACATCTGGAACTTAAAATACTCAACACAAACTCAATGGACTCCATTTGAATCGAATCATTTTTGTTGGAGATATCTTGTCCACCATCCCCTGTCGAAGACTGTGAATGAATGACGAGATTATGAACCCACTCAGTATCTCAAATTCTAGTAGTAGTATTATTAGTAAGGTGTGCTGCCTAACAAGACGTGGTGCCTATTACCCCACTGCTTAGCAGTTTCTATATATAGTGTAATTTGTTTATAAAATCTATCTCAAATGGAAATAAGCATCAATAGCATTTAGCATCTTAACATGGCGTGGTTTCTTTAGCAGTAGCAGTCTCTTTTGCAGCCAGTTCTTTTGCCCTAATAAGCGCTTCATCCTTCCCATCCAGGGCAAAGTACATTGGATTCTCCCTTGTTCCCATACCGTCGGTGCTGTCATATACACTGTTCCTTTTAGAGCCTGCGCCATACAAACTCTCATCCTCCAGCGGTTGCGCTCCTTTTGGACTGGAATATGTAATTGATGGATAATAAATATAGCATCGCACCCATTTGAGATTATTGTCAAGTTACATCTATCTTTATTTTGTCCAGTTAATCATTGGCTGTTTGGGCACCTTTTATGACTCGCTCTTTTACATGTAATGTGCATACCTTTTGTTCCTCCTTCGTTTATAGAGTGCTATCACTGATATTAGTAAAGTCAGAAGACAGACGCCAACTACGCCGACGATTACGTATACAGTACCTGGAAATATCAAATCAAGCAAATTTCTTTACGCTTCAGATTATAAATTCAAGCATTATTTTGAAATATTCAAACATGAATGGACTGCTTCAAATGACTTTGGTTGTGATAGTAAGGGTCGGAACAAAGTATTTGTCTGCTAAATAGTGCAAACGGACCAAAAAGACAATGTTCAAAGTGTATAATAAAACGTTTGCATTGATATAAACGTACTTGTGGACTCCTCAGCACTAGTCTTCTCAGTGGCAGATGGACTATCGGTTACCAGAAGTTTCGTTGTTTCTATGTCATCAGATGTTGTCCGCACAAACTGCGATGTACTTTTTCGCACGACCCTTGGTGTAGTTGGGCGTGGCGATGTTGATGTAGTTGGGTTTATGCTGCTCGGTAATGGTAATTTTGAAGTACAATTAGACACAGGTGAAGACGTTGGTGATTTGGAGCTTGTTGTTTCGGTAGTTTTTGGAACTGTTGGGGTGGTTACACTGGATATTGCTGTAGTAGGTCTAGAAGATGTTCTTATCGTCGGGGCCATTGTTGTTATTTCATTTTTGTCAAGTTTGCAGATATAACGCCTTTGATTATTGCACTTGGCTGAATTCCACATTACAATTCTTCGTGGATTAAAGATTACACACTGATTGGGTCTACCATCAAAGCCAGCTTCTTTCCTACATGCAAAGTAAATCATCTGAATTAGAACAAAACTTCGACCTATAGACGAAAAGATCTTTATCCTAGGTTTCAAATTAAGCCATGCAGAGTATTTAATATTGATATATAGGTTGGACATTTGTATCCACAATACTTTTAAATCATAAGATATCAACACTTTACGCCACATCGTCATTCCAAGGCTCTCCATCCGACCAAACATAATCTGTCATTCCAGGAAGAATGGAGCCTTGGTCACGACCCCCTATCCAAAAAGCTCGTTTTTTGTCAATCACAATCTCATCCAGCCAATCCTAGAACAAAAACAGACATATTTTGGACAAAAAAGTATGATTGATGCGAAATAACTTGTTTTTCTATATCCAATGACAATAAAAAATAAATGTGTTGCAAGTTTTTAAACTAAAAACTGGCTGTTGATAAAGTTAGATCCATAGTTAACAACTTCCTTATAATATATTGCAGACTTACAAGTTCCTTTATATTTGGAACACTAGCGAGGAAAGAGTCTGATTGCTTCAGTTTACATGCATTGTCTCCCTGAGTCCATTTAACAGGCGTATTACTGAAGTAGTAACAGAACTGAGTAGACGCTCGCCAGCCGTTTGGACAATTTCCCCCTCTTACTGAAATATCAGGTGTCCAAAAAATGAGCCACTTTTTTACAACTATTATCTCGGCAACTGATGAACCCGAATTCACTGAAAAGGATAGGTATCGATATGGTGAACTGAATTCAACAATGTTTTTCTCTTAAACCAATTATTGAAAACATTCTGTCAAAAACACGCGGTACGGTCCTTTATGTAATGTTGACTGATTGGCAACAATTTAATGCAAAAATTATTTATATATATTTTATATAACTGTTTCGTTAACTTTTTTTTTTAGTGCAATCGTTTCTTGTTCCTTTCTACCATTTCTTGAGAATGAAATAAAATGTCTTTCCGAACCTTGTTGGAACAAAATAACATATACAACATTTTCTTAGACCTCTCAATATTACAGTTATACAAAGGAAATTTTGATTGATTTTACCAAAAAGTACGCAAAAAATAAACATTTCATTTCATTAACAAGATACTTTTTTAAAATCAACCAAACTTTCCTTTATACAATTACAATATTGAGAGACCTAAACACTTATCGCATCCTACGACCCCTTTAGATTGTGGTTGTACACCCGTATCATTAGTAAGCCTGTCTTTCTTTAATGTCGGAGAATGAACTACGCATTGCACTATTAAATGACCTACCTCGATACATTCCAGAGTATTTTAGAATTCTTTTTATGTTGTTAGCTCGCCAATTGTATGGGTTTATCGGCAGAACGAAGATATTTTAGTTTTTACATCGGAAATAAGTCAGCAATTTTCAAAATGTCGGAAGGGGAATTCCCCAGGGATTTCCCTTACTGGTGCATGCCGGGAACTGAATGGAGGAATTTGATGGTTGAAATAAGTTAAATATTACACGCAAATATTGCTATCAAAAACGAAAATATCTTCGTTCTGCCGATAAACCCATACAATTGGCGATCTAACAACATAAAAAGAATTCTAAAATACTCTGGAATGTATCGAGGTAGGTAATTTAATAGTGCAATGCGTAGTTCATTCTCCGACATTGTAGAAAGACAGGCTTATTAATGATACAGGCGTACGACCACAATCTAAAGGGGTCGTAGGATGCGATAACTAAACACATTGTGTTTATGTCGTTTTGTTCCAACAAGGTTCGGATAGATGTGCATTTCATTCCGAACATATGATACCAAGAACAAAAGAAGAGTCTGACGTGTTTTCTAAAACAATTTAGAGAAAATGATTGATATATATATATTTCAAATTATAATGTTACCATCCAAAAGATGACCATTAAATTGACGATGTGTAAAATTTTCAGAATGTTTTGATGACTGGTTTAAGAGAAACGCGTGTTAAAAAAGTTCACCATATCGATACCACTCCTTTGTACAAAGTAGCCGAAGAGTATTATTAGCAAGTTGTAAAAATAAAAAAAAGATCAAGTACAGGGTGTTCAAAAAAAAACGCAACCCAAAGAAATCGCTATATCTTGGAAAATACTAGTCCAATTGTGTTCATTTTTTCAGGAAAGAAAGAAGAGACTGTGTATGTATAGCTCATGTTGTTAGTTAGTTGTAAAACATGATGCCTTGAACAAATGCTCAAAAGACATTAGTATTGGAAAGATACGAAAAACGCAGTCAGAGACTACTGCCACAGCAATAAAACCAAATAACTTTCTAACCATAGTGTTTTGGCTATTCAAATTTGGCACAAATCATCTTCATTCAATGTATGATAAATCTGTAGAGTGAAATCAAAATCACTCCAGGGACTTTACAGTTTTGGTCGAAATGCTTTCAAAACCCAGTCAAACACCCTGGTTCAGCCAGACTTAAGAAGGCATTCTGACCATGACTGTAAAGTCCCTGGAGTGATTTTAATGAAACTCCCCCAATTCACTACACATTATATGAAGATAATTTGTGGTGAATCTGAAGTGCCAAAACACCATGGTTAGAAAGTTATTAGGGTTTATTGCTCTGGCAGTCACCTCTGGTTGCGTTTTTCGTATCTTTCCAATACTAATGTCTTTTGAGAAGGTGTCCAAAACATCATGTTTTACAACTAACTAACAGCAGGAGCTACACACGCATAGTCTCTTCTTTCTTTCCTGAAAAAATGAACACAATTGGATAAGTATTTTCCAAGATATAGCGATTTCTTTGGGTTGCGTTTTTTTTTGAACACCCTGTACATATTCTGCGAGTACTAAGAAATTCAAAATAGCATGTCAAGAATTCCCATACTGGAGCTCTGATATGAGACTTCTATAGTTTATTATGTTATCATCTTCGTATGCTTGGTCTTCCCTGGGTTCTATGGGAGCCGATCGCGAGTGATGTCTGATTAATTCTTTTCAATCATCCCAATATAAAGTGACTTTCACATTGATATTGGTTATTTTGACATACTGTCTTTAATTCTAAAATACTCACATACTATGAGACCAATCTCTTACATATTCATGGCACTAGCAGAAGATACCCTAAAGTGCCTCTGGTAAAGTTCTAAACGAACTTTGCACATCGATTACAAAAAAATTACTTGTCAAATTGGTTCTCATTTTCGGTAGAAACGCTATAAAGTTCTCATTGCGTTGCTCCGGTATGGGCTATTATGACACGCTATCTTGAATTTCTTATTAGTCATATAACATTTACATTATCTTTCATATATTTTTATATCTTGCTACTGATACTCTTGGGCTACTTTGTACAAATTTTCAGTGAATTTGTTTTATTAGTTGCCGAGATAATACTTGTCAAAAAGTGGCTCATTTTTGGGACACTCGATATGTGAAATAATACAATCAAAAATCAAAAGCCTTCCATATTTGTACCTGCCACCACCGTTTTATCATTTTAAATAATAAATCAGTGCATACAATTAGTCACTGCAAGTTTCCATTGGATATTAGTATCAGAAATATATAAATGTTCTTGATGGTTGGATTATTTTGGTTGAAAATATATAATGTTACATAACTCAAGATCTATTGTTCGAAAGGCCGTTAAAGGTAGAGTCGAGTTGAAGATCACTTTTGAAAAATCATCACAGTTTCACAATATTGTTACATTTTTAACATTAAATTTTAATCATTCAAGCTATTTTGCATCATTTTTATTTCATAGTTCACATTTTGAATTTTAAAAAATTGATATTTTTCCATTCCACAACTGTAATTTCTAATTTGGAATTTTGGAATCGCGTTGATGCCCCCGAGCTCGCACCTATTGTAGTAGGTGTTGCAGCTACTGTGGTAGGTCCAGCCATTGTGCTGCTGATTGTTGGGATGGTAGTTGTTGTCACTGTTGTTGTTTTCAATGGCGTCGTGGTAGATGGAGCCTCCGTTGTTGTTGTGATGGGATAGCGTTTCATTTTACATAGGAAACTGTACCAATTTACAGAACAAACCTTGAGAAACCATTTTCCATTTTTTAAGAACACTCCACATTTGGATCGACTAGGATCGTTGCCTGGTTCTAAAGCATTGTTCCTATGTAAAAATAAAACATTATTTAAGATGATAAATGCCTAAATGGATATTATAAAAAACAGGAAGGAATGGAAAAGGGTATGACATACCAAACATTTTGGTTCCATGATGTACCATCCGTCCATTTGTATTTTGATTTGGAATTTGAATCATATTCCATTCCTAGCCAAAATCCACTATTATTTCTGGAACCAATTTCTGCTCTTAACAAATTCTAAAAACAAATAAGTACAGGTTGTTGAAAAGGTAGTACACCAGCGGCTTCGAATTGGAATTAGGAAGTACAAGCAAGAATGTACACTTCCCTCAAAAAGTTTGGCAACCTTAGCTACCTCATTGAACTATAATATTGCTGGACATGTAACTTGACTACATTTCCAATTCCTCCAAATTTTTGTCCTCAATTACAATAGGTCGAATTTTTGAAAATCGACATTCCCATACCAAGGGAAGGCCAATATAATATTTTTAAGAGGAAAAATTTATATTCCATCACGACCATCAAAAACCTATTTAATCCATAATATGTTTTCTAAAACATTAATTTTCAAATTAAACGAAAAAATGTAAAAATTAAGAAAAAACGGGAAATAATTCTGATTTGGGCTTTTTTCAATATCAATTTTATTCCCGTTTATTTCACAGGAAAAACATGTTATTATGGAATAAATGGAGGTTATTTACAGGGAGGAATTCAATATGGGTTTTGTTCCGAGGGGAATTTTATATTTTCCGAGGGCCCGGAATCCGAATTTAATCCCGACCAGTAGCTTTTTATCCCATGATTACTGACCCTCTTCATAAAATCATGAGTTCAAAATATCTGATTTTCGTATGAAACAAAACCAGACTATATATAGTCTACAAAATAGACTAAATAGACCGGGAGGTGAATACCATTTTCATGAGCGGGATTGGGAGGTGAATATGATTTTCGTGAGCGGGATTGGGCGGGAAAATATTCCCGGGTATTATTCATCGGGAAGTGATAGTATTAAGGGTTAAAATGGTAATACTAACTTCTAGCTTTATACATGATATGACAAAGTCACATACTAGTTAATATGACCACACATCTCAACTCTTTCAGAATTAACGATGTCATTTCAAATCTCAGTCTGTCTTTTTGTTCACTGAGATTCAGTATTGAGGAGAGTGTCATTTCCACTTACTAGCTCAACTAGGTTTGCTACACTGACTAAGTAAGAGCCTCGTTGTTTTGACTCGCATTCTCTTTCAGCAGTACTCTTAATATATAAATCATCAGCTTCACCAAACAAGTAACAGGTTTTTGAAGTGTCGGTCCAACCAGCTGGACATTCAATCAAAGAAGGCTCTGAAATACAATCGAGTGGAATTCTATTAATCTAGGTATGATATACGGACAAAATAAATTCAGGTGAAATTGAGGTAAGAAATGGACTAAAGAGCGTATCATAGTTTGTGACATCCAGTAAAACCAAATAACAAATGAATTCAACTATGCAATTAAACTGAACCTTTTTTGATGCCGTGAAACGCCGAGACACATTAAAAGTAAAACCTACCCGTCGTCGTTTGTATTTGTAGTTGTTGTTGAGATTCAAAAGAATTTTCTGTGTCTGAAAATCAATTTAAAATAAAAATCCATCATTTTACAGTATTTGCTTAAATTACAAAAGTTTTCTTGAGCATTTAATTGTAATACTACGTGTAATAGGAAAGATGATTATAGATATCTACCTGCGTTGATGGTTCCATAACAAAGGTATGTTAACACCAGGGTAACAATCTTTCGATTCATCCTTATGTTCTTCAAAATATTTCATTCATAAGATTTATATTTACACCTCTTATGCCATTCTTTTAATGGTCTAAAAGCTCGTTTCTCAATAATCAGAAATGTTTTGAAGTTCAAATTTTTGAAAATGTTTAAGAAATCCGCTGTATTGAATTGAATTACTTCCCTTTTCGTATTATTTGTTGAATGCATTGTTCTCAGTTCTTAGTTATCATTCAAGTTCATGGTTGTATGATATTGACTATTATTCTAAATCAATTTATTCTTGTGAAGTGCCATTAGTGTTCACTACAGATTAAAGGGGTTGATAATCAGTTTAGTCTCATTGTTTGCTTGACCTGAGTTAGAGAAATAATATTTATTTTAAAAGTTATTGTTATTAATTATTGTAAAACAATAAGCAGAAGCGTAGCCAGGGTTTAAAATAGGCTAGACGAATTTAGTATAAAATAGGAATAAATGGACATCATTTTTACAGTTTCATTAAAAAGAGGTCTAGGTTTTACTTTATTTCGTAAAATGTCGGTGAGGCATTTGCCTCGCCTGCTTCATGCCTGACAACGCCCGTGATTGGCCTAGTAATATGAAGAGCTGTGGCATTGTCTTCGTGCCTCTCTGTCTACTTCCAATTGCTTATATATATAATATTCATATCCAATTGTATACACTGTATAAAATGAAGAATATTGCTTGCAAATAACGAGTTATTCTAGTGTTTATTTGCTTTGAATTGCATGTTATAAGCAATGATAATCACTAACAGAACGCAAACAATAACTGCTTATATGGAACACTGATATAATATGCAGCTGCATATAGCAAACATACACATCTCGTACATATGTCTGTTTGCAATTGTATATGTTCACTGGCGGATCTTGGGGGACAGGGGCATGTAAAATTTGAATGATATTTTGTATATTGCAAAGAAGATATATTTATAATTTTATTTACATGCAGTCATGTTTTATGCGCCATTATTACATGATCAGTTTGTATAATGATGCTATAGTAGTTGGATATGACAAACATAGGCTATACTATCTTTCCTTAATGTTTTTCTGAAGACCTGTTGTCAAATATAACAACATTGCAAATCTGAAAATTTATACTAAAAAAATATGTACATAAATATAAAACAGTATTATTGAAGAACGATGCGTAGATCTATATCTACGTTAAATCTATTCTGGCCGCCTACTATCAATCTTTCACTCGGCCGAACACATTTTCAAAATTTGATAGAGTTAGAGAGAATAAGCATTTTGTAATGAATCATATTGTAGTTGGGTCATACGCATATTTCTTAGGCTTCATTCGTTCATTGTTATTCAATTCAAGATGAGTTTTCTGACTGGCCTCCTTGTTACCATCGCCTGCTGATAAACTTTGTATCTTAGAATACTTGTCCTCTTGCGCAAAAAGTAGAGCTCCTATTGCTCCCAAATAACCACCATGTTTGACAAACCCGTAGTCTAGTTTAAGATTCACCTGAAAATAAAGTTGAAATCATAACTACTACTTTACGGTAATCTTGTACGCGAAAATGTCCAAGATGAAATGTTTTGAATGTATTTTGTAGTAGTTTGATAGAAAGACTTTTAGCCTACTGTAAAAATCGGACACTTTGATCATTATCAAAACCATAGCAGCATTACATTAAAAATGGTTTATATTGATGAAAACACAGAATGAAATTCTGCGCTAAGGACTGATGTGAAAAAGTCAGTTAGGAGGTTGGTTTCAAAGTTTTTTCAATCAATTTCAAATTAGAGAAGGCATCATGTCTCATTTTATCAAACGTTTTCGAAAAATCTATAACTATTATGCAATATGTATCTCTTGCGTCGGATCCAGACGTAACAATCAACAATGATATTAGTAACGAGACTTTCTAAACCATTTTTAAAAAACTTACTCATTGTACTTGGTCAACAAGAAGTATGCTGATAAATATAAGAGTCTATATTAATTGAACAGTCCTCGTATGTTACCTGTGGATTTAACATAGCTCGATGGCTGATGGCTTTGGACATTTCCCTTATCACAAGTTCGTGTCCAATGAAACTCCCACAAAAATAGATGTGTTTGAGTCCATTGCCTGCCGCGCCACTTTGAGCTGTTTGTGTCAAAATCTGGCACATATTGGCTAAAAGACAGCGGGCGATGTCCTCTTTCTTGAAATCTCCTAGAATATATAGCAAAAGATTAGGTAAACAATAGGTTTATTTCAGTGGAACATTTCTCATGACAGTTCATAATCATGGAACAATATACTTCACGTCTTTAATGTTGATTTTTGAAATAAACCTCATTGTCTAAGTCTTACTTCTTCGCCCCCCCCCCCTCCCCACATGAAGTAATGTATGGCCTCTTGTGCACATTTATAGCATACTGTAAGTATATAATTATCATATTATAGGTTACCCAAATCCTTATTGGTGCTCTTTCCAAAAGAATAAAGTAGAACGTCCATAGAGTGTGTGAAAGCGGAATATATATCGCTGTCTGTTTCTTCACTACGAAGATCTGAGGTCATGATGTCAACATTCTCAGATGAGCCATTCTCAGCTAAACTGATTAGTTCCTCAAATGTCTGGAAAAATACTATGTACTTATCCCTTTTGCTGAAATACTATATTCATTGGATTACATTAATAGCTATCAGCAAATACAAAATGTTTTCCTTATCACTTTTGAACTCCTGCTTGTATTTTAAACTTACAATCAATTAAATTGAATATGTTTTTTTCCTTGTAGGCCTATCTCTAAATAGGCTTTTATCAAATTTAAAAAGACGGACAAAAGCTTGTCTTAGAAATGCCTTCGCATTTACCTTCGCCCCTGTTAATAGTGATCCAAGCCCCAGAAATGTCTTCCCTGCTAAATTAGTCATATCAACCATAGAATAAGTGCCATCTTCCTCGAGCTATATAAATGCGAAAATATATTTATACAATAATATTATAATATATGTACTCTTCAATGGCCTGTCCCGAAAAAGTGTAACTAGCCTAGGGTGGAAAATATTTTTATGGTCTCGTTAAATTAAATAACCTTGATTGGAAATGCAGTTGAGATAAAAGTCCTGAAGTACGTCTCCCTATTCTTAATTAAAACTCACTTTTAGCACCGCAGCCCCCGATCCTATCATACATACAGCACATGGATAATGAACTGCAAGGTCATCTGCACTCGCACCAGTTCCTTTCTGAGTATCGCTCACAAGCTGTTCATCTATCGGGAACTAGTAGGTCAATTTTACGTTAATATATATCTGATTGTAAAACGTTACCCACTTTAACTTTTAATATCTTTATCTTAATTTGATCTTTTCTATTCCATTGAAACGTATCTTCAATGTGATGTAATATTGTGGCGAAAATAAGAGAGATATAGGTCAATGGTCCGCTGCAATCTCACCAGTATGGAACAAATATGACGGAACTGAGCAGTGATATCAAAAGCAAACCTCACTAATAACAACTGGAACCAAAGAGCAAGTCTATTTTTGAAAGCTACTGTAACACCTTTCTATTACTTGGCGACTGATAACGTGTCAGAGGACAATACTTTACTCGTGAGTTTATATTAGTTTATATTTGGTTAATAAAGTACCAGTCAGCATTACCTCCATTCCTTCTTTTAACTGACCAGATGCTTTCAGATCTTCCATCATTTTAAACATCATTTCAACAAGTTTTTTCATTTGTTCCTGAGCCTCTTCGTCAACATCGTTCATCAATTCAGCTCGTGGGACTGTTCTGCCAAGCAACTGCAACGTTTTAATGAAGCAGTCGGTTTCAACCATGTTCTCAATGTTCCTAAAATAAATAAGTGGAAGATCGGATAATCGTAGTGTTCGAAGCATTTCAGAGAATGTAAGATCGCCAAGAACAGTAAAAGCTTTATAAACTTAATGTTGAATAAAATGATGATTATAGGTTTTCTTCCTTCTTACAGTATCTCTGGGCTTTGTATTAAAGTTGATAGGATCATAAATTGATGAAATTGAGGCCATAATGAAAGACGGGTTATTATTATAAAAGAAATTATAAATTGTTTGAGACTAGTATGGTAGTGAGTGTTTAGCTGACTTCCTTTAGCGCATTGTACACCACTCCATGGGTATGGATATCTGGGATAACCCTTACTCTGTTTCAACTTTGAGGGCCTCACTGAGTTTCTTCTTGTACTGGTAGGCACCTATACCAGTTGTTGTTATCTTCTCATCCCGCCAATCCCCCATTGTCACACGAGTTGTAAAACATTTGTTAATATACGACAGTCCATCGTCGATTCTGTCCTTCGGAAACGACACTAGATTCAACGTCGTTTTACCATCATCCTGAAATACAGAAATATTAGCTTAAAAGGAGCGATTTATTCACAATTATTGTTTATAAACCGTAATGAAAAATACGTTTCATAAGTGTAAACGTGATAATCGCTAAAGTAGAAGATGAATGAAAATTCACATTTATACAAATTAAGATATTAGCTTAAAAGAAGGCGAGCTATTTTCAGTTATTGTTCAAGATGGTATAGCTTTTACACCTCAATTTTATGTACGTTTCTTTATTCTTAAAGTGATAATTGTTAAGTGAAAACAAAATAATGAAAATTCACATTGGTTTTTAGAATACTAGTAATACTTAGTAGAAAGTAATGGTAATTCGCCCTCTAACGAGCCAAATGCTAACTAAAAATTCTGGCCTTTGGTGACCGATTATAAATTCCATTGATTGTTCTGTATTCTTACCCCAGTCTTTTGATCCTCATTGGAGAAGTAGACAAATTTAGCCAAGCTGCCGCCTAAAATCAAATCATTAAAGCACAACTCATTTTGGAGGGGAGGTGTATGCAGGGGAGGTTTATGCAGAGGTCGACAAGGGCTTCGAGTAAGATTAATTAACTGTCACAAAGGATCATCTTTACATGTACAAAGGGCATATTAGATTGTTATTCCAATAAAGTAGAACTGAGGGAGAGAAAACAATTGACATATTTGATCAGATATAAGTGTTATCTAAGGTTCAAGATCGTCTCCCTTTCAACACTTTTGCCAGATGACCTAAAATTGGTTTATTTTGACTGTTGTCTCATGTCTCATCTTCATCACAGTATAAAAGCGTTAGTACTGAGAGTTGCTTTATTCATCTTCAGTATAGGATTTATATTCAATATTTACATAATTGACCTTTTTGTACTCGATGTTTCATGAAAGTAAACAAGTTCAATTAAATGAATCATTGATCTCTGACCTTCTAGAAAGTTCTTTAACTTTCCAGTAAATGTTCTAGAAGTTCCAGAAAACACCAATATATAAAAGACTACAGCCTTGACCCAAAAGGAGCTATAAACACATCATTTTCATTTTCATTTATCATAACAGCATCTTGTTATCAGGACATTTTTAGATTATCACGCTTTCGGACTAATTATTAAAGGTCCCCATCGTCACCAATGACGTGGATATCCAGGTATCCAGGTAATCAACACACCGCTTGGAAACCTCACTGATTAGACACCTCACAGTTTGACAATTACTTAGTATTAAACCACCTTTAAACTACTGTCAGTTTTTTTGTGTTGAATTGTTAATAGATTTATAGAAAATCATGTTTTTATGTATGTCACATTTTGTTATTAACCATGACACAAAGAATAGATAAAGCTACAATTTCACAAGAATCAATTTATTTTTAAATTTCCTTCTAATGCTATGAGCCTAATCAACAATGTTAATTTACATACCGATGTCACAAGAGATTCCTGAAGATTTTCTTAAAACTTTGCTTGGTACTGTAATTGTTCCTATCAAAGGAGGGGTATATTCCGAATCTTCCAGTGTCGAGGCCATGTTTCTTAATCCATTCAACTACAGATTGAAGATAGGTTTACACATGCTTATGATATCTGGCTATTGAAATCAATAAAATGTAGTAGTGGTTAATAAATTACTTTAATTTTTGATCAAGTGTTCTAATACACATACTTGTGCTCTGCTTCAAACTTTGGAACCTGTATTTTAACACTTTATGTCTACATGCGTTGGATATCTAGTTATTGACTTGTTATGTGAAGTGATACATGGTTCAGTACTACTTTAGGATTTAAGCCCTTGAATCAGTACAATGTGGAATGACCATTACTTGAAGATGTTGCTTTCCAAAGTTGGCACGAGATGCGGAGCATCGAGTGTTAATTTTAGGAAACAACGCCTGAAAGGAATGGTCACACCACAGTGCATAGAGTCTTGGCCTTAAATTATTTTAACACATTGCAAACTATTTTCTACCATGTCACTTATGAGACACGAGATTATTGATTGAATATATTTTCAATGAAACTTTTTGCAAGGGTCTAGTTGGAAAAGTAACAATTTCAATCTGTAAAGTCAACTTGCCACCTTTATAACCATACAACAAATGCGTTATTGGTTATACCGATATAATGTAGCGCAGTAATATGATATGCTTTGTTCGGATTGGCTCGGATCGGACACACCTTGCATAGCCTCGTGTGAACACTTATTAATTACTTCCCCGTGTGTAGCTCAGTAGCAAAGCGGAACTCACTTAAGTTAATTTAGGAGACAGATTAGACACTACCCTTTCAAGCAATACATGACTGAAAATGCAACACAATCTGACATTTATTTCCCTCAGTCCAGGATCATGTGAACCATGGTATAACCATGCTATAACTGTATTCAAAAAAGGATAAATCCCGGGGGATAAATACATTCCAGACTCGATGTTTTATGTTTGCGTTAATAGAAAAACATACTGTTGCGACATATTAGTCACAAAAGAATGTAAAGAAGAGACTAAGCATAGCTTACCTTGGAATATTTAAATATTTTGGACTTGGGGTCAAGGTCAATTCGGGGCCATAGACTAGACATAGAAAAAATAGAATACCTCATTTCATGGGATATCGATAGTGAAATCTATAGATCCAAATCTAGATATACTATATAATATGTTACCCAGGAGATGAACTGGACAAGAAGAGTTAGTTGGCCATAAAACATTCAAAAAGCACATACCTGCCCATTTTACAACTTTTTGATTGGTTGATTCTTGAGACAAGCAGATTACAGAAAACTGCTTCTAACAGAGTGCGAGGTCAGCGGGGCCTGGATAGCTCCCGTGTTTACCCACATTTTCACATTTGTATATGTTAGAAAATTCAATTACACTGCACTCAGTTGTAACTGAAGGATGTAATAAATATGCCATTGCTCAGTCAATATAAAGGCATGGACCTTTCAAGTACATCCCATACTTGACTTTGGCCTATTTGCAATTACAAGGCCAATTGGAAGATCATGATCTCTATTTGATCAAAGGGATCTACATGACACTTGAAGGGAAGTCTCTACGATTCATTTCCCTAAAATCATTTTAATTCATAATAATCTTTAACTTGCATCATTTTTCAACTTTTTTTTCAAAGCGGGGAGATATGCCCTGGAGCGGGAGATATGGAGGTTCTGGATATGGAAACCTCAAAATCAGGATACGGGATATATCTTACCAACTTATCTCCCTAAAACTCTACTGGCCGTGGGATAAATACCCTTACTACACAAACAGTTATTGCAAGATACAGATACATAAGTAGTATCATCCAAATGGTCGAACGTTATTTTACTTCTCGAATTGAGGAATAAATGAAGCCCTTTGAATGAAAGATGGGGTAATATCATCTTCGCACGCTCGGTCTTTACTGAAAGCCACTGAGTACAGACGGGAGGAGCTGAGTGAACAAAGATGGGGTAATACACACGTAGATTCAGAACTACAGATACTGTACAAAGCTATACCCAGCATATGAGTACATCCTCTTTCAGCACCTGGTGTACATGTAAACAAAATTATAGTAAAATGTAAATAATTTATTCATCACAAATAGAAGAAAATGTGTATCTACATTCCTAATATCAGAGAGGAGTAGGAGTAAAAACTTACTCAAGCAATGCCAGCTTTGAAAGTAAAGGTAAATTGATATTCTTAAAATTTTATTTTGACCTTTGCACCAAATATTCAAAAGTTTTCTCATATTTTGCAGTAGCCTCTGTTGCCTGACTGCAACCATGATGTACATTTGAAGGACATTACTTATCTTCAATCTTCATTTTGAATATTTATCCCAAGCTTCTGCTGAAATTTATCCCTCTGTTTGCTATAATTCTCAACCTTTGTGTAGATTAATCTAGCAAATTCCACACAGGAAGAATCCAAATCAGGATACCTGTACCTATACCCCGACAGTGAAATATGAAAAAAATAGCCAATTATCTTTCCTTTAGTGTTTCATTGTTCTGTTACAGTTTCGTTCATTGTTATTCCATTCAAGATGAGTTTTCTAACTGGCCTTGTTACTCTGGTCTACTGTTTTTTGTATCTTAGAATATTTCTCTTCTTGCGCAAACAGCAGAGCTCCTATTGCTCCTAAATAACCACCATATTTGACGAACCCGTAATTGAGTTTAAGATAAACCTGAAATTAAATTTAAAATGATGAGGATAATACTATTTTATGGTATTCTAATATCGTTTACGTAAAGATGTCAAAGATGAGATATCTCGAATGCATTCTGGTTAGATTGATGGAAAGACATTTACTGTGCAAAAGCGGACGATGTGATCATCATACAACAAAAGCCAGAATTGCATTACATTAAAATCGTTTCTGAATTCATATATTTCATAAAATAAAGCTGGACCTAAAGCTCATCCTTGATTTACACCATATATATGTAAATTCGATATGAGAAGTAGTTGAGCTATACTGTCTTTCAGCCTTCTTTTGAAGAGGTTGCTTTTCAACGTTTCTCGATCAATATGACTTATATTAAGTTAGTTATGGCATCATGTTTCACTTTGTCAAAGGCTTTCGGAAAATCTATGACTTTTACTGAAGCTCCACAATGCAATTTGAACCCAATTTTTTCAAACCATTTGAGAAAAATATTAGAACTTAAACCTTGATACCTATAAATAGCATTTATGTGAAAGATCTTAAGGGTTAATTGGCCGTATTACTTGTTCTACTTGGTCAACAAGAAGCACTGGAGAACATAGAAGAACATATAAATTGAGCAGTCCTCGTACGTTACCTGTGGATTTGACATAGCTCGATTGCTGATGGCTTTCGACATTTCCCTTCTCACAAGTTCATGTCCAATGAAACTCCCACAAAAATAGATGTGTTTGAGTCCATTGACTGCCGCGCCACTTTGAGCTGTTTGTGTCAAAATCTGGCACATATTGGCTAAAAGACAGCGGGCGATGTCCTCCTTCTTGAAATCTCCTAGAATGTATAGCCAGAATATGTAAAAATGTTATTAGTTTTAATGAAATGAATAAAAAAAATTATATATCAGATCTTTAAGGCCTACTCACATATAAACGAATCCACCAAACGCAGTCTTGCGATGTCAATACGTACACATACATGTACTAATGAGTACAAATTGTACTCGGCTCCTATTCGCAAGGGTGCGTTTAATGGATCTCGTTCATTTGTGAGGGGGGAAGGCGAATCTAAAATCCTAGGCCTTCCTTCGATTCTCCGCTATGGTTAATGAACACCAAGTCAAATAGGGCTCTTATACATATTAATAACACACTGTAGTCTTGCTTGAAGACCCTGGACCATATGCTCTAACAATCACTTTGTTAGAATAGACAGTCAAGGATATTGAAGCAAGACTACATACTGAAAATATATGATTATCATATTATAGGTTACAAACCCAAATCCTTATTGGTGCTCTTTCCAAAAGAATAAAGTAGAACGTCCATAGAGTGTGTGAGAGCGGAATATGCATCGTTGTTTGTGTCTTCACTACGAAGATCTGAACTCATCGTGTCAACATTCTCAGATGAGCCATTCTCAGCTAAACTGATTAGTTCCTCAAATGTCTAGAAAAAACAGTGTGTTATTATCGAATTGAGCTCCTTAATTTTTATCATTATTTTTATGTATTTACTGGATGTAAAGGGATTAACAATGAGCCTCGGGGTATTATGTGAGATATAGCCAAGCCCCGACAAGCCCGCGGCTATTATTTCACATAATACCTAAGGTGAATTGTTCATCTGACTTAAACCCCACACTGGCTCTTATGAAGGGTAAATAATTAGTTCACCATTAGTGCGCTGCATGTAACAGGCCAGACACGGTGTAAATTTTGATTTTGTTCGCACTTAATACTATTTAACAATCCAGATGTCAACATTGAGTTTGAATAGGGGGTGAACATCGGTAAGTAAGCTTAGGTTAATAATGTAGATAGCTTTAGCAACACTCCTTGGGCTTTTATTAAATTTGGAACCAAAAGCAATGAGCTAATCTGAGAAACACGATTACCTTCGCCCCTGTTAATAGTGCTCCAAGCCCCAGAAATGTCTTCCCTGCTAAATTAGACATCTCTAGCATAGAATAAGTGCCATCTTCCTCGAGCTATAAATGCGAAATATTATGATGATGAAATATATATGTCTATGAAATACGCCAGATAACGTCCTGTTTTCTGAAGTGAGAAATTCTATCTCGATTAACTGTAGCTGTTGGATATATTTGCCCGCGACTAACTACCTTTTCAGTAACTGGATGTCACCATTTACATACTGGTAAAATATTCAGATACTCATTCTGATACTCATAGCATCTTTCTGTTTCACCTGAAACATGCTCTGATATTATGAGGCATATTCTGTGATCTGAGCACATCAGATGGAAAGAGTTATAACTGTCAATAAGTGTGATGGTTATCATGTAATCATTTACCTAATGTCAATACATTACATAATAGGCATTGTATTTTAACAGCAGATATTAGCACAGGTACGTGTACACAAGTTTAATGACCCCAATTAAATGAAATATGAGCTGGGATGAAAGATCTCAAAAATCCTCAATTTTGGGCTCTCCTGGATCGCCAAATCAAGCTCATTATATCATGGCATCTCAGGGCTGAGAAGAAATGAGATGTCATGGTATATCATGATGTCAGATACTAATCAACCGCATTGTTAGTGAAAATGATGAAAATGAAAATTTTCTACGATGGATCAAGTTCACCAACTTTGTTATAAAGACGTAACGTCTTTATAACCGGATGGAGATCAATGATTAATACTCACTTTTAACACTGCGGCTCCCGACCCTATCACACACACAGCACATGGATAATGAATAGCTAAGTCATCTGCACTCGCAACAATTCCTTTCTGAGTCTCGCTCACAAGCTGTTCATCTAACGGGGACTAATAAGTCAATTTAATATATTTGATTGTTAATTTGATTGTAAAATGTAACCCATCTTTTAAATACCTCTATCTTTTGGTCTTATTTATTCCGCTGAAAGTTATCATGATCATCAGTTCGGTCTCGTTGTAAATGTGATATAATATTGTTGCGGGAATTATCATTGACCAATTCAATCTCACCAGTATGGAACCAATTTGACGAGACTGAACAATTATATCAAAAGAAAATCTCACCAGTAAGCAACACTAATATGAGGGATGAGCAATGATATCTAAAGCAAATATTGCCAATAATTATTGGAAGCAAAGAGCAAGTCTATGTATTTTTTGAAACCTGCACCCTTTTTCTTACTTAGTGTCTGATAACGTGCCCGGGGAATTACCTCCATGCCTTCTTTTAACTGGCCAGATGCTTTCAGATCTTCCATCATTTTAAACATTAGTCCAACAAGTTTTTTTATCTGTTCCTGAGCTTCCTCGTCAACATCGTTCACCAGCTCAGCTCGTGGGACGGTTCTGCCAAGCAACTGCAACGTTTTCATGAAGCAATTGCTTTCCATCAGGTTGTCCATTTTGCTAAAATTATATAAATGGAAGTTCGGACAATCGTACTCTTCGAACCATCTTCGAGAATACATGATCGACAAAAACAGCAAAAGTCTACTCTCCGTTTCCTTCTTAGTATTTCTGGGGCGATGCCTTATAATTGATAAAATCATAAATTGATGAAGTGGGGCCATAATGAAAAATGAATTATTCTTTCACTATTCTAAATTGTTTGAGATTTGAAGTGAATGTGTAGCTAACTTCCTTTAGCGCATTGTACATCACTCCATGGGTATGGGTATCTGGGACTACTCTTACTCTGTTTCAACTTTGAGGGCCTCACTGAGTTTCTTCTTGTACTGGTAGGCACCTATACCAGTTGTAGTTATCTTCTCATCCCGCCAATCCCCCATTGTCACTCGAGATGTAAAACATTTGTTAATATACGACAGTCCATCGTCGATTCTGTCCCTCGGAAACGACACTAGATTCAACGTCGTTTTACCATCATCCTGAAATACGGAAATATTAGCTTTAAAGGAGCGATTTATTCACAATTATTGTTTATACACCGTAATTAAAAGTACGTTTCATACGTTTCATTCGTACGTTGTAAAAGTGATAATTGTTATAGTAAAAATATGAATGAAAATTCTCATTGAGTCGAATGCTAACTAAAATGCATTTTCATTTGGAGCCCAATAATACGTTTCTGAGTTCTTACCCCAGTCGCTTGATCCTCCTTGGAGAAGTAGACAAACTTAGCCAACGAACCGCCTAAAATCAAAACATTAAAAAAAATACCATTATGGAGATGAGGTGTAAGTTGGGTGATGGTCGGCAATTCAAAGGTTTCAAGTTGAAAGATTAGTTAGTTGTCATCATTACATGTACAGAGGGCATATGAAATCATTATTTCAATGAAATAGAAGGAGTGGAAAGTGTGAAAAGCACGTCAATGTTCCCCTTAAAATACCAATCTAATTTTACGTAAAAAGAGATTTGATCAGATAAAGAAGATATCCAAGATTTAAGATTGGGAAATGTCAGGGGACCCCTCCCCCCTCTACCTTCAAAACCTTTGCCAGATAACCCAAAGTCGGTTTATATTGACTGTTGTCTCAGAAACCAAAGGATAGTCTGATAGTTAAATTAAAAAATTATCCTTAAATCTTACTCCCGATTTATCTTAAATCTTTCTCCCGAACCCACCATTTGCCATTGGTTTACATTGGAATTACGATTTTCAATAAATCATCTTTGTCATCAATTTTCAACCTATTGTAATTGAGGGGAAAAATTAGAATAGAAAATGAGGTATAGGAAATAAAGTCTAATTACATCTCCTTTTGCATCATTAGTTTTGTCTGCACGTCATGAAAATAAAAATTCAAACATGCATAGAGACTTTAACACGTAAACCTTTGGAGAAAAAGGGTTGCCAAACTTATGAATGAATTTACTTGTTGTGAAACAATTTCACAAGTAATAATCAACTTTTATCAGGGTTCTCACTAGGCTTTTAGTCTCCGGAGATTCTCCAGAGTCTCAGGTCTTAAGACCCTCTTGCTCCAGAGTCGTATAGCTTTTCCGGAGTCAAGTTTTTTCGGATTTTATTTTTTTGTCACATTATTTGTGGTAAAACTCTTAAGAAAATATACAAAACTGGATACATACAAGGAATAGGAGTTCAGAAACCTTTTAGAAATGTATATTGTAATTAAAATAGGGAGATAATCTTAAGTAGCATTTTGAAAAGTACACTTAAATAGGATATCTCTCATCTCACATGGGAAAGGAGTAGTCGCGATACCGTGAAAAATCCGGGGTCTAAAAAGGATGAGTCTGGGAATGAGTCTGGGTATCGACTTAGAAAATATTGAAAATTGTAATGTCTGAAAAACCAACTCAATCACACATATTATTAAACTTCAATATCTTAGCCTTCTTCTGAGAGTACAAAAATATCAATTTGTATCACAATTAATGAAGAATATTGGCATCAAAGACAGTGCATATCACTTTGTCAGAATTGAAAAAAATCAATGGCAAATATTAAATGAATTATTTATACAAAAGGTTTGAAACATATCCTCCAAAACATTGCTTACTTTCTTTGTATAGACATTGAATGGCATTTCTGGATAAGTGAATTGGTGTTTATCTGGGTAATCAAGGGATTATAGTCACTCAAAGTTACTGAGCATCCAGTTTTGAGACTTCAATTGTGTTGGTGAAGTTACACACATTTCAGTCAAATTCATGCTGAGCACAACATTCCGGTTTCAATTTTATAATCTCTATACATGACCCTGGTGATGAAGAGTCAGAATCAGTCAAAAAACCTAAACCGGAAAACTGTGCTCATTGTGAAAACTAAAAGTGAAGCAACTTTTTTTCTGATATTTCTTACATCAAATGGCAGCCATCTTGTTTTTCCCCCTTCAAATTAAACTGGCGGGAAATTCAAAAATTTGAAAAAAATTTGAATCCTTAAATATATTTCAAAAATATGATTTTCTTTTAAATTCTTCATGGGTCTTAAGTTATTTCTTCTTTACAAGTCATACATGTTGCCATTGAGGTTTTTATTCTATGATAATGACTATTTTTTTTTGGTTAAGATACTTATTCTGACTCTCAGCAGGGGGTTAATTTTGCATCAAAACTCGTGAAAAAGTAAATATACTTATCAAATATAACTAGGACAGTAATAAAAAACATATTTAACATACATTTGACTGAGGGACCAAAAGGGCATATACCCGGACACATCCTTTCCCAGTGAGAACCTTGATTATGTAGAGTAAACGATGATCGAGAGAAAGGTGTTATCAGGGTCGGATATTCCATTAGAAAGGGAAATAAAGTTATAACAATATAACATAAGTATGTTTGTTTAAAATTTGATTAGTTAGTACTTGCACGGACAGAGTGCATTATCAATTTTTTAATGATTCACCAAGTAGAATCATATAAAGATGTGACGGACGAGATGACCAAAAAGACAGATATCAATATCTATCTATTAAGTTTGACACTTCATCCAAAGGCTCTTTCATTATATCAAGATAAATCTAAATGAAACTTAAGTTTTAACTAAAATTGTAGTTCACTGAATTGATGTCTTGGTGGTGAATGTTCAGATAACTTTGTACCCAAGCAGGCCGGATCTTAAAAACTGACACTCTCATCTTTCAAATGGAACACTGATTTTCATTTCGTAGCGACTTAAACATATTTAAAGCTCTCATTTATTCGGCTATTAGTCTACTATTCTGGTGTATTTCATGTTTACATATAGGCTTTAAGTAAAGTCAAACTTTGCTAAGTTCAAACTTATCTAGATTGAAAAATAGTTTACATAAACACCAAGACCCTATAGTTAACAATATTGAGATAACTTTTAATACAGTTCTAAAGTTCCATCTAAAGCTAGCCGAATCAAAAATGTTCATTTACTTACCGATGTCACACGAAATTCCAGAAGATTTTCTCAAAACTTTGCTTGGAACTTTGATTGTTTCCGTCAAAGTAGGAGTATATGCAGACTCTCCCATTGCTGATGCCATGTTTCTTAATTCATTCAACTGCGACCAATGAAGATAAATACGTGCTTGTGATTTTGAAATCAACAAAATGTGATGGAAGTGTAAATCACGCCGTCAATAATTTATAAATGAATCACTAAAGTTTGGTCAGGTGTCCGAATATAATTGTGATTCTCATTCTCGTACACTGCTTCAAAACCTTGGAACCTGTTAACAGGTTAATACTTAATGTCAACAAGCGTTGAATATCTAGTTATTGATTTATTATGTAAAGTGATAATATATCACAGAGGTACATGGCACAGTATACCAACTTATAAACCTATTTTCCGACTGTAGTTCAGTAATAGAGCCGAACTCTTATGACACTGACACACAGTGCTGACAGAGCATTGGTATGGTAACCGGACAACTCATCCCCTAGACAACTCATCCCTGGACAACTCATCCCCTAGACAACTCATCCCCTAGACAACTCATCCCCTTGACAACTCATCCCCTAGACAACTCATCCCCTGGACAACTCATCCCCTGGACGACTCATCCTTTGGCATGTTTGAGTAATTTAATGTAATATTATTAATTCATATATTATTCAAATGATTAACATGATCCTCCATTTAATACCTCACTTTTGTTACGTAAACAGAACTTCAAATGAATAAACACTAGGAGCACATGTGTCTCGAACTCGCGACCTCGTGGTTACGGTGCCTAATCGCCTAGCCTGAACGTGAAAGAATGGTTAAGAGCTGCACTCTTTGCAGGTTCTTTTCATTAACATAGCAAAAGTAAGGTATTAAAGCGACAATTCTGTTGTCTTCTGACTGACAAGTGAACAAAGATTTTCTTGAGGGGAAATCTGGAAAATTGTTTAAAAAACTATGATATACCATGGTACTACTATGGTATTGTCAAGGAGATTATCAACCAATTAATCTGTAATTTGTTTTGTAAATATTCACTTTTAATTTTACTTTTAATATACAGTTTCAATATTATGTTAACATTGATTGAAGAAGCTCCTTTGATGTCCTAAGCTCCTTTTATGTCATTATAATGTGTGTTGTTCATAGTTCAAATATTCTTTAATCCAAAGATAATTTTTTCACAGCAGTCGCAGATGAAGTTATTGAAGTTCGTGTTTCAAAATTATGCAGAGAGAAAACTTTATTTTTTGTCATGAAATATTAAGTCATGTAATATAAGGACAAAATATGAACGTTTTATTGGCACCGTTTGACCATTTCATTTGTGTCAATAAAGTGAAAAATAATATTTAGAATGATTCAAGGTGTATTTAATAAATATTAATTTTCCGAAAAAAAACGTAACAAATTGGCTTCATGTGATAAAGGATGAGTTGTCTAGGGGATGAGTTGTCCAGGGGATGAGTTGTCTAGGGGATGAGATGTCCAGGGGATGAGATGTCCAGGGGATGAGTTGTCTAGGGGATGAGTTGTCCAGGGATGAGTTGTCTAGGGGATGAGTTGTCCGTAAGCCGCATTGGCAGTCTCCAAATCAGGGACACTGCCTTGGGAGTTCGTAGTAAAGCCGATCATCTCTGTTACAGTGTCCCCGGAATCGATTGCCGGTGTAACAGAAATAATAGTCCCCTAGGAATGAATATCCCCCGGACCTATATCCTACGGACCGGGGTTCCTAGGGATTTAGGTCCAAGGTAGACCATTATTGAAATGCAGTACTAGGACCTTTATCCCTAGTATTCATTGTCCTATGTTATATATAGTGTCCCTAGGACAATTCGCACTGAGGGGACAACCTAGGGTAAATGGTCCAGGGACCAAAATCTCTAAATGAAAATGGTCCGGGGACATTATTAGGGGGGACCTACATTACTTCTACACCGGTTCAGGAAAGATCAACTTGCTTGTTGGATTACCTAATAGCTGTAATTCTTATCTTAAACTGAAATAACTCCTAAAATTATTTTAATTTATATGATTCTTTAACTTGCACCATACAAAAATCAAATCTTGTCTTTTTAAAATATTGAAGACGAAAATTGTTCACCTATTTATCAACATATCACATTACAAAGTACCCTTATCAAGCTAAAAAGAATATTGATGATTCAAGTTATGAGATCATTGTGAATCATGAACATACTACAGTAAAACTTGTCATAGAAAACATCTCTCTCTATTGAACATCTGTCTGTTGTGAACACCTCTCTCTAGTGAACACCAATTTGTTGTGAACACCTCTCTCGAGTGAACGCCTGTCTGTTGTGAACACCTCTCTCGAGTGAGCACATGTCTGTTCTGAACACCTCTCTCGAGTGAACACCTGTCTGTTGTGAACACCTCTATCTAGTGAAGACCTGTCTGTTGTGAACACCTCTCTCTAGTGAACACCTGTCTGTTGTGAACACCCTCTCCAGTGAACATATGTCTGTTGTGAACACCTCTCTCTAGTGAACACCTCTCTCTAGTGAACGCCTGTCTGTTGTGAACACCTCTCGAGTGAACGCCTGTCTGTTGTGAACACCTCTCTCTAGTGAACACCTGTCTATTGTGAACACCTCTCTCGAGTGAACAACTGTCTGTTGTGAACACCTCTCTCGAGTGAACATCCGTCTGTTGTGAACACCTCTCTCTAGTGAACACCTGTCTATTGTGAACACCTTTCTCAAATGAACACATGTCTGTTGTGAACACCTTTCTCTAGTGAACACCTGTCTGTTGTGAACAACTTCCTCTTGTGAACACCAGTCTGTTGTGAACACCTCTCTCTAGTGAACACCTGTGTGTTGGGAATACCCCTCTCTAGTGAACACCTGTCTGTTATGAACACCTCTGTCAAATGAACACCTGTCTGTTGTGAACACCTCTCTCTAGTGAACACCTGTCTGTTGTGAACACCTCTCTCGAGTGAACACCTGTCTGTTGTGAATACCTCTCTCTAGTGAACACTTGTCTATTGTGAACACCTCTCTCGAGTGAACATCCGTCTGTTGTGAACACCTCTCTCTAGTGAACAACTGTCTATTGTGAACACCTTTCTCAAATGAACACATGTCTGTTGTTAACACCTTTCTCTAGTGAACACCTGTCTGTTGTGAACAACTTCCTCTTGTGAACACCTGTCTGTTGTGAACACCTCCCTCTCTCTAATGATCCTGTGTCTTATGTGAACACCTCTCTTTAGTGAACATCTGTCTGTTGTGAACACCTCTCTTTAGTGAACACCTGTCTGTTGTGAACACCTCTCTTTAGTGAACACCTGTCTGTTGTGAACACCTCTCTTTAGTGAACATCTGTCTGTTGTGAACACCTCTCTTTAGTGAACACATGTCTGTTGTGAACACCTCTCTTTAGTGAAAACCTGTCTGTTGTGAACACCTCTCTCTAGTGAACACCTGTGTGTTGGGAATACCCCTCTCTAGTGAACACCCGTCTGTTATGAACACCTCTGTCAAGTGAACACCTGTCTGTTGTGAACACCTCTCTCTTGTGAACACCCCTCTCAAATGAACACCTGTTTGTTGTGAACACCTCTCTCTAGTGAACATCTGTCTGTTTGGAAAACCTCTCTCTAGTGAACACATGTGTCTGTTGTGAACACCTCTCTCTAGTGATCATGAGTCCATGTGTCTGTTGTGAACACCTCTCTTTAGTGAACATCTGTCTGTTGTGAACACCTCTCTTTAATGAACACATGTCTGTTGTGAACACCTCTCTCTAGTGAACACCTGTCTGTTGTGAACACCTCTCTTTAGTGAACACCTGTCTGTTGTGAACACCTCTCTCTAGTGAACACCTGTCTGTTGCGAACACCTCTATCTAGTGAACACCTGTCTGTTGTGAACACCTCTCTTTAATGAACATCTGTCTGTTGTGACCACCTCTCTCTAGTGAACACCTGTCTCTAGTGGACACCCTTCCTCCGTACATAATCTACTGACTTCAGTATAAAATACCCTATCTGTAGTGAACAGCTACCAAGTACCAACACTGGATGTATTTTTCTCAGCAAAAAAGTTTCAATATACACAGGTTTTACTGTATTTGGGTAATGTAAGAACAGAATTACTGTCACTGTACAAAGCGATTAAATCTTTTCACTTTTACATCACATATAATTGAAGATTAAGATAAGTAAAAGAATATACCAACTTAGGCAAGGCTAGATTCACCTTTCAGCACTTATTTACATACACACAAAATCATAGATTCTATTAATTTCTGAAATTAATAATTTATTCATCTCAAATAGAAGAAAATGTCTACCTACATTCCTAATATCATATGGTTGCTAGGAGTTCAAGCTAACTCAAGCAATGCCAGTTTTCAAAACAAAAGTACATGTAAATTGATATTCTTAATCTTTTATCTTTTTCCATGTACACTATCCTTAAGTTGCTTGACTTCAACCCTGATGTACATTTGAAGGATGTAAGTGTTCTTCATTTTGAATATTTATCCTTAATCTTCTGCATAGATTCATCCCTCTGTCTGTTATAATTCTCCTTAAATTCGTCCTTTTTGTAGATTAATTTAGCAAATTCTGCACAGGCAGAATCCAAATCAGGGTATATGTACTCGTACCCAGACTCCAAGGTTCGTTTTGGTATCACCTTTTGTCCTTCCAAAAGAATCTTCCCACGTTCCCTGCCAAATATTGTATCAACGACAAATCCTGGGAGAGGAAAAAAGGCTGGCCTCCAGAGGGCGCTAGCGAAAGCTTGTGTAAATTCATTGTTTGTGTTCGTTGAAGGTGCAACACCGTTTAGTACTCCTGTGACATTTTTGTTTTCAATAGCATGGGTTATGATTCCAGCCATATCATGGACGTGTATCCATGGAAACCATTGTGTGCCACAACCGATACGACCCCCAACACCAGCATAGAATGGTAAAAACATCTGCTGTATGGCGCCACCATCACGTCCTAAAACTACTCCTAGGAATAAAAAAATAAATAATGTTAAAAAAACTGCCTAGCCTTAAAATGAAAATGTCGGCACCAGCAAGAAATGAAGTAATGCAATCGACATTTCATCTAGTCTAGCTACAAGCCCCTTTGACCCCCCTCGGCACCAGCAAGAAATGAAGTAATGTAATTGACATTCCATCTAGTCTAGCTACAAGCTCCTTAGACCCCCCTTGGCACCAGCAAGAAATGAAGTAATGCAATTGACATTCCATCTAGTCTAGCTACAAGCTCCTTAGACCCCCCTTGGCACCAGTAAGAAATGAAGTAATGCAATTGACATTCCGTCTAGTCTAGCTACAAGCTCCTTAGACCCCCCCTTGGCACCAGCAAGAAATGAAGTAATGCAATTGACATTCCATCTAGTCTAGCTACAAGCTCCTTAGACCCCCCTTGGCACCAGCAAGAAATGAAGTAATGCAATTGACATTCCATCTAGTCTAGCTACAAGCTCCTTAGACCCCCCTTGGCACCAGCAAGAAATGAAGTAATGCAATTGACATTCCATCTAGTCTAGCTACAAGCCCCTTTGACCCCCCACCTCCCACTACGTATACTTGACTACACAAGTATGGAAAATTCTCACACAGGGAGGTGTGTAAGGGGGCTTGCATACAGGCTTGTACATAGAGTACATTCCTGCTTGTAATGAGATGCAAGAGGATCAAATTTTTGTCAAATTGAATTGTTAGTCAAAAACATTTTCCTGGTACCTTTATTTTGGAAAATTAGTTCCATGAGTTCATGTTCAGTATGTATTATATACCAAATTAAAGCTTGCAAGAAAGCTATGGAAAATATTTCAAAAAAATAAATAAAAATAGATCAACTCTACGCATAATTTCTTTATTGCAAGATATGGTGATTCTCTGTACCTGATCTAATGATGACCTGTCTGACAGGTACGTCATCTGGTAACTGTGCTTCCTTCTCCCAGTCAGTACCTAGACGAGACAGGAAGTCAAAGTCACCCCCTGGGCTATCCTCGGTGTATTCAGTCTGAGGGTCAGGCTTGTAATATCCTGAAATATATATCACAGTAGACTTCGATGGTACCTTATAAGACAAGACAAACATGATTATGGTGATTTCTAAAGCTGCAAAACCTATTCTCATGAAATGCATTATATTCTAAAATACTCATACATTCAGAAATTTCAAAAATTGGTGTGTTAAGAAAGACTTGCGCATGTCTCGAGATATATAGTTCTTAATTGAATGGTATGTTCATTGATACATACCTACACCTGAAAGGGAGACAAACACATCAGGTTTAGTCTTTGCATCTATGATAGCTTGTGCAAGTGCTTTAGTTGTCTTAATACGGCTGTCTCTAACATCTTTCTTATAGTCTTCATTCCACCTAAAAATGAGCAATACATTATGTGTAGACAGTGAAATACTATGTAAATACTAAAATATACAGGCTTTCATATCTCATATCTCCCATATCATTGTATTTATCGTATGATCTGTAAAATGAAGCCTTCTGATTGGTCAGTTCTTGTGCTGTACCAATCTGTGTTGCTACTGAGACTTATAATATCAGGCCCTAAAAAATTATTTTGAAAGCCATTAACCATATAAACTAATGCACAAAGACATTTTTAAAAAATCATCGATTTCATAGATGTTGGTGCGCTTCAATGTACATGTAGCTGTTAAAGATATTTTGAGCTATTGGATGCTGTACCTTCTTAATGGGTTAAGTATATTCTCCCCAGCCATACTGACTACTGCACCACAATCATCAGGTAGGCCATCTTTTTCAAGATCATACTGTAACACAACAAGCATTAAATAGTGATATAGACATATGCAGGTAGTGTGTTTAAAATGCAACCGAAAGAAGTAGCTATATCTTGTTTTGCATTTTGAAGTATTTATCTATTATGAATGTATTTTGAGCAGGTCTCTTAGGTGTTATGTTTTCAACTAACTAACTCAAGGAGCTATTCATTTAAGGTCTCTGTTTTCTTTCCTGAAAAAATGAACACAATTGGATTGATATTTTCCAAGATTTCTTTCAATTGCATTTTTTTTTTAATTTTAAAATGTAGATAATCCTCCACAATTTAAGTGCCAGTGTACAGCAGCCAGTTTTAAACATTTCTTTGTGAGAATAATTATGTTAGATCAACTATATCTATCGTATGATCTGTAAAATAGAGCCCTCTGATTGGTCAGTTTTTGTGCTGTATCAATCTGTATTGCTACTGAGATTGTCCCCATTGATCATCTCCATAGCAATACAGAAAATATTGGTACGGAGGCGGGGACAATCTCAGTAGCAAAACAGAGAATACATTAGGGATTATCTCCTGAGTAAAATATATTGGCCTAAGATCACACGATAAAAACGTTATTAAATGATTTTAAGTGCAATACAGGATGTATTCTGTCTTGATATTCTGTATTGGCACTCGACTTCCTCTCGTTCCAATAAGGAATTTCTCGAGCAGAATATATCCCGTATTGCACTTCAAATCATTCAATAACTTATAGTATTGATTCATTTTATGCAGCCCAAGCCCAAGATACATTTCCCTTCAATGATTACAACCGCAATAAGGATAATCACCTCTCCAAGGTTAAGTACATGTTCAGGGGTTTCATTAGCAGCAGGCGTTGTTGTTTTAGGAACTTTTTCAACTTTTCCATGTTAATTTTATGATTTCCATTAATTTATCCTGTTGTTTTCATTTATTTAGCCTGTTGTGGGAAATTCTAGTGAAACCACTGATTTTCATGGATGAAAAGCTCTGTGAGAGAAAATAGTGTATAGATACCCATGATATCTGTTGCTGACCAGAGGAACGTGATATTGTTGTGACATCATAACCCTTACTGCGCAACATGCGGGTCAAGTTGCGACCAATAAATCCTGTACCCCCTCCTAAAAATGTCATAAAACAAATAAATAGATGAGAATAGGCTAAAATTTGTAGTCTTCCTTATGCCATGGTCACATATCAGTGATCGCCCTAGGATTTTTTCTCGGGTGGGTGCAAAATTCTCATTTTCACAATTCAGACCATGATTGGTCAAAATATGCCAATTTATCATGATTTTTCTCATTTCCAAGTGGGTGGAAATGGATTTTCAGGTGGGTGCAAGCCTATTTTCAAAATCTCAGGTGGGTGCTGCCACTTGCTTTAATGCTGGGGAGATCACTGAATATGCTCTGATTTTCAGCACCGGCGCCCGGCCGATGAGCATTTTGTTCAAAACTGAATACAATTTAGAACATAATACTCTATCAGCCAGGCGCCGTAGTAAAAATCGGAGCAAATGTGACCACGACATTACATAGGACGACCCTTAAAATAAAAAGTGAATAACACTGATTTTATGGAGTTGGGGTAATCTACACGAATTCAAATTCTACAAATTCAAAGCCAGAAGATATTCTGCCACTACACTTCTGTTGGATGTCTGTGTTTTATGGCGACTACACTCTTATTATCCAGGTAGCACATATGTCTGTCAAAAACGGAGCTAAATCAAAAAAGTTATAAATTTAATAATGGGCGATAATTGGTGAAACTCCGTTTTAAAAAGAATTTAGGACATTAGCACCTACGAAATCGTATAAAAATAACCCTACATGTCATTTTAGTGTTTATGTTCATGCACTTACCCACCACAACTCGCATTGTGCCTTATTTTTGTAGAAAATGTCACTTTTTACAGTAAATAATGTTTACGAAACACAGACCGGAAATGTAAGAAATTTCCAGAAAATTGACACTCGTTAGATTGCAGAAGAAGTCTTCCTTGATGTTTCTTTTCAAATATTATACTGATATTCACCCTAATACTAGGCGTTTCACATTATGATTGTCATATATTAATTTTGGGACAATATTCTAGGTAGGTGTAATCGAAATAATGACTGACATTTGATAAATAGTCATTTCTCAACATTTTTATAATAAAATAAACACACCCCTTTTTGTTTACATTCCAATATTTACAATGTCTACAGAATTCCAGACATTTAAACTACATTTGGTGTGTGAGCGTTAAACCTTGACCCTCCAGTCAGATTGGCTGAAGAAGAAACCTTTTTGGGGTTGTTGAGTTGGTCGATCAGTCTAGAGCGGCAACCTGCAGGGCTGTCAACTTGGGACCACCTAATATGAGTGACTTACAAATGTTGGACACCGAAGTCCAAATCTGAACACTTTTGTCCAAATTTTGAACACCTTTGGCCAACTTTTAAACACCTTTGGCCAAAGTTTGAGCACCTTTGCTAAACTTTTATAACCTCAAATTTTTCGCGCTCGCTACGCTCGCGTTATCGTCAACGGGGGGGGGGGGGGGGGGGGGGGGGGGGGTAGGTACGAAAATTTCCTTTGAACATGCGTGACATATACGGGATTCGCGTGACAAATCCGAACAAATTGCGTTCGTTTTTTTCCGACGTTCGTATTTTTACCGTATCATAAACATATTTTGCAAAAATATTTTACAGAAACATATTTGCATGACAATTACCAGGTAAAATGCGTATTTGCGTGACATTTTGTGTCACGCAAAAAAAACGGGCGTGACTTCAAATTCTTCAGCAAATGCGTGACAAATACGCAAATTGCGGGACAGTTGACAGGCCTGAACCTGCTTAGCTGTCGCCTAGATCTAACCATTCTGTCATGTTGATGTCATGAGATGTTTAAGTTCCCTACGTTTATTCATGTATTTTGTCATCTTTTTTAGGAAACATGGCACAAACTAATGATGTCAAAATCACCATTGCGATATTTGGCATGGGACGAATGGGGAAAATTCACTTCCAGAATGCCTTGATAAATGCACAGATAGTTGTGAAATACATTGTTGAGGCTATCCCTGAAGTTGCTGAGAAAGTCACAAAGATGTATCAACTAGAAGACAAAATTCAAGTGGTCTCACTAGATGATGCTGATATTGTGTACAAAGACAAATGGTCTGTACACCTCAATACATGTAGAGCACAGAGGGTCAGTAGACCTCATTAGATGTTAGACATATATTACTGCATGATACCTCATTGGGCTCAATTTGATTTTGATAGGGACATTTTTGGCACATAAATTGAGGTGGGACTGGATAAGAATTTATGGTCCAATGGTGTGCAGTTGAATTGGCTTTTATAATCCTAACATGCTGACAAATGATTGATATCAAGAATGATAATTTAACCTAAAGAGTAATCAATTTGGGAAGTCTTTGGGACACCCAGTAGTCTTTTACCTTAAAATTACAATGTGTAAATACAACTCTGTGTTACATATGCCTCATATAAATTGTTCCAAAATTGTCTTCTTTTATGAAAAATCTTAATGAAGTATTACAATGTTGTACAATTAAATGTAGAAGTTCTATTTTTGCACTGCAATGTCAATATAATCCTGAGATATCACTGGCGGATTAGGGGGGGGGGCCTGGGGGCCCGGCCCCCCCCCCCCTTGGGTGGGCCCAGAAAAAAAAATTGGGCCCAAAAAAATTTTGGGCCAAAAAAGGCCTTAAGGCCCCCAAAAGTGGGCCTTTTTGGTCAAAATTGGGCCTTTTGAGGCCTTATTTTATAATTTCAGGCCAAATTTAGAAGAAAATGGGCCTCAAAATTTCAAAATTTGGGCCCACTTTTGGGTTTTAGGGGCCCAAAATTTTTTTCTGCGCAAGCGCGGACGATTTTTTCTCTGACCTGAAATTTGGGCCCCCCCCCTTGTTGCTTCCCAGATCCGCCCCTGGATATATATTGCAGTGCTAAATGCTGATTACAGTTTGTGCCATGTACCAGTATTGCAATTCTGAGTCAAGTCCTTCTTACAGCTTTATTGACATTGATGTCACTGTCACAAGTGGTGTGATATTGTTAGTGTCCAACTTTTTTGTGGTTGGTGTTCGATGGTTAGTGTTTGGGGGTTGGAGTACGGTAATAGGTGTCTGTAAAAAATGGCAGGTGGTGACATTTTGCATGTTAATGCCTTGTCTCTGTAATATATTTCAATTCTAATACAAGTCTGAACTCAGCTGTGCAGTATTGATATAGCTCGCTCTGATACTTTATGGAATATATTGCAGTGTTGATACATTTCTTTGGTCTTCATTGCAGTGTTGATACATTTCTTGGGTCTATATTGCAGTGTTGATACATTCCTTTGGTCTACATTGCTATGTTGATACATTTCATTGGTCTACATTGCAGTGTTGATACATTTGTCGGGTTTATATTGCAGTGTTGATACATTTCTTTGGTCTATATTGCAGTGTTAATACATTTCTTGGGTCTATATTGCAGTGTTGATACATTTATTGGGTCTATATTGCAGTGTTGATTCATTTCTTTGGTCCACATTGCTATGTTTATATATTTCTTTGGTCTACATTGCAGTTTTGATACATTTCTTTGGTCTATATTGCAGTGTTGATACATTTCTTTGGTCTACATTGCGGTGTTGATATAGTTCACTCTTATACTCTATTGAATATATTGCTATGTTGATACATTTCTTTGGTCTATATCGCAGTGTTGATAGCTCGCACTTAAACTCTATGGTATATATTGCTATGTTGATACATTTCTTTGGTCCACATTGCAGTGTTGATATAGCTCACTCGTATACTCTATTGAATATATTGCAGTGTTGATACATTTCTTTGGTCTATATCGCAGTGTTGATAGCTCGCACTTAAACTCTATGGTATATATTGCTATGTTGATACATTTCTTTGGTCCACATTGCAGTGTTGATATAGCTCACTCGTATACTCTATTGAATATATTGCAGTGTTGATCCATTTCTTTGGTCTATATCGCAGTGTTGATAGCTCGCACTTAAACTCTATGGTATATATTGCTATGTTGATACATTTCTTTGGTCCACATTGCAGTGTTGATATAGCTCACTCGTATACTCTATTGAATATATTGCAGTGTTGATACATTTCTTTGATCCACATTGCAGTGTTGATACAGCTCACTCTTATACTCTATTGAATATATTGCAGTGTTGATACATTTCTTTGGTCTATATCGCAGTGTTGATACATTTCTTTGGTCTATATTGCAGTGTTGATACATTTCTTGGGTCTATATTGCAGTGTTGATACATTTCTTTGGTCTACATTGCTATGATGATACATTTCTTTGGTCTTTATTACAGTGTTGATATAGCTCACTCTTATACTCTATTGAATATATTGCTATGTTGATACATTTCTTTGGTCTACATTGCAGTGTTGATACATTTCTTTAGTCTATATTGTAGTGTTGATACATTTCTTTGGTCTATATTGTAGTGTTGATACATTTCTTTGGTCTACATTGCAGTGTTGATACATTTCTTTGGTCTTTATTGCAGTGTTGATAGCTCGCTATTATACTCTATTGAATATATTGCTATGTTGATACATTTCTTTGGTCTGTATTGCATTGTTGATAGCTTAATCTTAGACTCTATGGAATATATTGCTATGTTGATATATTTATTTGGTCTTTATTGCAGTGTTGATAGCTCGCTCTTATACTCTATTGAATATATTGCTATGTTGATACATTTCTTTGGTCTATATTGCAGTGTTGATGCAGTAATGGTGATAACTCCTGCTTTTACTCATCATGACATCATAGAGAAAGCTCTAAAAGCAGGTAATATTGAGCTTTTAACAATTGACATTGACAACACAAAGGGCAATACAGTAAAACCTGTCTTAGTGAACACCTGTCTCTAGTGGACACTTTTCCTCCAAACATATTCAACTAACTTCTGTATAAATTACCCTCTCTGTATAGTGAACACCTACCAATACTGCATATTTTTGGGCAAAAATGTTCAATATAGATATGTTTACTGTATATTAATGCCACAAACACAACAGACCAAATCAAACAGAGAACAGATCTGATAAAAGGGCAATTCAAAAACATCTTTACCAACAAGTAAAGTGAAATATGAAATTTTGATTTGATTTTGTGTCTTTTTGATATTTTTCTCGACAATAACAAATTGTCATGAATTATAAATCATGAATTGTGAATGATTTTATCACCTTTGAATTTAAAACTATAACCTATAAATATCCACATACCATTTAGAAAAATATTTCCCATTTCATTAATATTAATCATGTTGAAAATCATTCTTAACAATCCTTATTTTCAAAAAAATCTTTACCAACAAGTAGGTTGGAATCTGAAATTTGGATTTGATTTTGTGTCTTTCTTAACCTGGAGATTCAACCCGACTTCAAGTTCTTATATTTAGTTCTCATGTACCAGGTATATCTATATCTTTTTTCAGGTAAGGCAGTGTTTTCTGAGAAGCCCTTGGCTCCAACACTTGCTGCAGTGGAGGCACTATATGAGCTTGCAGACTCAGCCAATAAACCTCTATTCTGTGCATTTAATAGGTAAGTGCATCAGATTAAAGAGTAGAGGCACTATATGACCTTGCAGACTCTGCCAATAAACCTCTATTCTGTGCATTTAATAGGTAAGTGCATCAGATTAAAGAGTAGAGGCACTATATGAGCTTGCAGACTCTGCCAATAAACCTCTATTCTGTGCATTTAATAGGTAAGTGCATCAGATTAAAGAGTGGAGGCACTATATGACCTTGCAGACTCTGCCAATAAACCTCTATTCTGTGCATTTAATAGGTAAGTGCATCAGATTAAAGAGTAGAGGCACTATATGACCTTGCAGACTCTGCCAATAAACCTCTATTCTGTGCATTTAATAGGTAAGTGCATCAGATTAAAGAGTAGAGGCACTATATGAGCTTGCAGACTCAGCCAATAAACCTCTATTCTGTGCATTTAATAGGTAAGTGCATCAGATTAAAGAGTAGAGGCAATATATGAGCTTGCAGACTCAGCCAATAAACCTCTATTCTGTGCATTTAATAGGTAAGTGCATCAGATTAAAGAGTGGAGGCACTATATGACCTTGCAGACTCTGCCAATAAACCTCTATTCTGTGCATTTAATAGGTAAGTGCATCAGATTAAAGAGTGGAGGCACTATATGAGTTTGCAGACTCAGCCAATAAACCTCTATTCTGTGCATTTAATAGGTAGGTGCATCAGATTAAAGAGTGGAGGCACTATATGAGCTTGCAGACTCAGCCAATAAACCTCTATTCTGTGCATTTAATAGGTAAGTGCATCAGATTTTAGAGTGGATGGATGCTATGCATGTATCATGTTGACAAGTCCCTACACCAATTGTACAAGTCCTTACCATAATTATACATTGACTTTATACAGAAGGTGGGATCCGCAGTTGAGGTCAATCCATAACAGCATTAAGGGAGGAGACATAGGAAATATACGCATGGTGAAGTCATGTAGCAGGGACCCCCCTGGTCTCTCTAGTATGGAATACCACAGAACATCAGGTATGTTATGCATGCATTCATATAGGATAAGCCCTGAAAGAATTGTTGCTTTGAAAATGTCAAAACTTAGTATCTACATGTAGGTCAGAGACCAAGTCAGTGCAGTATGGGAATCTCATATTGAAGGTCCCATATAGCCTTGCCCAAGTCAGTATTTTTTACTAATCTGATCTTGAATAATAGAAATCAAGATAAGTAAAAGAGACCCTCTTGGGCAAGGCTAGGTCCCATATATAACGTTTACACATTTTGATTGTCTCAATGTCACATAAGAAGGTCATCTAAGAGGTCAATGTATTCAAATATCAAATATCTGATAGTTGTAATTCTAAATAATATCCTACTTAAAATACTTACCCAATCAATAGATTTAGACATGAACCCTTTTTCTGAAAATATCAAAGGTTGAAAAAGATCCGGGGTCAACCCAGTTGTCCGAAACCCAGTTGTCCGAAACCCAATTCTCCGAAACCCAGTTGTCCGAAACCCAGTTCTCCGAAAATTAGGGGATCTTATAAAAAAACAATTTCTTAAAACGAATCTTGTCGCAACCTCTGCGAATCACGACAGCATAACATTTGAATCACGTTGACATCATTGCAAAATTAGGCTAAATATGCTAAGTCAAGACGTTAATTAGCCCACGAAAGTTCATGGGTAACTTGAGAACTACAAAATACAACCAAATCACTGGTGATCCACTCGATTACGCTGGTTACCAAAACGGTTCGTTTTGGTAACAAAATGTCGGAACATCCGGAAGGTACGATTTTTCTCGTTTCCTTATTTTACACGTTGTAGGCAGAATTCCCACGACATTTTTTAACACAAACGTGTTTCAGTATCATATGTTTAAGAAATTGTACATATTTGCGAACAAATAGTTCAGAAGACAACAGAATCGTCGATTTACTTCCTCACTTAAGTTACATAAACGGTTTGGGTTAAAAGTGCAGATCTTAACTGTTTTTCGAAAAACCGTTTATGTAACTTAAGTGAGGAAGTAAATCGACGGTTCTGTTGTCCCCTGAGCTATTTTTTCGCAAACATGTACATTTTCTAAAACATATGATACTGATGTACGTTGTGAGAAAAAACGTCGTGGGGATTCTGCCTACAACGCGTGAAATAAGGAAAAAAGAAAAATCGTGCCGTTCGTTTTGGTAACCAGCGTAATCGAGTGGATCACCAGTACAATAGCAATATTTCTCACCTAACGTCTTCATAGTTTTAGGAACGTATTTTAAACGCATGATAGCCAAATATATCAAAATACTATATCTGCCTAAATGAAGTTATCTAGTGTTTACAAAGTTTTGAAATATATATCCAGATCCATCAGAAATTAACTTATCCAATACATTACTTTACTAGTTCTAGTATCTTGCCTGACTCGTTCATAAGAATTCTTTAATTCTACCTCGTTCCCACGCCAATACGTCCTCAGACACACAAGAAATTGAAGTCACACCCGTTTGTTTGCGTGGCATATTTATACGTATAAGCACTTTCTCTGATTATTGTCAAACAAATACATTTCAGGAGATGAACATAAAAAACAAATGCCTGAAACGAATGCCGAAACATAAATCCCAAGTGATTAAGTTTAGAATGTTTTATTCTTTTACGATTTGATAAGAGACCGAGACTAAGAAATTAAATGCGACGAAATATATTGACAACGTAATTTGTATACTGTTTTATTCTTAAAGTTCTATGCGATAACTTATTTTATCTGTTTCAAAATGTTTCATTTTATTTTGCCTATATAAAAGAGATTGAAGAAGATAAGATAAACTGTTCCGTAATATATATTGTGTTTTAATAACCTTTTTTAGAATCACAATGTAAAATAAATCTCCCGTTCCTGCCATTCTGGTAACGCCATGCAATGGATGCAATTCAAAGTGAGAGAGAGATCTATGAATATCAGAATGCGTCCATGCCATTAATTTGGCCAAATACATGGCATGAAACTGACGTAAGCTTAAGTAAGCTACTCCCCCTCCCTTTCTCTTGTAAATTATGACTTTACTTTTCGGAGTAATGGGTTTCGGACAACTGGGTTTCGGGGAATTGGGTTTCGGACAACTGGGTTTCGGAGAATTGGGTTTCGGACAACTGGGTTTCGGAGAACTGGGCTTCGGACAACTGGGTTTCGGAGAACGGGGTGTACCTAGTAAACATTACAAGTTCAAAATGGAAATAAGGCATGCAGAATGTCATCACCTGCCATTTGTTACAAATGATGACCACCGAAAAATCAACTGCCAACTGCCAAACACTGTTCACAAAAAGTTGGAGACATCTGGTGATGACATCTGGCAAACTACTTGCCCTTTCTTCAGTTTTAAAATCAATTTATACATTTTCTAAATCAACATGATAACAGGAGAGAAGATTGATGTCCAAGTCTGTTGATTGATTAAGTAACCTATCATAAATTTAAATATTTTGGGGTGATTTAGCATGAGAATTAGAGCGTTTAATGATTTCACCATCCCCCTTGTCAAAAATTCTTTCAGAATCATGAATTTTTTCACAATTTTGAGCACATGATTTTGGCCATTTTTGGACCAAAGTAGTAAAAGATAAACCCCCCAGAATTTTTCAAAAGTGAACCCCTAAAAGCTGTTCTACGGGCCTGTATTTTGTTCAATGGGTTTTCCACTCCTTTTCTTCGATTTTCAGGTGGTATTTTCCTTGATATGGTGATACATGATATTGACATGGTGTGCTGGTTGGCAGGTGAGACCCCTACAACATTGACCTGTACAGCTCATGCTCACGATGACAGCTTTAAAGAGATAGGAGACTATGACACTGTGGCTATCATGATGAACTTTCCCAGTGGTTGTACAGGCTTGATTGACACTAGTCGGTGCTGTAACTATGGTTACGACCAGAGAGTAGAAGTGAGTGTAAACTTAATTTTTTATGTAGTCTATGACTATTTCTTTTATTTGATACTCAGTCTGCTTCTACCTTTAAATTGATACTCATGTCTGATTCTACCTTTAATCTTATACTCATGTCTGATTCTACCTTTAATCTTATACTCATGTCTGATTCTACCTTTAATCTTATACTCTTTGAGTGACACAGTTCTATCTTTCATTAAATACCCTGTCAGGACCTCATTTTAATTTTATACTTTATGTCTGATTCTCCCTTTTAGTTTAATGCTCTATGACTATGACTAAGTCACTGAATTAACTTTTAATTCCTTTTGAAAGAGTTCCGTCTAAAGTCTGATTGCCTTCAATTCTCTTATCCAGATACATGGTCCAGGAGGAATGCTACAGTCCGAAAACCTGAGAGAGACAGCCCTTCATACCTGGACAGGTGAGGGCATGAGGGTGGGGCAAATTCCATTTCTTGCACCCATACGCTACAAGGAAGCATACAAGCTAGAGTTGGACCATTTTGTAAATGTTGTTTTAGGTAGGTGTGGTTACATTTAGGCATGCTCATATCAAGGCTATTTATTATGTATAGGGTCGAAAAATAATTTCACATATCAGATTGCTGGTTAATTATAGAACCATTACCTAACAAAGTAGAAAACTTCGAAGAAAAAAATCTCTGTGAAGCTTTAATTAATTGTAGCTAATGTTAATTAAATGTAGGTGATGTGCCTGGTAGGATACGACATAGCCAAAAACGAATTGTTAGGGGAAGTTTCAAAGAAGTTTGACAATTGTGCTTTTCTATATATTTACAGGCAAAGAAACTAGTGAAGTAACCTCCAAATGTACCATTAATGCAATAAAGATTGCTCTGGCGTGCGATGAGTCAGCTAAAACCAACCAACCAGTGACTCTACAATATTAACATCTGAGTATTCAGATACAATAATATCAATGCCATTAAAGACCTAATATCAATGCCATTTAAGACCATTTCTCTTCATTCATGGAGGTGTTGAAGTACAAGGTGAGCCAAAAAAAGGTAACCCAAACATCGTTCAGCATTTTTAAAGTCACATTTTGCTCAATTTAACCTTGTTAAATGTTCTTTCAGTCTACCAAGTTTTATTGGTCTATTATTATTTATATCCCCATTGGTGAAGATTGTATGGCATTTTACAAAACATTCTATAAAATGCTGGTATTGTGTCTGGAGGCAAACTTGAATGTTGAAATTGTTCACTACACTAGCACAGAAATCTTGTATAATGTCTCTCATCTTCTCTTGTTTCAATGTTTCAATTGTTGTTAGTGTAGACATAAGCCCCACAGTTATAAGTCTGGGCGGATTTATGCGGCACACTTCGGCATTTGGAGCATGTTTTGTAAATGGCCATGAAATTGTGACCAACAAGGATAGATCAATGAAACTTGGTAGAATGAAACAACATTGAACAATCTTATATTGTGCGAGATGACATTAAACCCATGCTGTATGACTGAGAGATTAAAATTGTTTGGTTACCTTTTTGGCTCACCCCGTACATGTATATTACACTTCCAACAATTCCAGTGGCATTCCAGTAGTTCTGGAGCGGAACTGGCCCGTAGCCAGGGGGGATTCCATGGATTCGAGCGAACCCCCCTGGCCAAAACATCTTTCAAAATCATGCAGTTTTTCACCATTCTGAGCACTTTTTAAGTGATTTTGGCCATTTTTGGACCAAAATTGTCATAAGTAAACCCCCTCCCTGGAATTTTTCAAAAAGTGAACCCCCTTGGCAAATCCTGGCTACGGGCCTGCTGAATGTAGAAATAGGTTGAACTAGCAGTAAATATTGGTGCCAAAACTAACCAAAGGGCCCCAAAGGATAATGCAAATGGTTTCAGACTGTTATATTTTGGATATTTTCTGACCCTGAAGTCAAAAATTGTGCAGTAATTACAATTATGGCACCCTTTTGTGTGTGCATGGAATAACGAACGTTACAAAAAGTTCAGATTCTTTATTTAGTATCAATCATGTATCGTTGGTCGACTCATTTAAATTTCAATGTACTAAGTATCAGAAGAGTGAGGGAACATCTTCCGATGTTCAAAGAAAAACTATTAAGAAAAAACTATTGAGGGTGTCATAATTAAGGGTTCACTAATTCCTGATTCTGTTGTCTGAAATTTTACTTTTTTGAAATTTTTTATTTTACTAATACATTCCCACATACACAGTGCATAGGGACCTAGTCAACAATAAATGTGTCATTTTTGCCAATTTTAAATTTTCAGGGAATTTTTTAGTATTAAAATCTAGAATTAGTTGTTTGATTAGGTATAATGTTGTGAACTCTATGGATTTTATATTATTTTTGTTAAACGCATTAATATGCATGTATTGACATTGCTTCTAGGACAGTTGTATTTTACCAAATGTAAAATATCATTAATAGTGATAGAAAAGAAACATGAACATGTCTGTAAAAACATAGTATATATTTTTTTGAATATTTATACATCATAATTTACATTGATTTTCCATGTTGTATATCAAAATGCATTTAAAAATTATTATCTACATAATGCTTTTTACTTACTCAAATATTGAGTAATATACTCATATATTGAGTAATATAACTTCCTCTATTGTACAAAGGACAGTCAATCAGTGATTGCACTAAAATTAGTATTAAATGATCCATTTTACATCATTTTTAACAATAAAATATTATAGTAAAATATAGTAATATAACAGTGTTTGTTTGATCACAAACAGAATGAGCCAAAAATAGTAGTAAAAAAAACAACATATAAACATCTAAGAGCCATCCAGTAATTAGATTATGCAACATTTGTGTCCTAGATCCCATAAAATCTTAACGACTATCCTGAAATCTGTATTTGTTTTTTCTAGGATAAAGAAAAACTTCATCAGAGGTATCTGAGGTATACTAGATTAAGTATAGTATCAGGCCTTCAAAAATATGAATATTTAGAACAAAGACCCATTAAAGGGCCATTTTTGAAATGAACAGAGATGCCAGGTGCTCCATAATGTCATTTTTGAATATGCTCTCAAATTCTGTCCTTTCATTCACTACGTATGTTCATCCAGAAATTTTGAGACAAGGGTGTTGAACTCGTCAGCGTATCTCAGATGTATGTTGTGTTTGCCATCAGGAAAATAGTGCACCCTGAAACAAGAATTTATGCATGTATATCACAGAAGGAAAATAGTGCACCCTGAAACAAGTATTTATGCATGTATATCATAGAAGGAAAATAGTGCACCCTGAAACAAGAATTTATGCATGTATATCACAGAAGGAAAATAGTGCACCCTGAAACAAGAATTTATGCATGTATATCAAAGAAGGAAAATAGTGCACCTTGAAACAAGAATTTATGCATGTATATCAAAGAAGGAAAATAGTGCACCTTGAAACAAGTGTTTATGCATGTATATCATAGAAGGAAAATAGTGCACCCTGAAACAAGAATTTATGCATGTATATCACAGAAGGAAAATAGTGCACCTTGAAACAAGTGTTTATGCATGTATATCATAGAAGGAAAATAGTGCACCCTGAAACAAGAATTTATGCATGTATATCACAGAAGGAAAATAGTGCACCTTGAAACAAGTGTTTATGCATGTATATCATAGAAGGAAAATAGTGCACCCTGAAACAAGAATTTATGCATGTATATCACAGAAGGAAAATAGTGCACCCTGAAACAAGAATTTATGCATGTATATCACAGAAGGAAAATAGTGCACCCTGAAACAAGAATTTATGCATGTATATCATAGAAGGAAAATAGTGCACCCTGAAACAAGAATATATGCATGTATATCATAGAAGGAAAATAGTGCGCCCTGAAACAAGTATTTATGCATGTATATCATAGAAGGAAAATAGTGCACCCTGAAACAAGAATTTATGCATGTATATCATACTGTAGAAGGTAAATAGTGCACCCTGAAACAAGAATTTATGCATGTATATCATACTGTAGATGGTAAATAGTGCACTCTGAAACAAGAATTTATGCATGTATATCATAGAATTAAGTAAATATAATCACAGTAATTGACACCCCAAATATAAAAGTATTAACTCATGCAGTTTCAACTATAACTAATGTCACCACCTGCCATTTGTTACAAACACAAATGCTGAAAGTCAAAGCCACCTGCCGAACATTGTCCACCAAAAATTGGAGACTATAACAATACATAATGTATGTCACCACTTCTGGTGAAGCCATAAAAAGTTACAAAACAGCTAAGAGGCAGAGATAAGAGTATGTTATTTCCAACTTAGTCAGAAACCCATGCCTCTCTATCGTTTCAAAAAATTTACCCAACGTATCGGTCTCTGTTAATTTATGGCATCCATACTTTTTTGAAAGGTAACATTTTGAGGTTCAATTTTCTGCCGGATGCCCTTGCAAACCCTCATTGGTTGCTCTGTATTGTAGCATTCCGTTACCATGGTTACGCATCTATAGACATCTTACCTTGGAATCTTAAATCATTTGTAGCTTTGTCATTATTTTGCCTATAGAAATGATATTGGTATCAAATTAAACCTAAATAAATTTCCCATATAATTATAATATTTAATTATGCAAATTAGCTCATTTGCATAAATTGTGACATCATGAATCTATTTTTGGTTCAGAATTTTCAAGTATAGCAATGTATCTTTAAGAACTGAAGCCATACGGTAGAATTTCCTCAATGTTATGACTTTTATTCTATGAGCAGAAGGTTTAAACAACATAAAAGTGAAAACAGATTCAAAATTGGATCAGAACTAACAAAGTTATTAAGCTTTCTAGGCAGCTACCATGAACGTTATCACTGAACAATTAACTTTAAACATCTTACCTAAGAATTGATATGTTTGGTAGCTTTGTCATTATTTGGTCTATTAAAAGGAGATCTTGGTATCGAATTGATCCTAATTGAATAATCGGTATGGAAACGATATTCAATTATGCAAATTAGCTAATTTGCATAAATTATGATGTCATCAACCTATCTTTGGTTCAGAACTTCCAAGTATAGCAACATATTTATTAGATCCAAGGTTGTATGGCGTAGTTTCTGCATGTTTGTCATTTATTCTATGAGTGGAAGAGGTATGAGCAACATAAAAATGATTCAAAATTGAATTAGTATTAGTTAAGTAATTCAGCTTTTGAGGCAGCTACTATGAATGTTACTATTTGACAATCAAAAATAAAACACTGAAATAACAAAAATGAAACAAAGCTGATTCAAGCTTATTGAGTGAAATCTATATATTTTTCATGTCACTGAATTAGTTGGTGTATAGAATTGATACAAGTATTTATAATTTTGACTATCATTGACAGGGGTCAAAACAGTTTTTTTGATTTTGTAACATGATTTATTGTTTGTGAGAAAGTTATGGATTAATCAGTTAGTGAATGGGTGAATGGTATTGTGAAATCTGTTATGTAATCTATAAATTTTTAAACTGATTTGCTTCATAGGCGTCAATCTATTTAAAGAGATGAAACATTATGCCTGGTCAAACATCAATATTTGTTCTGCGATTCAAGCAGTGAACATCTACATGAATTTTTAAACATTATATTATATTATTATAGATTATATCATTGCTGTTTTTCATGTCATCACCAAAAGCGGTGACATATTGTTATGACGATGACTGCTGATGACGTTTCGCCATTCTAACACCGAACTGATTTTACCATACTATATGCTATATATATACTATATATATGCCTGCATCCTTACTGCTACATTGTTTATCATATATGATAATGTTTCTGGTGGAATGTTTTGAATTTCCTTTCACATGTCGATCTCAAGTAGTTCTATGTCTCTAGGCTTGGGATAAGCATAAACATGGTTCTTGAAGTCATCCCAGAGAAAATGTTTGGGGTGTCAAATCTGTTGAATAGGGAGGCCCTCACAATGTCTATATGCAGAGAGAAGAAACTCCTTTCATGGGAATTTTTGTGTGGCAATTGCTGTACATGGAGGGGCTCAAACTGTCTGGAACCACAGTGTTCTCATTTGGATATCATTCAGTATCCGTAACTCTGGCAGATGGAACTCCATTATCAATTAACCGCTAAATCATTTGACGATAATTGACCTGGTTCTCTGTGATTGTTCTGCCATCTTCAACCTTGGAACTTCTTTCTCTAGGGCTATTTGAAGGAACATGTTAAGCTAATCTCAACCCAAAAGACCTAGAACAACATAAGGCCAACACCCAAAGAGAAATTCAAAACATTCCACCTGAAACATTATCAAATGTGATGAACAATGTAGCACAAGGATACAGGCTGTCATTGAAATATGAAGTAAAAAGTAAAGGGTTAAATCATCAAAAAGGCAAGACTGAACTAAAAACTTTGTATCGGGAAGGAAACGTACATGCTTCAGCAACATGACCATGCAAAAATGTCTGAAAATATTGATTGGTTTAACTGTGCCGTTTATATACTTTTAGGTACATTTTTGAGACACCTTGTATTATTTATCATACCAACCTATCATAGTTCATAGATACCATTGCATTTTTATATTAAGTGTTAATGAAGCGTAGAAATGAATAGTGAGGGCTTTAACCCGAGAGTTTCTACATCCATATGACACTGATTTAATGTCATCAGTGTGACATTGATATCCACGTTAAAATCACCTATATGGCATTCATTCATGTTATAACCATCTACATGTATATGTAACATTGATCTTCATGTAGCATTACCCATGTCTTGGGCCCATATGGCAGTGGTTGAATTGTTCTTATGAGTATCTATTTCAGTGGTGACTTTCATTACAGGGATGCTTTTTATTCTTAATGTTTCCATGATCTTTGTCACATCTCCATGAGTCCATGTTTACCTCACCAGTGTGATTTGACTCCCAAATATGTGTGACATTAATCTCCTTGTTAACATCATCTATAGATGTGACTTTGATTCAGCTCCTCTCAGCACATCTTATTGTGATGACTTTTGGATAACTGCCCCAACATTCAGGCCTACATGTACATCTATGACTTTTTGATATAATCTGTTATATTGATCAGATCTTCAGAAACCCTTGTCTGAAAATAATTTAAATCCTTACAATGAAATAATATCTTGTACTGGTCTTCGTTCAGAATTGCAATCTATGCTCCCTAAACTACATACTGTATGCTATTTTCATTCCATATTAAAGCTTCTAAGCTATAAAAAGTGTATATTAAAATAGTTTATCCAACCTCTGTCAATCATACTACGTGATTAACTCCTTTATTTTGCGCTAAAATCTCGTTGTTACTGTTCTCAGTTTTGAATGGTATCCATACTCTTTGGGATATACCTGAAATCCATCCATTTGAGACTCATATTTTTTCATAGATTTTTACATATTTCATATTTTGGAAACCCTTTAAAACAAGTTCAGATTATAAGTCCTATACCACACATACTTCCATAAGAGTTAGATGTAGGAAACCAATATGTAGATGTAGGAAGGGTTAGTTAAAGTCCTACAAAAATCACTTCTTTCAAAAATATTTTAAAGGGCATTTTTTCTTTGTGGCTATTTCTATCAATACACTTTAATTTCAGGATTACTATACTAGTACTACTACTGAGCTCTTTGTATGGATTTTGTCATCATTTTTCATTGCATATCAAAGAGGTTATACTATGTAAAATTAAACTTTTCATTTTGCTTCCCGAAGTACCTACTTTCTGCTTATAGTCCATTTTCAGAAAAGCTATAACATAAACCATTCTAAGGTTGAATCAACAAGGATTTTGAAGGTTAAAAAATTCCCTTAAGTAGTTGGCACATTAGCTGTGTGGGCTCGCCATTTGCCACCGATTGACTTATTTTGGGCATTGTTTTTTTATAATTAATTTACTTTTTATTTGATGTGATAGGGATATCTTTCTGTAAAACTATTTGTTTTGCCCACCCTGTATTCACGCTGTACCCTGCCATCTGTCGGAAAGTATTCACATGGTGGCGAATGATGAGCTACAAGGCCTAAGTGTGATAGCTCCATCAAAGATAGGCATCCTGGAGGCTGTGATGTGACTCCCTCAATAATTGACACATTGGGACATGAGATGGAATGTTAATATCTAAGTTCTAAAGTTGACACTCTATCTGTATTTTGAATATAAAATGGTAATTAAGATTTATTTAGCTTATGTCCAAATATCAACAAAATTTTGTTTTCAGCTTTATCACGTGTTAGAAATCAAATGAAACCAGGAATACTCCTCCATATAAATTTTGTAAATATTGATATGTATATTTGTCAACATATGTCAAAAAAGCATAATTAAAGCATTACTATGTATTCATATGGATCATTGACAGTATATGGTGAATTATAAAATTGGATTTTCAAATACAGGATCGAGATCACACGATTTTGACCCCTGTGAATGATAGTCAAAATACATATAACATATCCACAAACTTACATGTTCAGTTCAATGGAAAAATATGAACAAGTCATGTGCATTTTTACTCAATAAGATTGAAACAACTGTGTTTGTTTCTTTTTTTTCGTTATAGTAATATTTTTTATAATTGTAAAACGATGACGTTCACAGTAGCTGCCCAAAAAGCTGAATAACTGATAATTCTGATCCAATTCTGAATCTGTTGTCTCTTGAATGTTGCCTATATCTTCCACTCATCAAATAAAGGTCAAAACTATGCACACATTCTGTCATACAGCCTAAGTTCTAATATATATGTTGCTAAACTGGGATATTCTGAACAAAAATTGATTGATGACATCACAATTTATGCAAATTAGCTAATTTGCATAATTGAATATTGTAATCATACAGGAAATAAGGTTTAATTTGATACCAATATCATTTCTATAGACCAAATAATGACAAAGCTACAAACATTTTAAACGTCCATGGTAAGATGTTTGAGTATAATTGTCAAATAATGACATTCACAGTAGCTGCCTCGAAAGTTTAATAGCTTTGGTAATACTGATCCAATTTTGAATCTGTTTTCATTTTTATGTTACTTATACCTTCTTCTTATAGTCTAAAGGACCAAACTTTGCAGAAATTCTGACATACGGCCTCAGTTCTAATAGATACGTTGCTATACTTGAAAATTCTGAATCAAAAATTGATTGATGACGTCACAATTTATGCAAATGAGCTAATTTGCATAATTGAATATCATTACTTTATGGGAAATTTAATTAGGTTTAATTTGATACCAATATCATCTCTATAGACCAAATAATGACAAAGTTACAAATGATTTAAGATTCCAAGGTTAGATGTCAATAGATGCGTAACCATGGTAACGGAATGCTACAATACAGAGCAACCAATGAGAGTTTGCAAGGGCATCCGGCAAAAAATTGAGCCTCAAAGTGTTACCTTTCATAAAAGTATGGATGCCATAAATTAACAGAGACCGATACGTTGGGTAAATTTTTTGAAACGATAGAGAGGCATGGGTTTCTGACTAACTAATCACAAGCAGGGAATATGAATATTAATGCAATGGGTAATTTTTATACATATGCACATGCATAATAAAATATGTTTTTATAGATGCCATTGCTTGTGTCTGTGTGTTTGCTAGAGTCTGAATCTGACTTATACTAGTTATGTCACCATCAAAAGTGGTGACATGTTATTATAGTCTCCAACTTTTTTGTGGATGGCATTTGGCAGATGGTGTCCAGCGGTTGGTGTCTGGTAGTTGGTGTTTGGCGTTCTGTTGCTGTAGCAAATAGCAGGTAGTGATATTTTGCACTAGCCACCACACCTTAATGTATCCATGGTTTCACTTACTTTAGATTTTTTATATGCTCCTTTAGGTAGTCAGGATGGTACTGTGGTACCATGGGGTCTTTGTTCCCATGAAGCATATATGAGGGGCAGATTATGTTCTTCAAGTCATCCTTACATATGTCTCCTGTGAAAACATGAAGGTTAAGACATGAATATGAGGAGCATATTATATGAGTTCTACATGTATATGAGGGGCATACTACAATTTTGATTTTGAAAAAATGCTGGTCTGTCACACTATTAGCAGACATTTGGTCTAAATACTCTAGTATTTTTGCCTACGTGTATGTACCTTTATCTTTGTATAATAAGCTCCAGTTTACCTTTATTCTGTGTATAATAAGCACTGTAGGCATCTACCCAGTTGCCCCATTGCTTTCTGAAGTATTCCTCTCCATATACCTCTAAGAATGGTGTCCTCATCCTGTCACTCCAGTTATCTATATCCTTTACACCTGGAACAAACATTCAACACTGAGTTATAGTGGACAAAGTTAACAAGGCATTCACATGTTAAAATTTTACCACCTGCCATTTGTTACAGATGGTAATGGCCGAACACTTTTACAGATGACAATACCAAACATCAATTGTCTAACACCAACTGCCGAGCATCAGGCACCAAAAGGTTTGAGACTATAACAATATGTCACCACTTCTGATGGTGACATAAAAATGATGGACAGTATATAGCCCCCTATAATTTTTATTTCAGAAATGTGAAAATGATAATAAATATATTTTGTGCGTTTTGAGGAGAAACTCTAATTGCTCATGTGGGATCCAATCGAGAAGTGACACACCCACTTTTGTCAATATTGAAACATTGAGGGTATTTGGGTAAGAAAAGAAATTAACATATCTTTTGCAAAATTTAAAAGGTGATTGTTGGTAGTTAAAACTATATTTGAGAAAAGGTTAAATACTGTCTGGAAAAATTGAAAATATCCAGGGATTAATGTTAAATGAATCAAAAGGGATATAGTGTGAAATTTTGGAAGCAATCTTTCAAAAACCTCTAAGATGGCCACCAGAATGCAAGATGGCTGCCGAAAAGTTAATCAGCTCTAGAACCTCTCACCATGTAACATGTACTAAAATTTGAAGTACATCTGTCAAATGGTTTTCCTGGAATCATGATGACAAGAAAGTGAGACGCCGCCTACCCGCCCGTCTTTGAAATACTATAAAAATCATGCCAATATTTTCCTCACAATTCTAATTTTATTATCACGGATATCTGATGAAATATAAGTAATTTAAGATTTAAGATGCAGAAATGTTTAAATTTGTAATAGTTCATTCAGGAAAACCTTACCCTCTTGAAATAAAGTCAAAACTGTTAAACATTCCAGAAATAAAGGCAAAATTTAGATGATGTGGTCAAAAAAAATTGTGCCAAAACTTTTGATTTTTTACAAACTTATTTTTAGCCTTTCTATCTTTACATGCCTTCTAACTCCAAGATAAAAGCCTAAATCTTTATGTGTAATTTGTTACTAAAAACATCATCTACTGACACATGATTCATGCAGTGTGCAGAATGAGATTGTGAACATGGCATGTGTTTGAGTCAAATTCTTATATCTCTTGGTATACCACTTTTCATTGTTTAAAAGGGTAACATTAACTTTTTGAATTAAATGCAATTCTAGTATTTCTTACAACAATTAAAAATCAACCTGGAGATACATGTATAGGCTATAGTTACAGTTATGTGTGAATATACTCAAGAGTTGTTACTTACTGAGAAAATTTAAGCCACTTTACACTTAGGTTTAGTAAAATGATACTTCTGAATCTAGTTACAAGTAATTGGCAAATGCTTTTGCAAACTTTTGAAAAGTAAGATTTTATGGGGAAGTAAGATTTTGTGGGGAATAGAACATCCCTCTTCTCCCATTTACTAGCCTGCCTATATCACCCTGCCATATTTAAAGTGAATAAAAAACAATTTACAAGTATCGTCCCAGGTCACTGATCTAGCACTGACATTCATTTTACATATATTGCAGTGGCGGATCCAGAAATTAACAAGGGGGCCCAAATTTTGAGCTTGGAAAAATTTGGGCCTCTAAAACCCCAAAATTATGCCCAAAAAATGCTCATTTTTTGAGGCCTTACAAAATTTTTTGGGCCCAAAAACTAAATAAAATTTCTGGGCCCACTAAAGGGGAGGGCCTCCCCTCCGGATCCGCCGCTGCATTGCTGGAGCAACTGTTAACCTTGAATACTACATAGACTTTCTGCCTGGGATTGTTTGGGGATAATATATGAGAAGGAGTATCTCGGGGTCAGACTCTTGCTGTAGATGCACACATGTAGTTTGCTTTTATATTTTAGATTAATTAGGATAATTATCACCCCATTAAAGGTAAGTGTTATTATGTTAAATTGCAATGGTATTCAGAGTCATTTTTCTGTATCATTAATTCTTTAATATCAAAGTTGATTTAAACTGGATCTCATTCACTTATAGTGTCTAGTATAATATGGTAGGAAGTGCACATATAACTTGAAGGTTACATGTACAGTCAATATAAGAAAAAATGATTGCACTACCATACACAATTCTAGGACAAATATGGATGTAGAAGAACTTGAAAAACTTGCTACAGCCAACCATAATGAGTTCGACAGACAGTGGAATGACCATAACAGAAACTGGGAGAAACTTGTTGAAAATTTCTACACAACTGATGCTGTAATTTACCCCCCAGGCAGTCCACCAGTGACTGGATTACAAGGTAGACAAGGCATTAACATGACAAAATGTCACCACCTAGTTGCTCACAATATTATGAGTTCAAACTTAAGTCAGATTTGAATTTCTGAGAACTTGTAAAGTCAAATTTGAACTTCTGAAAAGATGTAGATGATTTTGAAAAAAAAAATTTGGTCAATTTGAAGCAAGTTGAAAACAGACCTTTTTGACCTTTTTTGACCTTGAGAAGGTCATTAAAGGTCAAATGTCAAATCTAAAGTCAGATTTGAATTTCTGAGAACATGTAGATGATTTTGAAAAAAAAATTAGTCAATTTGAAGCAAGTTGAAAAAAGACCTTTTTGACCTTTTTTGACCTTGAGAAGGTCATTGAAGGTCAAATGTCAAATCTAAAGTCATATTTGAATTTCTGAGAACATGTAGATGATTTTGAAAAAAAATTTAGTCAATTTGAAGCAAGATGAAAAAATACCTTTTTGACCTTTTTTGACATTGAGAAGGTCATTGAAGGTCAAATGTCAAATCTAAAGTCAGATTTGAATTTCTGAGAACATGTAGATGATTTTGAAAAAAAAATCTAGTCAATTTGAAGCAAGTTGAAAAAAGACCTTTTTGACCTTTTTTTGACTTTGAGAAGGTCATTGAAGGTCAAATGTCAAATCTTAAGTCAAATCTAAAGTCAGATTTGAATTTCTGAGAACACGTAGATGATTTTGAAATTTTTTTTTAGTCAATTTGAAGCAAGTTGAAAACAGACCTTTTTGACCTTTTTTGACCTTGAGAAGGTCATTAAAGGTCAAATGTCAAATCTAAAGTCAGATTTGAATTTCTGAGAACATGTAGATGATTTTGAAAAAAATTAGTCAATTTGAAGCAAGTTGAAAAAAGACCTTTTTGACCTTTTTTGACCTTGAGAAGGTCATTGAAGGTCAAATGTCAAATCTAAAGTCATATTTGAATTTCTGAAAACATGTAGATGATTTTGAAAAAAAATTTAGTCAATTTGAAGCAAGATGAAAAAATACCTTTTTGACCTTTTTTGACATGAGAAGGTCATTGAAGGTCAAATGTCAAAGCTAAAGTCAGCTTTGAATTTCTGAGAATATGTAGATGATTTTGAAAAAAAAAATTAGTCAATTTGAAGCAAGTTGAAAAAAGACCTTTTTGACCTTTTTTGACTTTGAGAAGGTCATTGAAGGTCAAATGTCAAATCTTAAGTCAAATCTAAAATCAGATTTGAATTTCTGAGAACACGTAGATGATTTTGAAAATTTTTTTTAGTCAATTTGAAGCAAGTTGAAAACAGACCTTTTTGACCTTTTTTGACCTTGAGAAGGTCATTGAAGGTCAAATGTCAAATCTTAAGTCAGATTTGAATTTCTGAGAACACGTAGATGATTTTGAAAAAAAAATTTAGTCAATTTGAAGCAAGTTGAAAACAGACCTTTTTGACCTTTTTTGACCTTGAGAAGGTCATTGAAGGTCAAATGTCAAATCTAAAGTCAGATTTGAAGGTCAAATGTCAAATCTAAAGTCAGATTTGAATTTCTGAGAACATGTAGATGATTTTGAAAAAAAATTTAGTCAATGTGAAGCAAGTTGAAAAAAGACCTTTTTGACCTTGAGAAGGTCATTGAAGGTCAAATGTCAAATCTAAAGTCAGATTTGAACTTCTGAGAACATGTAGATGATTCAGAAAAAAATTGAAGTCAGTCTAAACAGTATTTGTTAAGTTATAGGAAGTTGTAAGAAATTGTTACAGACGCCGGACGCCAACCGCCGGACGCCGTCGCAAAAAAACGGAGACCATAACAATATGTCACCACTTTTGGTGGTGACATAATAAACAGCCAATCAGAACATGCTATATTCTGCAACAGATGAATATACAGTAAAACCTGTCTTAGTGAACACCTCTCTCTCTCGTGAGCACCTGTTTCTATTAGACAACCTTCCTCCGCACAAACTCTATCGACCTCTTTGTAGTGAACACCTACCAACACTGAACGTTTTTCTCAGCAATTTTATGTTCAATATACACAGGTTTAACTGTAGTCAATAAATGTAGATTCAGTAAAATTTATTAACCTCTTGAATATTTGGGTTTGATGCAGGTTTTACTGTAGTAAATAAATGTAGATTCTGTAAAATTTATTAACCTCATGAATATTTGGGTTTGATGCAGGTTTTACTGTAGTAAATAAAAGTAGATTCTGTAAAATTTATTAACCTCTTGAATATTTGGGTTTGATTCAAACATGGAAGAGACGTTTAATTGCTCACTTGATATATCAAATACTGAAAATTAATTTTTAAACAAACATTATTAAACTTTAACAAACACATATGCCATAAATCAGAACATAAGCATTCTACATTTTACAATGAATGGTTGTTTTTCCCTGGCCTAGATCTAGATTCAGTAAAATTGATAACCCTCACCAATTTCCAATTTCAACTAGCTATAGGCCATTCTACCTTCCCCCCCCCCCACCGGTTGGAAATATTTATCCAGAAACCCAGCATCCCATTTATTATTTTCTTTTTAAAAATAGCTAGACTTAGAGGGAGAATCTGGAAAGTGGCCAGATGTCAAAATGATATGCCTGCCTGCAGTTGTATTGCATTTTAGAAAAATATTTGGCCATTTATGAAGAGAGATTCATTGCTTTTTTATGTACTATATACAGGGCTGTCAACTTGGGACCACCTAATATGAGTGACTTCAAAATGTTGGACACCTAAGTCCAAATCTGAACACTTTTGTCCAAATTTTGAACACCTTTGGCCAACTTTTAAACACCTTTGGCCAAAGTTTGAGCACCTTTGCCAAACTTTGAGCACCTCAAATTTTTCGCGTGGCGTGACTTCAAATTCTTCAGCAAATGCGTGACAAATACGCAAATTGCGGGACAGTTGACAGGCCTGTATATATCGCTCATAAATTTTATATACTAAAGATGTAAAGGTTCTGTCATGGTAAATGAAGTTAAAAAAATTGTTATAAAAACTCCATCATGACTGGTATGGTTTTCGAAGTCGTGCAATCTATTTACTAAATATGAACTACAGGCCTCCTAGACTTTCACTCACACGGTAGTCATTTACAATCTTACTATCCTCGTTTGATCGATATTTGCATTGTGAGAATGTGGTTCAGGAAGAAGGAACAAGGATAGGGAGGTCGGAACTGACAACTGCATGAGTAGAAGTCTATGAGGCCTGAACTAAGGGGTCAGACAGATATTACTGAACTATTTAATATTATATATTTGTGAAATTTCAAGACATAGCCTCTAACATGGGATTTAATAATGGCAATCATACAGGGTAGTTTTAATTTACATTCTTATGATCATAGCAGAATACAATACAATAATGCGATACAGAATAACCAAAGTAAAAAACCGAACCGAGGAATTCAAAAACCGAACCATACCAAACTGAAAATTCTGAAACTGTCTGACGAACACCCCCCCACCCAACACTAGCTGGTACCAAAGGAGTTCTACTCATACAGATTTTACTGTACCTCTACATTTTGCATTTGCAGATATTGCCAGATTTTTCACATCTATTCCCTCTAAACTTCACCTACATAACAGTCTAAAGGAAGTCAGGAGGATAGGAGAAGACTCATACTTTTCCATATTCACGCTTCAAGTAACAATTGATGACAAAGAAGTTGACAGATTCTCGTAAGTTAACAATTAGTAGCTAACACAGTACTGTCAACCCCTAAAGATTTTCTCGCGGGACAGATTTTTTAGACCCAGTGCCCAAAATTCGCGGGATTTTGCGGGACATCTACTAAATTCGCGGGATTTTGCGGGACATTTAAGGGATTTGCGTGATTGCGCTAATAGGAGATTTTTTTTATCAAATTCGCGGGATTTCGCGGGACCATTCGAGGGACAAACACCCTAATTGCGGGACAGTTAACAGGTGTACCACCAAAAACTTCATAGAGGGACAGATTTTTTAGACAAAGTGCCCTAAATTTGCTGGATTTCGCGGGACATCCACCTAAATTTGCAGGATGTCCCGGGACATTCAAGGGATTTGCGTGATTGGGACTAATGTAAAAGCGTGTAGAAGTACTTAAATCAAACTTTCAGATACTGATTAATCTAATATAATGCACCGTTACATTGTAACTTAAATAAACGTCAACACAATTTCACAAAATACGCATAGGAATATTATTAAACTTTATTGTAATTTATCAAAAACAAAAACCATGCTTCAGGTGTGATTACCGTAATCTAACACGAAATTCAAAAATTCGGAACAATACTTTGCACTTCTGGCGTCGTGACCAACTATGAAACGCTTACCCCCATAATGTTTTATATTAAAATGTACCTATTCATATACTGTAGGCATGGGCTTTCAATTGAAAGCCCGTGATATAGGGGTTCGATTAATCTACATCAAATTATAGGGAATGAGGTTAATTTTCTAGATAGGGTTTGTATAAAAAACCGGGTACCGGGTAGTAAATCCTCCATGCTGGGTTCAAACTTGGTACCCGGTCGAAAAAAAAACAAAAAACGAAATATACGAATACACAACATAATTAGATCATTAGAAAACGTGTAAGATTTGTTTTGAATTTACAAAAATCTATGTAACTTCCTTCAAAATTGAGCTAGAGGCTTCAAATTAAAAGCATTTTAAGGCTCTTTTCTTCCTCTATCATCTTGGTCATATTTCCATTGGTAATGAAGGGGGGGGGTGCACCCTCACCTTGCTACGCCAATGACATTGTAAGACGATTTGAAAAACAAGACAAATCAATCTTACTCTATTTTCAATAGTTCGTATGTTGGTACGTGAATTGTTTTGATTATGATTTAAATCTGTAAATAGCTATCGTTGCTTTAGCAGAGAGGTGACGTGTGTTAATTTGCATGATGCAACGTGTAAGATTTTGATTATTAATCATAATTTAAGTTATCCCAATTTATGACAAAATGTCCACTGAATTGTAAATTGTTATGTCTTACAATGTCATAGGCGTAGCCAGGAGAGGGTGCGATGGTGCGATCGCACCCCCCCCCCCATAACCAATGAAAATATGGCCATAACGATAGAGGAAGAAAAGTGCCTTAAAATATGCTTTTTATTTGAAGCTTCTAGCTCAATTTTGAATCATGTTACATACATTTTTGCAAATTCAAAACAAATCTTACACGTTTTCTCATAATCTAATTATGTTATATATTCGTATTTTTCGTTTTTTGGGTACCCGTTTTTTTGACCGGGTACCGGGTACCAAGTTTGAACCCAGCATGGAGGATTTACTACCCGGTACCCGGTTTTTTATACAAACCCTTTCTAGATATCAGCGTACATTTATTGTAACTCGCGTTTGCTAACATTTGCTCAGTTCTGAGATGAAGGCCACACGGGTAGTAAAAAGGCCAACGTTGGAACTATTTGTGACCTACATCCCTATTTTCGTAATTAAAATGAAAGTTGAACCCTTCCCCTTTATTTTGATACCAAACAACAGCATGCTAGGTACTTAAAATTAGGTAAACTTTACTCCTCAAAAGTGCAAAAACTTAGCTTCTTATATAAGATAAGATAATCAAAATATAGGGGATTGCAACAATTTCGGAAATTCGCGGAGGTCAAAGCCACATTTTGCGGGACTTCGCGGGACAATGCGGGACACGCGAATTAGCCTAATTTTGATCAAATTCGCGGGATAATCCCGCCATTCGCGGGACACTTGACAGCTCTGCTCACAAAATGAGCCACATCATTTTTCTGTAAACAATGAAGTTTTAACTGTATACACTTTTTTATTATCACCAGTGTGTAATCTATAGACTAACATGCAAATTCTTGTACTTTCAGAACTTGTCACATATTCTTGTACTTTCAGAACTTGTCACATATTCTTGTACTTTCAGAACTTGCCACATATTCTTGTACTTTCAGAACTTGTCACATATTCTTGTACTTTCAGAACTTGCCACATATGGACCAATGTGAATGGAGTGTGGAAAATGTTGCATGATTTCTGGAACAGTGATTATGAGAAAGTGAATTATTAGAATTGAAGATTACAGGATACTCAAGTGTTATGCATTTTTTAAAACATTTATTCGCCCTGGTGGCCATGGTCACCACAAGTGCACAACATAAATTTTCATATTTATTTAGTTTAATGAAATGAATAAATTGACTTATATCACTTATTGAGATATAAATTACAGTTCATAAATTTAACTGAAACATTTCTTGTTGAGACATTGATGTGTATATTTATTGAAACTTTAATAATTATAAGAATATAATTAATTAGCTATAAATATTCTAATAAAGGACCAACGGTCCTGTGCTCACACAGTGTTTTGTGCAGCCAATGATGATTGACTTTATACATGAGAAAGTTCCCTGAAAATGGCGAAGTCCAACTTTTTGTCAAATTTTATAGAGTAAACACCAAAAACTGTAATTTCAAGAGCTTTGAAATCTTCAGAGAACATAAGTTGCATATACAGCAACTACTACAAGTTCTACTTCAACAAAGTGTCTAGTATTTATAGAAAATTTGACTTTTTGACATCAAAATTAGCAATTTCTCGGAAACCAAGCGAAAGTGGGAAATGGCGATAATAGGTCAAATAGGCATTATGGATATGCATAAAATGAATGTGGATATGACTCAATCCGAATAGCAGTTTTAATTTGTGCGGCTAATGTTGACGGACAAATGGGCGGACCAACGGACGGATGGCTTTCCTATATCTGACTTGAACTTTGTTCGGTGGGATAATAATGAAAATCTTAGACACATACCTGTAAATATTTCCATGTCCTTTTGGTGCACAAATGCATTAGAACCCCATATCACCATTGTGTTGACATTCTTGGGGTATGTAGCAGCAAGAATCATGGCTGTAATACCCCCATCACTCCAACCAAGCAGTGAGTATCTCTTATAACCAAGTGTCTGCAACATATAACAACACAATTTATTAACATTGTTGGGGTATTTAGCAGCAAGAATCATTGCTGTAATACCACCATCACTCCAACCAAGCAGTGAGTATCTCTTATAACCAAGTGTCTGCAACATATAACAACACAATTTATTGACATTGTTAGGGTATTTAGCAGCAAGAATCATTGCTGTAATACCCCCATCACTCCAACCGAGCAGTGAGTATCTCTTATTACCAAGTGTCTGCAACATATAACAACACAATTCATTGACACTGTTGGGGTATTTAGCAGCAAGAATCATTGCTGTAATACCCCCATTTTGGTGCACAAATGCATTAGAACCACATATCACCATTGTGTTGACATTCTTGGGGTATCACTATGTAAAATCCCATGATTAATACAGTATCATAAACCTATTAAACATACATATCAGTTGTTTTAATTCGTTTTAACCTGTTATCATAGGTTTATGTATAAGACATAATTATAACAATGAATGATACGGACTTTTTCGGAGTTTCTCCTCTGATACTTGTATAATTTGTTTTAATTTGTTATCAGCTGTTATCAGCTGTTATATTCCATCTGGTTCAACTGGGAAAAACATATTATACTGGATGATACATTTCTCTGCTCTTGCGTATAATTTGTTTACATTAGGTTACATGTTGTTGACACAACATGTTGACACTATCTTGTTGACATAGACATATTGAGTGTTTTAATAAAAGCGGGTATTGATAAATTAAGTTTTGACATTTGAAAGTTGTAATGAATTAATATAAATGATTTTTCAAAATAAGTCACCAGAAGTGATTAGTGCAGCAGTTGAAAGACATATTTTAGTTTTACATTTATAACGTGCTTGCAAAAACACGGGCGTCCATTTAGATTATTAGCGGTTTTATTATAATATTGGATTGCTTCAATGCGCTCCATGAAAGAAAAATATGGGCACATTATTAATTGAAATCAATATGTCTTAATATTAAAGCTACATTGTTAACGGAGACAACGTAAGACTGCGACATTTTAAACCATTTCAAAATTCGGTGTTTTTATTTCCATAACGGCTACTAGTATTTGTGTGCCATAGTTATCTCAGCTTTCGGGAATCACGGTTATCATGATTTAAGGGCAGTTATAAAAATATACAAGGCGATGGTTCAAAATGGACAATTTTCAAAACTGCTCAACTTCATGTTTTTAAAGAATGCTTGCCCGGCGAGGGGTTTGCTATTGCGAGAGAACAAAAACATTGAATTTGGATTTTTCCTAATACGTAATCATTAATACTTAATACTTAATCATTAATCAGCAACTTTTTAAACCGTCTCTCTGATTAAATATCATGCCAATTAATACCACGATTGTGTTGACAGGATTAAATGCGATATCTATGGAATAATAATTTAATGAACTCAAAAGTCTAAATGATAAATAAGTTTAGTCTTGGCTGACTAGTCTTGTATCATCAGAGTTGGATTGCAAATACCTCCCTAAATCAAATATTTATAATTGTTTTTATGTCTCTGATCCAACCACTAAAGTTTAAAAGGAAGACTATAGTGTCCCGTGAATTCATTATCAATAGTGAAGCGGTACAATCGTGGGAGTGTTAATTAATCGGAATGCAAGTTTGATACAAAATAACTCCTTTGGATCAAATATTTAAATTTTACTAGAGTGCGGGGAGTGGAAACGAGTCTCCATTCAAGCACTAAATATCAAAAGAAAGATTTCAGTACCCCTTAACTTCGCTCCCGGACTTCACTATTCACCACCTCCCCTCCCCTTTCCCCAATTATCTTTTATGACCCCAGATTGTTCGTTTCTGTGCCCCCCCCCTGTCCATGGCAAGTAAGTAATCTATTTGTATATCGGCTCCCTCCCAATGGTGGGCAAAACCAGATACAGGCATAGACATTGACAAGGTGAGGGGATTAAAAATAAAAATAGTTTTGTTTTAGGATCTGACCAAAATATTTTGGCACTGTTCAACGAAGCGGTTTAAGGAATTAGAGGCAGAAATAATTCCTAGATGACCTGTCTTTACTGTAATCAAGATGCTACCTAACCGCAGTTTTAAAAGTTATTTATCTTGTGATAATCTAATACTACTTATAGATTGGTTTTCCAAATGTAAGACCCCGTATAAGACCCTTGTCTCTGATTGTGAAACATGTGTATGCATCAAATCCGAGGAATATTACATTATGTGAAACAATTCCAAAATGTTTTGTCTTGAACTCAATCAAATAGCAATATATTTCAACATGTGGAAATTGTTTATTAACGTAATGTCGGGCACTATAGTTGAACGGGTTTTCAGTTTTGCTCTTTTTTGTCACACTTAAATTGTGTGCTTTATTTATTTGGAATTTGAATTTGAAAGGGTGAATTCACATCCAATAAAGCTTATAGTATCATTTATTAACAGATGCATCGAGGTAGAGCCACCGTTCAAAAGACATAAACATAACTCTGTCGAGTGCAATAAATACATGCATATCCATTTGTTGCCATTATACGGCCAGACCAGGGGAACACAGATACCCTTCGCATTCTTACATTGTCCGCATGTCAACCATACGGCGACCGCACAGTCAGCCTGCCTTTCGCACCTCTCATACACGTGTACAAATTCTAAGATCATATTAATTACCATTGATTCCTCGTTTTCAATCCCTGGTTTTCAAAGACCGTTAGATGTTAATGAATGGAGATTTTTAAATGTGCTTTCATTAAACAGCCAGGAAAAATAAACTATTTTTCATTTCCCAGGAATCACATAATCCGTCAAAATTCATTTAATTTAAAATGTATCTAATATATTACATGTATACAATCAGACAGACTGGCTATTCTAATCCGTTATGAAAAGCCATTTGTTTTTTCCTCTACAGGATGTTTCTGCGGAAGTTAATTTGTTTATCTTAGTGTTTAGAGGCAATGTCCTTTGACGCTTTCGTGAAATAAATGAACTCTGTGATGGACTACAATTGTATATTTTTACAGGAACAGTTACCCGAAGTAGACCACTGTTACATTATTTTCATTTTAGGTCTCTCTAATTAGTTGCATTGCAGAAGTCTAATATTATTCTCTCCTGTGCCGAAGGTACTTATACCCGTAGCCAAGGGGGGGGGGTGTTCAAGGAGTCCAACTCAACAGAATTCGAATTGAATACAAAATAAATTCATAACATATAAATATATAAATACATAATGTCTATCCAAGTCTTCTTGCATTTTCTGAACTTCAAATGCGCCTTTTGATGTGTGATAACAAAATACTAAATAAATACTTAATGTTACTCCAGCTTGTTTTTATAGTAATTTGGCAATTAAACATGCATAAAGAGATATCAATGTGTGTATCTGTGTACAACCCGAATCCTCTCCCGATCAGGTCACGTTTTATATGTCTCTGATGTAATAACTGCCCTGTCAACCCTCACGCATTAGGCGTGATTGTTACGCATTTGCTGGAAAAATAGAAATCACGCATCAATTTAGCGTGTATGATCAAATATCACGCAAATCACGGATTTTGTCGAAATTTTTAAAAATCGTTTTTATATATTTTTATACATATTGTTATGGTCTCCGTTTTTTGCGACGGCGGTTGGTGGTTGGCGTCCGGCGTCTGGCGTCTGGCGTCCGGCGTCTGTAACAATTTCTTACAACTTCCTATAACAAATACTGTTTAGACTGACTTCAATTTTTTTCTAAATCATCTACATCTTCTCAGAAGTTCAAATCTGACTTAAGATTTGACATTTGACCTTCAATGACCTTCTCAAGGTCAAAAAGGTTTTTTTTCAACTTGCTTCACATTGACTAAATTTTTTTTCAAAGTCATCTACATGTTCTCAGAAATTCAAATCTGACTTTAGATTTGACATTTGACCTTCAAATCTGACTTTAAATTTGACATTTGACCTTCAATGACCTTCTCAAGGTCAAAAAGGTCTTTTTTCAACTTGCTTCGCATTGACTAAATTTTTTTTCAAAATCATATACATGTTCTCAGAAATTGAAATCTGACTTTAGATTTGACATTTGACCTTCAAATCTGACTTTAGATTTGACATTTGACCTTCAATGACCTTCTCAAGGTCAAAAAAAGGTCAAAAAGGTCTGTTTTCAACTTGCTTCAAATTGACTAAATATTTTTTTCAAAATCATCTACGTGTTCTCAGAAATTCAAATCTGACTTAAGATTTGACATTTGACCTTCAATGACCTTCTTAAGGTCAAAAAGGTCTATTTTCAACTTGCTTCACATTGACTAAATTTTTTTTCAAAATCATCTACATGTTCTCAGAAATTCAAATCTGACTTTAGATTTGACATTTGACCTTCAAATCTGACTTTAGATTTGACATTTGACCTTCAATGACCTTCTCAAGGTCAAAAAAGGTCAAAAAGGTCTGTTTTCAACTTGCTTCAAATTGACTAAATTTTTTTTTCAAAATCATCTACGTGTTCTCAGAAATTCAAATCTGACTTAAGATTTGACATTTGACCTTCAATGACCTTCTCAAGGTCAAAAAAGGTCAAAAAGGTCTGTTTTCAACTTGCTTCGAATTGACTAAAAAAATTTTTCAAAATCATCTACGTGTTCTCAGAAATTCAAATCTGACTTTAGATTTGACTTAAGATTTGACATTTGACCTTCAATGACCTTCTCAAAGTCAAAAAAGGTCAAAAAGGTCTTTTTTCAACTTGCTTCAAATTGACTAAATTTTTTTTTCAAAATCATCTACATGTTCTCAGAAATTCAAATCTGACTTTAGATTTAACATTTGACCTTCAATGACCTTCTCAATGTCAAAAAAGGTCAAAAAGGTCTGTTTTCAACTTGCTTCGAATTGACTAAAAAAAAAATTTCAAAATCATCTATGTGTTCTCAGAAATTCAAATCTGACTTTAGATTTGACTTAAGATTTGACATTTGACCTTCAATGACCTTCTCAAAGTCAAAAAAGGTCAAAAAGGTCTTTTTTCAACTTGCTTCAAATTGACTAAATTCTTTTTTCAAAATCATCTACATGTTCTCAGAAATTTAAATATGACTTTAGATTTGACTTTAGATTTGACATTTGACCTTCTCAAGGTCAAAAAAGGTCAAAAAGGTCTGTTTTCAACTTGCTTCAAATTGACCAATTTTTTTTTCAAAATCATCTACATCTTTTCAGAAGCTCAAATTTGACTTTACAAGTTCTCAGAAGTTCAAATCTGACTTTAGATTTGACCTTTGACCTTCAATGACCTTCTCAAGGTCAAAAAGGTCTTTTTTCAACTTGCTTCAAATTGACTAATTTTTTTTTCAAAATCATCTACATGT